CTTGTTGTATGCTCTTAAAAACGTTTTATATTCTCAATAAACTGGCTTTTTATTAGGTATACAACATGTGGAACTTAATAATGATGCAAAATTATTCAAAATTCCTACTTTTATCTCTTTAATAATTCAATACGGGAAAATTTCTGATTGCATAATTTCTAGGAATAAGAAATCGCAATTAAATATTAAAACAATCGATGTACTAAGTGATTATTATATTTTTCAAATGTTACTAGGCAAACTATTAAATGTTTACCTACCTACTTGTAATAACGAAATCCATTTGCATTAATTTTTCTTCAAGGGTCAACCTACCTGTGATCTAGTACCTGACCTATAGTAAAGTTACTAGGATAGGAAGGAGAGGTGTTATAGAAAATGCACCAGCAGGTAGATAAATAAAATGGGCGATATAAAAATTGGTATAACCCATTACCCTCTAGGTATAGCTATAATTGCAAATTTCGAGTACTCGCTAAAATATTCGCCCCAGATTCGCGTAAATTGTATCGAAACGCGGCAACGCTGTCGAATGGCGAATGTGCGCGTCGAATGGCAAAGCCCCCGGATCTTAACCCGTCACGTTGACGCTGTGGCCATACAGTCGGCCATTTTATAAATTTTATAAATTTGTTATTAATTTTAGTCGTTTTTTTTTGGTGTATAGACGATTTTGTACATATTCGTAGTTTGTTTTTTGTTTGGGTAAGTGCGCTTGAATTATCCTACTACACCGCGTTCGCCATCTTTCTCGATCCTCGCCTACTGCGACTGTTGTTAACCTACAATATTTACTCGGGTTCGGTGTTGTTGTTTGTTGTTGTTGTTGTCGGTAACAAATTATTAATAGTTTTCAAGTAAGATGACGAACGAAACGTAAATCCTCCGCCGGTCGGGGAAAATAGTTTTCGCGATGCGAAATCCATCGGTATTGCACTTGTCGAAATTTCCTTGCGAAAAGCCGGTTATCAAAATCGAGTCGCCTTGGCGTGAGCGTGTGTATGTGCGTATGCGCGTGCGCGCGATGCACCGCTAACTAGACTGTCGCAGTGTGGTCGTCTCTTTTTTTTTTTTTTGGGGCACTCTCCGTCTCTGTCGGCGTGCAACTGTCTAGTGCGGTTTTTTTTTTTGGCGCGCCATGTCCCGCACAATCGGCTCTATTTTGGGGTGGGCGCGGCGCCCAAGGTCGCGGCCCGCGCTCGTTCCCTCTTTGGGGTGGCTAACCCCTAAAAAAAAAACGGCGCCCGTGCGGGGTGAATAGTACGGTTTTTTTTATAGAAATGCTATTGTTGGGGGTTTCACCTGTGACTAGATCGACCTGTTTGATGCACTGGGTTATACCTAATAATGCACTCGATATTTTCGTGGTATAATTTACCTTCTATTTTTTTCTTTTATGTGTTGTTAATTATTATCGATTTATGTTATGCTCTAACTACCCCCGTAACACTATACGGATATAAACAATGCTGGTAGATAAATGCGGTGATTAAAAAGATTACATAATGTATATGAAGCGGATTTCAATTATATTTAGTGATAGGATGATCATATAAAGGATAAAGTAGATACCCAATACCCAATTTAATAAGGATTATACACTTCATTCCAGATCGAAACATACAGGTTGCTCCATTTTTAATTGCAACTTAAGCTATGGGTGCAACAAAGACATTAGACACTTGAAAAAGGAGTGACATTTGTGTCATTGCAACTTTTCACTCTGACAACTGTCATTTTATTAATCTTTCTTTGTTTAACTCATAGAAACGACCATGTTGCGATCTGGAATGAAACACAGTGTAGGTTATAGGCTATAAGTGCGATAAAGACAACTTTCAATAGACACTCGACAAACTGTTATTTTATTAATCTTTCTTTGTACAACTCATTAAACTCATTAAACACCCTGTATATACGAGTCGATTGGTTGGAAGGATTTGTATAATAACCTCTCAATTGGGTAATAATTACGAGGATATAGACAGGCTGGAAACGAATTTAAATTTACATACTACATTTAGATATGGATAAACAATAAAAGCACGTGGATACAAATCGGTTATAGACACATATCGCATTGTTTTATCGCGGTTTTTTTTTAGCGTAGACATTTTTTGTTGGTCGATATCTTAATTATCGCGAATACCTAATTTGTAAACAAAATATAAATATTATCGCTCGTCGGGGAGTTTAAATTTAATATCAACTTTGGATGTTGTTTGTGCCGCGTATTAAAATTACATTAGAACCGATAACGGATTCGCATTAAATGTAATTTATAATAGTTTATTGTGGCTTCGAAAATCTTTGTTGTCCGAGGTTTCGCTATCTAGTAATTTAATTTATTTTTATCCAATTACACCTAAACGATAACGGGGCACTATTTATACGTTGTATTGCGTAACTGGTAACTTAGGTGATGTACACCTATACTTCATCGAATGTAGCTTGGCAATTGGAATTTTGTTTTTTGATTTAAATGAAGGGAGATATTAGTCCATAATGAAGCATTTACTTTGAAGTAAAAGGTAGAGGCAAAAGATAAGAGAAAAAGGTTTTAAAACCACAAAATCTTTTGCTTTAAAGCAACAACGGGGTACTCGAAGCAGAATCTCTTCCTTCGCGCTTCTTTTTATGCATATACCTCGAAGAAATTCCTTCATTTTTTGAAGTAAAAGGTTGTGCTTCTTTTTATAAATACGGCCTATTAAGATGCATAATTAATCGAAGAGAACATTGCAAGAGAATATTGCAAGATTTCCAGTGGCCTAATTTATGTACAGTATGTATGCGAATAGAGAAAGCTATTTGAAAGGGTTTCTTCGCTCTGTCATCTCCTCGTCCTCTCTCCCCCTGATGTTTAAACGCATAAAGGAATCGGCTCTCGGCCCTTAGGGGGGAATTGTGCCCGAAAGAGGGTGCCCGAAAACGCGTTTGTCGCTGTCCTTTTCTTTCTGGTTTTTTCTTCTTCTTCTTCTTACTAACTCACCACTCGTATAAGCGGGTACTCCATCCCGCGTTAAAATTGCCATATATCGCACCTCGAATCGGTGCCATGTCGATATTTCGACGGGTCCGCGAGTTTTTGCGCGAAATCTTCGGCTCCGCTCTTCGGAAATTGAGAGAAATTTTATTCCACTGCGGTGAGTATACACTGTGCTTCATTTCCAGATCGCAACAGAGGTTATATAGAGGCTGTAGGTGCGATAGAGACAACTGCCATTAGACACTTATAAAGAAGAAGGAAAGAGTGACATTGGTGTCATTGCAACTTTTCATTCTGACAACTGGTATTTTGTTAATCTTTCTTTGTTCATCTCGTAGAAACGAACATGTTGCGGTCTGAATTGAAGCAATCTGTATAGGCTATAGGTGCGATAAAGACAACTTCCATTAGACACTTATAAAGGAAAAAGAAAGAGTGACATTGTGTCATTACAACTTCTCATTCTGACAACTGTCATTTTATTAATCTTTCTTTGTTCATCTCGTATAGAAACGACCATGTTGTGATCTGAATTGAAGCAATCGGTATACAGGATTTTACTATATACAGAGTGTTAATTAATGTTGTGCCTAATGTGCGATCATCGGGGTAATTTTGAGTCGAAGAGAGTATGTAATGTCCTCATTTCGCCAACAGTTTGGTATAGTTGGTTATATTTTTAGAATACATTCGTTGACGGATCGGCCTTGTCTCTCGCTCGTCCGAAAAAGGGGAACGATTTTTAAACGTGTACAACGTGCACTGGCGGTGCTTTAAAAAAAACGAAACGATGACCTTTGTCGGGTCGGACCGGAGACCGAATAATAAGATATAAGTTAGATGGAGATGTGTTCGGTCGAGCGAAATATATCGCCGCAGATTAGAGAAATTGCCACGGACCCGTCGGCGAACCGATTTAAACAATGGAGGCTCTCGAATTAGCGCCTCAAAGTCTCTCTGTAAAGTATATTCGAGGAAATTGCGCGAGGGTTTTAAACGAACAGATTACACTATGTGGTTCAACAGAGATTTTGGTTTACGAAGCAAATAATGAATGATGAATCGAGAAACTAAAATATAATAGACCTCAATGTGGAGTCTAAATAGACTTGTGCCCCAAAGTTATACACATTTAAAACAATAATATATTGGAATTCTTTGCACCAGTGTTATTTATAGCTAACGATAGCAAATGGTTAGTTTGATGCAACAATTGCAGTTAAAACACAAGCAATACATTTTCATTGCAGCGCACGATAAAATATTGCGACCAGTAGACACTCATCTGCAAAATAATAGTGCAAAATTCTTCACCCCGCCAAACCCTCGGCGTAATTTTATCGAAAGAATAGACTTACATACCGGATTGTCGCGATATATACACCGGGGAAACGGCGACCGGTCGAGCCGGCAACGTCGCCACGTCGCCCCGGCGATTTGGATAAAATACGGTTTTACCGCTATTGCTATGCAGCTGGTTCGTCTGTCTCCGTCGCCGGCGATCGTTCGTCTCGCTCTCGCCGCCGTCGCGCCGCCTCGCTCCGTCTCTATCCTCGCCGCATTCCGACGATCGCGCGGGGCCGAATATAAACCGGCGCGATTCACCTTGAAAAAGTGCAGCAGCCGAACGTGCATGTCGTTGTATTATCAACCGAGAAACGAGGCCGGGGCCCCGGGGCTCTTTAAAAAAAAACCGCGCCATTTTGCTATGCAACGAGTAAAACTTATTCGCAATCGTTTGGGCGGTTTGGAATCACCCGGGGAATCACCATTGAACGGTTCTGATTGATGTTGATTGTGGGTTCTGTTTTGAGAGGAATTGATGGTGGTATTTTGCCATCAATTGCACGTCTGGTTGTCGGGGGAATCACCTAATTGAAGTGGAGCATTTGTTTAGTTTTCCACTTGTCGTTTTGGTTTCTGTTTTGATTGAACAATATGGTTTAGTTGCATAATGATAGTCACTATGATTGTCCATATAATTGTAATTTGAGTATTTGCGTAATTGCAGCTATGGCAGAAGGTAATGGTGAGGTACCGGAAGAACCAATGAAAATCGAACAGGACGCGGATCGCACCGAAAACTACCAGAAGCTGCTTGAGTATGGGCTCGACGAGAAGGTGTCGGCGAAATTGGACGACATCTACAAGACGGGCAAGCTGGCGCACGTCGATTTGGACGAGCGCGCCTTGGACGCGCTCAAGGAGTTTCCGGTGGACGGGGCGCTCAACGTTCTCGGACAATTTTTGGATTCGAACTTGGAGCACGTGTCGAACAAATCGGCCTATCTGTGCGGCGTGATGAAGACCTACCGGCAGAAGAGCAGGGCCGGTACGAGCGGGGCGGCGGGCGCCGCGACTCCCGCGCCCGCCCCCGTCAAGGGACCCGACGAGGGCAAGATCAAACAGATTATGGATAGGACCGGTTATCCGTTGGACGTTACCACCGGTAAAAACAAACATTTCTACTCTATTTATACAGTTTTCCACTATAATTACTGATGATTCCTCTTTGAACTACTTACCTACACCAGTGAGGCCTCTAGGTTCTTTCCTGTATGCTCTAAAATCCATTACCTCTCTATTTTCATTATTCGCAGCTCTTGTACTGATGCCACATCTTGATCATCTCGATTTCTCATTACCTATAAATAACTTGATTCTATTCCCATTACATTATGATCTTATAAACTCCCATATACCACCATCGAATCTCAAAATTTCACTCTTGTCTGCTCCATTTCTTCAAATTCTGGTGCACCTGGACCGTCCTCAACTATCATAGACTATTCTGGTCCTATTCTGCACCATTCTGGACCATCATGGACTATATCTTCTGATGTATTTCGTACTATTCTGGCTTATCCTAAGCTGTCCATAACTCCTGGAGCTTCACGAACATCATTTTCAAAGCCATCTATGTATACACAATATCTTTGGAGTATTGGTGATGGTCTTTGACTATTGTTGTGTCGAACAGGTCAGCGGAAGTACGGCGGGCCGCCGCCGGACTGGGAGGGCCCGCCTCCCGGGTCCGGTTGCGAGGTGTTTTGCGGCAAAATACCGAAGGACATGTACGAGGACGAGCTGATACCGTTGTTCGAGGACTGCGGCACCATCTGGGACTTGAGGCTGATGATGGACCCGATGACTGGTACGAATCGCGGCTACGCCTTCGTGACGTTTACGACGCGCGACGCCGCCCAAATTGCCGTCCAAAAGGTAAGTATGTTGTAGAGAGAGGTGCGTCCCTCCACCCCCGGGGGGGTGGGATGCGCGGGGGTGAGGGGGGGCGGTGCGTGGGACGCGCGTTTGATTTAATTTTTTTTTCTTGGTTTTTTTTTTATCTTTAGAGATTTTTCCTTTTTTTTTTGTTGATGTTCGTAGAGCATTCGATTCTGTTTTGGCCTTGCGAAAGTTTTGGTTGGTTTATAAATTTGAAAAATTTTTTGGTTTTTTTTTCTTTGGCCATTATGGATAAGTAATTTGGTGTTTGGTAGCTCAGGTGTGTTTGATGTTTTATGGCCGATTTCGTTTAAGGACATTTTTAATCCTTTTAATAGATATTTTATAATTAACTTGAAGAATTCTTTATGCCTAGAGTGTCGATTTTAAAAGGCTCTCTACGATAAAATTTTAAAGCAATTTTAGAGCCGTTTTTGGAACGGTTTTAGAGCGGATTTTGAAGTGGTTGTACCTTTCATATGCAACCGTTGTTTTATTATGAAATTGGCCTTAATTGATGATTAATTAATAGTAATTACACGCCTGGGTTGCCGGGCGTTTTTGAACCACCACCGTCGCAGGTTTAGCGTTTTTCTACCCTTTGGCTATATTAGAAAAAAAGCGTTTTTTTTTATTCTTATCGTCAAACTAAAAATTCTCTTTGACTTCACATTGATTTTCAAAATTTATTTGGCTGGGACCGGTGTGTGTTGAGTCGGATCGGTGATTGGTAAAATTGCGAAAAAATCGATTTGGCTTTTTTATCGAACGATTTATCGCTTTGCGTACTTAATTTTTTTTTGATTTATTTGTATTTGTACGAAACGTAAAAAGAAAAATATTACCCCGACCTGTTTTCATTATCTGGAAATTTTTCTTGATTTCGACGGACCATTTTCGGATTGCCCGCGATTGGGCGAATCGATGTAGAGAGAATGGTCCGTTGTTCGGTATACAGGGTGGCCCAAAACTCACGCCCCACCGGGAAATGCCTTATGGAAACGACAATGGAGATGCCAAAATTGCTGCCAAAAACATGAAAAAGTTGATCCTTTGGTAAATAAAGAGGTTCAAAATCGACCAATATCCCGATTTGGAAGCAAATATTTGATCAATAGTCACAACTGATTTTGGCAGATTCTGATAACCTTGAAAGTGTAAAGGAAATAGAATCTTTCAATAATGTCAAATGTATAGCTAATTCACGCCATTTTCGTGGATTTGAATCGTCGATTTTAAACCTCTTTATTTATCACAGGAGCAACTTTTTCATGTTTTCGGTTGCAGTTTTGGCATCTCCATTGTCGTTTCCATAAGGCATTTCCCGGTGGGGCGTGAGTTCTGGGCCACCCTGTATAACCGAGGAGATTCGATCAATTTGTATTACACTATAGATGCGAATTGCTCGAATTCTTTCTGTTGTTGTTTAATTGGCAGATTCTTTATAGTGATGTGTGCCGAGAGTTCGTCATAGCCTGCAAAATTGTATTAGTTTATCAACTTTTGTTGCAGCCGCTCTGACCAAGGCGCATTCACTGTGAGAAAAAACAAAACTCTCTCTCTCTCTTACTCACTCTCTTTCTCTCTTTCTTACACACACGATCACTCATTCACTTGTTCTTTGATTTCCCCTGTAGACATTTTTTTCGATCCTTTCGATGAGCCCGATTTTTTTGGCAAAATTTGGTGCTATATTTATTTTTTGTGTTTATAAACTTCGTCTGGTTTAATTTTTTTTTGTGTGGAGTATTATTTATCTCCCCCGTTGGAAGTTGGGGAGAAATTGGAAGCATTTTCGCAGTTTCTCGCTTTGTATAGGTCTCCTCTTTGCGCATCTATGGGCAAAATTGAGACCGCAAATGATTCTCTAAATTCTGTTTTGTTTTTTGATTTTTTGAATTTATTTTTCGGATTTTTGGAAATTAGGTTGGTGTGGAATTGTTTTCTTTGGTTTTATTCCGAGCGATGCGATTTGGTTTAATTCGAAATTTAGATATCCAACTGCAAAATTTAGTATCTAATATTGTGGTGTTTATTTGGGGTGAATTTTTATTTTGAAATTGTTTGTGTAGTTTATTTTTTGTCGAATTGAAATTTGATTATTTTTTGAGAGTAAAAAAAAGGAATAGTTGATCCAATTTTTCCGATGAATTGGTCGATTCAAAATTGCGTTTGTGGTAGATTGCGGTTTAGCTAAATTTATGATTAGAAAATTAAAAACAAAAAAATTGAAAAATATTCCTGAACTCTGGCATTTGTTCTCTCTCAACCCACAGTTGGATAATCACGAAATCAAACCTGGCAAGAATTTGAAAATAAACATTAGCGTTCCGAATCTGCGTCTTTTCGTCGGGAACATACCAAAATCGAAAGGCAAAGAGGAGATCTTGGACGAATTCGGTAAATTAACAGGTAAAGTTTTTCGATTGTAAATCAAAATTATTTTTTATTTTTTTCCAAACAAAACGTACGAAAAAACAAATTGCGTAAAAAAAATTGGAAACGAAAAATTCGCCATTCTGCGTACCCGCTCCGTTTTTACAAACGATGGAAAACATTTTGCTAGTCGATTAGTAACAGATTTTGGTCGATAATTGGCTGATTAGTAACTATATAGGCAAATTTTCTCATTTCTTGCGCAATTAGCTAAAGGGTCGAGTAGCAACCCGTCTAAGTCGACTAGCAACCTTTATTCGTCGAATAACAGTTAATAGTCGACCAGCAACTTTTATTCGACCAATTAACAACCTTTATTCGTCGACTTGCAATGTTTATTGGTCGATTAACAGTTAATAGTCGATTAGCAACTTTTATTGACCTATTAACAACCATTCTTCGTCGACTAGCAATGTTTATTGGTCGATTAACAGTTAATAGCGACGGTTATTTGGTCTACTAGCAACATTTATTGGCCGAGTAGCAACCTGTCTAGGTCGACGAGCGACCTTTATTCGTCGATTAACAGTTAATAGTCGACCAACAACTTTTATTGACCTATTAACAACCTTTGTTCGTCGACTAGCAACCTTTATTGGTCGATTAACAACCGTTAATAGTCGACTAGCAACGTTTTTCCATTACGGACGCGTTGGCGTCTTTTTCTTCAGTTTCCTCAAATTATTTCGGGGGTTTACAAAGATATCGGAGACGAAAAAAAATAAATAAAAAAAATATACGAAAATATAGTTTGAGCGGCGGCGCCGGCCGGGCCGCCGGGGCTCGTTTTTCATCCCTTTAAAAAAACAATCCCTCAGCCCCTCCCAACCCGTTGCCCATGGCATAATTGGCTACCCTTCGACTGTCTTTGCAGCTGAATGATTATGAAATACGGAAGGGCAAAAAGATTGGCGTAACCATATCTTATAACAATCACCGGTTATTTGTGGGCTATATTCCAAAGAACCGGGATCGAGACGATCTTTTGGAAGAATTTTCCAAACATGCACGTAAGTTGAGCAACCATCACGAAAAAAAAAAACTATAATTATATATACCACCTTTTTTTTTCTCTTTGTTGTCGTTTACATTTTGAATTTTTTTTGTTTTATTACGATTTAAGTTTATCACATCTCGCCTATATTAACGGATTTTGTTTCGAGAAAACGAGGCGAGAAAAAAAAATTGAAACGACGCAAATTGTTCGTTTTTTCGATTTTTTTTCTCGGTTTTCGCTGTTAATTTTTTTTTATTAATTTTGTTTAATTTGGAATGCCATTGTTTGCGCCTGAGCAAAAGGGTAGGGCAGGGCCGCTATTTTGAGCGATTAATACTAAATATATTGGGCGACAAGGTTTATTGCTTTGTAAATTTATTTATTTTGATGAAATCAAAAAAAAAACACGTTTGCATATATTTATCGCGAAGACTTTGACGCCCATATAATCCGATTTTTTTTGTTTCTTTGTATAATTTTTGTTCTTCTCCGCCGATTATTTTTTTTTGTTTCTCTATATTATAATTTTTTAAACGAACGTTTCGCCGCAGCTTTGATCCATGTTCGCCCTTTTTTTTTTGTTCTCTGTTTTCGCGCCGCCTCCCCCGCGTGCAAAAATCGTCGATCGTTAATAACAAAACAGCCGGCTTGATGGAGGTGATAATCTATTCGTCGCCCGACGACAAGAAGAAGAACCGAGGTTTTTGCTTTTTGGAGTACGAATCGCACAAGGCGGCGTCGCTGGCGAAGCGTCGATTGGGCACCGGCAGGATCAAGGTGTGGGGATGCGACATCATCGTCGATTGGGCCGATCCGCAGGAGGAACCCGACGAACAGACCATGTCCAAAGTCAAGGTAAATGTCGATCCTTGCCTTTGGGACAATTTCTCTCTCGAGATTGTTCGGTCTAGGGAATTTGTAGACAATTCAATCAGTAGACAATTCATTCAGTAGACAATTCATACACTAGACAATTCATACACTAGACAATTCATACACTAGACAATTCATTCACTAGATAATTCCTTCCCTAGACAATTGAGGTCCTAAATCATCTAAACAAGTCAAAACTTCAGGAAATTTCAAGATGATTCATTCACTAGACATTTTATGCATTTGGCAAATAATTCACTAGATAATTCATTTAATACATAATTCATTTAGTAGACAAGACAATTCCTTCACAAGATAATTCCTTCCCTAGACAATTGAGGTTCTAAATCATCTAAACAAGTCAAACCTTCAGGAAATTTCAAGGTGATTCATTCACTAGACATTTTATGTACTTGGCAAATAATTCACTAGACAATTCATTTAATACACAATTCATTCACCAGACAATTGATTTGCTGGGCAATTCCTTCCCTAGACAATTGAGATTCTAATTCATCTAGACAAGTCAAACCTTCAGGAAATTTCAAGATGAATTATTCACTAGACATTTTATGCACTTGGCAACTAATTCACTAGACAATTTATTCACTAAACAATTCATTCTGTAGACAATTCATTTACTAGACAATTCATTCGCTCGACAATTATTGTGGTCCTGATTCATCTCACCATATCAAAGGTGGTATCTTCAGAGCATGTTCATCTCAAGACAATTTATCTCCTAGACATAATTCATTCTATAGAGACACAATTCATCATCTATAGACACAATTCATCATATATAGACACAATTCATCATATATAGACACAATTCATCATCTAAAGGCCAATTTTTGTTATTGTTTAGGTACTCTACGTTAGAAACCTGACGCAAGAAATCACCGAAGAAAAATTGAAGGAAGAATTCGAACAGTACGGCAAGGTGGAGAGAGTTAAGAAAATTAAAGACTACGCTTTTATACATTTTGAAGATAGGGATAATGCCGTTAAGGTGAGAACGATTGTATATCGAAAATATATTTGTAACTATAAGATAAAAAACTTATCTACCGGTTTTATTGGTTTCGAAAAATAAATGTTTGCTTGCGGTATTTCAGGCGATGGAATCGTTAGATTCGAAAGAACTGGGAGGATCGAATATCGAAGTGTCTTTGGCGAAACCTCCGTCTGATAAAAAGAAGAAGGAAGAAATTTTGCGAGCCAGAGAACGAAGAATGATGCAGATGATGCAAATTAGGGGAGGGTGAGTTTTCTTAAATACATCAAGTTGTTACTTTTGTATCAAATTATTCATTCAATACTAGGCACTTAGATTAGATAATTTATTCACTAGACTAGACGACTCATTTAGATACTAGACAATTCATTTGCTAGATTACATAATGCATTCACTAGACTAGACGATTCATTTAGATACTAGACAACTCATTTAGATACTGAACAATTCATTAAGATACTAGACCATTCATTTAGATGCTAGACAACTCATTTAGATACTAGACAATTCATTTAGATGCTAGGCAATTCATTTAGATGCTAGGCAATTCATTTAGATGCTAGGCAATTCATTTAGATGCTAGGCAATTCATTTAGATGCTAGACAATTCATTTAGATGCTAGGCAATTCATTTAGATACTAGACAACTCATTTAGATACTGAACAATTCATTAAGATACTAGACCATTCATTTAGATGCTAGGCAATTCATTTAGATGCTAGGCAATTCATTTAGATGCTAGGCAATTCATTTAGATGCTAGGCAATTCATTTAGATACTAGACAATTCATTTACTTAGATGACAGAGATAAATTTGATTAAACATTTTGTAGAATGATGCCGGGAACGATGCCTTTGCGAGGACCTCCGGGCCAAGGGGGGAGCGGCCCCCGGGGGACGGGCGTCAGATCGGCGCCGATGGGACGCGGCGATTACGGTGAGTGGGCCTTGCTATATATATTTTTTTCTTCTTTTCTTCTAATTTTTATTATCTACTCCATTTTTATTTTTCTGTATATGTATATATTAGGTATATATTATTACATACTCCGTCTAACAATAATTATATATACTTATATGGTCCTTAGTCTGCTTGTTGGTCAAGTAACTATTCCATTACGAATGGCGTCCTTTTCGTCCTTTGAAAAGGAGGCGTTGTAGAGAAAGGACTCGATGTGTATTTGAGTCGTTTGATTGGATGAGATTTTTTTTATTTTGGGGAAAGTAATTTCGTGTCCCACGCAAGGGTGACGTTGGAACTTGACAGTCGACAGTTGACAACGTTGACAGATTAAATACATTTCCATAGCACGCTGAGAAAAATCATTTACTCGATTACAATTTACTACAATTTACTTGTTTAATAATTCACAAGAATTGGTGAATTTGCTAGTCTAAATGAATAGATTTGATCTCTAAACGTCAAAGAATATTTACTCGTGCAAATATGGAAAAATATGCATTAAAGAAGAAATTTTCTGTTGGAAAAATCGATTCTCAAACGAAATTACTTTCCCTAAAACCGCGAACGCACTCGAAACAGTCAATTTACTGCCTAATTTCACCACTTGCACATCGAAAAATCAATCATTTTTCCCTCATTCTTCATCTCGAAAAGCTTTTTTTCGACGATCAACGAAAATATTACGCCGTGTCATTTTTTTTTCTCTAACCGCTACTAACAGTTTAATTTTTTTTTGTTATATAATTTTTTGTACTGTTTCTTCCCGACGATTGATAACAGGGTATTATACAATTTTTTTACAGGTCTGAAAAAAAAATTAATGCCCGTTACAACTTGTATGTTCTTTATTAGGTATACATAGAAATAGAGGTGTTTGTTAGTCTAGTAGATTGATAATTGTACCGTAGCGGAGCTAGTAGATTTTTTTTATGGTTGAATTTTTTTTTGGATTCGATCACTCGTATTTGATTTTTTTGTATAAAATGTGTAAAAAAAATACCATTTTTTTTGACATAGCGGGGGGCACAGAGCAGCAAAAATTGGCGAAAGGGCATCCGTACGAAATGCATTTGCACGCGCCTCTCTCCGAATTACTCTTCTTATCTTCTTCACTCTTCCCTATTTATTGTCTAATTCCTGTATCTCTAACAAGCATGCAGTATAATTTACATTTGTTTATTGTCTTTGTGTGTTGTCGTATCTCTTTTCCCTCCCTCTTAGCCCTTTCTCTCATTATGTAATTGTGTTAGAAAAAGAAAAACGTACTTTTTTTTTCTTTTAAAAAACGTTTCGCTTGCAGCCGAAGGAGCGTAAAGGTAAGTATTAATGATTAGTATTCGTGCTGTGGTGTAGGGATATTTGTTTACCCTCTCATACTTGTGGATGTTGTCGCGTTTGTTGCATATCCCTTCTATAGGAGATAATTAAGCGAGTAAGAAGATGATGGAGAATCGACTGTGATTGAATCGTAACGGAATTTGAGCTGAATTGCCCGTGTAGGAAAAGGCCTAAACATTGGTATAAACCCATGCACTAAACTGTTTTACGCTATTTTAGTCTATTATAGACTATTTGTACTCTATTATGCAAGAATTTACACAAATTTTTACTATTTCATATCATTTTATACTATTTTACACTGTTTTGCACGTTTTTACACTGTTTTGCACTATTTTACACTACTATTTTACACTTCACTATTTAACTTTACACTAGTTTACGTTATTTTAGTCTATTATAGACTATTTTTACTCTGTTATACACAAATTTACACAAATTTTTAGTATTTCATATCATTTCATACAATTTTGCACAATGTTACACTGTTTTTCACTATTTTACCCTACTCTACACTATTTTACACTACGCTATTTTACTCTATACTACTTTACACTATTTTCTGCTGCACTATTTTAGTCTATTATACACTATTTTTCTACTATACACTAATTAATTCCCACTAATTTTTAATATTTCATATGATTTTATACCATTTTGCACTATTTCACACTGTTTTTCACTGTTTTGCAATATTTCACACTATTTTTGCACTATTTCACATTATTTTAGCACTATTTTATACTATTTTACACTGTTTTACACTATTTTACACTGTTTTATACGATTTTACATCATTTTGTACCACTTTACAACGTACATTCAAGGCTTTTAAGCTTTGAAAAATCACCAATGTTTGGCGATATTAATTACTCGTATTTGTCATTGTGCCTAGGCCTTTTCTATTGAGGTAATTCAGCTCTTTGACTATACATCGTAACGAAACAGAATAGCAAAAGAGCTTTGAATGAATTTCATCGAGTAGTTCTATTACTCGCTCGATTAATTTCCTGGGGATATTCATAAAATGCTCCTTAACATATGTGTATGTACATCTCTATAATCCCCTCGTTTCTCTCTCTCTCTCCCCTTCCACGATAATTACGAATACGATTAGTGCATTATTAAATGAGCAGTAAAATAAATTAGTGTTGACGATTGGCGAGAATCGTTACTTGACTCTTTTCCCGGCATGCTAATTGTAGTAATTAAAAAAAAAAACACTCACACGCACACACAACGTAAACGAACCGAGAAGGAAAGAAACCGAAACACACGAAAAAAAAAATCGAAAGAAAATATGGATTGGATTGTGGAATTGGACGTGATAATGCCGGAGGCGCACACACGATTCGAAATTGTTAGTTTCCCGTTGGCTAAATTTGGGACTTGTTGTCTTTTTGTAGATTACGATTACGACTATTACGGTTACGGGGACTATAGAGGCGGCTACAGTGATCCCTATTACGATGACTTTTACCGGTACGAAGATTACTATTACGATTATCAGCCGGCCCCAACGCCAGCGAGAGGAAGGGGGGGTCGGCAACCAGCACCGGTATGGGCCAAAAAAGCCAAAATTTATATAATTCTATATATTTTTTTTTAATTTTTAATCAATTTTTTTTATATATATATAAACCTGTATACATAATTTTTATGTTGCTATACACGAACCCACGAACACGCCAGCCAGATCTGACTGAACCGTTTTTATCAATTATATTTTTGATTTTTGTTTTGATTTACTTAGTTTAATCATTTTAAATTTAATGCGGTAGTTTGATTGTGGCACAGTGTCTATTAACCTAACAAATCTTCTTCTTCTTCTACTTGTTATCTTGTTATTCTTTCTATCTATCATCCGAACCCCCTCTCAGAACCAACCCCCTACGATCGAATCGGCGAATTAACCGCAACCATAACCGCTCTAAAATCTTAAAAAAAATAACCCAGCTCGATTTAGACCGCTAACTAATCCTGTACTTGCGCACTTGCCACATTCAAAAATGCCATCATATCTGAGCCTGAAACGCGTCTCGCGGATTTTCCAATTTTTTTTCGAAAAAAAATCGAGAAATCGCCCGCCGGGAAAAGCGACAACGATATGTAATTCATGTGGCCCCGAAAAAGACATCCCGCCAAAACGATAGAGTATCTATATATACAAAAGTACAAAACGCCATGATGATGGTCGATGATGGAATCGAGGACGAAACGTCGGCTGGTCATCCGTTACACGCATACGGTGGCTGGTTCAGATATGATGCGGGCTCTTAGTTGCAGGGTTATCCAAATTGTCGAAGGGGATATGATGGGGAATTTGAAATTAATTTTTAAAAAATCGTTAAATTCGATTGATGCCGCCGCCACGCCGATTATATACATGATATATAAATACACTAACCCTCTGAGTACGCCCCTGGTTGGTTCCGGTTATTTACGGTGCATTTTCAATGAAAAAAAGTATTGTCGACTTGCGAAAGTATTTTGTCGAGCCGAGAAAGTGTTGTGTCGACTTGGGAAAGTATTTTGTCGATTTGAGAAAGTGTTGTGTCGACTTGGGAAAGTATTTTGTCGACTTGAGAAAGTGTTGTGTCGACTTGAGAAAGTGTTGTGTCGGCTTGAGAGGTTTTTGTCGACTTGGGAAAGTATTTCGTCGAATTGAGAAAGTGTGTCGATTTGAGAAAGCATTTGGTCGAGTCGAGAAAGTATTGTGTCGACTTGGGAAAGTATTTTGTCTATTTGAGAAAGCTTTGGCCGACTTGAGAGAGTGTTTTCTCGACTTGCGAAAATATTTTGTCTATTTGAGAAAGGTTTGGCCGATTTGAGAAAGTATTCTGTCATTGGGAAAGTATTTTGTCGACTTGGGAAAGTATTTTGTCGACTCGAGAGAGTGTTTTGTTGACTTGAGAGAGTATTGTGTGAAAAGAATTTGTGAATTTATAACAATTTGTTTGATTGAAGAAGCTTAGGATGATTTCTGAAGTGATTCGTTGTTTTTCGTAAATTTTTTCAATTTTACTGGATTATTCCATATATTGTAAACGTATTTTTAAATTTTTCAGTATTTTACGTACTTGGAATAATTTTTGTTGTGCTTTTTTTGCCACAAATGAAACATTTTGATGTGTGAATGGTTTGGTGGATTTTTTTTTCTTGAAAATGCACTGCTAGTAACTACACCGAGAGTACAAACGAATTAATAATCTCTCCGAGTTTATTTTGTATTATTTCTGATTATTCGTTTAATTTTGCTTTTTTTTACTGCGAAAATATCTAGGAAAAAAACGCCGAGCTTTTTGTGTGTCTGTCCGTGTAATAAATTGGTACATTGGCAGTATTTGTAAATCTACCCTCAAAAAAGGAGCGCTTTAATATATTTATTTTATTTTTTTGATTACTTACCCCTTTTTTTTGTTTACCGCTTTTCGCTTTATTTTAGTGCTTTAATTTTAGTTAACCGCTTCGCTTTATTTTTCGCTTATTTTTTTCGCTTTTTTTCTAACGCTTGGCTTTGGAAACGGCCTTAGGTCAATCCACTTTTTTTATTGTTTTATTTATTTTACACACCTGATTGATATTATATTACGTTATACATTTAATTTTTTTTTGGATAACCCTTTTTCTAGAGCTTCCGCATTATTTGTAAAATGATAAGGGAGACGTTTAGAAAAAGGGGGGCCAACTGGATGATATAATTTTTTTTCTATACACAATTTGTAGCGACTTTTATTTGACAATTGACTGAATTGTTGATGCGTCAAATGTCAGTTGGCGCCCCTTTGACGACATGTGTCACTTAATGTCAAACGTCAAAAGTCAGTTGATTGGTTGTTTTTTATTTTTTTACCAGTGCTAAGTGTTTTTTTATTGTTTACACTCATTTTTAAAGTGTGGTTGTTTTCTTTATTTTTCTTTTATCTTTATTTTTCTCGTATACTGATGATAAAAATTGACACTTAGGAACTGGATGAAGGAGTCACGACAGGTGTTTACTACGATGTTAGCAGTGGAACACAGGTTTGTTTTCCTTTCTACCACAAAAAAAAATTCGTTAATTAAAAAAATGTTTAAAAAAAATGTAGTGAAAAAAAACCTACTGTAAATAATATCCAAATCCGTTTCCAATAATAAAATCCTTTCTACCGATTCCCGTACGAATATCCCTCCAACCGATTTACCTCACCCCACTCTTCCCCACTTAAAAAAGATTTTATTTAAATTCTATCCTTTTGAAAGTTTGTTTTTTTTCGAATTTGTAATTTTCGGTGTAATTTTTTTTGCGTTGATTTTTTGTTTTTTTTTCAAAATTGGACTCCTTCATTTTAGTTTGTTCGAATCAAATCGATGGGTACCGATTTATTTTTATATGAAAAAAATGTTATTTTGATCGTTTTAGCGCACTACCAAAACCAAACCGTTTTATTAAAAACGCAACAACACGTGTAGTACCCGAGATACAAATTTCTAAAGATTATTTTTTTATGTAAGTACCGATGAAACGAATCCGATGTCTCACGATCATGTACGATTTAATATGTAAATAAACTGCTCCACAAAAGTTAAGGAAGTTCGCAAATTTTGCGATTATTTTAAAAGTTAGACTTTTTAATCACTAAATTTTCAAATATCCGAAATTAAATGTTTTTTCTCATATCTGAGTGGATTTTTTGTCCCTACCTCTACAATTTGTACTAAATTTGGCGATCAAAAAACCTGCAACTTTTAAATTAATCTCAATATTTGTGAACTTCCTTAATTTTTGTGGAGCAGTATATGTATAATTGGCTGCAATGTTATAGACATTTGAATATTATTGGGTATTATTGGGTGAGAAAAGGGGAAGATTTAATGCAAAAAGGGGAGGAAATAATTTTATTTAAAGTTTATTGACGATTAGGAATGTGAATTTATATGTTAAAAGAATTAATCCACGATTTAAAATTTCGAAAATGTTGCTGCTAATTTACCTATGTTTGCACTAAAAAAAACATAAATATTTAAAATATTCCTTTTTAAACGCTTGCACATTAATAATACTAACCCCCCACACCACTTTCGCATATGTATGTATGTAATACACGAAAATTAAACCGAAATTGCAAATTATTTTTTTATTTTCGTATCTCATCGATGTCTAATAAAAATTGCGGTACTCTGGTAGAAAGGATATTAAACTAGTCGATAAATTAAAAAAAAAAGATAAAAAAAACGTGTTCCTTTAATTTCGAATTTGCATTATAATTTTTTATTTATTTTTACATCGAGCGAACGCGCGCAATTTAATTTAATTTATTAATAATATTTTTTCGCGCCCGTTCGCCCGACCCCCTCCCCCCCCCCAAAAAAAAAAAACACTTTAACCATTCATTCCGCAGTCGAAATAATAATTTAATTTAATTTGTTGGCCTCTTCCGATCAGGCTGGCCGTGGGCGTGGGGTGGTGGCACGTGGCCGGGCCGGTGGCCCCCCAGCCCGTGGGGCGGCGGCCAACAGAGCGGGCCGGGGCGGAGCGGCAGGGGCCCGTGGGGCGGCGCGCCAAGCCGCTCGTGGAGTGGGCCGCGCCAAGGCAAGTTTACCAGGTACGTTACAATATTATTTCTATTTCTATTCTCTTCTCTTTGACCGCCCCTCGTATACGGGGATGTTTCGAAACTATGTTAATATTTAAGGGGGCGATTTTTGGAACCATTTTAAGGAGAAAAGTTCATATGAATCTATGTCGTAAACGTCTTAGGTTTTGAGATACGGGGTGTTAAAGTTTTGAGTAAAAAAATCAGTCGTTTTTTTTATTTAAAAGACATTTTTTTATTTCCGCCTTTAACAGTGGACTTATATTTTTGAGGGTAAAAGTAGTACGCCACTGGTTTCTCTTGAAATAAAAATTATTTTTGGAGACCCCCGTTCAATTTGATTTTTTTTTCCTTTAAAGTTTTTTTCTTAAAATTGGTCCAAGAATCACCCCCTTAAATATTAGCCTGTCATTATGGAACACCCTGTATATTCCCTCTAATCGCCATTTAAAAACTACGAATTATTATGAAGTCATTGGTGAAATTTTTAAACTTTTCGGTTTTCTATTAAGGCCATAATTAATTTTTAAAGTTTAAAATACGTCACAAGTCATTAACCAATCACATTAAGAATTGGTGGTAAAGATCGTTTTTTTTTAATTAAGTTTTAAATTTTATTTTTATTAAAAATTTGCAGATTTTTTAAAAATTTTAAAAAATTTTTAACCTACTAACGAAACGATCTACGACAATATTCAATTCTTAAAAATTGAGGTGTGTCTTAAAGCTGGCAAAATGAACGAAAAACAATTTTTTTTTATTGGGATTTTTTGCATTAGCGTCGTATTTTAATGATACTTTGTACTCATTGCATTGATTATTATTTTTTTGTTTGTTTGTTAACGTCCTGTATAATTTTCAGTTATGTTAGCTGTTGCCTAAGTCACGATGTTCGTCAATGTTCCCAACCTTATTTTCATCCTGCTTTAAATATAAAGGCATGAAGTTTGAGAAAATGGTGTTATCGTTCCTAAAAATGCAGTATGTACGTTCACCACACATGCAATTTACTTATCACATTTATCACATACACACATTGATAAAAAAATTACTTAATTACACACATCACTTTTGATCCTATAAATCCGTTTTTATCCTTAAAAAAAAACAACACGAAAATAAATAGTTTTGTTCGATCGAAGGGACAATTTTCGAAATGTGCAATCAAATTTATTTTTGTGTTTTTTTTTTGTCTGTTCCATCCCAGTTACGGCACGTGTAAAAATATTTTTTTGGCAATTATTTTGTTTGGTACAAAGTTTTCATTGAAAATGACCAAATTCAAAATTTCTATTCGCATGTTTTTGTATCTGCATAATTTTTGAAAATTACCGCATATAGGTCGTTTATTTGATGAAATTATTTCGTCAATTAACGCTAATTACTTGTAACCAAGAGGCTGTAAACGGTTTAGGTAAAAGGCCATTTTATTTATTGAAAAACTTGTCGTGTTTTGTTGCATTGTTTTTATTTGCATTTGAAGGGCATTGCTCGAGACATGTTTTGGATTATTCCTTTTGAAAATCCCAGAAATTTTCAGTTTCTTTTATACTCTATTCTGTTCTACTCTGCTCTAATCTACACCACTATGTTCTACTCTAAACTGTTTTGTATTGCACTACTTTCACCACTTCCCTCTTATTTTGTTTTTTCTCTGCTTGACACTACTCCGTTCTCTTCTATTCTATTATGTTCTTTCTCTACTCTGTTCTCAGTTTTTTACTTTGTTCTTACTCTTCTTCAGACTGCTTCCATTCCCTTCTACTTCTTTCTAATCTGTTCTACTCTGCTCAACTCTAAACTGTTTTTATTGCAATACTTTTTCCCCTCTTACATTGCTCCACTCTCTGTTCTACTCTGCTCTAACCTACGCCAATCTGATCTACTCTAAACTTCTCCTACCATCTTACATTCTTTCGATTGCAATTCAAACTACCCGACGAACGAAATCGCCCCCACATACCCCTCTTGGTTACGATTAAAACCCTCCGTTTACACCCTCTTTCCCGCCGCCCCCGATACAACCAATACCAAATCTAACATGTCTGTATTTGATTTTTTTTTCTGTTCCACCCCCATCCAGCAGGTAAGCGAAAGTTCGACGGGGGTCACCAGAACCAGGGGGAGACGAAGCGCCGCTACCAGAGCACCTGGGGCAGCCAGCCCCTGACGCAACAGCCGCTGGCGGGGGCCGACCAGAACGGCGAGCAACACCAACAGCATCAGCAACAGCAACAGCAGCCTTGGTACCAGGACTCGTACGGCTCGTGGAGCTAGATCTATTAGTACTAATCTGTTACTAGTACTAGTACTACTACTACCACCACCGGCGATACTTGTATCTTACACGCATCTTACACGCATGCGCGCGCGCATACTCGGTATATAGTGGCGTGACGTAATCAACCCCCCCTTTCAACCAATCAAATTGATCATCCCGCGCGTTTGTTTGTTTGTTTGTTTGTTTGTTTGTTTCTCGTTTGTATATTGTTCGGATTTGGGAAAAATAATAAAATCACGTGTCCTTGGCTCTCCCCCCCACAACAAGGCGTGTAGGACAGAGCGCGCGAGTGTGGCCCTGCGTTTGGAAACGTGTAGGTGTAGAAAAAATAAAATGCGGAAATTTTGGGTTTAATTTTTTTTTTTTTTGGTCGAATAAACGAGTGATTTGTCTCGATGAGCGGCTGTAGATGGCGCGCGCGGCGACCCCTCTATCGTTTTTTTGTTTTTTAGTGCCTGCCCGACCAACGACCAGCTGAATGTAAATGTATAAATATGGTGTCCCCGAGCTAATTGTTTATTTTCTATTCATTAACTATATAGTAATTACCTTTTCTGCATTCTGGTTATTAATTAATTAATTACATAATTTCTTTTTTTTTGTCTTCTATATGAATAATATTTCGTTCGTAATTTACTCGTAAGTTTTGACTTGTTATGCGGTACATTCAAAATTCGATTTGCTGTACGTTTTTTGTTGTTTTGGATATAATTTAAATTGATTCAATTAAATTGATTACAGTTAAACACAAACGCGTATGTTTTTTTTATTTCTTGAGTACACGATTATTATTATTATGTTGAATTTGTCTCGGAATTGTTGAGTGTTTGATTATTATTATTATTAATTTTTTGATTGTCTATTATGTGCGAAAAAATCGGACGAGTTGTCCGGCATTTTCATTTTATTTCTTTTTTTAATCTTTAGTAATTTTTTGATTATTGTGTAAAATGTATAACGAAAGAAAAGCAACCGGGCGGTTTGTTACCCGCCTCGCGATTTATCGAAATGTTTTTTATTATTGCATATTATTAATATTATTACCATCGTTTTTGAAGCGGTCTAAATAGTCCTGAAAGGTGTCACATCACTGCGTCGAATATTTCACATTTATTTATAAATATGACTTGGAATATTTCTCGATACTGATCTAGCATAAAAAGCATGGGTTTGGCACTGAAAGGAACCTTCTAGGACTTGTCCTAGAAGGTGCGATGCACGCGGGGGAACTAAAACTGCCTATAATTGAGTGTTTTTTCCAATGAAATGCGATTAAAATAACTTTCTGTACATGAAACTTACTGTAGAAGTAGGGTTATGTTGGGTATCGAGCTTGCGAAGCGAGCTGGGGACTTCAACATACACCTAACACTACAGGAAGTTTTTTAAACGTTGCAAATGCACTTAAAACTGACTAAATAAGGGCATTATTCCAATTATACTCGTCAAATAGAATAAATTATCGTTTGTGTAGTAAAAGAAACTGTCTGTAGAAGTAGGGTTATGTTGGGTATCGAGCTTGCGAAGCGAGCTGGGGACTTCGACACAGTCCTAACACTACAGGAAGTTTACTAAACGTTGCAAATATAATTGGAAACTGTCTATGCGATTATAATTGTTGGAATATTGTGGAAAATGGATGAAGATCGGTAAAAATACGAACGTATGGGCGATTCAGTGGAGTTTATTATGAAATAATGAAGCTTCCGGAATGCGATTCCCCCTTGAAGAGCGAGGCGTGTCGCAAGATTATATAAAAATTAGAGAGAAAAAAATAATGAAGTTATATAAAAAAAATGATTGTGTCTATATATGAGTAAATAAATAGAGGGATTGTTCGTTGTGCGGAACGCGTCGCAGAGAACGCTCTGTATTATCCAGATTTTATACGTTGAAAACTGTTTGTTGTTTATTATTATTATTACTATTATTAAATATTATTATTGGCCAATTATTCGATCGAATCGAAACAAAAAAAAAAATGTTTGTTCTGTGCGAACGCGCTCCGTTTGCGGAACGTGTAAAAAAAAGCTTAGGGAATGCGAAAGAGCGGGATCTGTTCCCAATTTTTTTTTATATCAAATGTATAATACGATTATATATTTTATTCTTGATGATGATGCATTTGTTTGCATTGTGATGATTGTATTTTAGCGGTAATTTAAGGAGTTCCGAAGCATATATGTACTATTGTTTCCCGGGTGCACAGTTGATTCGCTGATTGCGCGTGCGCGGAATATATAAATATATAAATACGTATATAGTAGATGGAAATTGTGATGAAACTGTCGTTTATAAGGGTATGATGATGATGATGATTGAAGAGTTCCTATTTTGGTCGATGCACGTACCGGACTCTAATCCGTTGAAATACTCGCTCAATTTTTGCGAAATTTTTTTGAAATTTGCTTCATTCTACCTACAAAAGTCTCATACATCTTTAATAATTTTTACAATAGTGTTTTATTTAGAAAATTCTTCATTTTACACGACTTTTTGATTAACTTTGTAACGCAATTAATTAGCGAGTGTTTTTGAATCGGAAAAGTTCGATTTAAATATAAAAAGCAATAGATTAAAATAGTTTTTTTTTGTATGTTATCAGACCAAAATCGGTTCTAAAACTTGGATTTATTTACGTTGAAATTCCCCGCAGGCTCCGAAGAGGATTACAGCTAAGACGCTCATTAGCAATTCGATTTTTCTTTTAGATTTATTCATCGATTAATCCGTTTACGATATGGTGTTTTTTTTTTTATTTAATCATTTTGTTCCGATTGTTCGCTTTGTTCAGCTTAAATATCCCTCTCCGATTGTGTATTGTACGATTAAGGAAGAGTCTTTTTTTTTATTTTTATTTTGTATCATTTTCGATTTTAGTGTGAAGTAGCTAATCTTTGAATATTTGTACCATAAACGCCTACATAGTAACACGTTTTTTGCAATTTTAATACAAACACTGACGATTGAATAAGCCATATACTACTGTATTAAAGGCCGAAAGGAACCGAGAAAAAACGCTCCCCCTGTATATTGTTAATTAGCTGTAGCAAGCTCTAAAATTTCACTAAATAGATTAGAAAAAAATCGGAAATGTTTGTTTTTTTGGTGGATTGTTTAATTCCGGTTCGTTTCCGGTCGAATTGATCGCGCAATTTCATCTTGTACGCTGTAATTTTTTTTTCTTCTATTGGTAATATGATTATTTTGTGGTCGAAGCCCCTTGCCTGCTTCGGACATTTTATTTGTATCACCTATCGATTATGAGAGGACTGATGATTTATAATGTCTCAATAAACAGTTGTATGTGTATTACAATTTACTAAAAAAAAACCAAGAGTTTGTTTGTTTTTTTTTCTCTTCCTCTTCACCTTCATTGAAACCTTTGATTGAACAACATGTGCTTGGAGCTTTCAACTTTATTGGTTCATTTGGTAGAGAAAAACTTTAAATTTCAAGCTCCCAAATAGTTAAAAAATGGAAGGAAATTCGTTGGAAAATTATATAAAGTGAGAGTCTAAGAAACAAGTACTAGATTATCCTAAATATGCTAGTTATTGGAATTATTCTCACGATTTTTGGTATTGATCAAAAGTTACATTAGTACAAAAATTTGCAATATTGCCGATTCTATGAGTTGAAAAAGAAAAGATGAAATTTAGAGTGAAACAGTTACAATTAAAACTGTCCAGAATGATTTAGAACGCTACTGAACGAATCAGAACTGTCTAGAACACTATAAAATCATTTAGATTGCTTCAGGTTGAATCGGAATGGTTCTAGAACCATTTAGAACTGTCCAGATTGAGTTAGAACGCCACTGAGCAAATCAGAACTGTCTAGAACAATTTAAAACTCTCCAAAATCATTCGGAACTCCCTAGAATCATTCAGATATCTTCAAAATCATTTGGAACTCTCCAGAATTATGTCAACTCTCAACGAGAATTATTTGAATCTATCCAGAGTTATTCAGAGTGATTTAAAATTCTGCAAATAGATTATAATCCTTTCAAAAGTTCGATATTTCTATTTGCTTGCTAGAAAAGCTGAGCCATCGGGATCTGCATTGGAAAAAAACGTTCCTAAAACAGAAAACTTAGTATCCATCGAATCATTTATTATACAAGTACTAGATTCACTTTGTCATCGAAAAATTTCCGCTCAAAATACCATAAAATAAAAAATCCCACCACACATAACCTCAAATTGTCCCTTCAAAAAAAAAATAAACCACCGTTTGACAACTGACAGCCACATCGACGCCAACTCGACTAGAACTCGTCCATTCCGCGAGGGGGCGTCCTTTGGCGGGAAACGCTCCGAGATAGCGCCGGCGCGCGGCGGGAGCGGCGCAGCCGCCGCCCCGGCCCGTCCGCCGGACCGCTCCCATTCTGGCGGCGCGCTTTAGGTCGGCTGCATGTTCGGCAAGAGCTGGTGGCGGCCGCTTAGCGATGTTTCGTGCAGGGGCGGGGCGGACGCCGAACCGACGACTCCGGCTCTCCTGACGCCAACCGAGGCCGTGTACATGTAGTGATGTGTGCACCCCGTTTAGTGACTAGATCAAAACGGTTCACGCGCTAGTTCGACAAACTGGTGTACGCGGGTTTAAGATGGCTGCCGCTCCTTGGGAGGATTTCGCTCTGGTTCCCCTTCAAGGGTACGTTTTATACATTCTTACACCCTTGTATCTACACCCCTTATACACGCACCCATCAAACACCAGCGCTCGTATCCGCCCGATCTAACGCCTCTTTACTCAATTACTTTAACCAATTCATACACATCCAGCATAATTCCTACTTGCATCAAGTAACTATCACTATTCGCTTGGCGAGAAAGTTTGGATGTTGCATCGCGGAAGGCGTTGATGACTTGGAACTCTATCTAGAGTGCGTTTTGATGGGGAAAATAATAAGGGAGTCAAAGGGGCGTGGTAACTTATAACCTTTTCTGTGGTGTTTGTCGGAACAGGGGGTGAATTTCGTTGGGTTTGTTGCACTGCGTCAAATAATATGTATTTATCCTATCGACTGCGCCAATTTTTCAAAAATTTAATTTTTTCCATAAATATCTACTCTTACATCAGAAGTGTATTCATGTCCTGATACAACATATAATTTTTTCGATTGTATCTAGTAAATATACAGTGTGTTGTAATTTAATTAGGTTAATTTAATTGGGGCAATTGTATAATGAATGGTTTGCTTTCCAGGTGAAATCGAAGGTTGTGGTCTGTCCTTTATCTCCCGAACTTGTTTCAGACACTGACGATATGGTAAGTAATGCTAAATATAATAATCAAATTAATTATTGTCAATAAACTCGATTACGTTGAGGAGAATTAATATTGTCATCTATTATATATCACTTTTGTCATCTGTCATGTATCATTTGTCATCTGTCAAACATTATTTTGTCGACTGTCGAATTGTTACTAACATCGATTACATTTTATTCAAAACGGGACAAATTACAAATTGTTCAAAATCTTATAAAATTACGCAAAATTAGTAGTAGGAGTAATTACTCCTTTCTTACACAATTTTTTGTTGGTATACTAACGTTATTACTTATTGTCATCCATCATGTATCATTTTGACATCTGTCAAACGGTATTTTTCGTAAACAAACCATCATCCGTCATATGTCAAATATCAAATTGTTAATAGCATTGCAATTTAGTCTGATAAGGAAATGAATCTCATTAAAAACTGAGAAACTAAACCAAAATTAAATATGTAAATAAAATAAAAAGTAATCTTATACCGTATTTTATAGACAACGAAACGATTCAAAATATCATAGAATTTGTAGATATGAAAAACAGTGAATTAATTAGTCTATTTTTTTGGCAAGTTTGGACGCTTCGGGGCGTCGGGACGCCGTCGATTTTCCACGAAATATGACGGACGAGGTTCCGTTTTTTTGTTCTTTTTATTTTTTAATAAATCTTAAAAAGTTTCCTTTCGGCGGGATTTAGATTGATCGAAGGTGTGCTAGGGAAGGCGCCGAAAGGATTTAATAGGGATCAGAAGTGATGAGGAAGGTTTTTTTTTCTTTTAGGGGAATGAAAGAGGTGATCGCTTAGTAATGGAAAAATGATGGAGGAATTGGTTTAATTCACCATATGTACTGTTGAACCAATTAATCTACCAAATTTGAGCCAATTTATTGAACAAATTATAACATCAATTTTAATTAGAAAACAGTTTATTGAATCAATTCTACTATTAAATTCGAACAAAGCCCCAGTTCTTGTATTAATTTTGATCACAAAACAGTTTACCAAACCTATTAATCATCTCACATTATTTAATCGCAACAAAATTATTCATTTATTAATTTATTGCACCAATTATTCCATATGAAATTTGCATACAAAACAGTTCATTGAATAACCAATTCTTTTATCAAATCTGAACGTGAACCTTTTATTAAATCAATTCTACTAACAAAGTTGAACAAAATACCAGTTCTTATACTAATTTTGAACACAAACCAGTTTATTGAACCAATTCTTCTATCAAATCTGAACGCGAACCGTTTATTGTACTATTTCATGGAACCAAATTTAATCACAGCAATTTATTGTAAGTACCACAAATTTGACCCAAATTTATTGAACTTCAACACCTCCGCTGGTAACAATCCAATTTTAACCGGCAGTTAAGGTAACTGGAAAAACCGTTAGAATATAACTCGACATTTACGGTAAACGTACCGCCGGGAGATCGGAAAATCCGCCGCCCCCGCCTCCCCCGCCCCCGCCCCCGTTTCGATCCCCGACCGAACGAAGGGAAATTTCCCGATAGCGAACGCTCCGGCTAGATGATTGTTTGATTGCGCTAACTCGCGAACAAACGTCGCTACGGGGACGGTTACATTTTCAATCGTTAACAGCTGCTTTATCACAATGGAAAGGGTAGTTGTTAACAGCTTCTTAATGTTGCTTAATACAAATACGAAGCTGTTAATTAACGACATTGGTAGTTGAGTTATAAATTGCGGTTAATAACAGCTTCATATAGCAAGTAAAAGAAAAAAACGAAGCTGTGAAATGTAGAAATTAGCAATAAACAGCTTTATTATTAACAGCTTCTTAATGTTGTTAAAAACTACGAAACTGTTAACTATATAATAAGAGAGTTTAGGAACATTTATGTTTCGTAAGAGCATGTAACATCAGGATAACATTACAAAGCGCTCGTCATTAGTCAACAGCAGTAAATGGCAGTAAAACAGCTTCGAGCCGGGACAGGATGAACCGGCCATTTTAGGTGGATAATTTCCGCATAATGATTTTTTTTCGTGATTAATAACGCCATTACGACGGTAACTCGAGTAGAATGATGAAGGGGGATCCGGTTTATCCTCGTTCGTATTTTTTTTTTGTTATTCGTACGAGATTGCTCGTTAATTAATTGGAATTCCGATTGGATGTTGTTGTAGCTGTTAAATTGAGTTAATTGGTCGATTAGATTATTGTTTCCTCGACGAAACTACTCGTTGGTAATACTAATTATCTAAGTAATTACCGTATTTTTTTACGAAGTAAAATAACTAATAACTAATTGAGTAATTAAGCGAAGTAATTGATTTTTTGTTGGTTTTCAGGACACAGTATGGCCCCAGATAACCGGTACACCTCAGGTAGAAGACTTATACTATCGATCTTATATCTACAAGTTATTTGTCTTCAATTTACCAACGGTAAGTCGATTATATTAATCGTATCGCTTTTTGTTATGTATTAGGGTAATTACTTTTTTCATCGAGCGCTAAAAACCCTTCGGTTTCCACCGACTTTTCGGGTAATTATTATCGGAGTTTCCTCCGGAATTTATAGCCAATCGTCACGCCATAACAAGCCCTAAACGAAAGTGTTTTCTTTTTTCCTCTACATAGGTATAGAAATTTATTTTTCTCCTCCTCCTCCTCTTATCTCGTATAACCCAGTAATTGCGTCAGATTATAGTTTTTTTCTTCTCGCACCCGACATTATTTGGGCCGTTATTTACGAAGCATTTTTATTTTTAGGCACTTGGGTTGTTCGTTATCCTGGTGAGTAAAAGTCACAGAATTTCAAAAAATAAATGAAAAGTATATAAAATACCCGCAATAACAACCTCAAAAGCGATTGAACATTCGTTATATTTTTTTTAATTAGTTATAGACGATTACCTTGCTAATTGACGTGCCCAATCGGGGTTAATTACCAATTACTTTACGCGTTCTACTTAGGTTCCACAACGCCTCATTTACTCGAGTAATTAGGCCGACTAACGGGTTATTACCTAGCTAATTAACGGCCTAATTACTCGCCCAAACAACTGTAATTACTTTTGAGTAAATAGAGAGTTAATCGGGGTCAGGGGGCGTGAGAAAAGCGGTCCAGGCGATCCGGCAACGCCGCTGGAAGGGAATATTGATTCACAGTCGGCCCTTTTGCTCATCGCAAAATACACGGAATCTAAAACCGAAGTTACGAGGAGTTTCTATCGGTGCGTCGACGTGCCGAAAATAGTTTCAGGGACATTTTTCGGGCGTCCCTTTTCACGGTTTTTTTCACAGGACCGGCTTCGTGTATTTTTTTTACAAAATTTAGAGACATTTTTAGGGCGACCCTTTTCGCATTTTATCGCAGAGCCGTCTTTGATTGTTTTTATTGAAATTATGACTGGTCACTTGGTAATTAGCGAAGCAATTACCGTTAGTAACATAATTACTTACCTGATTTAAATATATGAAGCAATTTAGAAGTGTGCTTAATTAAAGCACTAAATGTTTGTATGCAGTAGTTTGTAACAAAGTGAAACTAAGTAATTAGTTAGGTAATTAAAGTAGAAAGCTCTCATGGTAGTTAGCAATATAATTACATAATAATTAACAAAATAACGACCAACTATAATGAATCTATTATTAGGAAAATATTATTTATGACCTAAATATCTGTATGATGCAGATTATGTCACTATGTAAGTAATTGACACAGTAAATTCGGCAGGTAATTAACGTTGCATTTGTTATCGTAAATAACAAAGTTATCATCATAGTTATTAGCAAAGTAATTGCAAACTTTTATGAAGCTGGCATTAGAAAAGTATAGCAGTAGGTATTTAAGTCCTGATTATTTGTACGATGCATTTTTTATAGTGAAATGAAGCGAGTAATTAGCGAGGTAATTGCCAAAGTAATCATCAGGGTAATTATCGAAGCAATTAGTTGAGTAATTAGCAAAATAATTGCCGAATTTTATCAATCGCGTATTATAATTTATGACCTAAATACGTGCACGACGCCGTTTACGAATTAAACCGAGTAATTACCCAATTAACCGGTAATAAATCCGGTAACCACAACACCGGTAATTACGGTAATCAACGCGGTAATTACGACATCAATCAGCAACACAACCACCGAAGTAACGCTTCGAAAAATTCCCCCTTCGAATCGACCACATTCGATCGGAAGCGGCAACGCCGCCGAAGGGCCGCCGTTTTACGAGCGCACGCGGCCGCCCCCCCGCGTCCCCCGCCCCCGCCAGAAGCGGCCCGTTCGTCGCCCTTTCCGCACGCAAACACACCCGACGGCCGCCAAATGGTGATCGCCATAGCCATTTGCTGCATACTCGTCCTGCTGGCGGTCTTCATCGTCATCATCATCGCCGTGGGCCAGACCATCGCGCCCCGGGGACAATGAGATCATCGCCTTCTTCGCGGCGGGTGGATTTATGAGAGTGGCCTCCGTCGGGCGAGCTGGCCGGCCAAGCGCCTCTCGACCATGTGACTGATTCGGTTTGGCCGTTTGGTGACCGATGGGTTTTTGGTGTGTACAAGTACCTAGTGGGTGTTTCGTTGTTAGCCGAATGATGGGTGGATTTTTTTTTGTTGGTAGTACTGTTTTTTGTATTTAGAAGTGTTGGTTAATTCATAGGGAAACGACAGGGAGTAATGTTATAGTCGAGTGATGTTTAGCTTCGATGATGCCGGTTCGAATCGATTTTTCGTTGGGGGGTTCCCCGATGAATGTGTCTGGATTGTTTTAACGTAAAAGGCCGGGTTCTGAATAAAAATCAGACCAATTTGTGATGGAATTATTGCTAAATATTCTCCAATCTGTAAATCCCCCCCCAACGAAAAACTGGTGTCTGAATAATTTTAACGTAAAAGGCACGTACTGGATTTTTTATATGAAATATATCGAATCGGGCGTTATCGGAGATACATTTATACAATTATATTCTGTTAAAATCAAGAGCAATATTTAATGTTGTACAGTATTAAAACTCGATTGATTTTTCGATGTTGCAATTGTAATAGATTGATATAAAATTTGTTATATTGTTTTTTATAACGTATACAATTCAATAAAAGGATTTGTAAAATGTGTAATTTATTGGTAAAATGTTCATTTTATTCCATTTTATTTAAATGTCTGTAATACTTTATAGACTCTCAAATCGTAATGAGTGTTGTAAAATTTGAAATTACCCTCATTGAAGATTTTTGGTATTAATTTATAATTTACATTATAAACTCAAATCAAGTGCTATAAAATTGAAAACTACTCCATTTATAGATCTTTACATTAGTTTATTAATTAAAGTAATATTTTTTATAAACTCTTTTATATAGACTCTTATAATTTAGCGTTTAATTTGAGCGTTTAATTACTCTTCCTTCCTAGATTTTAAAGAGTCCCAGATTTTTCAGTCTCGCTAGATTTTCCTTCGTTAAATCAAACATAATTTTTCCGCTCGACGGAAAACCCCCTCGTTAATTTTTCCCCTTTCTGTTTGTCTATCGAATTAGACTCGATTCGTTCCAGGTAAAGTTCGCGATTTCTTTTCCTCGGCTCGATCGGGAATTTTCCGGCGCTTTTCGCGGTAATTATAATTAATACTAACTAAAGATTAGTTGTAATGTCTTTGAGTATCAACCTGGAAAATTGTCGATTATAAAATTTCTGTCATCTGTCATTCTGCCATCTGTCATCCAATATCTCGTGTTTAAGTACATTGTTTTCCAAATGAAACACCCTCTTAAAAATCCTCATAAAATCCACCATTCGATATGTAAAACACCGTTCTAAATATAGCAGGAATCGCGTGCAAGGATAATCCGATTGAGTCGTTTGATATTCACAAAACCGAGACGTTTGAACTAATTCGAGTCGGCACGATGGCCCGACTCGTCTTGTTTATTAATGAAAATCGGGCGCGAGCGCCGGGAAAAATAAATTTCCCGGAGCGGTGGAGGAAAGTAAATCATCTCGACTCGACCGAATGATGGCGGATCGCCCGGTTCCGGTGAAAATATTCCGCTGTGTGGTGGGAAATGCGGAATTTCCGCGTCGCCTAAACGCGGCCAGGTCGAGCGAGAAAACTCTGTAAATTTCCGCCGGAAAATCGGGAAATTTTTCGGCTACTTCCAAGCCAACGCAGGAGGAAATGCATATACAAATCATAGATTTAGTATGATTCTAATTGAAAAAAACTTAACATTTTTACTTAAATTAGAGTAAAAAGTATTATTAAGTATAAAAATCTACTCACAAACTTATAAATGGGTGTTTATTGCATCAATCTAGTGGTAACACTCGAATTTTGAGGTTAGGGAATCTTGTAAACCAATGAAATCGATTAATTTCAAGGTCGAAAGTCGTGGTTAAAAAGTCGACCAATCGAATCGCTCGATTTCGTTTAAACGCACCAATCAAGTTAGCTGTTGAGTTGAAGTTTAAACGAATTTCTAACCTACAAATATCAGAATTTATCAGGCTCAGATTAAAAATATCGACCTTTCGAAACACACTCACCGCTTCGAACTCGTCCCTTTTCCTCGACAGAACAAAGCCCTACCGTCCTCGAAAATTTCCAATTTAACAAAAGCCCTCCGAACGCGCCCTCGCCCGCCTCACACACCCTCTCTCGCCGCCCCCCACGAATTTCAAATTGGACAACTTCTACCGGAAAATCCATCAAACCCCACGGCAAACATCGAATCGAGTCGGCTGGCTGAAAAACTTCCGCGTCAGAGAAAGAGAGAGAGAGAGAAAGCCGAAAGGCAAACACCGATACTTGACATTTTGACACACAAGGGTGTTCGATACGTTTGACACTTGACAGTTAGCCCGTTTGGCATCGAACACATTCTATACATTTGATATATTTGACACTGGAGAGTTGTTATTCCACACATTTGATACATTAGTAGACACTATGTACAGTTGGCATGTGACAATGAACGCAGTTGATATATTTGATATATTTGACAGATGTGACAGATTCAACATATTGACAGATTTGACAGATTTGACAGATTTGACAGATTTGACAGATTTGACAGATTTGACAGATGTGACAAATTTGACAGATTTGGCATATTTGACAGATTTGTTGTTGTTTCAGAGTGCGATCAGACGTTCGTGAGTCGACCGGGCGGTCCGATGAACGGGACGTTTCGTTCGCCGGAATTCGAAAATCCGCGCGGCCATTCGAGGAACTGCGTTTACATCTTCCTCGCCGGACCGGGCCAAAGGGTCCAGGTGACCTTCGTCAATTTCAATCTGAGAGGTCGCCCGCCCGAGTAAGTACTCTATCGTTTATAGTACTAACGAAATTATAGGATCCGTACGCAAGCTTATTTCGAAGAGGCTCTATAGGCGAGGATCTGTCCGCCATTTTGAACAGGTCACAGGTGATTTGTGTTACAGATGTGACAAGTGACTGGTGTGAGTGATGTAAGAGAGGTGAGAGAGAGGTGAGAGAGAGGTGAGAGAGAGGTGAGAGAGAGGTGAGAGAGAGGTGAGAGAGAGGTGAGAGAGAGGTGAGAGAGAGGTGAGAGAGAGGTGAGAGAGAGGTGAGAGAGAGGTGAGAGAGAGGTGAGAGAGAGGTGAGAGAGAGGTGAGAGAGAGGTGAGAGAGAGGTGAGAGAGAGGTGAGAGAGAGGTGAGAGAGGTGAAAGATTTTGCAGGGGGCTTGTGTGACAGTTGTGACTTGTTTGACAGATCATGTAGGTGACTTTTGACAGTTAAGAATGGCCAAAATGGCGGGTGTATACGCGTATAGAGCTTACTTTTACATGTGACGTATTTTTTATTATGATTTTTAACCGTATATTTATTTATGAATTGAACGAAAACGATCAATTTAATGGCTATAAGGAATTGGAAAATCTTACTTTCTAAGATACATCTAATAGGCCTTGCCTTTGCTGACAATCGACAGTTCTTTCGAACTGTTTCGAACTGTCGTATGTCACTTGTCAATACAAATTTCGCAAGGAGTTGTTCCGTTTTCGTCACTTTTTATTATTATTTTAATCAAATGGAATTATATAAAATTTAATTTGTTTTATTGATGTGATTCATACAATTTGGTATTCGATGGATGATGATCGTACTACATTGCAATTTACAATCACAAAACACAATAATAAATAACAAATGTGATAAATATGGGGGTGGATTTATTGCCGTAATTCGTGTGTTTCATTTTTATTTGGTAAATTTCGACATGTTTTAATTCTGTAATATCAATATTAATATTATTTATTATCGGATTTTACCAAATTGTATGATGTTCCAATCAGTTTTAATTCCGTTATTTTTTTTTCGATTTATCAATAACATGAAAAAAATAAAGATGTCGGAATTTTAGTGAACAAATAGCGGGCTGTACTGTAAATGGTTACCCAAAAGCTTCTTGTAAAACATGTAGATTGTATTATTATTATTTTGTTATTTTTTTTATTTTCGTTTATTTGGAATTTGATTTGCGCCATATTAATCCAGGAACGCCATTTTGAGCCGAAATCAATAAACAAATTAATAATTTAATTCAATAATACCAATTCTCTCGCCCTGGAATAATATCGAGCATTATTGTATTTTGTGATTGCAAGATAGAAAGTATCGAATTGTTCTATGTTCAATAACAAACTTATCATGTACAGTATAAATAGATTATCGATATTCATTCGCAAAGAACCCACAATTGTCTAAGTATTTTAACTGTCAATCAGTCGGACTGTCAGTTGTCGGCCATTAATCACAGAACGTTGAAATTTGAAAGTTGAACTGTCAACGATAATGTTTTCGATCGTTTCGTGTACGAAAAAAGTATAAAAAGTAGTCAAAATTTGCAAAAATTGTTCGAAATATGCAAAAAAAGCATATTTACAAACTAAATTACAAAACATTCAGTGTGTTCTTTGCGTTAGTTACGGTTCTCACCACGAGAGCGTAACTTTGAATAATTTTATTATTTTTTTTTATTTTTAGTTATATTTTTTTATTGAATTTATAAGATATTGCACGTGCGTTTGCCGATGGCATGGCACGTGCCGGTGTGTTGACATGACTTGACGTGTTTAATCTTGTGTTGCTGTCTGCACAGTGGAGCCGCTGTCGGAGATCTCCCTGCGTGAGTACTTCATTCAACAAACAAACAAAAAAATTAAAAAAAAAAAATTAAAAATTAAAAAAAAATTATATTATTACATAATAATATCTGTTCATTCGTTTTCTTCTTTCTCGTTTCTGTTTTACGCTCTGTCGATCTCTGTTTTACTATGTTTCTGTGCATTTCCGTTCTTGTTATACATTTATCTGCATATATACAGGGTGGCACGTTATAGTATAGAAAAACTCAATATATATAAAAATATACATATCTCTTTAAGCTGCATATTTTAAAATTGGTTATATTTATACAGGTATATTGAGCTTCTCTATACGAAACTAACCACCCTGTATATAACGAACCTAGCATTCAACAAAAATCTTTTTTTGTTATTAATTCAATAATTTTGAACGATTTCGGTGCCGATTTCTAAGGAGCCCTCTAATCGTTCAATAGTTTGTTCGCTTATACAGTGTGCTCCGTATTTCTTGACGCACATTTAGAAGAAAAAAAATCAATTCGAGCCACCCTGTATACGAGCAACGATCGATCCATTCATCCATTTCCTCTTCTCTCTGTCTGTTTCTCTTATGTTGGGAGTCTTCTCATTCGCCTTATAATTTCCATCACATCGAATTTTCGCATGCGAAAATTTCGGGAAAATTTTCGAAACTAATACCGAGAATAAAAAAATATTTTTTTTTTTCGAAAATTTTCTCCGAACCGCTTCTGAATAAGTTCCGCATGCTGCACGAACATTCGCATGGAAAAACGCTCGATGCTAACGAATTAATTGAAGCAATTAATTCCGGATTAATGGGATTTTTTTTAATTAACAGACCGATCGATAGTCAATCAAACGACCGATTATTTCGCGGCCTACTATTTCAATTAAAGTCGAATCGAATGGCGCGATTACTGGCGGAAATAATCGATTCTCGTGTCATTCGAGAAAAAATCGTATAGAATTCAGAAGAATAGGCTTTAGGCTAACGGTAGGCGTTAATTTTGTTGCAATAAACCTATTTTTATAACCACAACGAATTTTTTAAAGCTGACATTATTCAGTGGTTTCGTAGTTATTGATCGTAGTATCTTCTACCATAAATTATAGATTTAGTATGATTCTAATTGAAAAAAACCCAACATTTTTAGTTAAATAAGAGTAAAAAGTATGATTAAAGTATAAAAACCTACTCACAAACTCACAAATGGGTTTTAATTGTATCAATCTAGTGGTAACAATACACTTTTGAGGTTAGGAAATCTTGTAAACCAATGAAATCGAATAATCTCAAGGTCACAAGGCGTGGTTAAGAATTCGACCAATCAAACCGTTCGATTAGATTTAAACACACCAATCAAATTCGAGTTTTTTACCGAATCTACCGGAAATTAAACAATAACGTTAAAATAGTGAATTTTTACATCGAAATCAAAACCATTTAGTTAAATACGAAGTTGTCGGAGTCGAAATTTAATACTATCAAACCCACGTAAACTCATTTCGAACCGAAAGTTAGTAATTTTCCTCGTACACACATTAGCAGAAACTAGACGTATATGGGAAATTCTCCTATTTGCATACGGAACTCAAAGAGCATCGTAACAAATACGCCGCATTAGGAGTTTGGAAATTAAACAGAAAACTACATTAATTCAACTTTACAAACGAACATAAATCACGATGGCGCCGTTTGTTCAATTAGCTTTATGTTCGGAAGTTTTTCTTTATATGTTCATTTGCGCGAACAGGATTATTCTAGGTTAAAGCGTCGACAATTGACAATTAAGACAATTGACATAATGAGTTAAATGACGTGTATGACGTATGATGACATATGACGTATTACAACATTTTTCGTGTTGATATAACACAACATACACATAACTGCAAATATGGGTGCAACAAAGATAATTTATTCTCATATAAAGGAAAAGGAAAGAGTGATACTGTGGTTTTGCTACTTTCTCACTTTAACCACTATGTTATTTTGTTCAACTCATAGAATATTGCAAACATATTTGCACTTTTACATACATCAAACGATGGAAAATGGACAACAGCACGAAAACAGCACGTAATGCGCATGAGTAATTAATCGCAAGCACGTCAAAAAAAGCTTCCATTGCATTTTTCCGTTTCGACAATATTTTACTCGACCCACATACCCCTCTATGATCGAATATTTTTACCGAAAACCCCATTGAATCGATAAAAATATCCGTATAAGCAACAAAAAAAAAATCGATCTGATAATCGATTGTCGTCCTCTCTGTGCTGCTGCTGCTGCTCCCATCTAGCTGCGTGCACGAGTACATGGACGTGTACGCCGAGGTCCAGCAGCCCAATCCAGCCGAGCTGGTGAACACGCCCTTCGGAGGCCGCTACTGCGGTCCCATACCGCCCCGCCGGCGGGTCTCCCTCTACCGGGCCATGGCCCTCTCCTATCACACCGACAAGAACGTCTCCACCGACGATCTCTTCGTCGGCAAGTACGAATTCATCAACGACAGTAAGTGCAAATGTTCAAAGTTCATCAATCTTCGTACTAGATCCCCTCTGTGATAAGTAGAGAATCTGGGGATCAATCTTCGAAGTAGTTCGAGATAAGTAGAGAATCTGGGGATATTGTCGGTTACGTGGCAACGGCGCACGACGGCTAGGTGCGTTGCTATTGGACGAGCGGTCGATGCGTCGTTGCCGCACTGTCGAGCATTTCCCCGGACTCGGGTAGTTTATGGGAGCGTTCGAATGGTGTAGTAGAAAGAAGTTCAAAAGTTCAATCGTCCATTCGAGTAGTTAGAGACAAATAGAAGATTTGGGGAAATCGTCGGCGACGTGGCAACGGCGCATCAGACCTGTGAGCGTCGCTATTGGCACGAAAGTCGATGCGCCGTTGCCGCGCCGTCGAAGATTTCGCCGGATTCGGGTAATTCTATTTTTGTTGGGGAATTTATCGAATGGCGTTGCAGCGGAGTACGAGATAGGAACGCCGCAGGCGGGCGGGCCGTGCAATTTCCTGGTGAAAGGGGCGGTGAAGCACACGGGGTCGATACTGTCGCCGACGTATCCGGGCGCCTACCCCAAGGCGTTGCACTGCACCTATCAGTTCCTCGGCGCGCCCGGCGAACGGATCAGATTGGAGTTCAGGGATTTCGATTTGTTCTTCGGCGGGCCTCAGTAAGTCTTCTTCTGCTTCATCATCGTCTTCATCGATTTCTCTATCGATGATTTTTGATTTCTGTACAGTTGTCCTTTCGATTTCGTGAAAGTGTACGACGGTCCCGACAATAGTTCGGCTGTGATCGGAACCTACTGCGGCCAACAACGTAATTTAGTCATTTATTCGTCGGAGTCTTCGCTGCTCGTCGCATTCGTCACCCTCCCACGCACTGCCAATACTCAGAATCGAGGTTTCAAAGGGATTTTCGAATTTTCCAATTCCTTCACGAAATTAGGTGAGTACGACCATCATTCCTACGAATAACATCATCTACCATCTTCCACCCATCATCTAACAACTCCAACATCTTCTAATACCATCTGAGATCTCTCTACCATCTTCAACTCTCCTCTAACAACATCTTTCTCCATCTTCACGCACCAATCATCCACTTCTACCAACATCTCCTTCACATTTCATCGATTAAACCATCATCAACATATCATACGATCGATTGACGATGTCCCAATTCGATCCCCCCTTTAGATTTTATAAGTAAAAACGACGGGGAGCACATCAGAGGCACCGAGTGCGACCAAAAGATCCTCAGCAAAAAGGAATCCACCGGCCTGGTGTTCAGCCCGAACTACCCGTTCCTCTACATGCCCAAGCTGGTCTGCAGGTACTTCATCTACGGCCTGCAGGACGCCCAGCACCTGGAGCGCGTCCGCTTGGAGTTCATGATGTTCGAGGTGCCCAAAGGGCCCAAAGGAGAGTAAGTACGACGTAGGAATTGTACCAGCTGGTGTGTAATTGGTGATTGTTTGTTTGGTTAGTTGCTCGGATGGTTATCTGAAGATATACCTGAAAGGGCAGGAAACGACCGATTCGTACGATAAATTCGATTACGAAATGTGCGGGGACGACGGCAAACCGACGGTAGTCGTTTCCGATGGTCCCAGATTGGTGATGGTCTTCAGCAGTGGTGAATTAATGGGTCGCGGTTTCAAGGCCAACTACACTTTTGAGACTGGTGAGTTTTGAACTAAACAAACATTCGAAGGTCTTGTCGTTGTTCTTCTACTAATACAAAATTCCTCTGCTCTTCTGCCGCTTCATGGAGTCCATTTTTGTTTTGTTTCGTTTCGCAGAATATAAAATACCCGGTACGGCCGCCCCAGATGGTTCCTGCTCGTTCACCTATTTGAGCACCAGCAAGAAGAGAGGGGAGTTCAATTCGCCCCGCTATCCCTCTAACTATCCCAGCGACACGAATTGCACCTATCTCTTCCTAGCCACCAATAACGAACAGGTCTCTTTGGTCTTCGACAATTTCAAAATTCGCGCCGACACCGTCAACGCCACCATTGGTTCCTATGGGTGAGTACCACCCGTTAGCATTCCTTCAGCACCAATCGAAGTATCGATTTCGCAGAACCACCATTTGCCAGGAAGATTGGGTGGAAATCTTCAACGTGTACCGCAACGGCGTCGAGACGAAGATCGGCCGGTACTGTCACATGTCGGCGCCGGGCCCCATCGAATCCCCCTTGGGCTCGGCCGGCCTGAAGCTGGTCCTGCACTCCGACTCGGAGGGCGTCTACAGCGGCTTCAGGGCGCGCTACAGCTTCGAAACGGCCAAATCGATATTCGGCGATTGCGGCGGCAACGTCAGCAGCCTCGATTCGGGCGAGATCAACACGCCCAACTTCCCCAAGGACTACGAGGCGCCGCCCAAGGACCAGGCGTCGAAGAGCTGCAATTGGTTCGTCAACGTGCGGCCCGCCTACAAGGTGCTGCTGGTCTTCGAGAAGTTCGCCATCGAAGGCGATCCGTTGAACAGGGGCTGTCCGGCGGCGGTGCTGCGCCTCTGGAACGACGTCAATTCGACGCCGGTCGAATTGTGCGGCGAGAAGGCGGCCGACGACAGGTCCTGGCAGTACGTTTCGACCACCAGCAGCATGAGATTCAGGTACTTGAACTAAACTCGTTATCTACTCCGACATCTCTGACGTTTTTAAACCTACCTAGTCTATAACTATAACGTTCTGTTATTCGAAGATTCGTAGCTTAGGTACTACCAGATGGTACCATCTACTTTGAATTAAGCTTCTATAGTACTCCATTTTACTCTAATCCCTGTTACAATTAAGCTTCTGTCGTTCAAAGCTTAGAATTAAACTCGTTACCTACTCCCACATCTCTGATCTTTTAAACCTACTTAGTCTGTAAATATCGTTTTGTTGTTTGAAGCTGCGTAGCTTAGGTACTACCAGATGGTACCATCTACTCTGAATTAAGCTTCTACAGGGCTCCATTTTACTCTAATCCCTGTTACAATTAAACTTCTGTCGTTCAAACCTTCGTAGCTGCTCAGGTACTACCAAATGGTACCACCCACTCATTCCTAAAGTATAATTATAAGTTTCCAGCGTTTCATTTTCCTCTAATTCCGATTGCAACAAACTAAGCTTCTACTCGTTCCTATGCTTCGAAGCTTTTAACGACGAGCTACAAAATCGCAAGCTTCGCGATTGACAGTTTTTTTTTTGTGATTTGACAGCTTCATAACGGCCGACAAGGCGGTGGGTGCGCAGGGTTTCAGGGCCTACTGGACGGAGGTGCTCGACGGGCCCAGCTGCGACGAGTTCCAGTGCACCAGGTCGGGTTTCTGCATACCGGAGAAGCTGCGCTGCAACCGGATCAACAATTGCGGCTCCGACGACGATTCCGACGAGGAGAACTGTGAGTGACCTACAAAAAAATTGTTGTATCCTGGTACTTTGTTCGTTTTAATGTTGGTAATAGTGTTTATAAGCTGTTTTTAATGGTTTATTGACAGTTTTTTAACGGTTTACAAACAGGTTTTTATGGATTCTTAACAGTTTTTTAAGAGTTTCTTAACTTAAGATTCTTAACAGTTTTTTAAATTAATATTCTTAACAGTTTTTTAACAGTTTAACAGTTTTTAACAGGTTTTTAACGTTTACTTAACAGTTTAACAGTTTTTAACAGGTTTTTAACGTTTACTTAACAGTTTAAAAGTTTTTAACAGTTTTTTTAACATATTCTTAACAGTTTAAAACATTTTTTACCAGTTTTTAACAGTTTCTTAACAGTTAAACAGTTTTTTTTAATAGTTTTTAACAGTTTAACAGTTTTTTAAACAGTTTTTACCAGTTTCTTAACAGTTTCTTAACAGTTAAACAGTTTTTTTAATAGTTTTTAACAGTTTAACAGTTTTTTAAACAGTTTTTACCAGTTTCTTAACAGTTTTTAACAATTTTTTAACAGTTTTTAACAATTTTTTTTAAGTTTCTTAACAGTTTTTTCAACAGTTTCTTAACAAAACTAATTTATCGCAGGCGCCGCCGACGAGGTGCCGCAGGAATCGTTCCGGCTGTCGTACGCCTGCATCGCGGGCGTCGCGGTGCTGTGCGCCGTCCTCCTGTGCGTCGTCTGCCACCGGAAGCGGAGGAGGCGCGGTCGTCGCGCCGCCGCCGCCGCCGCCGCCGCCCTCCGTCGGCCTGTCTACGTGCCGCCGGTGCCGGGCACGTCGCGCCAGCCGCCCATCCACTTCTGCGAGGAGCTCGGGGAGCGGTTCGCCTCCGTCGATAGCGTCTGATGACGGTCGATGGCGCCGCGTTCGAAACGTCGGCGGGACGACGGGGACGGGGGACGGGAACGGTGAGGGGCGGGAGGAGCGCGAGTTCTTGCAATCGGCGGGGGTTTTGCTGCTTTTTTGATTTTTGAATTTGCCGCCGAATGTCCGGGCTGTGAGTTGATTTTAGTCAAAATTTTTAACGGTTTTTAACCGGTTTTAACAGGTTTTTTTTAACTGTTTTTAAAGGTTATTCAATGGAGTTGACTAGTTGGTATATGTGGATTAGAGTTGTAACCGTATCGTCGGCTAGAGTTGATGGGTTATTAAGGTTTTAAACGGTTTTTAATTGGTTGATTTAACGGTTTTTAAATGTTATTATCAATGAAGTTGATTACTAGTTAATGTGTGTTAAAATTTTAACCGTTTCATTAGCTAAGTAGTTAACATGGTATCAATTTTAACGACTTTTAACTGGTTTTTAACCTGTTTTTTTAAGGTTAGTCGATGAAGTTGGTTAATGTTAATGTTGATATGAGTTTTACTCATCTCATTAGGTTGACGGGTTATCAATTTTAACAGTTTTTTAACCAGTTTTATAACGGTTAATCAACAAAGTTTACTAGTTGATTAATGTGGGTTAAAATTTTAACTGTTTGTAAACATTTGTCAACCGGTTTTTAACCAGTTTTTTGACAGTTACCTGCTCAACTAAATGCACTCATTAGATAGAGTTCTAGCGCGGATTTGTAGTCAAGTAGGCGCGCTCACAGCACGAATTTTTGGCGGGAAATTTCCGGCAGTCTGTTCGATGAAAATCGAATTAAACGTAACGATTTTTTTTTATTAATTCGTACTAAACGGAGCCCGTCGAAAAGCGTTCGCTCAAAAAAAAACCTCCAACAGGCCAATCTCTATTTACCTTTTCGTTTTATCCAAGTGGAAAGCATATACAATCCATTGTGACAATAATAATAGGTAATAAATAGAATTCATCTTTTGCGTTCTTCCGCAAAAAATAATAATATGAAATCGATCAGAAAAATTGAGGAATTGATTGTTAAGTGATTGCCAAGAGCTTATACTTCACAAGTCGCACGTTATTTGTCGTTTTACGCGACATATGTCACATTTTAAACGTGAAATGTCACATTTTGAACGTCAAACGTCACGTTTCACGTGTCATATGTCACATTTTGAGCGTCAAACGTCACGTTTCATGTGTCATATGTCGCGCGTTTGTTTTGTGAGCTGTTTAATGTGAAAAAAAAGGTTTGTTGTTGTTTTTTTTTGGAGCGTTTGTTGAACACGGGGACAATCAAAATGGCCGATCGGACGTCGGGACGCCATCGGGCGAGAAAGTGGACGGGGCGAGAAGAAAAAAATCGTCTAATCAATAAATCGTCGATAACTAAAAAAAAGAAGAAAATTAAACCCGTTTTTAACAATAAATAGTAACCTAAGCGTCGTGTTAAAATTGAATTAAAAAAATTGTTGTAATAAATGTTGTTGTGAAAAACAAAATGGCGGAAGGAAAATTCGAGACGTTTTCGTGATAATGCCGGGAGGAAATTTTTTTGTACTAACGAAGAATCGATGATGATGATGATGATGAAGATGATGAACGTTTGTGCGTCGATAGGACGTTGTTTTTTTTTTAAATCACCGCGTAAAAGTTGCAATAAAAATATACATAATAAATAGTTAGAAAAATGCACAGTGCACAACAAAAAAGTTCGAGCGAAAACGATATGGAGCTTATACCTATACACGAAAAATCGTTTTTTGGAAAAAAATAAATATTATGTAATACCAACATAAACACGAAATAGTCTAAATGGTAATAAGTGAACTAGATTTTTATTTTTACAACGAATAACCAATTGACTTCTTGTGCGTAAAAGACAGTTAAAAATTTTAAAAAGAAAATCTACTGCCGTGTTATCTAAATTAAATTAAATATTGTTCGTGATTGCCGAGTGATTGTTTGAATTTCCCGCCCGTTTGCGATACAAATTTTCCTGTTTTGTGATTTTTTTGAATATATTTGGGCCGTTGTTTGTCAGAAAAATTAAGAAATTTCGTTCACATTTATAGTGGTAACAAAGTTGGCTAAATACTTAACCACAAATACTTAAACCACAAATAGCCAACCTGGAGAATCCATTTTACCACAATTAGCAAATCTGGATCGTTTTTTTAACCACAAATAGAAAATTTGGCTCATTTTTTCTTACACAAGTTTCCTTAATTTTTGACACATTCGGCAACATGGCCTAAAAGTCAAAGTCGACGCGATTTCGGCGGGAAATTCGAACTGATTTTCGCGATATAGTAAATAAAAAAATAAATAAACAAAAATGAACTCGCTTATTAGTGTGATTCGTTCATCACGTTGTTACAATTGTATAATGAACTCGAAAATTAAATATTATACATTATTATATATGAACATTATAAAAACTAATGTAAAACAAATAAAAAGAAAACTTTTATCCATTACATTGTGAACATTGTGCAATTATTATTCTAAAACGAAATTAGAAGAAATATAATACGAGCACTTTTCGTTCCGAGATGAAAATGATGATGAGAAAATATGTCTTTCGATGAATATATTATATATTAATTTGTATTTTTAGGTTTTTAATGTATAAACACACATATTTAAATGCCGGGTTAAATTGGTACATTTGTCACAAAAAGACAAGTGACATATGACATCAAACAACACTTGACGTGTATGACACATGACACAAATGACACTTGACGTTTGTGACAACTGACATAAAAGACAAAATGGCGCGATTTAACCCGACATTTTGCCTTCGAACGTCGTCCGGTAGGCTCAATTGTTAGACAAATATCGCGATAGTTTCGAATTTGAGATGTGTTTTTTATCCAGTTTACCGGACTTCGTTCGTTTTTTGGTATATTGGGGCATGAATTTTTGATAAACATTAAAAAAAATTAACGAAAAGTAAATCGATCGCCTAAAATTTGCGGCTAAAATAAATATGTAATAACTACGAAACGTAAATGATATTCAACTACTTACATGTAAATTTAATTAAAAAAAATGCATACAAATCGATCGAAAGTAACGCAATAGTCGAAAACGATATAAAAATCGATATCTAAGTGTATATTGTCGCGAGCGTAAATTTATTAAAAAAAATCGCCCGTTCACTCCCTCATTGAATCGGTTTTTATGTAACATATATCGCTTATAATACTTGCTCAAAACGACCTCAAAATTGCTCAATATCGAACAAATCAATTTCGTTAATTCAACGCCATTTTTTTTTTGAATTCGAGAAGTGGGACGTTTCGTCGGCCATCTTTGTTTCATTTTTCTATTATACGAATTCGCTCCGAAACCGGCCTAAACCTTGAGTTGCTCTAAATGTTTATAACACCAAATAGTTATAGAGAACGTCGCCAAAAATAAATAAAATAAAATAAAATAAATAAATAAACTTTTTCGAAGTCTTCCCAAACGCGATTATTGCGTTACTTGCGAAACTAAATAGGTTTAAACAATTTAAAGCGTTGCCGTTTGTGTACGTTTTGTTTTGTTTTATATGTACACTATAATATACAGGGCGTACGCCAAAATGGCGGCCGACCCGGCGCCATTTTCGCGAACCCCCTGTATATACGAATAAGATGAAAACGACAAGCGCGCCATGAAACGCACTCGTTTTGACGTATTTGATGTATTTGACAAATGACAGTTGACAGTTTGCGGCGCGCTTGATTGTGTTTTGTTTGTTAGAGAAAAAAAAAATGGATTGCAGTAGTAGACGAAAATATAATAATGAATGAATGAAAGAAGAAGAAGAAGAAGAAGAAGAAAAAACGCACTAAAATATACACGATTGTTATTTAGGATATATCATTATTTTTAAATCTTATCTACTCGCGATAGATATTTATATAAAGTATATATTGTATGTATATATTATATCCGTACATGAGCAGTTGCAGGGTAAGTGTCGGCGCCGATTTACAATACAGGGTGTCCGCCATTTACGCGTATTAAATAAAATTAATCACTCACTTTGGGTCGCCGGTCGGAACTTCGATTTTCTTATTTCTTTTCCCCAACAGAAAACACTAAAATAAATCACCAAACACACACAAACAACGTCACGTGTCACTTGTCAATAGATTTGTCGTATGTCAAACGCAACGTCACGTGTCAAATGATAATACGTAGAATGTCTTGGGCCTTTTTTTTAACACGATCTGACTCATTTTTTGGCCACAAATAGCTAATCTAACTACTCTGACTCGTTTTTTTGCCACAAATAGCTAATCTAACTACTCTGACTCGTTTTTTGTCACAAATAGCTAATCTAACTACTCTGACTCGTTTTTTTAACTACAAATAGCAAATTTGACTAATTTTTTATAGCAAGCGATTCATTTTTTTGTCCACAAATAGGAAATCTAACAACTCGTAAGCCGATCGAACTGTCAATCGAAACGTCACGTGTGTCATATGTCAATCGAAATATCGCGTGTCAAATGTCAAATTGAGTTCTCCGCTGTTCGTTGGAATAAAGTTACTTTTGAGCGTTAATTTGAGATTGTTTTTTTATTTCTCAAACTTTCGAAACGAGTAGAAAGGAAACACGACAAGCGAAATGTCCAATAAATGCACAAAAGTTCATGAATAAACACACACTGCTCAAATAAACTATAATTAGATTAGAGAGTTATTGTAATAATTATTATGATAAATGTTAATTAGGGCTCGCCTAATCGGGATCCATATGTACGATGTAAATACGGGTAAATATTGTATTTTTTTGCATCGGGGGATTTTTTGCGGCTGGGGGAATTATTTTTTTTTTTTGGGGGATTTTTGTTTTAGTATTTGGGGGAATTTTCGAGCGGCGACTCGGCTCTGAGCACTGCGGCTTCCAAAAAAATAAATAAAAATAAACCTTACACTCTATGTGCAACTGCGTTTCCGGACGCACTTTGTTGAATAAAAATAAATTTATTAAAAAAAAAAACATTTTTTTCGAAAAAATGAAATTGTCTCGTATCGGAGTAGCCCGTTTCCGGGCGATGAAATTTAAATTTAAAAGAAGGGGTCGCGCGACGAAAATAAAACAAATCGGTAACGAAAATATCGACTATAAAAAAAAAGAAGAAAAAATGCAACTCTCCTATCTCTCTCTCTCTATTTCTATCTAATTCTTTCTACTTTCATTTTAATCCAGAGATGACGTCACTAAATTGATTTATTCGTCATAAGTGTCGTCATCTGTAGATTAAATCGAGTTATCTGATTATAATTAAAAATATACAGGGTAAAATCGAATTGTTCGGACATTGTTTTCTTCAATTTTTCGTCTATCGATATTTTCGTTACCGTTTTAAAAAAATCGAAGAAAAAGAAGAAATAATAATAATAATAAAAATGATCTTCCACTGATTTCTATGAGTTGTGTCGAAACTTACTTGTATAGCTCTGCGTAAACAGAACAAAAAAAACTAATAATAATAATAATGGTAACGATAAAAATACAAAAAAAAATACAAACCAGTTTTTTATACCATCTTTGTAAAAAATGCTCAATTCATAGTCATGGTGGATACGAGACGGGGGGCCCCTCTGGCGCCCCCTTGTTTGTACACATATATAGATATATGTAGAATATTGTTCCCCCATTTGTTCCCCCCCGAAAACGAAATAAAGGCGTTTTATAGAACGTAGAGGCGCGCTCATGATGATGATGATGATGATGATTGACGAAGGGGGGGCCGCCGGAGGTGCCGCCTCGACGCCGCGGATTTGCATTTCGACAATTCATCTCCATTTAATATGTTATTTGTTAACCTAAAAGAAGCTGTTAAGTAATGTTAAAATTTAAATGAACGGTCGCGAAATCTGTAATATATATATTATATTAATAATGTATCAAAAAAAAAATAATAAAAATGCTCACAGCGACTAGAATCGAGTAAATAAAAGTGTATCCCACTGTTTTATGTCTTTTAATTTCACCCATTTTAACTGTATTTTTTTTTTTAAATAGGCTTGCGATTTTTTTGTAGCAAATTTAGGGGGCCAATGTAGGGGTAAATTTTAAGAATATCCATCTTTTTTATTTTCTACAATATTAAAAAAAATACTTGAAAAAGTTGCTTAGAATTAAGTTAAAAAAAGTATCAACTTATAGTCTAATATTCTCACTAAAACACATAGATCACTAGATACAGATATTTTTTTATTGAAACAAAATAGTACCAAAAAAAACCAATCAATTAAGTACTTTACTCGCATTTTTCCACCAGACACCGAGTCTCGATCAGTTTCTTATAGAATTTCGCCGAGTTCTTGGGCTTTCTGGTCCTCTTCGGATCATCAAAATCCACTTGGAACAAACCGAATTTATTCCTAAAACAGTACCCCATACAACACCAAATAATCACCACAATACCAGTACTAACGTGTATCCAAACAGCCATTCCAAATTATCCATCAAACTCCACACGGTGTAACCTTTAACATTCACCTTATCTTCATCCATTGCATCTTTGATACTACTCAAATATTGCTACAAAATAAAACAGTACCAACCACTGAAACCCTCAACAAAACCATCGCCTACCTGGATGTATTTCACCCTAGTACCATCATCCTCCAAAGTCCCATTGAAATCCGAGTACCCGTTCTCCGTAACATACACCTTGGGATTCCCGTAGGCCCCCGCTATCCATTTGAGCAGCTTCCTGGCGCCCCAAGGGGTCACCACCAGCCAGCTGGAGGCGCCCTTCTCCCAGCTGGGATCGAACCAGCTCCTCACCTCCGAATCCGCCTTGTACCCCATGGCCTCGGGGTCGGGATCCCGTTCGGGCGTCACCAGCGCCGAGGAGTACATGTTGACGCCGAAGAAGTCGTAGGAGCCCTTCAGGAGGCGCCGCTCGGCGTCGGTGAAGGCGGGCAGGCGGGACGCCTGGAAGCCCTGGGCGCGGCTCCTGGAGAGGATCTTGTTCTTCACCAGGTCGGGGAAGTCGCCGGCGTGCAGGGGATTGGCGTAGAGGCCGAACTGGAAGCGTTGAAGAGCGAGTTGAAGATGTGCTGGGGATTGTTCTTGAGGATGTTGTTGAAGATGTTCTGGTGTGGTGGTCGTGGTGGTGAGGAGGTTGATGATTGAAGGGGAAACTTCTTGGTGGGTGTGGAAGGGAATCTGGTAGTGTCCTGGTAGTGTTCATAAAGGAGGACTTATTGGTGTTTCCGGAAAGGGTTCTGGTGATGTTAATAAAGATGGGAACTTCTTGGTGGGTTTGGAAAAGAGTTCTGATAGTTTTCATTAAAATAAGAGCCTCTTGGGGATTGTGGAAAGGTTCTTGATAGTGTTTATAAAGATAGAAACTTCTCAGTGGATCTGGAAAAGCTTCTGGTAGTGTTCATAAGGATAGAGATTTATTGATGATTTTGGAAAAGGTTCTGAAAGTGTTCATAAAGATGGACACTTTTTAGAGATTATGTAAAAAGTACTCGAAAATAATATAGCAGATTAAACTTAGCTGATCTTCAAGCTATCAATTTTTAATGAAACATTAAAGAAAGTACCTTAAACGTCAATCCAAATTCATTACCCAACTCCTATACACTTGTGAAGAAAATGCATCAAAAATTGATCGCACATTCAACCCAAATCCTCACCTACATCGAAGTCATTCACAAGTACCACAACCTCATCAAGTACCGTCACTCACCGTAAACTGCAACATAGTTTCAGACGCTTGCTGGTCGTCGACATCAGTACTATTTTCTGGTTCCCACCAATTCGAATCGATCACAATCCCCACCTCACCTGCAACAGGTACCACCTTTATTACCACAGTACCTTCAGGTACCACACTTTTATTACCTTCGTACTTCGCCTTGAAATCCTTTTGGTAAATATTCCAAGCGGTGGCATGAGCTAAAAGCAGGTTCTTGACACACAGGTACTCCGCCTCACCGGGCGACTGGATCGCCGGGGCGTAGTCACCCACGCCGTACCCTCTCGTGCACGTCTGCTTGGGCTCGTTGAACGTCATCCAGTACTTCACATCGGCGCCGAAGAGCTGGAAGCACAGCCGGGCGTACTCGGAGTACCACCGGACGAACTCGGGGTTGGGGAACCCGCCGAGGTCCTGCAGCGTCTGCGGCAGGTCCCAGTGGAACAGCGTCACGAAGGGTTCTATGTGGTTCTTGCGCAGCTCGGCGATGAGGTTGCGGTAGTACTCGACGCCCGCTTGGTTGACGCGATGGGCGAGGCCGTCGGGCAGCAGCCTCGACCACGATATGGAGAACCTGTAGTGGTTGACTCCTAGGTACTGCAGGTTCTGCACGTCCTCTTTGTAGAGGTGGTACGAGTCGCAGGCCACGTCGCCGCTGTCGCCGTTTTTGGTGAAGCTGCGATTGGTGTGGATGGCTCTGTCCCAGATGTTCTCGCCCTTGCCGTCCAGGTTCCAGGCGCCTGCGAAACGAGAAGGAACCTGAGCGAAGCCTCTAAGGCTAAAAAGTTCTTAAACGAAATCTTAGGGGATGATTTTGGTAGGTTTGAAGCTCTGTAAAATTGGCAACGGTCGAGCTAGAGACGTGAAATTTTCAACAGACGTAGCCTCATGTATTGTCTTGGTACCCACCAAGTACCATCAACATCGCTCAACTCTAAGAGGTCGAAACATGCCTTTGAATGAGACAAAGTTCGGTAAATTTGTGATAACTGTATTGATTATTCTCAAATGAGGGAAGTGTCTAAAATTGAGCGAATATTCTCAATTGAGCAAAGTGTCTAAAATTGAGCGAATATTTTAAAATTGAGCGTTTACCTTCAATTTGATAGGCCGATGTCGCGGTGCCGAATAAGAAATCCGAAGGGAACGTTTTGTTGTTGATGACCGGATCATCAGCCCAGCTGTGGAATATACAAATAAAAAAATGGTACCTAGGTACTCGCTCTAAGAAATCCAAAATACTTACCAATCGTTCAACAGAAAACACGAGACCAATAAAAGTGCACGTTTCATTTTAACCTGCATCTCACCGATTTTGTTACCAGGTTAGATTTATCAGATTTGTCATTGTATCGGTACTACCGATGGATATAATCGTATTATCTACTCTACACGTACAAGTGCTTATGTAAGATAAATAGGTACTCGTTGTCGAGTACCTAACATACCATTACATTATTTATAAGTTATATTTAGAGGTAATCTCGTCGATAAGAACTATTTAAGATAGAGCATAGGTTATGTGTAAAACACATCATATAAAACATTCAGTACTAACGGTGTATGACGTCATACATATATTACGTTAAGCTCCAACTAATTACAAGATATCTTACAATTACATACATAAATATCGAATATTTGAGTATCATTTGCATTTGTCTACTAAACATCTAGTTGATATAACTTTTTTGTAATATTCCACCGATGATTTTGCCGTTCTATTTCTTTTGGCTCCTTCGAAATCCACGTGGTACAAACCGAATTTCACTCTAAAAATAAAGCAAATCATGTCAAACGTCAATCACATGTCATACGTCAAATGTCATAAATCTCATGTCAGGAGTCTTATAGCATAAGTCAATTGTCAATCAATTGAACTATCCTTACGCGTATCCTTCGACCCATTCGAAATTATCCATCAAACTCCAATAGGTGTAACCTTTTATGTTGACGCCATTATTCATGGCTTCCTTTAGATTGCTCAGGTGGCTCTGGAATAGAGCGATAGGTAAATTTAGAGTTGGAGGTGGTCGTTTGAAATATGTGGACGTTGGCAAACCTTTATGTAACTGATTCTCTTCTGATCGTCCATGGTTCCGTGCTCCGAGTAACCGTTCTCGGTTATAATAACCGGCGGGTTGCCGTAGGTTTGGCTCAACCAGGTCACCAGCTTCTTTATGCCCCACGGTACCACCTGAATTAGAGAAGGGTGAGCGATTTTTGAAAAATTGAAAATGGCGGTTATTTCATAAATGAGCGAAATATTTAAAATTGAGCCATTGTTCCAATTTTGAGCGACTTCTCTAAAAAAAAATGGTACTTGCATATAACCAAAACGACGCCCCTTTCTCCCAATGCGGATCGACGAAGGTCGTGGTTTCCGAGTCGAAGTCGTACCCTTTCCCGTCCACCGGCGTATCAGGATCGGGTTTGATGTACCGGGCAGTGTAGTAGTTCAGTCCCAGGAAGTCGTAGGTACCTTTGACCAATTCCTTTTGCTGCTGGCTGAACTCGGGCAGCCTTGACCTGTTGTAGCCTTGAGCAAGGCTGCGTTTTTTCACGATGCTCTTTACAGCCCATGGAAAATCCCCGTACACGATGGGATTCACGTATAAACCGTACTGGAAGAGAACTCATTTTTGAGCGTGAACGTTTTGGTAGTACCCGGTATAGTACCGTAAAGTGTAATTTCAGTTGTGAGGCTAGTTGGTCCTGGATGTTCCACAAATCCGCTGGTTCGTACCAGCTGCAGTCCACCACTATTCCCACTTTACCTGCAAAGTTCAATTCGATTAGGTACTCTCGTTCAAGTCATAGTACTTTTTTTATACGTCAACAAACCTAACTAGGCACATACAGTACTTTATACACTATCACCAATCTTTCTGATAAATAAACTAATTGGAAAGAGATTTAAGCGGTACTACTAGTACATACTTCGCGCTTCGAGACACCTTTCGGTACTACAACTCGACTAAATCTTCTTCAACTAACCTTTTTGCTGGGCCCTGAACTCTTTATCGTAGATCCTCCAGGCGGTGGCGTGCGCCAGTACTACGTGGTACACGCACAGGTACTCGCCCTCGCCGGGCGACTTAACGCCCGGCGCGAAAATGCCGTTACCGTAACCCATGTTGCAGGTTTGTTTCGGCTCGTTCACCGTCATCCAGTACTTCACGTCGTCGCCGAAGAGCTGGAAGCACAGCCGGGCGTACCGGGAGTACCAGTGGACGATACGCTCGTTGGTCCAGCCGCCCTGTTCCTCCAGAGCTTGGGGGGTGTCCCAGTGGAAGATCGTCACCATCGGCGTGATGTTGTTCCTCTTCAATTCCTTCAGGAGGTTCTTGTAGTACTGGACTCCTTGGTGGTTGATTTTACCTGCGGAAGGGGGTGGTACTGAGTTGTAGTAGTAGTACTGAGTAGTCGATATTGGTTGGTGGTTGATTTTAAATTTGAACAAATTACCTTGGGTACCATTGGGCAAAATCCTGGTCCAAGATATGGAGAACCTGTAAAACTGGACGCCCAGGTACTTCAACAAGGCGACATCCTCTTTGTATTTGTGATAAGAATCGCAAGTCACATCTGCAGTGTCATTTCCTTTGATTCTACTTCTATTCGTGTGTATGAACTTATCCCAATTGTTCACACCTTTTCCATCAACATTCCAGGCACCTTCAAACAATTTTCACCAATGAACATTAATTAACCAAACCAATTAACCAAAGAAAGTTTCTGAACGCAACTAGATGATTGTGAACCACATGTGGATAATTATGAACAAATGCGGATGATTGTGAACAAATGTGGGTACTTGTGAACAAATGTGGATACTTGTGAACAATCACCTTCGACTTGGTAAGCGGACGTTGCGGTACCGAAGAGGAAATCTTTGGGAAAGGGAGTGTTGTTGATGTGCTCTTCGCTTTTCCTGAAATTTTTAAAAATTGTTATACGGGGTGTACGAAATAAACTATAAGGGGTGGTACTTACGTGAGGGTAAAGAGAATGACCGATGCAAGGAACAAACTCGCCTGCATATTGTTGATGTACTGTTGTAGGAATTTTTTATTTACGTTCATGGGTTTTGTTTAAATAGCATTTTTTTTTTATCTTGAGAGTATGTATGCACGTAGTAATATTATGTATCTTTTGGTTTTTTTAATGAAGGTACTTTCAAGGTTCAAGGTGGAATGTGTTTCTGTAAAGGAATACTTCAAATACTTCAAAATATATTAAGATTGTCGCAAATTTTGACAAATTTTACCCGAAAAAAGCTCTTATAGATAAGAATAAAAAAACCTATTTAATCCGTTCTCTAATTAGAATTCCAATCAAATCATCTCCGATCATGTTTGCGTGGGTAGTACCATTAATCGCTACTGGTCTGTTGACTACAACGTAAGTATAAAGTACTACCATCAAAATACTCCTTCCGCAATATTCAATCAATTCATCTGTTATTATCAAACGTAGTACCAGCATCGGTACTACCACAAGTACCACCGTTAATTATCCTATCAATTTCAAACAAACAGAGCCACCGGCGATAAAATCAACAACACGCCATTCCCCAAAGACTTCCTCTTCGGTACTTCGACAGCCGCGTACCAAATCGAAGGTGCTTGGAACACTCATGGCAAAGGCGAGATCAACTGGGACAGGTTCATCAGCGCCAATCCCGCTCTAATACCCGACAACGCTACTGCCAAAGTAGCCTGCGACTCGTACCACCGGTACCTCGAGGACGTCGAACAGCTGAAACAATCCGGCAGCCAGTTTTACAGGATGTCCATAGCGTGGAGCAGGATTCTACCGCACGGTACGTTATACTAACTCGTTTATCGGTACTACCGAGGCCCCAAACAGGCGCTATTTGAGGTGGTAATACTCGGGGTACAATCGAGGTATTACTGAGATATTATCGAGGTTATAAGCATATACCACGAAGGTACTGGAAGGGTACTATAGAGGTTTTACTGAAGTAGTACTCCTGAGGTATATTGGTATTGGTGCAGCTTATAATTATACGGCCTATTGTACCTTAGGCTTCACGAACAAGATCAACGAAGAAGGTGTACAATATTACAAAAGGCTGTTCGCGGAGCTGAACAGGAACAACATAGTACCGTTCGTGACCATCTACCACTTCGATACGCCGCAGGCCATCGAGGATTTGGGCGGTTGGACCAACTCGGACATAGTGACGTGGTACGGCGACTACGCCAGGCTGTTGTTCCGGCTCTTCGGCGACGACGTCAAGTACTGGATGACGGTGAACGAGCCGAAGCAGTCCTGTCACTTCGGCTACGGCACCGGGTTCTTCGCGCCCGGTACCAAATCGCCGGGCGTCGGCGAGTACGAATGCGTCAAGAACATCATCATGGCGCACGCCACCGCCTGGAGGATCTACGACGAGGAATTCAGATCGACGCAGAACGGTACTACTTCCACCTAACGACCTAGATTCCAGTACTTCACGTTGATTGTTCCAGGTCAAGTCGGCGTGGTCATCGACACCGTTTGGTACGAACCCGACAACGTCACCGAGGTCAGCAGCGTGCTAGCTTCGGAATTCATGATGCACTTTACGGTAAGCTCGTACTTTTACCGCGGTACCACCGCGCTTCTAATCGATGGCATCGGTTCCAGTACGGCCTGTACGCCAATCCCATCGTGTTCGGGGACTTCCCCGACGTGGTGAAGGAGCGCGTGGCGAGGCGCAGCGCCGCGCAAGGCTTCCCCAGGTCCAGGCTGCCGGTGTTCACCGAAGAGGAGCAGCGGCTGGTGAAGGGTACTTTCGATTTCCTCGGTTTGAACTACTACTCGACCTTGATGATCCGAAGAGATCCGAACGCCGATCCGCACGGGAAAGGGTACGACGGAGACAACGAGGTCTTCACCTACTTCGATGACAGCTGGCCGATGCCGGCGAAGAAGAACATGAGGGTAGGTGGTTAACTGGTACTGTTCGGTGGGGTTATTGCCGGTTGTTTCAGGTGGTACCGTGGGGGATGAGGAAGTGTTTGAAGTGGATCCAAAGGGTGTACGGTAACCCGCCTGTTTACATTACCGAGAACGGTTACCCCGGTAACAGAACGTTGGACGACGTGGAGAGGATCGACTTCATCCAAGTTAGTACCACCAACGTATTTTGTTCTCTATCATCGCCACTCATCTATACCACGTCATAATTATTTAATTTTGGCAATTATAAGTACTCATATGGGTGAATTGGTACTACTTTTCAGAGTCACCTGAGCAGCGTTAAAGACGCAATGGACATAGATGGAGCGAACGTGAAAGGGTACTCTTATTGGAGCATAATGGACAATTTCGAATGGAGGTTCGGGTACTCGTAAGTACTCTAATTTCGCTGTAACTGGTTAGATTTTAATGAAATGCGGGTTGTTTATACAGGGTGACGTTCGGTTTGTTCGATGTGGATTTCGAAACTCAAAATCGTACCGCCAGGAAGTCTTTGGAGTACTACAGGAAAGTGATTAGTACCAGGTGTTTGGTCGAAAAATGCCAGGATTCCGTCGGTGACAATTCATTGTGAATTGATCTAAAAATGCACATGGTACTATCCGGTTAGTACCTTCAGGTAGTACCTGCAGTGGAAAAACCGTCGAAATATCTAAATGACCTTATACAAAATTCCTGTGTTAAATATTCAAGTACTTATGTATATTAATGGAAATTTATATTTATTAAAAAATGTTAATACACATGTTAATATGTTGTTCGTTTAAATTAATTCAATTATGCAGTTTACGATATGCTTAAGGAATAAAAAAATATACAGAGCGGTCGATTTTAATTGGCTAAGCAATTTTTCAACAAAACATTATTTAAATTTGCAAATATTTTTTCCATTATTTCCAAATTAGCAATTGTCTGAACAAGAGCCTGACGCCGATAATTCTATTTTTGTTTAAAAAAACGTAAGAAAACAATGAAAAATATGCCAATTAGGTACTTGTAGATATAATTTAAAAAATACTTAAATATGTACAAAATCATAAAAAAAATTGCGTGCGGGTACTACTCATTTCTGCTACTGTTTCATTGACAAAAACAAGTACGGTACAATTATGTGTAAGTACAGGTACTACTGTACTATGGATTCCTTACAGAGCAATAGCTACACATCAAATCAAAGATGATTCCCAGAACAATTACCTCCATTTTATAAAAGTACCTACTCAATCATTTCCTTCCTCTGATGAACTTTCCTCTACCTTTGGCAATCAAAGTTGGCGAAAATAAATTTAATTGTTTTTACGCCGATCACTTCCAGACTTGACCTTGATTACTGATCACAATCTAGATAACCATCAAAAAATTTATCTTATTAAAGTGGTACTTAATAGTAGCTGGCTGATAATGCTTAATAAATATTAAAAACACGCAATTAATATCTACTGCATTTTACAAAGATAAAACTGACGATGTTGAGGCTGCTCATTACGTCATGCCTACTGACCCTCACGTAAGTACTATCTTACCACAGTACCACCGAATAACCCTAAATTAAAAAAACATTAGGGCAGGTCAAGATGACATCAATACAAGTACTTTTCCTGAGGACTTTCTGTTCGGCACGGCAACTGCAGCCTACCAAATCGAAGGTAACGGATATAATACGTTTGTAGTACTCGAAAAGATTCGATTGGTACCATTTAGGTTCCAAGGATGGTTCCATTTAGGATAGAACAATAGGGGATACATCAAATGAGGATAGATCAATTTTATGTAAAAATTAATAATATTTTTTTCTGTTGTAGAATAAAATTTGGTTTGTTCCATGTGGATTTCGAAAATCAAACCAGAACTCCGAGATCTTCAGCGGCTTATTACAAAAAAATCATTTCGACGAGACGTTTGACCGACAATTAGAATTAATTAACTGACTAATTAAAATGTATATTTAATTGATAAAACAAAATCAAAACATTATTTTTATCGAAACCTACGTATCCTTCCGGATATGTAATTTATTTATTTATTAAATTATAAATTTCGAACTTTAAATTTTTAATTTTTTAATTGTTAATATTTACAAATTCTCCTTAATCGTGCTCGTTTGCATAACGAAAACAACGTCAATTAGACGTTAATTAGTCGAAATTAACGCGCGAATATTTCAAAAAAAAATTTTATTACATATGTCGACTAGATTTCGGAAAATCGCCGGGAAAATTTTCATAATTTTTGCATAAGCGCACGTCTTCCTTTAATTTATACATAATAATGAGGATAAAGACCAAATATATGAACCCTAAATCCAATTCGGAATCTAGTAGGCATTCGTAGCAAATCCCATAACAATGTTCCTCTGGGTACTACTATTTAGTACCACCTGCTGTTTACAAAAAGTGTAAGTACCTCGAATAATTAACCATTTGTACCTTCTAATAAAATACTACGTTGCAACTCTCAGTACTTCGTTATAGTACTTTATACTATAACTTGTTATATTCTATGAGCTCTTTGAGTTTTTTTGCCTCTTTTGAGTTCTTTGTAGGAACTAGTACTTTACAGAACTATTTCAGTTACTTTAGTACTATCTTTGATCGTCTTTGACATTGCTTTGTTTAGATTAGCCGATGACGACATCAACAACACCACATTCCCTGAGCACTTCTTCTTCGGTACCGCCACCTCAGCCTACCAAATCGAAGGTGAGAGATCTCCAGCATTGTAGTACTGAAACCGTTTAACCGTATAGTACCGATCGTTCTGTTAAAGGCGCCTGGAACAGCTACGGAAAAGGCGAGAACATCTGGGACAGATTCACCCACCTCAACAATTCCCCAATACCAGACAAGGCCACCGCCGACGTAGCCTGCGACTCGTACCACCGGTACAAACAGGATGTCCAGATGCTGAAGGCCATCGGTTCGCAGGTCTACAGGCTCTCCATATCCTGGAGCAGAATCCTGCCCAACGGTGCGTGTATATCCCATCCTTAGTAAACAGAGCCTTAGTAAACGAGCCTTGGGGTTCTTGTATTCTCAGGCTTCCCGGACGACATCAATCAAGAAGGGGTGGATTACTACAAGCAACTCTTCGCCGAGCTGAAGGCCAACGGCATCGTCCCCTACGTGACCATTTTCCACTTCGACACGCCCCAACCTTTGGAGGATTTGGGCGGCTGGACCAATTCCAGCATGGCGAAATGGTTCGGGGACTACGCGAGGATCGTCTACAGCCTCTTCGGGGACGACGTGAAGCACTGGATGACGGTGAACGAGCCGAAGCAAACGTGCCATTTGGGCTACGGTACCGGCGAATTCCCGCCGGGTGTTCAATCACCTGGAGTAAAGGAGTACGCCTGCGTGAAGAACACCGTGGTGGCGCACGCCGTGGCTTGGAGGATCTACCACAAGGAGTTCAGGAAGAAACAAAAGGGTAAGGTACTATACGGTACTATTTGGTCGCTTGGTGCTTCGTCCTCCGGGTTCTCTAGATCATACACCACTGCAGTAGCTCCAGGTGTAATTGGTCGTTTGGTGCTTCGTCCTCTAAGTTCTCTTGATCATTCACTACTGCAGCCAGTACTACAGGAGCTACAGGTGCTTAAAGTACTTCAAGCGCGCCAGGTACTCAAAGCCTTTTAGATCCTCAATGCGCTCCAGATGGCTTGGTGCTAGTACCAACAACTCGTGATGAGTACCATATAGTACTCTACTAGCATTTCCTTTTGTTAATTTAGGTCAAGTAGGCATAGTCATCGACAGCCAATGGTACGAACCGGCGAACTCATCGAACCCCAGCGACCAGCGAGCCTCGCAAATGGGACTCAATTTCGCTGTAAGTACCACGCGAATCTGGTAGGTACTTCGATTATCCATCCACTTGTTATTCCAGTACGGTCTGTACGCCCATCCGTTGGTGTACGGGGACTACCCGCCGATGGTGAAGAACGTGGTGCGCAGGCGCAGCCTGATGCAAGGCTACCGCCAATCGAGGCTGCCTGATTTCAGCTCCAAGGAGAAATCGCTGATCAAAGGAGCCTACGATTTCCTGGGGCTGAACTACTACTCGGCCCTTATGGTACGCATGGATCCCCATCCGGATCCAGATGCGAAAGGGTACGATGGGGATTCGGAGATTCAAACGTACTACAACGGGACGTGGGAGAGTACCGATAAAGAGAAGGAAAAGGTACTGAGGCTAGTAGTAGGAGAAGAAAATCAAATTACTTGTTGATGTTGCATTTTAGATAGTACCGTGGGGTATAAGGAAGTTGTTGTATTGGATGAAGGAGACGCTGAAAGATCCGAAGATTGTCATAACCGAGAACGGGCTTCCTGATCTCGGAGCGGATTTAAACGATACGCTAAGGATTAAATACATAAAAGTTGGTACTTTATGAAGTAACCACGGCGATAGTACGACTTAAATCGTTCGTTTCAGTTGCACCTGAGCAACGTCAAAGATTCCATCGATAAAGACGGGGTGAACGTTAGAGGCTACATCCATTGGACTCTAATGGACAATTTCGAACTCAGAGCAGGATACAAGTAAGTACGAGGGTACTTTATTGAACACCTGGTGGAATTTTCCTTACATGTATTCGTTATAAATTTTCTTTCGCCAATTAACTACAAAATCAGTTTCAAACGCTTATTACAGTTATTGGTACTTCGGTATCATTGTTAACATTTAAAGCACCACTGTCTAAAAACTGCTGACAAGTATCAAAATACCTCTGTCAACTGCCATATCACTGTCAAATGTCTACTGCCAAAAAAGTAATAATTGTAATATATTTTGTAAAAGTAATATATTTTTTGGTTAATACAGGTTGAAATTTGGATTGTTCAAAGTGGATTTCGATACTCTGGATAGAACTCCGAAAGCGTCAGCGGAGTACTTCAGGAAAATCGTGGAAACCAGGTGTTTGGTGGATAAATGCCAAGATTCCACTAATTATTACAAATGATCTCGATAATAAATCGCCTATTAGTTTCTTGGGGAAATAAGTGCGAATAAAAAAACCAAACGATTAGGTAAATTTATTAAATGAAATATCAAAATTACAATTTGTTAAAATATTTTACTTGTTTTAAGTTATTTTTTTAGGCAAAGTTGTTATATTTTTGTATATATAAAAAAATATTAAATTATTAATTTAATTCAGATAAATCGACTAATTCCCCTTCCTCCGCCACTGTTTCGATTAAATTTCTTCTTTCTTGCTCCTCAAATAACTCCCTATTCGATGATTCATTCGCAATCGCATCGGTACCGCCCTGAAATTATATTATTTAATAGTATCATTAATTTATAAAAATACAAACAAAAAAAATTAAGATTTCTTCGATTTGAACCAACAAAAATAAACCATTACCTCGTCCGACGAATCGCTGGCCTCCGACGTCGAAGGAGACTTTTTCTTCGGTTCAATCCGAACAGATTTCTGCGGCGAATTCCCCGGCGTCGGGCGCAAATCCTGCAGAGATCCCGCCGCAGATTGCCCGTCCAGGATCAGACCGGCCCCTTCGCTCACACTGAGATGCCTAGTGAACAGTACGGACCTGTACGTCAGAGGACCTTGTCCCAAGCCGGTCCTGGAAAAGCTAACTTTATAGTACATGCGTAGTAGTTGGATCAAAAATGGCGATTATCTCGAAAACTAATGAAGGTAGAAAATTCGCGTTAGCTTCGTATTATAGAAAATAAGTTTCTCTGCAATTTTCGAAGAATAAATAATTTCGAAAAACCCCTTAGTTTCCGAGATATCCGCTACTTTTGCGACATTTCGCTATTTTTCTCCCAACAATCGAGTACTCCGCGAAAAATTTAACGATGACGTCAACGCCTACTCCGATCTCACCTTTCCCTCAAACTCTTCAGCCTTTTGTCGTCGTCGAAAACGAAATACAACAGCCCAAACAGCAGACAAACGCCCGCCAAACAGCCGAAAACCGCCGACATGGCCGACTCGACGGTGGCGCCCTCCTCGTAGCGGTACCCCGACGATGAGATAGTACCCGAAACGCCGGGCGAGATCCTCCCGCCGGCCACCAGCCTGTCGTACAACGTCTTCGCCTCCACCAGCGAGTTGCCGGTGAACTTCGATTCGGCGAAGACGATTTGCACCACCTCGTCGCCATCTTGGGTCTTCACTTTGCTCGCGTGCGTCTCGGACTCGAACCCGTCCAGTTCGGTTCGCAATGAGCGAATATCGAAATCGGCCTTCGGCGAAAATCGGATCGCGGCGCCTGCAAAATGTCTAGTTAGTTAAATTTCCCTTAAATTCGGCAACAGCGCGCTTTTGAAATCGTTCAAAACTACTACTATTGCGTCATGTCAGCTGTCAAATATGTCAAAAGTCACACGTTTCAGGTCGTGCGTGGTAAGTCGTACGTCATTTGCGAGTCACAGCATTGTTGATTGTACCATAGCAATTTTTAATCTAAGCTCCCTTACTATTGAACTAATAAATACAGCTAGGGAACTTAGAGATATTGATCACATATTGAACACCATTTTGTATACCAATCATCGACTATCCCATAAATATAGTAAGGGCGCTTAAGGCACTTTTGTTCATTGATCATAGACCGTCTAATAAATATATAGTAGGGTGGCTTACCGCAAATTTTGTTGCAAAACCCGATCGCTTCGATGGGATCCTCGCAATCGAAGGTATCCCTTTCGTCCACGAACCTGCACATGTCCCTGTAAGCCTCCTCGTTACCCGAAGGACATCCCGATCGGTCCGAGCACACTCCACCGTCCACGCTCAATTGACCATTCAGCATGTCCAGGACCTCTGCGAAAACCCCAAACAATTAACACAAAACCTACTTTAATACACCCTCTTCCCCCGATATTTTTGTACCACAGCACACTATACACCTTGCTCCATTTCCGATTGCAATATGGCCATTTCTATGAGTGGAACGAAGAAAGGTTATTAAAATGACAGGTGTCAGAGTGAAAAGTTGTAATGACACAAATGTCACTCTTTCTTCTTCCTTTGTAAGTGTCTAATGGAAGTTGTCTTTATCGCGCCCATAGACCTATACAGGTTGCTCCATTTTTAATCCCAACATAGATTAGCTATAGGTACGATAAAGACAACTTATATTAGATACCTATAAAGGAAAAGGATAGAGTGACATATGTGTCACTACAACTTTTCACTCTGACACCTGTCATTTTAATAATCTTTCTTTGTTCCACTCATAGAAATGACCATATTGCAATCGGAAATGGAGCAACCTGTATGCGCATTCAACAACATACAGGGTGATCAAACAATAAATCGCCCTTACCGGCGACGGTGTCATCGTTGGTTAGAGTGAAACCGGGCCAGCGCTCCTCTCCAAACAACAGCATGTTCACCTCCAAGGGCCCCGGGACGTAGATCCGGCCCGAGAGGATGCCCTTCGGCAGGAAGACGTCGTCGTGGCGGCCGGGGAGCTTCTCCAGGTCCGGGACGGCGGCGTTGTCGAGCCGGTCCTCCAGGATCCAGTTGGTGGGGTCGTCCCAGTGGTGGGGCGCCATCTCCGTGGAGTTCAGGGTCACGCCTGGGGGCGGAATATTGTCTGTTTTAGTGAGATGGGAGGTGGAGGAGAGCTGGTGGAGGTGCTAGAAGGGGAGGTGGTAGCGGGGCGAGAGTCAGATTGCATGCCTGGAGGATCTTAGAGAGTCTTTTGGAGGACCTTGGATGACTTTTGGAAGATCTTAAGGGGACCTGGCGGTTCTTAGAGGAGACCTGGCGGTTCTAAGATCTAGCTGGGATCTGGAAAAGGTGCTACAATAAGTTTTTTGGAGGACCTGGCGGATCTTAGAGGTTCTTAGAGGATCTCAGAGAACTTGTAGGAGCCTAGAGGTTACTGTACGACCTCGGAAAGTTAGAGATGTTGAGAGTATCTTGAGGGACCTTAGAGGTTCTTGGGGACCTGGAGGATCTCTGAAGAGTAGAAAAGCAAGGAAAACAATCACTTACAATTGAATGTAGACGTGGAGTGTTCGTTAAACGTGATTTCCGTGTCGTCTTTGAACAAAAAATCCATATTGTAACCAAAAATGAGCTGTTTCAGCTCTAATTTTTGAGCCGTAATGACGCCGTGCGGCCATTTGGGCATGACCAGACCTCGGCAAGTTTTGCCCAATCGGCGATTTTCCCAATTGTTTCGATCGTAAATGTCGTAGCTTTTGTTGAAAGTGAAAAGAGCGCCATGACAAACGGTACCTATAAAAAGTAAAATTCCTTTCTGAATATACAGGGTGTCCCGCATAAGAACCGACACAGAGCAGGGGCGTGTAGAGCACCCAAGTTGGGTTAAACACGATATTTTAGGCTCTCCTGTACGTAACGCTCTGCGTCGATTCTTATGCGGGACACCCTGTATAAGTAGCGAGCTAATAGAGTTCGCGCTGTATAAAAAAATAAATTTTGTAACTTACCCCAAGTTATTGTAAAAATGATTTTCAACCACATTATTTTTGATCGTGAACCTTCTAAATTCTAAAGTAAAATGATTTATCGAGCGTGAAATTTGATCTAGTAGGCGTGAAGGTGATTAAACATAAATGCTAAATATATAGGGAAATCGGGAAATATTGGATATAATTGAAGGAATTTAAATATATTTTTTTTAGTCTTTAACCATTTATTAATACATTGAGAAATACAGTTTAATTTCAAACAACAAGTTTATAAGATGTGAAGAAACATTTTTTTCGAGACAATCAATGGAATATTCGAAGGAAAATCCACGAAAATAAGGCTAATTCTTCCATACAAAACGATAATTTCCAAAGAAAATCAAATAAGAAACGTTGTAATAACGAAATTAATACAATTCCTTCGACATTTATCGAAAATTTCCGTTATAGAAATAAAAAAAACGAAAAAACGGGGAAGTGAATATCGGAAAATGGAAGAAAATCGCGGAAAACTTGAATGGAAATCTCCATTCCGCCCGACAATTAAACATCTATATAATCTGACAGCTTTTTTTAGCGATAACAAAGTTAAAATTATATACAGGGCGTTCGAAATATTCCCACAGCTGGATTTATACAGGGTGTATCAAATAATAGTTAATAGTCAAACACCCAGTATATTTCGAGGTAATATTACACGTTTTTGAACCACCCTGTACAATTTTTTAAATACTTTTTGTGTGGGTGAATTAGTAAAAATTAATATTTTGTTAAATAATAACAATTGTATTTTTTAACCCACCAAAAAGGCTCTAATTATTTACAACAATCGAATTATTTTCAAATTTACCCCGCTCAATTGTGTGCCCCCCTAAATTACAGGAATGTTCAAAATTTGACAATAAATTCAAAAATTGAATCAAAACTTGCAAAAATTGATTCAATTAAATCAAAAAAACATTTTCGCTTTTCACAGCCCTAAAAAATTCAAAAATAATTCGAGAAAAATCCTACTACAATTTTTTTCTGTTTGTGCGCGTTCGCAATGCAAAAACCTCGTCAATAATTTTACATCGAAAACCAAAATAAAACCAATTTTTCCAAACATATTTAATTTCTCGACCGTGTTTGAAAATTCTAAAAATTCCACTCACACAAAATCGACTGAAAAATTACTTTTCCGCATTTTCCGCGAAAAATATCGCAAAATTTTCCGAATAAAAAAAGTAATTTTCCAGCCAATTTAACACGATTTAAAAACGTGAAAAACAAAAAAAATTACATAAATATTCCAAATACAAAAAAATACAAACCAGTCATTTAAATAAGAATACTGAATGAAGAATGAGTAAAGGGAGGTTAATGAAGGGATGGGGGGGTTAGTGTAAATAAGTTGGAGGTTGCGATTGTGCTACAATTACGCAGGTGATGGGAGTAAAATGAGATGGTTTTTTATTTTTTTTTTTATTTTTATAGATGAGAAAATATGGGTATATTTTGGATATATTTTACCCAAATAAAAAAAACGAGAAATTGTTTCATGGGGTTTTATGGGATTTTTTTTGTAGTTTTTAAAGTGTGAAAAGGGTAAATACGAGGGGTTTCCTATGGTTGCAATTGTGATGAAATAAAGATGTAGTTTCGGATTTCCCGGAATACCCAAAAATAAAGGAAACAATATATGAGTAAATACGAAATTATTTTTAATTTTTTTTCGCCATTTTCACAATAAAATACCTAGTGGAAAAAACCCACACAAGCGCACAGAATAAAAAAACAATAACAATTTGTTTTACGGGTCAGTTTTTTTTTGTTTTTCAAATGACGCAGATGAAAAGTGAAGTGTGAAAAGGGGGAAGGGGTGGTGGTGGTGGTGAGGGGGTCGGTTTTTCAAATATAGTTTTTTTGGTTTTTTTTTGTAATGATTTTCTAACCGCTCTTGAACAACAAAATCGCCACCTGGCCGAGATAGAAGTAGATAAAATGGCGAGTTTCGTGCGTCACGTACGATCCGAAATTCCTGCCGACGATACAATGCCACGTCGGATTGTATTTCTTGTCGAATTCTTTCTTTATGTAGGCGGCTATGTCCTGCGAAATAATCCAAATCAATTAATAATAGTATGTCATGGAAAACAAATAAATTAAGCAACACATGTACCTCGTATGTCGATTTTTTTTATTATAATTTACGAGATATTCTAACAATTCGCAAGGTAATTAATTACAGAGATTTTGCAAAATATACCTACTTAAAATCTATTAAGATGTATTAGAAAGAGCAATTAGGCACTGCAAATACACAGAACAATTTCAAAAATGCAATGTAACGATAAAAATTCAATATTTTAACGACTATTAACTTGGTAAAGATTTCACAAACAAATTTTTAATGGTAGTTTAAAACTTTGACAGCTAACCTGTCAAATGTCAAATTTTTCATCCCAACGATAATTTCAAAATAATGGCACAAAACTTAGCAAATCGTAAAACGCCTACTGGATAAATCAACTTGTCTACCATCTGCATTTGACAGCTAACCTGTCAAACGTCAAATTTTTCATCCCACCGATAATTTCAAAAGAATCGTAGAAAATAATAAGGAATAATAAACCGAAGCCTGCTGGATAAATCGACCTACTTCTCTAGTTCTCTGCATTTGACAGCTAACCTGTCAAACGCCTGTCAATTTGGCAATTTTAAATGGGAACTTTTTTGAAATAAATCCTACCTTTTCAATATTGTATTTCTCAATGGCCTGCGTCGCACAATCGACTGCGTCCTGCTGCATGTCTTCGCTCATGTCGGCATTCTTAATAACTGCTTTGCGGTCAGTCATTTTCGGTTCTTTGCGGTTTTGGGGGCTGGACCTAAAAACAAATATAATATTTATATAAACATAAGGGGGTCACTCGTAAGCTTCTAGGGGACGATTTTTTAACACACACTTCTAGGGAACAATTTTAGAGTATTCCTTAATGCTATTATATACACATTAAACTACGGTTATATATAAATATAAGGGGCCATACACTCTTCTAGGGGGCAATAATTTAGTCTTTTCTAGGGCTATTTATACACCTTAAATTAGGGTTTTTGATGCGGATCAAAGCGTGCGCCACCAACTCGCCCATTCGGGGACGGTACGAGCCGGGACACTACGGTTTTATCGATAAAACCACCCCCGAATCACCCCCTTTTCAGCGGAATAAAACCCCGAAAAAAAATCCCCAGAAAATTCACAGCAAATGCGCCAGGTATTCGTCCCCTTTGTAAACCCGTTTATCGAAGGAGTACTCACGTGAATTTTACTACAGTTCGCACAAACTGAGAAGTAAAAAAATGCGTTACACTTGTGACTTTTTCACGTTCTTATAATTTTACGATTTGTTTAATAAAAGCGATATTCAATTATTTGGTGACGGCTTGCTCGGCTGGCGCGTTCGACCGAATGCCGGACGTAGTGCAAACGAAGCCAGGCGATTGGCCGAAGGTAGAGGCGTCTGGCAGAGGCATCTGGCAAGCGGGCGACGATTGGCCGAAGGAATGACAGTTATGACGTAGTAGATCGATTCGAATCGGAGCGATTTGATTAATTTGGTATCGATGGAAGTGCGAAACAAATTGGTTCATATTCCGAATTTTACTTAATTTTATATACTATCTTGAATGGCTCAAGTTCTATCAATCTATTAAAGTAGCATTTTTAGATTGAGTTTATAAGAGCGCGACGCTGATTGGTCGACAGGGAAAATAAAATGACAGCTCAAACTAGCTGCATGGGAATTTCAAATTTGTAATAAATAAATCAATCAATTCAAACGTTGAGGGATGCCGTAGAAATAAAAAAGTGTAAAGCATTTATGAAATGTACCATAATAATAATTATTATGTAAAATCATTCAAATACCCACGTTATTTTTCATCAGTCCTACTTAGAGGTATCTGGCAGAGGCATCTAGCAGAAGCATCTGGCAGGTCGACGGCTATTGGTTGACGGAAAAAATTTTAAAAGAGGGTTTCCTCTAGAGGCATCTGGCAGGATTAATTTCCCCGTCAGTGGCGTACGGGTTGTAATTATTATATTTTCAACCATGCATTTAATCGAAAAACATGCAAAAACAGCAAAAAAGAAACTACAATTCGTACCAACGTATGTTCAATTTAACGTCCTCGTCAAACGAGGCCCTGGAAATTTTACTCATCCGCCATTTAAACAGCTATTTAATTAAAATTAATCGAAAGCGAAACGATACCTAATTGACTGTGAGGCTTTGTTGTCTTTAATGTTTTTCTTGTAAAATTTGAGTGTATTGGATATGCCGAGATTTCGTACTGGAATTTTCCTCTTTTCCGGGAAGAAAATCGATGGGGTCTCATCGGCGCATTCTCAGATGACGCGCCAAAAATGTCTAATTAGCGCTAAAAAAGGGAACTTAAAGGGAATTTTCCGCTAATTAGACGTTTATTCAGCAAATTAAAGGATCATTTGTTCATATAAAGTCGAGAAAACGAGCCTAAGCTTGCTTGATTAATTCCATTTTCTAAAATTAGCGCAATGGTGTGTTGAAGGATTAAATTTGTTATTAACCTTTATATGTAATTGATTTACGATTAGCTTTTTTATTTATGTTAATCTTTATTTGCTTGATTTACTGTTTAATTTGTGATTTCTTGAATCGCCTTAGTTATGCAACACATTTAACATTGAACTGTCAAATTTAACATGGAGCATCTCCAAATTCCGATACTGTCGTTCCGTAACGAAATTACATCGCTTTCAAATCTCCAATTGAAGCACTAAACTAATTACAAACACTTATATTACTAAAAAAAAAACCAACTAACAAAAACCACCAACACACGCAACATCTCAAATCGTATCGATCAACTTGAAATCCCGATGTTGGGGCTCCGCGATCACGTTGAAGTACTTCTTGTAGAACACCTGGCCCTGCCGGTACCCGTGGCACCTCCGCACCCACGTGTGCGTCCAATCCAAGTCGGCCTGTTCGCAGGTCACCACGACCCGGCCGGGTTCCAGGGCGAACAAGGTCCCGTTCCTTCCCAATCCCACATTTAACCCGGGGTGGAAGCGCAGCGTCCTCTGGGTCACCAGGATGTTCCCGGCGTTGACGTGTCGGCCATCTTGGATCTACGGATAACCCAAGGGTTATTATAGTTGCGTTATTAGGGAGCTACGTGGAGTTGTGGGAAGGTAATCGGAGGAGAGTTAAGGGTAGGGTTACGGTAGGAATGAGGGTAGTGTAAGGTGTAGATGAGGGTTGGGATTATTCGGGTAATGTGGGTATTAATAGAAAGGGTTATTTTATGTATGAATTAGGGTGAATTTACCTTGACTCCTCTGTGTTTCGGTCGAACTTTCGGGCTGGAATTTTTCGTACTGCCTCCGGTTTTTTTGCTGGCTTGTCGAATGGGCGTCCAAAATGCGTTAAATTGACTCAAAATCGGTTGTTTTAGTTGATTTATAGCGGAATTCATATCGCAAAAATGTTAATTAATCTAACCTAAAACAGATCTGTCAAGGATGTTTGGAAACATAACCTCACTATTTCTTCTCATTTTGTGGAACTTTTACGTCGACTTAAAAACGTTTATTTTGGTTGATTTGATTTGCAATTTGCAACAAATAAACTTAAAAAACAATTAATATGTAATATAAAATCATCAAAGACGAGAAGTTAGTAACAATGCAACAACTTCATTTGACCCTAAACAATCTCTTATCTTCCTTACGCTCTCCTTCCAGGTATACGTCCATCCTTCTCGAATATTTCGCTTACCTTTTACTTGCGCCGATTTCGATCAAACTGTTGCCATGGCAACAAAAAATTTCCGAGATAAAAACCAAACAAAACAACGTCAGTCAAAATCCAGTCGAATGTCGAAAGTGATTCCTTTTTTCGCGCCATTTCCGATATCCTTTTACGTAGTTTCATAGAGTCCTTGTGGTTTTATCGAAAACGATCCGTCCGGGACCTATCGAGAAGTTCCTCAAGAGATACAAAAATGTGACATGTTTTGAGAACTCTTTCGTACGTGTAGGATCATCCAAAGATCCTTTAAGGACTCTCTCGGAGCAGCCTAGTACTCTCTCGGGCATCTAGGACCTTTTGTGAACCTTCCTGGAGATATCCTTTAAGTACTCTTTTAGATAGCTAAGACTTTTTGAGAACCTTTGTATGTATTTAGGACATTTAGGACCTTTTGTGAACTCTACTAGAGACATCCTTTAAAGTACCATTTTAGGTATCCAGGACCTCTTCAGGATCATCCCGTCGAAACGGACATGTCCGTGGATTTCCGCTTGGAATGGATCAAGGCGAGGGTGCTGAAGATGCTGAACCTGCAGGGCAGCCAGTACTTCCAGGAGATGCTGGCCAAATGCGAGGAACTGGAGTATGAGCTCACCCAGTTCCTCGACGAGCACCACAAGACCGTCACGCAGGGCTTCTTCTACCTCTACAAGACCTCCTACGAGAAGCTGGTGGAGGAGGAAATTCAAGTCAAAGGTTGGGTTAACTCTAATAATCGATTGGGTTGGTTTTACTACAACTATTTTTGCTTGGTTCAGTACCGAAAACGGCGAGCGACAAAAAGAAGAAGAAGAAGGAGAAGGACAAACGTACGAAATCCAGCTTGGGTGAGCATAAATCTTCCTTTTCCCAACTAAATATCACCTCTAAATCCTCCTAATCGCCTCTAAATCCTCCTAAATCGTTCCAGCCTTCGTCGAAGGCTACGGCGCCGAAAACAACCAACAAGAGGACCATTTCCCCGCCGCCGACGAGGAACAAGAACACGAAGAAGCGGCGGGAGAAGAAGAAGAAGCCGACGAAGAAGAGTACTTTGGGGAAGAGGAGGATTACATGTACGAGGAAACCGGCGAGGAATATCGCTTCTTGGAAGACGAAGACGAAGGGGGCGGCAGGGAGGAGGACCCGGAGACGGCGGTGACGTCGGAGGCGCTGCAGGAGGAGATGCAGGAGAAGCTGCCTGCGCAACCCGACGGAACGGAGAGCCCTTCGGAAAGGCCCTCCACCATGCCCGAAGATGAGGAAAAGGGTGAAGTTAAGAGCGCCAAATGTAAGTATTTAGATACTAAATAGGCTCTTATGAGCTCTTGCAGCATCTTCAAGACCCTTCGGGGCTCTTCAAGGCTCTTATGGGCTTTTATAGGTACTTCTAGACTCGATTCTTCTAGGTCCATTTAGGTACTTCTAGACTCTATTCTTCCAGGTCCTTTTAGGATGTTCTAGCCTATTCTAGGACCTTCTAGCTTCTAGGCCCTTCCTAGAAATCAGTGGAAAGTGCAGAATGGCCTTTAAGAAGTCTTCTTATAGGCTCTTCTATGCTTTTACATGCTATTCTAGGCTCTATCCATTACCCCATTTGTCTCTCCATAGTTATTGGATATTTTGATCGATTTTTGGTGTTATTTTGTAGCATTTGATGGGAAAAAGGGCCCCAAGGGAAAGGACAAGAAGAAAAAGGGCGGAAAGGGCGGAAAATCGGAAAAATGTAAGATTGTGAATTTTCTTTGTTTGTTTTAGAGATTTTATAGGCTTACGTTGTTGTTTCTAGCCGAACTGGAATTGACCGAAGCAGCGCCGAAAATCGAATACGTTTTCGTCAAGGTATCAGAAAAATAATTCGTTAATATTTTGAATATATCAGAAGTGGGATTTACAGAAATTTATTCAGAAGTGGGACAAAACAAAAAAAATCAGAAGTGGGATTTACTTTAATGTTTTTTGTTTCGTTACCGCCGATATATAGCAAAAGATCCAAAGGCTGGCCACCGATTACTACCTGCACGGCGGCTTCATGAAAATCGGCGCCCAAATGTACGACGGCGGCGAGCCGCATCGCATCATCTACTTGTACAGGCGCACCAAGGAGGGCATTCCATTCTTCGAAACGGCCGTCGAGGCCAACTTGGAGATGCCCAATTACTTTTTCATCGGCAGCAGCAACATCAATTTCCTCAACAACTTCGTCGACGTCTGTAACAGGGTAAGCCCCAGAATTTTGTAGCCTCTTCTAGTCTCTTTTAGCCTCTTCAAAACAGTTGTAGCCTCTTCAAACCAGTTCTAGCCTCTTAGAGGGTTTTCCAGGTCCTTAAGGGGTCTTCTATGCTCTTTTACGCTCTTCAAGGCTACTCTAAACTCTTCTACAATCCTCTAGACTCTTCTAAGCCTCTTCTTAGACACTTTTAGGGTCTTCTAGACTCGACTCTTTTAGCACTATGTAGGCTCTTATGGTGTCTCTTAGCCTCGACTGTTCTAGGCCTATTTAGGCTCCTCTAGGGTTCCTATAGGCTCTAACAAAGAACCTTGTTTTGTTGAAGATTTTCACGCCGTTGATTGCCAAGTCGTTCGTCGAGCCGACGTCGAAGAGAAAAGGGGAAAAGGGCGTGGAGAAGACGAGGAAAACCTCCGATCAGACCACGTGAGCGACATTCGCCATTTTGCGGAGGAAATTTATAATATACCGGGCGTTTTTTTTTCTTCTCACAGAGACTTGCCGGACGATCAGGAAGAGGAGGAGCACGAGCAGAAGGTGGAGAAAACCGACAAGGAAGAGAACAACACCCCCATCAAGGACGAACTGTCGACGGAAGTGGCCAATCTAGTCACCTCGTTGTTTTGGTGAGTCGCAGCCTTCTGAGTGGGGAATAGTTGATTTACGTGGATTTATGTGAAGGGTGTGCGAGCACGTGGAGGACGAGGTGGACCTGCCGATGGTGGATTTGAGCGACATCGTCCACAGCACTCGTCCCGACGACGTTCTGATCAAAGATCCCAAAATCGTGGACATCTTGGAGGAGGCCGTGACCGGCTGGCAGCTCCATTTGATCAAGATCATGGAGAATTACGAGTCGAAGGTACTGCAGCACGCTTGCTTATCGGACGAATTTGATTTTTTTTCTCGCTTTGATCTGATCTAGACGCCGGTGGGGCACAGCCCTCTAGCCGAGTACGATTATTGGCACGACATCGAGTCGGCGTTGAGTTCGGTGGTGGAGCAATTGAAGAAGCCTTTGTTGGTGAGAATATCGGACATGGTCGATAAGGCCTTGCCCGATTTGGCCAACAGTTTTCTCTTCCACCAATTGAGATTGAGGCGGTACTACGGAAAGGCCAAGGACAACGTGAAGTTTCTGTCGACCATCGTCAGGTTTCTCAATGTAAATATGAATGTTTTCTATTATGAACAGGGCGCGTCGAGAGGAAAATGATGCTTTTCGGGGAAACTACTAAGAGAATTTTCTTTAAAATTTCGCGAAATGTTCTCTAAAAATTGATCTATCGGTTGTTGAAAACCGCGCGTTCTGGAAAATTATGTGAGGAAAGTTGTGATGAAAAGAAAATTACTATTATGTTTGCCTAAACAATATTGTAATAATTGGCGTTTTTCTCGAAAGCGACTCGTAGGATTTGCTTCAAAATTTCCCAAAATATTCTCTAAAAACTACTCCATCGTTTGTTTCAAACCGCACGTCTTGGAAAAATCTACGAGTAAAATTACGAGGAAAATAAAAACATCCACTTTACCCGTGTCAATTCCTTAAAATATTTTTTAACATACTCGCGCACCCTGTATAAAATTAATAAAAAAATAACTGAATATCATCACACAATATTCCAGACGATTACTCAAAGCAACGATTTCAAGAAAATCACGTTATCCTTGCCTTTGCTAATGGACGGGCTCGAATTGATATGGATTTTATCGGATTATTACAACAACGACACCATCATGGTGCCTTTCATGGAGAGAATTGTCTGGTGTTTGTTGGACAAAACCAGGAAGGTTTTGAACAATGAAACCCTATTCAGGTGAGAGCCCACTAGATTCATCTAAGAACACCTTATTATCTAAGATGGCCGTTTGTTTGCTCTCTAGGAATCCCATAGACGTCGTGAAGAAGCTCACGCAGGACGCCAGCGAGATGCTGGAAATGTGGCAAAGCGCCTACATGACCACCAGGCAAAGGATAGAGGATTCCGGAAAAGGGGCCAGGTGGGAATTCGACAGGAGGAAATTGTTCATGGCGTCCAATTACATGGCTTCGGTACGTATTCAAAATGTCATCCAACCTACTCATCCAAATCCTGCCAAAAACCCACCACAAACCGTTCCTCAAAATCCTCCACAGGTATGCAAAGACCTGAACGAAGTGTCGACGGTGATCTTCCACTTCAAGAACATCTTCGGGCCTCAATTGCGTTCGATCGTGAGCGATCCCCAGAGCATCGACAACGTCGCCAAGCGCGTCGATCGGTTGGCCTTTCAAATCGAAAACACCGATTTCGACATATTCGACGTCAACGGCAAGGAGAATTGGGACGCCATTATGGCCTTGTTCTTCAAGGAGGTGAAGATATTGGAAGAGGAGGCGCTGGGCTTCATCGATCAGAGCTTCAAGATGATCAGGTAAATGGGAGGGTTTTTTTTTTGTAAAGCTGTTTTAAGTCAAGCCGGTTCGATGGTTTGAACTGATGAGGCTATTTCGGGTCAATCATGTTCAATGATTTGTATTGATGAGGCTATTTCAAGTCAAAAATGTCCAATGATTTCGGTTGGTGAGGCTATTTCGAGTCAAAAATGTCTTGTGAATCTTGCATAATAGTGTTGATTATTATTTTTGTGTAGGAATTCTGAGGATGCCTTGGAAATGCTGTTGAAATTCAAGTTATTCGAAACTAGGGAAATTATAATGAAGAAACTGATGTCGAAATTCGACGTGATTTTGGATCAATTTATAAAGGAAATATTGCTGGTGGACAATTCCTTTACGGTAAACAAATTTCGGATTTGATTTAGAAATAAAAAAAATTGAAAATCGATTGATTTTAGAGGAACAAAAGACACCCGGTGATGTACAAGAACATGCCGGCCAGAGGCAGCGCCATCTATTGGGCCAGACTGTTGTACTACAAGTTGAAAAAGCCCATATTGAAATTTCAAAAAGTACCGGAAATAATGAATTCCAAATTGAAAGCCGACACTTTTCACCAGTACCTCCAACTGGCCAAAGAACTCAAAACCTACGAAAACAGTAAGTTTCACACTTTCAACACCCTCTTGATTTCTACTTAAACTCCCTATTTTTCCCATGTATCCGATCTTCTCTCCATTATTTCACCGATTTTCTTCTCTCCCGATGGCAGGCAAATTCCAAGATTGGGTGGACAATTTCGGCGCCACCATGGAGGCCGCCATGCAAATGGAGATCCTCAAATTCGGCTTCAGGGGCTCACTCTCTCTCATCATGAAGAAAAGGGGCACCGAAATTACCACGACTGCAAAGAACCTCCACGCCTCCAAATCCCTCAGCGTCGCCAGCGAGGGTATGAACAAAAAAAATATATACAAGTCACTAGATTCTTTACTAATTTACTACAAGTTGTCTGACAAGTTTACTTACAAATTAACTTACAAACTTACTTACAAGAGTGCTAACAAGTTTACTTACAAATTGACTTACAAATTGACTTACAAGTTGACTTACAAGTTGACTTACAAGTTGACTTGCACAGTTACTTACAAGTTTAATTTGGCAGCGTGTAAAACCAGAGAATCGAAAAGGCGAGAATCGAGCTTTTCTTCGGTGTTCGACGTTCTGGAAAGAATGAACCAGAAGAACATGACTTGGAACGAAATCATCGGCAATCACATGGCCGCAGATTTAGGTAAAAAAAAATACACAAATTACAAAATCTTCTCTCTTTTAATCGTTTGTTATATCGTCGTCGAAGGTTTGAGATTCGAAGTGAACTTCGACGAGAACCTGTGGGCTTGCTTCAAAAGCGTGGAGCTTTTGGAGACGATGAAGTTCGTCCTGCCGGAGAGCTTGAGGATGATCGCCATACAAAAGGAGAAGACCCAGTGGAATTTGAACGCCGTCACCACCATGATAAACATGTACATTGAGATTATCGAAAGAATGAACGAATCGCAGGTAAAGTGATCGATGAAGTTTTTATGTCTTTCACTCGAATATATCAATTCTTCTACTTGATCTCCTCCAGATGTTCCTGTTGAAGGAAAAGCTCCAGGAAGTGGAACTGAACATCCAGCCGGGCCTATCCAGGATCAAGTGGTCCTCGTTGGGCATAGCCGACTACGCTGCGCGCAACATCTCCCTTTTGAGCAACCTCAAAACCCTCTACCTTCAAGTCGAACACGTCGAGCTCGACCTCCTCCAAATGACCAAGTCCCTGACGCAGATCAATTTCTTCGATTACATCGTGGTAAGTTCCCAAACCTTTCCCAACCTTCCCAAATCATCACGAACCTTCCCAGACCTTCTGAAACCATCCCAAACCTTTCCGAACCTTCCCAAACCTTACAAAATCTTACCTTGTCATTGGACTGTACACTTCATAAGTTCTATTCACTTGCTCCATTGGACATCGACGAACGACAAACGATTGACCAATTTCCAGGACGATAACAAAGAGAAGAAGAACTACAAGGACTTTTTCGGCGTGATGAACAACCTGCGTTCGGAGAAAATGTCGAAGGTGATGAAAACCTACGATTCGTTCGCGCCCATTTTGATCAAATTGGAATCGATGATTTTGGCGACGAACACGGGCAGATCGTTGCAGATGACGTCCTATTACAAATATTGGGAGGTCGAATTGTTCAAGGCCTTCACGTTGATGACGGTGAAGAATTTGGACACGTGGGCGGCCAAGTTGGAAACCAATTGTGTGAGTAATAAAATTATTCGTTTATGGCTCTAAAATGATCAACAATTTTTGGTAAAATTACCTTTAAAAATTGTCCAATTCACATTGAAAATTTTCTAAAATCTTCGAAAACCTTTTTAAACCTACTAAAACCTTCTAAAACCTACAAAACCCTTCTAAAACCATCTAAACCTTTCCAGAAAAACTTCTAAAACCTTCTAACGCTCCCCAAAACCTTCTAAAACATTCAAAAAAACTTGTAAAACCTTCTAAAACATTGTAGAACCTTCTAAAACCTTCAAAAACCTACAAAACCCTTCAAAAAAAACTTCTAAAACCATATAAAACATTATAGAATCTTCTAAAACCTTTAAAAACCTACAAAACCCTTCTAAAACCTTCAAAAAAACTTCTAAAACATTATAGAATCTTCTAAAATCATCTAACGCCTCCTAAAACCTTCTAAAACTTTCTAAAACCTTCGAAAATCATCTAAAACCTTTTAAAATCGTGAATCCGTGAATCATCCGAATAAAATTCATCATCGCCTCGAAACGCTTCGACCTCCCGTCCTCTGCCCGGCAGGCCCTCTTCCAAGTGGAGGCGGTCGTCGTGTCGCCGGAGATCCTGCTGCGGCCCACCGCCACCGAGATCTACAACTTCCTGGTGCGCAACACCAACAACTTCCTCGATCGCATCAAGACGGTGCCGCGCTGGCAGGACAACTCCTGCATCAATTGCGAACCGGTGAAGGTGTCGGCGAACGAGGAGTTTCTGCACAACTTCTTCGACCAGGTGGTGCGCGTCGCCGACGTGAACGATTCGATCGCCCATCTGTTCGACGTGGCCAGCAAAGTGGTGACGTCGGTGCTGAGGCAGCTGCAGAAATGGATGAGCTTCAAGAACCTGTGGTCGGTCGATAAGGTGTCGGTGTTGGAGAAGCTGATCCAAAGGACCACCAACATAACGGTGTTCGATGATAAGTTTATGTTTTGGCAGGAGATTGTGAACAAAGTGAACGAGTACGATCCGTTGACTAACGTCAATAGTATACAGGTTGAGTATTTTGTGTGTTGAATCGTTTTTTTTGGAATTGGTGAAGTTGCTTTGCTTTTAACTGTAGTTAAACATTAAACCGTTGATGGAAACGATCAAGGAAAATTGTTTGGAATGGAAGGAACTACTCGGGACGATGATCGACGAAAACGTCATCGCCAAAATGGAGGATATGAAGCACAAGAACGACGAATTGAGACTATCCGTTAGGAATAGCATAAAAGTAAGTAACTTTTTCTCTATAAAAAAAAAACTGCATATTTTTTGGTCGATTCCATATTAGGGTTTGGAAAGATTCAAGAACGTCCTGTTCGCCATTTCGTCGATCATAAAAGGCAACGTCGCCGCCGAATTGGAATTCTACAATTTCCAGGAGACCTACAGGATGCTGAACCAGCACAACATCCATTTCGATCCCTCCCACGAGGCGCTCGCCTATCAATTGGAAAAGGACTGGCAGGTGTTGTTGCTCTCCGCCATGTACAGGTACCCATTTTTCCATCCTCCATCCCACCTCCATCCCTTATTCTCATTATTTATCATCCCATTTCCAGAGAGCAACTGCTGGAACCGGCCAAAGAAAGGTACGCCGGACTGACCCAAAACGAAATCAAAGAATTCCTGCTCGTCCTCAAGGAATTCATGGACCGTTACGTGGCCGAAGGGCCGGAATCGGTCGGAGAAAACCTCGATTTAGGCACGTAAAACTGCACCGTTATTTTATGTACCATTTGCAATCATCGATCGTTTGTTACTCTCGTAAAGGTTTGAAGCTGATGGACGAGTACAGGACGGAATTCGAAACGTTGGAAGCCAAACGACAGGAATTGGTCGCCGCCGAAATGCTCTTCGACATTCCATTGGTGGATTATTCGGATTATCTGAACGCCAAATACAGCTTCGAAGGGATCGAAGTGGTTTATAGGCATTTCAAGGCCTACAGGCATGCCAAAGATGTGAGTTTCCTCATTATATGCTCATTTTTAACTTCAAAAAGCTTCTACAAATTTCTAAAACATTGTATTATCTTCTTAAACCTTCTAAAATCTTCGAAAATCATTAAAAATTTTCTGCAACTTTCTAAAACCTTCAAAAACCTACAAAACCCTTTCAAAAACCTTCAAAACCCTTCTAAAACCTTGTAGAACCTTCTAAAACCTTCTGAACCTTCTTTTCAAAACTTTCTAAAACCTTCTAATGCCTTCTAAAACCGTCAATAAATTTCTAAAACATTGTAGAATCTTCTAAAACATTTTAACGCCTTCTAAAATCTTCGAAAACCTTCAAAAACCTACAAAAACCTTCTCAACACTTCAAAAAAAACTTCTAAAACCTTCTAACGTCTCCTAAAACCTACTAAAATCATCTAAAACCTTCAAAAACCTATAAAACCCTTCAACAACCATCTCAACCCTTCAAAAAAAATTCTAAAACCTTCTAAAATCATCTAAAACCTTCAAAAACCTACAAAAAACTTGTAGAACCTTCTAAAACCTTCTAACGCTTTTCAAAAGCTCATTAAATGCTCAATATAAGCTCATTTTTAACAAATTTTTTTCGATCCCGTTGCCGGGCAGATGTGGGGAAAAACGTTGTGGGCCAACCTGAATCCCAACACGTTGGTGGACGGCATCGACAATTTCATCAAGAACTTTCGAAAATTACCGAAGGAAATCAAAGCGCTGACGGTGGGCGTGACGCTCGACAACGTGCTGAAGCAATTTCGGAATTCCGTGCCGTTGATGGTGTCGCTGAAGAACGAGGCGCTCAGAGAACGCCATTGGAAGATGCTGATGGTGAAGACCGGCATCGAATTCGACATGTCGCCCGAAAAGTAAGGACTTTCTTTTCGTTATTTATTGGGAAAATGTCTCGAGAAACTTTTTAAAAGCCTCTTAAAATCGCTTGGAAACGCGCAGGAAATTCTTCCTGAACTTCTTATAAAAACTCTCTTAATAAATAATTTGAAAGACCTACCAAAATTAAGAACCTCCTAAAACCTCTTAAGAGAACCTATTAACTTAAGAAACCACTTGAAATCTCGAAAAAGAACCTCTTAAAAGTAACTCATAAAACCTCTTATAACCTTTTAAAAACTTTTCAAACCTCTAAAACGCCCTAAACCCTCCAAAAGCTCTCTTAAAACCTTTTGAAACTTATTGATTCACCTTGAAACCCCTTTAAAACCTGTTGAAACCTCTCGGAACTTGCTGAAACCTCTTACAACTTCTTAAAATTACCTCTTGAAACAATTTGAAATCTTAGAAGCTCTCGAAACCTTTTACAAGAACCTCATAAAACTTCTAAAAAGAACCTCATTAACATTCCACAAAGAACCTTATAAAACCTCTTGAATCCTCTTAAAACCTCTGAAAAACTCTTGCAATATCCTAAAAGAAACTAATAAAAACCTCTACAAACAATCTTATGAAACCTCTAACCTCTTAAAACCCCCAAAAAAATCGAGTAAAACCATTTCTCCATCAGGTTCACCTTGGACAACATGTTCGCCATGCAATTGCACCGCTACCAGGACACCGCCGAAGAGATAATCAACAACGCCGTGAAGGAGTTGAGCATCGAGAAGGGCGTGAAGGAGGTAGCGGACATTTGGGGCTCGGTGAATTTCATCGTGCACAAGCACTCCAAAGGTTTGGAGGACAGAGGTTATTTGATCGGTTCCACCGACGACATCATGCAGATATTGGAGGACAATTCGATGAATTTGCAGAGCATGGCCGGCTCCCAGTTCGTCGGACCCTTTTTGCCGCTGGTGCAGAAATGGGAGAGGGCCTTGGCCACCATCGGAGAGGTTAGTGCCTTGAACACATCAAAGAAATTGGTTCACTTCAAATACATTTGAAACCCCCCTCAAGACCACTTGGTAGTTTTACCTCCAAAAATCTCTTGAAACCTCTGAAAACCTATTGAGCCCGTTGAAACCTATTTAAACCCCTCAAAACTTGAATAACCTCTTATTAGCCTCTTAAAACCTCTCGAAAAGAACCCTTAAAAACCTCTTGAAATCTCCTCACGAAACCTTCTAAAACGCACTCGTTCACCGCGATCAGGTTATCGACCAATGGTTGCAAGTGCAGAGGAAATGGTTGTATTTGGAGGGGATATTCGTCGGTGGCGACATTAGAGCTCAATTGCCCGAAGAGGCGAGAAAATTCGACGATATCGATAAGATTTTCAAGAAGATCATGTTGGAAACGTCGAAGAGACCGAACGTGTACGAATCGTGCACGCAATCCGGACGATTGGAGGAATTTCTGAGTAAGTCCTGAGTTTCTGAGTAAGAAAAATCTAGTTTGTTCTTTCCTCAGAATTGAGCGAAGGTCTGGACAAGTGCCAGAAATCCCTGAACGATTATCTGGATTCGAAACGCCGACGCTTTCCCAGATTCTACTTCATCTCCACCGATGAATTGCTATCGATATTGGGCAGCAGCGAACACACCTGCGTCCAGGAGCACATGATCAAGATGTTCGACAACATCAAGGCCCTCAGGTGATTAGATCCATCACCATCATCTCGATCATCGCCATACAGAACTCACCGAACGAATCCTCCTTCCTTTCCGCAGGTTCTCGATCGACGCCCAAGAACGCCCGACGGCCGTCGCCCTGATATCGGGCGAGGGCGAGGTGATGGAGTTTCGCACGCCCGTCCTCATCGAAGGCAAAGTCGAAGAATGGATGAACGAGGTGCTGAAGGAGATGCGCAAGGCCAATCGCTACATATCCAAATGCGCCATCTTCAACTACGGCAAGGTCAGGCGGCCCCGCTACCAATGGATGCTCGACTTCCAGGGCATGGTCATTTTGGCCGGCAGTCAGGTAAAAATCTGGATCGTATCCTCTGAAGATTCTCGCCTCTTGAAATCCTTAAAAAAAACCTCATAAAACACCTCTTGAAATCCCCCTCCCGTCTACAGAGCCTCTCTCTCACCTTCTTCTGATAGCGCGCCAGCTGCTCGAGGTCATTACCAGAAGATATAACCGCTTTCTTCATCTAGAAAGCCTCTCTCACCAATATCCCCATATCATATCCTTAAAAAACCTCATAAAACCTCATGAAACCTCTTAAAATCCTCCTCCCGTCTACATCCTTAAGAAACCTCATAATACCTCTTTAAAGACCTCTTGAAATCCTCCTCCCGTCAACAGAGCCTCTCTCACCGGCTTCTTCTGATAGCGCGAATGCTGCTCGAGCTCATCTCCAGAAGATAAAACCGCTCTCTCCATCTAGAAAGTCTCTCTCACTTATATCCTCTGAGAGCTCGTTTCCAGAAGACAACTCTCCCCTACTGGAAAGCCTCTCTCTCTCTCTCGCCTGCATCATCTCGTTTCCTCTAAAGAATCTCATCTCATAACACCTCTTGAAATCCTCCTCCCGTCTACGGAGCCTCTCTCGCCGGCTTCCTCCGATAGCTCGTCAGCCGCTTCAGCTTTCGCTCTCTCCATCTAAAAATCCTCTCTCTCGTCGATATCCTCTGCGAGGCAGGCTCGCCTGCATCATCATCGTCACCGTCGTATCCTCCAGGTGTGGTGGACGGCCGAAGTGGAGAACGTGTTCGCCATGTTCAAGAAGGGCAACAAGCGCGCCATGAAGGAGTACCTCGGCCAGTTGAACAAGCAACTCGACGAGATCGTGTTCACGGTGCGCGGCGAGCTGACGCCCAACGATCGATCGAAGTTTCGCACGGTCGCCATCATCGAGGTGCACGCGCGCGACATCATCGAGGGCTTCGTCAAGGACAGCGTCACCGACATCAGCGAATTCGAGTGGGAGAGCCAGCTGAGGTTCTACTGGGTGAACAACATGGATAATTTGTACGTGACGCAGTGCACCGGATCCTTCGAGTACGGGTAAGTGATGATCGATGGATGATGAGGAAAGGTGTGGAAAACTTTGGGTGAGAGATGAGGGTGCTGGTAGATTTGGATCGGTGAGGAAAACTTTTGATTTGTACAATTCAGTTACGAGTACATGGGGTTGAACGGGCGGCTGGTGATCACGCCGTTGACGGACAGGATTTACCTGACGGTCACGCAGGCGTTGATAATGCACATGGGCGGCGCGCCGGCCGGCCCGGCGGGTACCGGCAAAACGGAGACCGTCAAGGATCTGGCCAAGGCCATGGCGTTGCTTTGCATGGTGACGAATTGCGGCGAAGGGATGGATTTCAAGGCGATCGGCACCAATTTGGCCGGTTTGGCGCAATGCGGCGCTTGGGGATGCTTCGACGAGTTCAACAGAATCGACATTTCGGTGAGTTTCGCTCGGAAATTTGCTTCGAATGTGTATACTACTTCATTCGGTCAAGGTACTGTCGGTAATCTCCACGCAACTGCAAACCATCCGTTCCGCCTTGATGATGCGCTTGGAGAAATTCACGTTCGAAGGCAACGAGATCTCGTTGGACTGCAAAGTGGGCATTTTCATCACGATGAATCCGGGTTACGCGGGTCGCACCGAATTGCCCGAATCCGTCAAGGCGCTCTTTCGCCCCGTCGTCTGCATCGTGCCCGATTTGGAGATGATCTGCATGATATCCCTCTTCTCCGACGGCTTTTTGGAGTCCAAGGTGCTCGCCAAGAAGATGACGGTGCTGTACAAACTGGCCAGGGAGCAATTGTCCAAGCAGGTACGAACTTTCTCGGGTTTTTCGAGTCTTACAACCTCCGACGGGTTGTTATTGGTTCGTTGGTTCAAGTCTGGCTGTTCTTCGAGGACTGTTCTAGATCCTTATAGGTTCTTTTTTGCAAATTTCAGTCCCACTACGATTGGGGTCTGAGAGCCCTGAACGCCGTCTTGAGAATGGCGGGCGTTTTGAAAAGAGCCTCGCCCGACATCAAGGAGACCTTGGTGCTGATGAGGGCGCTGCGCGACATGAACCATCCCAAATTCGTGTTCGAGGACGTGCCCCTATTTCTGGGCCTCATCAAGGATCTGTTTCCCGGAATGGATTGCCCGAGAGTGGGCTATCCGGATTTCAACGCCGCCGTCGAGCACGTGAGCACAAACATTTCCAGACTCTTGTGAACAAGTTGTAGACTTTTGTACTCACTTGTAGACTTCGTAGTTGACTTAGTAGCTCTTCTAGCCCCTTCTGGACTCTAGTAGATCCTATTTTAGTCCTCTCTAGAGGACAAATTTGACAAACATCCGACCGCCTTACAGATCCTCAAAGAGGACAAGTTCATCATCATGCCGCACCAAATCGACAAAGTCGTCCAAATGTACGAGACGATGATGACCAGGCACTCGACGATGTTGGTGGGACCGACGGGTGGCGGCAAGACCGTCGTCATCAACACGCTGTGCAAGGCGCAAATCAACATGAACCTGCCCACCAGGATCCAGGCGCTCAATCCCAAGGCCTGCTCGGTGATCGAACTCTACGGGATTTTGGATCCGGTCAGCAGAGATTGGACCGACGGGTTGCTGTCCAACATCTTCAGGGAGATGAACAGGCCGACGGAGAAGAGCGAGAGAAGGTACAGAAAAAATTATATATAGTTGGCTATGAGAGGTTACAAGTGAGGATTGGGAGGCTATATGGGTATTTCTTTTTGACAGGTACATTCTATTCGATGGAGATGTTGATGCTCTGTGGATCGAAAACATGAATTCCGTAATGGACGATAATAAATTGTTGACTTTGGCTAATGGAGAGAGGATCCGTTTGAATACGCCTACCGTCAATTTGCTGTTCGAAGTTGGAAATTTAATTGTAAGTAATTTCATCATTCAATCATCGTTTGATAAATCGTTCTTTGCTCAACATCTTTCAACACACTTTTTTTCAACCATACCTCTTTCAATACACCTCACCTCGTTCAATACACCTCACCTCTTTCAATACACTTCACCTCTTTCAATACACCTCATCTCTTTCAATACACCTCACCTCTTCCAATACACCTCACCTCTTTCAGTGTACACCTCACCTCTTTCAATACACCTCACCTCTTTCAGTACACCTCACCTCTTTCAATACACCTCACCTCTTCCAATACACCTCACCTCTTTCAGTGTACACCTCACCTCTTTCTGTACACCTCACCTCTTTCGAATACATCTCGCCTCTTTCAACGAAATGTGCATTCCAGTACGCCTCGCCGGCCACGGTGTCGCGCGCCGGCATGGTGTACGTCGACCCCAAGAACCTGGGCTACCTGCCCTTCTGGGAGAAGTGGCTGAACGGCATCCAGAACCCCATCGAGCGAGGCGCCTACGCCGAGCTGTTCGACAAATTCATCCCCGACCTGATGGCGTACATCCTCGAAGGCGTGCTGGGCCAGAAGCAGGTGACCCCATTGAAGACGGTCATACTGCAAAGTTCGCTCAATCTGATGACGCAGTTCTGCTTCATGATGGACTCGATCTATCCGCAGAACTTGGACTACGTGCCGAAGCCGGACGAGGAGGCCGACATGGACCTGATGACGGCCATATTCGTCATTTGCCTGTACCATTCGTTCGGCGCGCCGCTGGTGGGCCAGTCGCGCTTGGACTTCGACGATTACATCAAGTCGCAGAATTCGCTGATGTACATGGACGATACGCCTGACGCGCCGTGCGATTTGAGGTAAACCAACCCCTATCTTCGCTAAACGCTTCGATACTAATACATTTCATCAGGCACACGCCTCACGCCTTCCCCACCTACTACGACTACTACTTGGACATCAAGAAGCAGGTGTGGGTGGCGTGGGAGTGGCTGGTGCCGAAGTACGTGCACGAACCGGGTCGGAAGTTTTCGGAGATCCTCGTGCCCACCATCGACACGGTGCGCACCACCTTCCTGTTGGACCTGTCGAATCGCATTCGACGTCCCATCGTGCTCATCGGCGAGACGGGCACGTCGAAGACGGCCGTCATCCAGGACTTTTTGCGCAACCTCGACAAGGACGTGTTCATCGTGATGAACATCAACTTCTCGTCGCGCACCTCATCGATGGACGTGCAGAAGAACTTGGAATCGTCGGTGGAGAAGCGCACGAAGGAGATCTACGGACCGCCGATGGGGAAGAAGTTGATCTGTTTCATGGACGACATGAACATGCCGCAGGTCGATGAATACGGCACGCAACAGCCCATCGCCCTGTTGAAGTTGCTCTTCGAACGCGGCGGGTTCTACGACAGAGGTATCATCGCGGATTTGCGTGTGCTATCGTAACGTTTCTCATCGCTTTCGTCGCAGGCAAGGACCTCAACTGGAAGATCCTGAAGGACATCTCGTACTTCGCCGCGATGGGCGTGGCCGGCGGCGGCAGGAACGAGGTGGATCCACGCTTCATGTCGATGTTCACCGTCATCAACTTGGTGTTCCCCACCACGCACACCCTGCACCGGATCTACACCAACATACTCTCCGGCCACCTCAAGAGCTTCCACGACGAGGTCCAGATCGCCTCCACGCTCATGAACATGACCTTGGAACTGTACAATTTCTGCGTCAACAAACTGCCGCCGACGCCCAGCAAGTTTCACTACATCTTCAACATGCGCGACCTGTCCCGGATCACCGCCGGTAAGGCTGATTTTAGAACTGTCCAGGACCGTTTAGAACTCTCCGGAATCATTCGAAATCCGTATCAGGAATGTGCGTGACGGTGCCGAAATTCTACACGAGAACCGCCCAAATCGTCAGGCTGTGGAGGAACGAGTTTCTGCGCGTCATCTGCGATCGCTTGAACAACGAGGAGGATCTGAACGTGATGACTCAGAACATCTTCGAGCAAATCGACAAGACATTTAGCAAGAAGACGCGAGACGAAGACGACGACGACGTTTCTTTGGCAGAAAGCGAAGGATTTGTCGTTAGTATTACAACTTTAACATTGTTCAGCCTCGTTTCGGTCCTCCTTGGACCCTCTTAAACACATCTTGAACCTCATTCGAGTCGAACAGCAACTCTTTGTACCGCTTTCATCTCCCTTGAGTCTCCTCGGATCCGTCCTTGGACCTCATACGAATTACTCGGACCTCCCCAAGTGTTCCTCTTTGCATTCGCTCGAGCTTCTGTTGCAGGACGAGTACACCGACATCGTGAGCTACGCGACCAGGGACCCGATCCTGTTCGGCGACTATCGCAACGCCACCGCCGACCAAGAGCCGCGCTTCTACGAGGACCTGTTGGACTACGACGCCATCTACTCGCTGTTCCAGGAGATCATCGAGTTGTACAACGAGAAGCACGATCGCATGAACATCGTGCTGTTCAACGACGCCCTCGAACACCTGACGCGCATCCACAGAGGGCTGCGCTTGGAGAAGGGCCACATGCTGTTGATCGGCGTCGGCGGTTCGGGAAAGAAGAGTTTCAGCTGTTTGGCGGCTTATACTGCTGAATGCGAGGTGTTTTCGATCAATTTGTGCAGAGGTTTCGTGCACCTGCTAAACGTAATTCCAAACCTTAATCGCCTCCGTAACAGGTTACAACGAGCAACTGTTCAAAGAAGATCTGAAGAAGCTGTTCACCGTCCTCGGCGTCGACAACAAGAAGACGTGCTTCTTCTTTACGGCCGCCCAGATCGTCGAAGAGGGTTTCCTGGAGTTCATCAACAACATCCTGATGATCGGCTACGTGCCGTCGTTGTTCACCGACGACGAGCGCGAGCAGTTGATCAACAACGCGCGGGCGGCGGCCAAAAAGGCCGGCTACAGCGTCACCAAGGACGCCGTGTGGCAGTACTTTTTGCACACGTGCAACGAGAACTTGCACGTGGTGCTGTCGATGAGTTCGGTGGGCGACGTCTTGAGCAAGAGATGCAGGTATGCTGGTTCATCGTTCCTAAGTGCGTTTTCCACGAAGCTTCCGTTGATGTTTGGCAGGAATTTCCCCGGATTGGTGAACAACACGACCATCGATTGGATATTCCCGTGGCCGGTGCAAGCTCTGGTGGCCGTCGCGTCGGTTTTCCTCAAGGAAAACCCGAAAATACCGGAGATGTACCGCGACGAGATCATCGAGCACGTGGTCTACGTCCATCAATCGGTCATCGACTATAGCTTCGAGTATTTGCTGAAGCTGCGCCGGAAGAACTTCGTCACGCCCAAGCACTACTTGGATTTCATCGGATCTTACTTGAGGTGCGTTTAGGAGGAAATTTAGTAAGCGCTTTCTGAGGATATTCGTTCCAGACTGTTGGAAGAAGAAGACGGCTCGGTGAACGCCCAATGCGACCGATTGAACAGCGGCCTGACGAAGATAGCCGAGGCCAGCGCCGACTTGGACATTTTGAACGAAAAGTTGGCCGTGCAACAGGTGGTGGTCAAGCAGGCGGCCGAAGATTGCGAAGTGATGCTGATCGAAATCGACGAAAGTAAGTTCGACGTTCCGACAATCGACCTGCAGTCTACCGAAACTCTCTAAATAGGCACGAAGATAGCCGTGGAAAAGAAGGACGTGGCATCGCTGAAGAGCGTCGAGATCGAGGAGCAATCGAAGATCATCAAGGTGGAACAGTCCGAGGCGGAGGCCTCTTTGGCGCTGGCGCTGCCCGTCTTGGAGAACGCCCGATTGGCCTTGGGCGAATTGGACAAGGCCGATATCACGGAGATCAGATCGTTTACGACGCCGCCCGAGCCCGTCCAAATCATCTGCGAATGCGTTCTGATATTGAGGGGTAAGCCTTCAAAGTACACTTGAACAATGTCATATAACGTTAAATGGCATAGTTAACTGAGATTAACGAGTACATTAGGCTACAGGGAAATCAATTGGAAGGCCGCGAAGGCCATGATGGCGGAATCGAATTTCCTGAAGAGCCTGCAGGACATGAACTGCGACCTGATCACCATCAGCCAACAGAGGGCCACCAAAAATCACATGGCGAAATCGTCGAAGCTGAGCGAAATGAAGAACATCAGTAAAGCCGGTAAAGCCTCTTCCGTCTATCTATCAATTTTCGTCTCCTGAAGAAACTCTTAATGGAGCTTTGATGTGCATCAGGTTACGGGCTGTTGCGCTTCGTCCAGGCCGTCCTCGGCTACTGCGAGGTGTTCAAGGAGGTGAAGCCGAAGAAGGAGAAGGTCGAGCAGCTGCAGAAGGACTTCGCGACGGCGCAGCGCTTCCTCGAGCGCCTCCAGAACGAGATCAAGAACCTCGAGAAGAAGCTGGACGATTTGAACGCCAAGTACACCGCGGCGATGATCAGGCGCAAGGAGCTGCAGGAGGAGACCGAGCTGATGCTGAAGCGGTCCATAGCCGCCGATAAGTTGATCAACGGTTTGAGTTCGGAGCAGGCCAGGTAGGTTTTTTTTTTATATGGTGCAATTGGACAAAGGACGATCTTTTTTTTTGTCCAGATGGAAGGAAGATTTGGCAGAGTTGTATAGGGACAAGGAGAGGTTGATCGGTATTTGTTTGCTGTGTTCGGGTTTCCTGGCCTACTGCGGTCCGTTTACGTTCGAATTTAGGAGGGAAATGGTGTACGAAAATTGGTACGAGGATCTCGTCAGGAGGCAAATTCCCCTATCGGAAAATTTTAGGTAAGTTATTGGATAGTAAAGGATAGTATACGATAGCGTAGGATACTGTAGAAAGAAATGTTGTGGAAAATAGTAGAGAAGGAAGAAAAGAGGTTTTGTAATTTGTTTAGATTGGAATTATTCCTGACTACCGAAGTGGAAATCAGCCAATGGAATTCGGAAAATTTGCCACCGGATGAGCTTTCCATACAAAACGGTATTTTGACGTTGAAAGGATCCAGATTTCCTTTGTGCATCGATCCCCAACAGCAGGCCTTGAATTGGATCAAAAAGAAGGAGGAAAAATACAAAATGAAGGTATCTGCTTTAATATCTCTCGTCTACCCGAAGCCTCAAATGTGCAGGACCCTCTTTAAACCTCAAACCTCTTAAAACTCTTAGAACTACTTTCAAGAAACCTCTTAAAACCTCAAACCTCTTACAGCATCAAAAACCTCTTAAAACTCTAATAACAACCTTCAAGAACCTTCAGGGAAACCTCTTAAAACCTCAAATGACTTGAAATAACCTCTCGAATAGCCTCAATAACAGCTCCCGAAACGTTTCCAGGTATTGAACTTCAACGATCCCGAATTCCTCAAGTTCCTGGACATGGCCATCAAGTACGGCTCGCCGGTCCTCTTCCAGGACGTGGACGATTACGTGGACCCCGTCGCCGAGCCGGTCATCATGAAGAACGTGCGCATCGTGTCCGGCAGGGTGTTCATCGTCTTGGGCGACAAGGAGGTCGATTGGGATCCGCACTTTAGGCTCTACATGACCACCAAATTGGCCAATCCCCAGTTCAATCCCAACGTCTACGCCATCGCATTGGTCATCAATTACACGGTGACCGTGTCCGGTGAGTAATTTGCCTGTAACTTTTCTCGCCGAATTTTCCGGAACGTGCGGTTTAAAGCGAACGATAGAGCGATGTTCGGAGAACGTTTTGTGTAAATTTGAGCGAAATCGTCCGAGTCGTTTTGGAGAAAAATGATTTTTTATTTTCGTCGCAGGTTTGGAAGATCAATTGCTGAGCGTGGTCGTGCGAAACGAACGTCCCGATCTCGAAGAGCAAAAAGAGACTCTGATAGCCGAGACCAGCGACAACAAGAACCTGCTCAAGCAGCTGGAGGATTCTCTTTTGCTGGAACTGGCCACCACCACCGGGAATATGCTGGATAACGTCGAGTACGTATACATTCTGCTCTAATTTAACCCCAATTTACCCCAAATGTACCTATAGACCCGCAGCTTGAAGCTTCACAGCCTTCTACGCAAAGATAGTGATAGAAAGATGATAATAAGTGTTTTAATGTGACCTGTGTCCGTTTCAGATTGGTCCAAACGTTGGAAAACACGAAATTCAAGGCCGGAGAGGTGATGGAGAAAATCAGGTTGGCCGAGGAAACCGGTAAAAATATAGACGTGTTGAGAAACGGTTACAGATCGGTTGCCAAAAGGGGATCAGTTTTATTTTTCGTTTTGTCCGATTTGTCCGGCGTCAACGCAATGTATCAATTCTCTTTGGGATCCTATTTGGAGGTAATTATGATTGATTTTAAGAAGCTTTTTTGAAGGTTTTTAGGTAGTTCTTGAAAGTTTTTAGAGTATCTTAGAGGTTTTAGATAGCTCTTTTAGATTTTTAGAGGTTTTAGGGGTTTTAGGATGGTTTTAGAGTATTTTTTTAAGGTTTCTAGTGGAAGAAATTTACGAAATTGTTTTGTTGCAGGTTTTCGCGTTTTCATTGAGAAAAGCTCCATTGCATACGCTGTTAGCCAAACGGCTGTTAAATATAATCAATACGTTAACGAAAAATGTCTACGATTACGGTTGTACGGGAATTTTCGAAAAGCACAAATTGCTATTTTCGTTTCTGATGACCTACAAATTGGAGCAAAGCGAAGACAAAATCACCCAAGGAGAAATCGATTTTTTCATTAAGGTTCGTATATACAACGTACAAAAATAAATAATTTAGGGTAAGTAAGCAAGTAAGTAAGATGTATCGAATTTTCTCATCTAGGGTTCCATTAGCTTGGAGAAAACGGAAATACCGAGCCCTGCTCCGTGGATTTCCACCCAAAATTGGGACAACATCGTAAAGATGAGCCAGGAATTTCCCGAATCGTTCTCGAACATCGTCGAGGAAATTCAGAAAGAACCGAACGTTTGGTACGCTTGGAGCGATTCCGATCAACCGGAGAGCGAAGGGATTCCCTACGGTTACAAGGAACGATTGCCGCCCTTTCACATGCTCCTCTTGCTCAGGTATTTGAAAAAGATATTTGAAATCTTTACCTGATTTTGACCTAGTTTTGACCTGGTTTTGACTAGGTTTTTTGAGGCAAATGTTGGCTTGGTTTCGACTCCGGACTTAACTGATCTTACCTCTATTACAGATGCTTCAGAATAGACAGGGTGTTCAGGGCGGTGGCGAATTACATTATAGAAACGATGGGCGAAGAGTACATAATGCCGCCGGTGATCAGTTTCGAGAATATCTACGAGCAGAGCAGCCCCACCACGCCCGTCGTGTTCATTCTGAGTCCCGGCTCAGATCCCACGGCCGAACTGATGAAACTCGGCGAACGGTACGTCTATCGAAAGGAGAACCCGTTCTGATTCAAACCATCTTCCCTAATCTAATCTACTCCAGATCATTGTAAATCATTCCAAAATCATTTTAAATCATCTAAATCGTTCTGTAACCTTCTGAATCGCTCTAAAAAAATCACTTCGAGACACTCTAAGACATTGAATCACTCTCAAACCATTCTGAATCATTCTAAAAGCCACCTAAATCATTTTAAAACATTTCTGAATCACTCTAAGCCCCATCTGAAACCAGAACTATTCAGAATCACTCGAAAACCATCTCCGTCGCAATAAAACTGTTCAGAATCACTGTAAGAACCTCACTAATCGAGTACTAACTAATTCATACATGTTAATGGTACTTTGTTCGTTCAGGTACGACTTCGCCGGCGGCAGGTTCAGGTTCCTGTCGCTGGGCCAGGGCCAGGAACCGGTGGCGCTCAACCTGTTGGACACGGCCATTTCGCGCGGCCTCTGGCTGATGTTCCAGAACTGCCATCTGTTGATCACGTTCATCCGCCGGCTGGAGAAGCAACTGGAGCGGATCAGCAAGCCGAATCCGGACTTTCGGCTGTGGCTCACCACCGATCCGGTGGCTACGTTTCCGGTGGGCGTGCTGCAGAGGTCGCTCAAAGTGGTCACCGAGCCGCCCAACGGTTAGAGATTCTTTTTTTTTTAAGAGGGTTTTAGAGGTTGTATTAGACTTTTTTTAGAGGGGTTTTAGAGATTTTTAGAAGGTTTTTAAAGGTTTTTAGAGATTTTTTAGTGATTTTTTAGATTTTTAGAGGGTTTTTTAAAGGTTTTTTGGAGGGTTTTAAAGGTTTTATAGAGGGTTTTTAGAGGTTTTTAGATGAATTTTTTTTCAGTTTTTTTAAGAGTTTTTTTTTGTATTTGTTAAAAAATTTCTTCTCTCCGGAATCTTATCTCTCCTAACTCATCTTTTTTGAATCTCATCTCCTAAATCTCACTTCTCCTAACTCTCATCTCTCCTGAATCTCATCCCTCCTAAATCTTATCTCTCCTAACTCTCATCTTTTCTGAATCTCATCTTTCCTACCTCTCCTGAATCTCATCTCTCTTGCCTCTCCTGAATCTAATCCCTGTTGAATCAATCTCATCTCTCCTACCTCTCCTGAATCTCCTCCCTGTTGAATCAATCTCATCTCTCCTAACTCTCATCTACTTGAATCTAACCTCCTGAATCACATCCCTCCTGAATCTCATCTCCCCTGATCCTCATCTCTCCTGAATCTCATCTCTTATGAATCTCATCTCTCCTAACTCTCATCTCCCCTGAATCTCATCTCTCCTAACTCTCATCTCCCCTGAATCTCATCTCCTGAATCTCACCTCTCCTGAATCTCATCTCTCCTAACTTTCATCTCTCTTAACAGCCACCTCTCACGTTCCTCATCTTCCAGGCCTGAAGCTGAACCTGCGCAACACCTACTTCAAGATGCGCGCCCAAACGTTGAACGAGTGCCCGCACCCGCTCTTCCGTTCGCTCGTCTTCGTCCTGGCCTTCTTCCACGCCGTCGTCCAGGAGCGACGCAAGTACGACAAAATCGGCTGGAACATCTGCTACGACTTCAACGAATCCGATTTCAACGTGTGCATCCTCATCCTCAACACCTACCTGACGAAGGCGCACCGGATGCGCGATCCGCGCGTCCCCTGGGGCAGCCTCAAGTACCTCATCGGCGAGGTGATGTACGGCGGTCGCGTCATCGACGACTTCGATCGGCGCATCGTCCGCACGTACATGAACGAGTACATGGGGGATTTTCTGTTCGACACGTTCCAGCCGTTCCACTTCTACAGGGACAACGTGGTCGATTATTACATACCGCCCGACGGTACCAAGGACGAGTACGTGCAATTCGTCGAGGAGCTGCCGCTGTCGAATACGCCCGACGTGTTCGGATTGCATCCGAACGCCGAGATCGGGTACTATACGCAGGCGACCAAGGAGATGTGGGCCACGTTGATCGAGCTGCAGCCGCAGACTAGTGAGTGTATTTCGTGATGATGAGGGTCGAGAGATTGTAGATGTGTGAGAGATGAGTCAGGAGAGATGGGTTATGAGAGATGAGTTAGAAGAGATGAGAGATGAAAGTCAGGAGAGACGAGTTAGGAGAGATGAGTAAGAAGACATGAGAGATGAGTTATAGGAGAAAATGGGAGATGAGAGATACCGATTTGGGAGAGGAGGAGAGTTGAGAATTAATAAGAGAGTCGAAAGAGTGAAGAGAGTGAGGAGATTTGTGCTGTGATTATTGGCTAGCAACGAATATTGTATAATAACAAGATTTTCTTAACTTATTTTACAGCCGGCAGTGGAGAAGGAATTAGCAGAGAAGAATTTATCGATTTGGTGGCCAAAGATATTTTGAAGAAAATACCGGAGGAATACGAAATATGGCGAGTGCGTCGGTACTTTCAAAGGACAATGTCTCCTACTGTTATAGTACTATTGCAAGAACTCGAAAGGTAATTGTATTAATCTCTCAACTCCCGTCTATCATCTCATTTCTCATACCTTTCATATGTATCTAATCATTCATATGTAACGATCATATTTATCTCCGAATGTCATCTCATCATCTCTCCTGACTCTCATCTCATCATCTCTCCTGACTCTCATCTCTCACCTCTCCTGACTCTCATCTCTCACCTCTCCTGACTCTCATCTCATCACCTCTCCACCATCACCTAATTTAGAGAGATAATTTCATTTTCCGGTTAATAGATTCAACAAATTGATAACGACAATCAGACGTACGCTGATCCAATTGGGCAAGGCGCTCGCCGGCGAGATCGGCATGGATTCGGTGTTGGACAACGTGGCCGTGTCGTTGTTCAACGGCCAATTGCCGGCGTCGTGGAGGAAATTGGCGCCGGCCACCTGCAAGAATTTGTCCACGTGGATGGAGCATTTCGAAAACAGGCAGGCGCAGTTTTTCCAATGGGTGAGGAGTCCGATTGCTTTGTAAACTATATACTTCATCCATCCAACCAACGGAGTAACCAAAACAATGTTAGACGCTGGATCAACGAGTGGATCAATAGATGCAAATGTGCATGGTGATCCAGCGTCTAATCTTGTTTTGGTTACTCCGTTGGTTGGATGGATGAAGTATAGATGTAGTAAATTTTCTGAAAAAAAAAATGTATTATCTTCCAGTCAACGTCCGGCGAACCGACGGTCTTGTGGCTATCGGGCATCCACATACCGGAAACTTATCTTGCGGCCCTCGTACAAATCGCCTGCCGTTTGCACAATTGGCCATTGGACAGGTCAACATTATACACTTCGGTCACGGAATACTTGGATCCCGCCGATGTTAATTTACGCCCACCCGCTGTAAGTACCTACCTGTACATTACCTGTCCAATTTGTGGCGATTTCCATTTCCGCAGGGCAATTGCCTGATAACGGGGCTCTATCTGGAAGGGGCCTCGTGGGACGTGGAGAACAGCTGCCTGAAGAAATCGAAACCGAAGGTTCTGATCGAACGGATGCCCGTCATCAAGGTGGTACCGATCGAAACGTACCGCTTGAAATTGCAGAACACGTTCCGGACGCCCGTCTATACGACGTCGTTGCGTCGCAACGCCATGGGCGTCGGTTTGGTGTTCGAGGCGGATCTGAGGACGACCGAACATTTGAGTTTGTGGGTGTTGCAGGGGGTTTGTTTGGTTTTGAATACCGATTGATTGATTGATTGATCGATTTTTTTAGTTTATTTGTTTATTAATAATTCGTATAATAAACGTGTGAAAATGTTTCGTTTTGTATAGATAATATTTTATTAGGGATTTTTTTATTATGGATATCTTCCGCGTCTTTTAAAATCTTCTTTAGGACGTTTTAAGATCTAAAAAATTAATCTAGTAATCTTTCTGAAAGAAAATTATCAGAATTTTCAAGCAATTATCGCTACAAATAATTAAATACCTCCCTGTACGAATCCAACTAACAAAAAGATGCACATTTAACATCGAATAACTACCTCATTATCTCGTACGATTCGCTCACAACAACATATCTTATCGCATTTGCTTATGAATTTATCTAAATATAATAAAACTCCGTTTATAAACAATAATTTTAATGGCCTACTAGAATGCTAGTAGGCTAGTTACTTACTCATCGAGCGCTACTAGTAGAATGTACTAGATCGAAATAAAACACGGCGGTTTCGAATTACAAATTTCTCGCTCGAAATCGATAAAATATCTCCAAGGCGATACATTCGAATTTAATTTAATTATAAATACAGTGATTATAACAAACATGGAGGAAGATATTGTTATGTTGCCCAGTGTCGTGACTTTTATTGATAACCGGGTGAGTTCTTTAACACTTTAAAAGACAGTTTTTCATTGTAATTTCTTTTTAATTCGTTAAACAACATTCCAGCTGTGCTACAACGGGCAAAACTGCCAGAAGATCCCGCCCAGCCTCGCCAAGCTCTACGGCTCTAAAACCGAAGCGCTGGATTTGAGCTACAACGAGCTGGTCAACATTAGAGGCGTCGAGGGGTTCCCGAACATTAGAGAACTCATATTGGACAACAACGAGCTGGACGACAACATCCATTTGCCCGACCTGCCTCGATTGCACACGCTCTCTCTCAACAAAAACAAGGCGAGACGAAATGTGTTTTTTTTTTTTTGGAAAAGTGCAAATATTCATGTGATAAATCATTTCTAGATACGGGATTTACCTTTGCTCTTGTCGAAGATATCGAAAAACCTACCAAACGTCACCTATTTGAGCCTGTTGGGCAACCAGGCCTGTCCCGACGAATTAACGACGATCGAAAACGACGAAAAAGACTATCAAAGATACAGGTAATTATCGTTTATCGCATTAGAATCCAATTTAATTATATTAATTACCTTTAATTAATTATCGGCAGGTATTACGTGTTGTCGCGTTTGCCGAATTTGCGATTTCTGGATTCGAAAAAAGTGTCGGGGCGTGAAATGGCGGAGGCGGCGCATCGGGGGAAGTACATGAAAATTATCAAGCCGGCGGCGGCGACGGTACAATCGGCCTGCTTCGATGATTTCCTATCGACGTTGGCCGATTATTTCACGCCTTTGCCCAAAACGCTGCGGAACGTGCACGATTACAAAGGTCTGGGATTTTTCGAATTCGCGCCGCGTTATCTGGAAAATTAAAATGAGTGAATTGAGAGATGGGAGAATTAAGATTTTTTGAAGGATGAGAGATTGGAGATTTTTTGATAGATAAGATTTGAGATTTTTTGAAGGATGAGAGATTGGGAGATTTTTTGAGAGATGAGAGATTTGAAAGAGAATCGCGCCATTCGTTGCGAAACGTAAGAGGAAAATTGAAGGAATTTCGAAAACAGTTGCAAAAAATAATTAGTTTTTTTGAAAAATATAGATTATAAATTATGTTTTTTACAGGCTCTTATGGAAAATGTCAGTACCGTTACAGCGGCAAACATTCCGAAGGCAACAGGTTTATATCAAACAAAGACTTGTAGTAAATAGACAATGGAATAATTTAAAAATGCATTTTTCATATGCATACCTACAATTTTTATATCATACTTTGTTTTCATTGACATTTTTATTATAATATAAAAAGAACTTTTTTAAAGTATCCTTCATTAACCAAAGAACACAGTTTTCAAAATGTTTTAATTATTTTAAGTAGTCTTAACCACGAGCGGTGAAAGACCGTCGAAAATTCGTCGACTAAATTAATCCAAAAAGTATTTACTTACTAATTAATACTAATTTCAAATAAATCAAATACGACGAATTATTAAAACTAACAATAAATCGATGATCCCTTACGAACTAGTATGTACAAAAGTTTAAAGTTAATTGATGAACACGCACACGTACAAAAAAATCTGTACAAGCTCACTATATCATATACATGTATATAGAATAATAAAAAAAATTGTCCCAAATATAGTGTTTTGTAACGGTCCAATAATATATTGGACGATTGATTACGCAATTAAATTAAATTAGACGCACGATGTCATGGAGTCGGCCCAATCAGCTTCTTAGTTTCCTCCGGATTCGTTTTTACCGCGTTCTCCTCACCTACAAAAAAAATTTACACATCAATTATAACTGTACTAATCCGACTTAATGTAATTTATCAACCGAAAATCGCGCACATACCTTTCTCCGATTTAACCTCCTCCTTCACCTTATCCTCGTCCTTGTTATCGCCGCCACCGGCCCCGCCGCCGCCGCCGCCTCCTCCGGCGCCGCCCTTATCCAATCGCGGCCGCTTCCTGCCCTTGTAACTGCGATTATCCCGCCGCTCGCCCTCGCCCTCGTCCTCGCTATCCGAAAACTCGTTCTCCGGCACGATCCTCTTATCGACATCCTTCTGCGGCAGCCGCTCGTCCTTGTCCGCCTTGTCCTCGTCCTCCGATTCCTCGTTGATCGCGTCCTCGGGCACCGCCTGCACCTGGACGCCGGGCGCGTGCGGCAACATGCGCAGGTTCTCGAACAATCTCGTCTTGATCTTCTCGAGGTACTCGGGCGTATTCTGGTTGGCCATGTTGCTCGGGCTGATGTGCAACTTGAAATCGGGCCCGAAGTATTCGAAGTAATCGTTGTAGGGTAGCTCGTTGGCGATTTCCACGCCGAGCGCTACCGATGTTTCGTACGTCCAGGCTCTCGATACGTTGCGAATGGTGTAACCGCCGCCGCCCACCATCATAAACGGCAGGTTGTATTTCTTCACGAATTCCACGCATTTACCGTGGCCTTTTACCGTTAGATTAAAGCAACCCAATCGGTCGCCGGTCAACGAATCGGCGCCGCATTGTAGCACGACGGCGCTCGGTTGGAACGTTTCCATTACTTTGCTGATGATCGGTACAAATATGCTTTCGTACGCCTCATCGTCCATACCGTCTCTGAGCGGTATATTTACGGCGTAGTACTTCCCTTTGCCGGCTCCGATGTCCCTCAAATCGCCCGTGCCGGGGAAGTACTCGCCGTATTTGTGAAACGAAACGGTCATCACACGATCGGTGGTGTAGAAAGCCTCTTCGACGCCGTCGCCGTGGTGCACGTCGATGTCGATGTAGAGGACGCGCTGGTGGTACTTGAGCAACTCCAAGATGCCCAAGACGATGTCGTTGACGTAGCAGAAGCCGGACGCCTCGGATTTCTTGGCGTGGTGGAGGCCGCCGCCCCAATTGATGCATATCTCGCTGGCCTGTTTGTTGAGTTTGACGGCGGCGGCGACGGAACCGCCGGCGGAGAGTTGGCAGAATTCGTAGAGGCCGTCGAACACCGGGCAATCCTCGCCGACGTTGAACCGTTGCATTTGCTTGTTGTATTCGGACATGTTGTCGGGACGGATCGATCGGAGGAATCTGATGTAGTCGTCCGAGTGGAACTTGGTCATCTCCTCGGCGGTCGCTTTGTGAGGTCTCTAAGTAGATACATTTCGAATTTTTAACATCCGTATAAACAATTCTGTATTTACAATTTACTCACGTATATCTCCATTTTGCGGTACAATCCGTAATTTAACAGCAAATTGTGGGTCATACGTATGCGGTGGGGTTTCATGGGGTGGCCCTGGCCGTAGTAGTAATTCCCGATGTCGCCTGGAATACGAAAAACATTGCGATTTACGAAAAATCCTATAATGGTGGAGTAACACGGTCGACTCGTAGTCGGGCTACCGTAGAAACTAGCATCATGGCTACGTCACGCCGACGGCCGGCCAATCGGGTGGCTTCCTTTCGTACGGTCGCCATTAGTCGCTCGTGATATTCTGGTTTTATGGTTTCGAAAAGTGTATTTCGCGGAAATAGCGAGTGGCAATTTCCACGCCGGCGAATTAAATATAATATTTATACAAGAGAAATAAACTAAAGAGAATTTCGAGATACTAGTCGAGATTTAGTTAATAAATAAACGTTATTTCAACTTACTGTCGTAGTAGTAGCAAACTCGCTTTCTGCTGTGCGGTTGTGTGGTCATCTTGTTAGAATTGGCTTACTTTTAAACAAACTGATATCACGTACTTTTATTATAAATAAAGCTAGAAAAAAAACTGCACGAACGCCAAACCAATGCGACGCGTTCTGCCGCTTAATTTATTCGTAGGCAATGCAATGCGCATGGCATGCACTCAGCACTAATGACATTTGACATTTATAATGACAGTTCTATTTGTGCATGCGGCCTTTTACTATACGGTTATACAAACTTCGTGGCATAGAGAAGGAAAGATGTATATTATTTCATCGGACCTCTCTCTTTGGTAGTAGCGCAAGTAGCGCAACTAACCGACTATTTCGTTGGTGAAAGTTTGTCAATGATGGTAAGTGTACAATGCTTATTTAACTATCGCAATTTATAAATAACGTGATGAAGTTTAGCCAAATTTGAATATTCGGCTTTGCGCCTTGAGTATCATGACAAAAAACATTTTCGAGAGCGATTTTTAAACGAATTATCTGACAAACTAATCACGATATTTCCGTTAGCTTCTCTAGAAACACTACCTTACACACTCTTTTATTTCAGGTGAATTAAAACGCGAATTCCAAACCATCGTTACCTGTCAATTAGGCAACCAATTTCACATAATGACATAATTTCACGCAAGTGAAGTTAGCTCCGGACGAACAGACTTTTGCAGGTTATAATGTAACATTTAACGTTTCCAATTCAATTTACCCAACTTAAAGCTGTTATGAACGTTATAACACGCCCATTAATTACTACTAAACCGTTTCTATCGATTTTACGCAACGCCCGTACGACAACGCTAAATCTCTCGAACGGCCCCAACAATGCTTCGAGAGCCAAAGGCATCAGGTCCACCCTGTATTACGTGACCGCCGCCGGCGTAGTAACCGTCGGCCTCAGCTACGCCGCCGTGCCCCTTTACCGCCTCTTCTGCCAGGCCTACAGCTATGGTGGGACGGTAGCCACCGGCCACGATGCGGATAAAGTCGAATCGATGTCGGCCGTCAAGAACAGGCCTTTAAAGATCAAATTCAACGCCGACACCGCGGCCAGCATGAGGTGGAACTTCAAACCGCAACAGTCCGAGATTACTGTAGGTATCGATGAAGTTTGTGTTTGATACGATCAAGTTACCTTTGGAGTTTGTTTCGATTAACGAAACGCTTATTTTTGTGATATTGTACATTATTTTCTGTAGGTGTTTCCAGGTGAGACTGCTCTGGCTTTCTATACGGCTAAGAATCCTACAGACGTGCCTGTGATTGGTATAAGTACTTACAATGTGGTACCGTTCGAAGCCGGACAGTATTTCAATAAGATACAATGTTTCTGTTTCGAGGAACAAATGTTAAATCCTCACGAACAAGTATGTATGTTCTGATTAAATGTAATAGGATTAATTAGTTGTGTTTGTAGGTGGATATGCCAGTATTTTTTTACATCGATCCGGAGATAACGGAAGATCCTTACATGGAGTTTGTAAATGAAATAACGTTGTCGTACACGTTCTTCGAAGCCAAAGAGGGGCTCAAATTGCCGCTTCCTAGTTTCATGCAAAGTAAATGAATAGTTGTAATAGTTTTTGTATTTAAATTATGATTGTTAGATTAAAAGTTGTTTTAAAAAAGTTGGTGTATTAATTTTGTCGTTACCCGTCGAAATAACCCCAAGACAAAATAGCAGCCCATACATAAATAGATCAAAGACAAAATCTCTAGAGACAAAATAGCCCATACATAGATAGATCAAAGACAAAATCGCCCAAAATTTGGGGTATTCGGTCTTGGGCGATTTTATCTTTGGGATGTTCTAAGGAGATACCTGTTTTTGTACAGTTAACAATATTTTCATAAACGACATTGAGAATACTATTATGATCGACGTGCGAAAAATCCAAAGATGAATCAACCTCGAATTTAATTGCCCAGGAATTTCAATTCCTCGCTACGTATTATTGATAAACCTACGGAAAAAAATAACTGGAATACTTCTTAATTAGTCAGAGACTTATTAATTTCGATGAATGTCGCCGGAAAACCCGCGTAAACTGCCCGATTGTTATCAACAATGGAACCGATCGCCCGCTAATGTGACTGTGTTTTGTAAGAACGCAGAAATAACATGTTGTGAGTGATCGAGAGAGGAGAGGTAGAAGTAGAAGGTTGGTGGATTTTTTATTTTGTAATTATTATCAGTAGGCAATTAATTATCAGACGGTGCGCGATGAAAGTCTATTACTTGCTCGGTATATTGATGGTCGCTGCCGTTGGGCGTGCTGCCGCTCAAAATGAAGAAATTGAAGATAGTGTGGAAAATCGACAAGTGAAAAAAGTTAGTATGATTATTTTATTGTATAACAAAAATCTATTAACAGTGAGCAGTTGAATTAATTGCATCTAAATTGCATCAAATAATTTCACTTTGAAAGTATTTTCATGAAATTTGCTCAAATGTTTCTACCTTTTACACTTTTTTAATGAAATTTGCAACAAATATTCCCCATTTATACTGCTTTCATAAAATATATAACAAAATATACTTCCCTAATGCAATTTTATCATGATATTTGCATAAATTCTTCCTCCCTAACATGATAATACTGTTTTCATGAAATTTACATCAAATACTTTACATGCAAGCATCAAATTTTCCTCTTTTTTACATATTTTTAACGAAATTTGCAACAAACCCTCCCTCATTTACATCAAATTTCGAAATTTGCATCAGATTTCTCCCTATTTCTACAACATTTTTCATGAAATTAAACTCGGATCAAACAACTATACAGTCCCCCAATCGCCACTAACTGACCGATTAACTGCAATTTATAAGAATAATGTAAATATTAAATGGATTGCATATATAAATTTCAGGTAAACGTGACCGTCTACTACGAATCGCTCTGTCCGTTCGCCAGGGATTTCATCGTAAACCAGTTGCGTCCGACGCTTCGGGGAAATCTCAGTCGTTACATTAATTTGGAATTAATACCGTACGGCAAGACGAACGTAAGTGTTTCGAAATCCCCCACACAAAACACAAAACACGTCCTAATAACCGGTCGCAACTAATCATCGCAGAATTTTCCACAATTTTTTACCAATATAATTGATCATTTCTCGATGGTTGGGGAGAATATTAACAAGCTGGCAACATCGGATTATTTCGCTTTTACGTATTGACATATAACGTGTGTCTCAATTTCTACATTTGTATGTGTTAAAATCTCGAATATTGGGGAGAAAATTAACAATGTGGCAACGTCGGATTATTTCGTATTTTTTAGATATACGGGGCGGCTCAATTTCATTATTTATATAACTAAAATCGCGAATATTGGGGAGAAAATTAACAACTTAAATGTCACTCTTTCCTTTTCCTTTGTAAGTGTCCCCCATTTTCTTCTCGAAACGTCAAAAAAACAATTTTTTTGACACTTTTGACAGCTTGAACTGTCGTCTCACAACCGCGATTTATACACTGTGTTCCATTTCCGATTGCAACATGGTCATTTCTATGAGTGGAACAAAGTAAGATTATTGAAATAAGTAAAATAACAGTTGTCAGAGTGAAAAGTTGCAATGACACAAATCAGTCACTCTTTCTTTTTCCTTTATTAAGTGTCTAATTGAAGTTGTCATTGTTGCACCCACAGCCTACGTGAAACAATGGAGTAATCTGTATACATAGCATATGCAGCGTTCATTCTAATCCGCTCGTGACGTCACGCCTTGTTAACCTAACTTTTATTCCATGTTTTCTGATTACAGAGAACATCCGATTACAACGGCAACGCGACGTTCTCGTGCCAGCACGGCCCCGAAGAGTGCTACGGCAACTTGATCCAGGCGTGCGCGCGCGACTTCATCGACTCGGACGCCCTCTACGCCGAGTTCGTCGCCTGCTACATGGACGCCGTGCATCCGCCGGCGTCGCGACGCCTCATGGACGAGGCGGCGGAGGCGTGCGCGACGCCCGCCGGCCTGGCGGCGTCGCGGCTGCGCACCTGCGCCAACAACACCTTCGGCGTGGAGCGGCTGATCCACTACGGGCGGCTGACGGACGCGTTCGCGACGCCGCTGCGGCGCGTCCCGACGGTCGCCTTCGAGGGCGTCGACGACGAGGCGGCGAGCGAGGCGGCGCGGGCGTCGTTCGCGGGGGAGGTGTGCAGCAGGATCGAACCCCCCAGGCCCGCAGAATGTAAGTATGTAGCGGGATTGAGAGAGGCGAGGCGAGGCGAAGCGAGGCAAGGCGAGTTGATAGGCGATTATTCAATATTAATCACTAAAAAACATTCGCGGTTTATCCCCTTTTTTGAGTCAGGTCAAGACGAGCCGAGCCGAGCCAAGCCTAGGCGAGCTACTCAGTTTATTCCGGGTCTTAATTGGAGTTTGTGCATTGTAAAATTTTAGGTGAAGACGTTAAGATAGTACAAAGAAACGGAGGAGTGACTGTTAGAACGGCTGTATGGTCGTTCTTGTGGCTGGTACTTCCGCTAATTCGAGCTGATAGGCTGTTTATGTGGTGATAAATGTTACTAAATATGATCCTGATTATGTTAATGACACTACGATTATGATAATGACGCAAATTAAGTTAAATCATAAGGAAATCTAGTCTTTAATCGAACGTAATTTTAACGCGCTATATACAGCGCATTCTCACTCTGTAGATATGATGTTATAAGATAAAATAAATAATTATTTTACGATCATTTCGTGTTAATCATTTACAATAATTGTCGATTAAATAATACTGTTGCAAAACGATTACAATTAAATGCGCAAAAGCGTGGATTAATCAACGTTGGAAAAAAAGATACAGGCGCAGCGGGCGTCGCGACGCTACGCGGCGTCCCTGCCCTACTTGATTATCGATTTTCCTATCCCTTGGATACGGAATTTTCCCGGCTATCCAGATCCATATTGGCCTTCTGCAGTGCAACGTAAGCGATCCGTGAATGTGTTCTTTTACAGGATTTGGTGAGTTCAGTTTTTATATGCGCTAATTTTTTATTTTTTTGCGCTATTTGGGGGTTTGTTTTGTCGAATATTATATCGAAAAGGGTGTAGTATAATTTGTATTTATTTTCGCAAAATAAATTCACAAAGCTGGTCGTTCAAGGGCGGTATGATTTTGTGTTATTAAGCGCTTATTTACGCTTTATTTTATAAATTCTTGCGCATTTTGTTAGATTTATTTATAATAATAAAGCGAATTAAACAAATTATTTTTGTTTCAGATATTCGCAAATGCGCGTCTACAACACTAATTAATTCGATTTTTTTTCAGCATATCAATTAACCAATTATTTTCTTTCAGCAATTTTAAACTTAACTTATTTATTACCTGAAATTTGGCACAGTATCGAAACCATTTAATTGACAATTTTCTCCTCTCGATTTAGGTTAATTTAAACTCTAACCGATTGTTTTCCAGGTTCCCTTTATTTAGCGAAACTAGGAAACCAAACGAAGAACGCCCAAGGTAAGAATATCGCAATATTTAGCGCATATCATATTGCGCTAAACAGCGCATATTGCACAAGAAAACTCGAAAAATCGAGTAGCAGAAACATTCGAATACATTTGAAGCGAATAGAGTGGTTTAGCGCAATATAATATGCGCAAATTTAGCGCAAATCTTCGGTTTCTAAATCGTTTTTCGTCGATTAGGTAACCAGGCGTTGAACGTGTTCAGCGACGAGTTCAAAAAGGAGGAGAACGATCTCGTCGAGAACGATTTCATAAAGAACATATGCGCTAAAATGCAGGGCGAAAAACCGGCCGGTTGTCTGGGCAGCGCAGGCGCCAGTTCGTTTTTCATCTTAAACCTGGGACTTTTAGTACTATTAACATTTACCGTTTACGTCTATTAGGCTTGTTAAGGTTGGTAACATTGACGGGGTGTAGAGCGGGCGTCTGCGATAAAAAATGCTTTTTTTTATCGGAAACGTCCGTCTTATATCGTTGTTTTTCATTATATTAGTCGTTTATACAGGGTGTCCGTTCGATACCTAAGATATCGGGTGATTGATTACATTACGAAGTTTGACATTTGACATATGGGAGGTAAAAATTCATTCGATATCGAAGCGTATCGATTTTATTGCATTCTGTTAAGTAATGTGATCATGAAAAATGTATATATTATTGTAATTAAAAACAACATCTTGATGTTTTATATTGGCGTTTATGCAATTAAAATGGATTACGGAGAAACTGCATGTGTGCGCGATGTTGCCATATCGCGGGATTTTTCGCGCATTTAATTGGATAAATTAAGGCCGTATCGCCCGATGTGTAACGCATGTCTTTGATTATTTGTATAAACGGGGCGATTTAGGTAAACGAGAAAGTATATAGAGAAAAAATCGAAACATAAATACAGGGTGAATTTCGCAATAATATAAAAAAAATATTGTTTTAGCTAATTAATGGACCAATGCGATTCGAATTTGTTGATTTCTTGCGAACGTTTACAGGGAATTGAAATTTCCCCGAATCCCCCCCTGTGCATTTATCGCTAAATAGAGGTGGGATTCAACTTTAAAGTCCAGTTCCAAAATAACTTCTCCCGTTACTCGACGTTGATTTGTTAGATTTAGTGCCAAAAAAAGAGAGCTTATCTAAATCGCCGCCTGCTATGTATATTCAACTTTAACCCGTTAAAATTATAAACTAGTACATTAATGGCATTACGATTAATCGATTATAAATAGAGATGAATCTGTTGCTCCGTACACGCGCGAAAATTCGAAAATGACATTTTTGACGGATATGACGCACGATAACTAGATGTACTAGGTGAATCGCCGAAAAAATAAGATTTAAGTCGTGTAAATACAATTGGGAAAGTGTCGAGCGCAACAGATCGTGTGTATTTTGATTTTCTATGAAAAAAAAAAAGGGTTTGGTAATCCTGCAAGTTTGTTTACCGAGTTGGATAAAAATGTAATTTGCACGGTTGCGAAATTAAAACGTCCATTATTAACATGATTAGAGGGATTGTTGTATTTTTTTATCGATTGCGTTAGATTTACTATGTATAGAACGATTTATTCGTTTTGGATTTTCTTACGATTTTTCGCGTAAAACCGTTTTTCTATTATAAAGCCTGGTTCAGATGCGAATTGCGAATTCGGTTCTGATTGGTCGATTTCAGTATCGGAAAATTTGACAGCTTCAATTTTTAATTGACATTATTGACATTAAAGACAGGAAAACTCGATTAACATTGACATATTGGCATGCGAATTTCGTTTTGTTATATGGAAATACCTCTAAAAATTGGGATTTTTTTATTATTAAGTTCGCAATTCGCATCTATATGAACTAGGCTTAAAACTCCTGTTTGTTGACATAAATTTCCGTAGAATGCAATTGTTGAATTCTGCATAAAAAATGACAGTTGTGATACTTCTCTCGACTAAAAATTTAGCCAATCCTAAACGAAAATTTAATTATATCGACGAAAGACGTAATTGAAAATTTGAAGTACTACACAGGGTGCACACTTTTGTATTAAAATCGCATTAATTCGAAATCAATTGGCCTAATTTTACGCAAACACACCGATTTTTTTTATCAACTTAGTAGTTTTTTTGACGTTTTAACTGTCAACACTCGTCTGTGCTGTCAATTGTAATTTTTGTTTTTAACGTTGGTCACACTGGGATTAATACGATTTTCGAAATGAACAAGAACCCGTCTTGATTTTTTAGATAGAAAATGGATCAGTGTCAAAATAAACCTTCCGCTTTTTATGTAATTAAATTTATGAGTAAGTGAAAAAAAATTACTAAAAAAATAGAGTAGATTAGTAAAAAAAAAAGTTAACCTTCTTAACCATATAAATACCATGGTGTTATTAGATGTTGGTTTAGGTACATACCGTGATTAAGACTTAAAGATTTTTATATGTATGTATATAATATAATAAGTATATAACATCAACTTTGAGAAATGAAGCTTCAAAACGTGTAAATTAACATTATTAAGGCGGTTTGTTTGGCCAAACTTGAATTTTCAGTTCGTTTGTTTTAACCTTGAATAAATTTAACTATTGTTTAACAAATTGCCGTTTTATTAAAACATCTACAACCCTTTTTACTCCCGCGTGTTACTCACAATACTTTGTCTACGATCATTCATTATAATACATTATAAACACTGCAGTGTTCATCAACTAATGTTTTTCCACGGTCTTACAATACATGTCTGGAAACTACCCATTTTTGTGGAGGAGGGGGTGTCCTGCTAAACAAATATATTTGGAATACTTCTAACTTACGAGGGTAGAGTGAAAAGTTCTCGGCCTGAACCATTTAGAACGCTCCAGAGTCATTTAAAACGCTCTAGAATCATTTAGAACCGTCCAGAATCATTTTGAACTGTCTAGAACTGGAGACCCCTTCAACTGGAGTTTCCAGACCTGAATGTAAAACCGCGGTTTAGTTTTTTTTCTAAGTTCACTCTAGGTAAAGGGACGTAACTTTAAATTAATACTAAAAAAAACAACATAAATGGTATTTATATATAAAAAAAGTTTTTCGTTTTACCTACAATCAAGCTATTACAGAGCCGAATAGACAATTTTCTCTGCATACTTTTTTTATTAACATCCACATTTCTATACTTAATCCATCCTACAATTAAAAATAAATTATAATACGCATATTTCATATAAGTATATTATGTAATATAAAAAAAGCACATATTCCAACTTTTAATCGCTATATTAAAAGGACTAGTTTATTTGGTAAAACATTTCGTTAGTACTTATGTGATACAATTTGTTTTAAATAAATAAATAATAAAAGCTACAAGTCGATTACAAAAAACAAAAAAGAAATTGTAAAACAAATTAATAAGGGAGTAACCCCGTCGAATAAATTAATGCAAAAACCACACTATTTCGGTTAATTCGCGATGACGCGCCGATGACGTCACGCACAGACAGAATCGAACGAACTATACATGCAAATAACATACAGGTTGCTCCATTTTTGATTGCAATATAGGCTATATAATCAATGGGTGCGATAAAGACAACTTCCATTAGACACTTACAAAGGAAAAGGATAGAGTGACATTTGTGTCATTGCAACTTTTTCACTCTGACAGCTGTCATTTTAATAATCTTTCTTTGTTCCACTCATAGAAACGACCATGTTGGAATCGGAAATGGAGCAAGGTGTATAATACGTTCGCGGTAAATCGAACGTGACGTCACGGCCGGATTAAAGCGAACAACGTACTTAATAAAACGTATTTAACAAATTGGAATGAGCGATTTTTCTTCTTCATCTTCCACATTTTTAATAGGAATTATTCTACATAAACGAAACTATGTGACAAAAAGTAAAACGAAAAAAAAAAAACGACAGCACTTTCAACAACTTTTACAAATACCAATGAATTCGATAAACAAAGTGATCTAATCTACCCGCCCGCCTCTCGTTATATAACATTTAGCGCGCATCGTAAAATTATCGATTTATTTTAATCGTTTAGCAAATTTGTACCCAAAAATTCCACCAGGGAAACCCGATTTAGGGGGTTTATCGATCCGATCGATTCGACCGAGAACTGTTCGCTATTACAACAAATAAATCGAATCGATCCGGTTCGAAAACGTCGAATTATTATTTTTTTTTATGTAACAAGCGGATTCGTAAAAAAACTTCCAAATCCCAGCGAATTGTAAGGAAATATCGACGCGCCGGCAACACTGTTAACTGTTTGACCAAATATTGACAAAAACGTCCAACTAACAACACCAATTTAAAAATACCTAATTTAACGAATATCGGAGAATCTACAGGGTGTTAATTAATCGAGTGCCGATACTTCGGGATGTGAATATTTCGATGGTTTTAAGAAGAAAAGTTTATATGAATATATGTCCTAAACCTCTTAGTTTTCGAGCTACAGGAGTGTTGAAATTTTAGAATAGAAAAATAACTTTTCTATCATACTTTTCTTATTATTTTTATGAAACTATAAACTTTAAAACTTATAAACTTTTCTTCTTAAAATCATCCAAATATTCACATCCTGAAGTATCGTCGCTCAATTAATTAACACCCCGTATTTCTTACATTTATCGGACACATTTTGAACACAGAAATGGCCATTCAAAATAACCAACAAAGTTTGTCCTAACAAACGCTACGAGAGTAATGGAGTTTTGACGAAAAATAGTTTACTAACTTTGTTAGAACAAACCAATTTAGTGTTTGGAGAACATAACATTTATTGGAGAGTATATAAACGAGCTTTCGGAGTAAAAATGGAGTTGGGCCAACTGCACCCAAACATTATTTTGTGCGTGAGGATTTCTAGACCAGAAGAATACTCGGAAGGGTAAGCGATTTTATCGGAAGCACGACTATAAAAAGTAATCCAATCGCATGTCAACAATTTGTACGTATCGTTTAACAATTTATAGTTTTTTTTAAAACGAAAAAAAAATAAATCCATCAATATTTGGTCGCGAAAGAAGACTTCCTCCTTCGACAATTATTCGCCAACTATAGCTTCACAAAACAATCGTCGTACTAATTTCGCAAATTTATTATTACTTATGTTATTTGCATCTCTCTATCGTTTCGCCTTCAACGGTTGTTTTATTCTTTTTGTTTATATAGGTTTGTTTTTTTTTTTATATAAATGGCAGCATTCTGGCTATGTGCAACAACAGCCGCAGGGCGTTGCTCCAGAGGCGTCGCAGGGGGGCGTAGCGCAGCGCCAAAAAGTGCCAAATGCACAATACAGACAACACTTGTGTGATTTTGTACGTCCAATATAACCTAGATACCTGCCTCCTGGCCTTCGGTAACGTCGAGGCGTCTTCTTTGAATATAAATCTAAAAAAAAAAAACAATTACGATATAATCAATTATTACTATACAGGATGTCCCGCGTAAGAACCGAAACGGAATAGAAGAGCGCGTAGAGGAGTCCTATAACTTCTTAGGTATGTGAGTTATTTGTAATAAGTAAGCACTATTGCGAGAGTAAGTTGAATAGTTCTCGGTCTGTCATTTAGAACTTTCTAGCGCAATCTAGAACTTCCCAGTATCATTTGGAATTGTCCAGAACCATTCAGACAGCTCCAGAATAATTTAGAACCGTTTGGAACGCTCTAGAATCATTCAATACGCTCAGGAATCCATTTAGAACTATAAATAATCATTTAGAACCATTTAGAACGTTCAAGAAGCATTTAGAACGGTCTAGAACCATTTAGAGCGATCTAGAATCGTTTAAAACGCTTATAAATCCATTTAGAACTGGTCTAGAATTATTTAGAACCTTCCTTAATCATTTAGAATGTTCAAAAATCCATTTAGAACTGTCTAGAATCATTTAGAACGTTCCACATCCATTTAGAACCATTTAGAACGTTCAAGAAGCATTTAGAACTGTCTAGAACGCTTCAGAACCATTTAGAACTGTCTCGAACTGAAGATTTTGACTAAATAAAATGAATAATGTAGTTTTTCAACCGATAAATCGCGGTTTTTTCATTGTCAGGCCGAGAACTTTTCACATTACCCTCGTATTTCGGGGTTCCTCTACGCTCCCCGTTGTTCTGTGCCGGTTCCAACTTTCGTTTCGTTTGGGTTAATTTCATGGAAATTTTGTACTGACCTTCTAATGCCCAAAACGTAATTTTCTAAATAATTGTTCCAATCTATTTTGGCGACGTCGAAACAAAATTCCTCCCTATCCGATTCGCTCAAAGTCAACGCCAACTGTCTGACGTTCTCGTCGTCGAATCGCCATTCGTTCGTCGCGAAATATTCCAAACACACGGCGGCCTTGTCTAATTTGTCTTGTATCCTTAATAATCTGCGAAAAAGAAAATAGATAATTAACGTTCGATTTCGACTCTTACACACTAAAGCGATATTACAGCACAACTATCCCCGTGCCCACAAAATAACGGTTATTTCGTAACAGTCGTTACTGCACCTCTACACCAAAAAAAAACCGATCCCCAACTCTATTAAACTTCCGTCATACCAAATGTCATTAACGTCAATTTCGATAACGTTTAAGTATGATCGAACGCATCTTAAAGACCCACCCTCTACAAACGTCATAGGAAATATCTTACATGGGTTTGCCGCCCCAAATCCGCACCACCGTATCCACTACGTAGGCGGGCAACCAATGCAACAGGTACTTCCTCACGTTGTTGACGTACCGATGCGACGTCACCGAACCGGCCGGATAAAACGACACGTCCATCACCGGATGCTTTCGACTGTATTTGAAGCACAAGTGCACGAAATCCTTCCATTTGATCGGCTTTCGCATGCCTACGAATAAGTAATAAGAAACGATTATTTCGCTTAAAACAACAAGAAAAATTAAGTAAGTACCTGTACAACAGTTATACACCAATATTTCCTTCGATGGACTGTGGGCTATCCTCCAAGCCGATACGATCATCAAATTTATAACCATATCTACCGGTACTAAATCGGCTATTTTATTGGGATCGCACAACATCGTTCTGAACAGACCTTTACCAGCTGCCGCTATAATACCTAAAAATATAAATCTATAGTACCCTATAGTATAGACTAGTATATGAAGGTATAAGGTGAAAAGTTCCCGACCTGAATCATTTAGAACTGTCTAAAACAATCTAGAACGCTCTGTAGTTTTTTAGAACCATTTAGAACGTTCCATAGTTATTTAGGAAGCTCCAAAATCATTTAAAACTGTCTAGAATCATTTAGAACTCGCTCCAGAATCATTTAGAACTGTTTAGATTGTTCCAAAATCATTTAGAACTGTCTAGAATCAATTATAACTCGCTCCAGAATCATTTAGAACAGTTTAGAGAGTTCCAAAATCATTCAGAACGTTCCGAAATCATTTAAATTTGTCTACAACCATTTAGAACTCGCTCCAGACTCATTCAGAACTGTTCAGAACGTTCCACAATGATTTAGACCCGTCTAGAACCACTCGGAACGCTCCAGAACCATTTAGAACTCCCGTCGCCGAGAACCCGTCACCTTACCCTTACAGCACGCCAAAAACCAGCACGAGAAGAGGCCAGAAAAAGAAAAAAAAGAAGAAAAACCGGAAAAAACTCTTACCGGTCGGACCGTTCCAATTGTCCACCCAACCTTTGAGCGGCTCGTTGATGCTGCTCAAGACGATGCTCGGCCGGATGACGACCAACGGCAGATCGCCCTTGTTGTCTTTGAGCCAGCTCTCGGCCAGCGCCTTGGTGAACGTGTACGTGTTGGGCCTCTTGCCGATCAGTTCGCCGGTCAACGAATCCACCAGGTCCTCGTCGAGCGCCTCCACCAGCGACACCACCTGGGCGGGGCCGATCGGCGGCGGGTAGATCGTCTCCTTCACCTCGTACCGGTCGCAATTGCAATAGGCCGTCGACACGTGCACCTAGATGATCAAGATAGCGAATAGCGTCAAATATACTGCTACCAAAAAAACAAAAAGGTGAGGGATGAGAGTCAGGAGAGGTGAGAGATGAGAATCAGGAGAGATGAGAGTAAGGAGAGATGATGAGATGAGTCAGGAGAGGTGAGAGATGAGGTTTAGGAGGGTTGAGAGATGAGAGTCAGGAGAGATAAGAGTCAGGAGAGGTAAGAGATGAGAGTGAGGAGGGTTGAGAGATGAGAGTCAGGAGAGATGAGAGGAGAGGTTTGTAACTGAACTGTAAACGTACCAACGCCTCGAGCTGGTGCATCCTCTTGCAGAGCTCGACGAGCCGTTGGGTGCCCAACATGTTGATGGTGACCGACAATTTGAGTTTCTCGTCGAATTTGACGGTGGCGGCGCTGTGAAAGACGACGTTGACGGTACGTTCGAGTACCGCCCGATCGGACGGGCCGATGTTCAATTCGGGCTGGGTGATGTCGCCTTCGATGGGCAACAGCTTGTGCAGGTCCATCGGTCGTTCCTTTCGGATCGTATCGAACAGCTGGAATCCAACCGGTTAAAATTGTTTATTAAAAAACTATCGAATTTAGAGAGTGCAATTTTAGCCCTGAGCGCAGTTTTATAAGTACCGAATCGAAGCCTATTTTAATAGGGAAAAGACAATATGTCTAGGACAATCTAGTACGCTACAGAATCATTTAGAGCTGTCTAGAACCATTTAGAACGCTCCAGAATTACCTAGAATCACTTAAAACGCTTCAGAACCATTTAGAACGCTCCAGATTCACTTAGAACTGTCTACAACCATTTAGAACGCTCCATAATCAAATTAGAACTGTCTAGGACCATTTAGAACACTCCATAATCAAATTAGAACTGTCTAGAACCATTTAGAACGCTCCATAATCAAATTAGAACTATTTAGAACCATTTAGAACGCTCCATAATCAAATTAGAACTGTCTAGAACCATTTAGAACGCCCCATAATCAAATTAGAACTATCTAGGACCATTTAGAACACTCCATAATCAAATTAGAACTGTCTAGAACCATTTACAACGCTCCATAATCGAATTAGAACTGTCTAGAACCATTTAGAACGTTCCATAATCAAATAAGAACTGTCTAGAACCATTCAGAAAACCCCCAGAAACGTTCAGAACCGTCCCGGAGTAAAGGTTTCGACTTAACAAGAATAGCAATGGAAAAATGTCGATTAATAAAATTGAACGAAGGTCGCGGTACTTTCGATCGAAAAGAGTGGCGGTACTATTTTCGAAGGAACTGTTCGAAAACGGTACCGAGAAAGAGGAAACGAACGAGCGCGTATATCGAACAGCCGTGACCCGGTTAAAAGCGATCGAGCGGGTGAAAGTACGGAAAAGAAATGGAAGGATCGAATCGAAGATGAAAAAAAAAATGTAAATAAATCGAAACAAAGTTCAAGTGCGACTACTTAGGAGAGAGAAAAAAAAGCGGCGTTGCCGGTGCAGAGGTCCTAAAAAGTAAAAGGCCGATTAAACTGTGATAAAAACATATATGTCATTTTATCGAAATGTCAAGTTTTTGAAAGATTTCATTCCTACTAGATTTTTAAAGTTAACAGTACTTTAGTAATGTTGAATAGAAAATCAACAACCTTTTTTTATGTAAAAAAACTTATTTCGAGATTCTCTACTCGCTCCCAAAGTTCGACCACTTATTTCAGAAACACCCTGTATATGTTTATTCAAACGACCCACCTACATTTTATCGCGAATTCGCATTTCAACGTCTTTATATTATGCATTATAATGACGAATCCTCGGTTTTGGGCCCGTTTCCGGCTCGGCATCCAACCAGCTTTTTTTTAATAATAAATTATACAGTGAGGTCGAAACAATAACGCTTCTAAAAATAATAAACTAACGACTCCCAAGCGCGAAAGTGGCCGGATTATGTATTATTATTATTTAGGTCGTACGGTGGGAGTGCGTGTGTTTACAACTAAACTAAACTAAATGTTTGTTTTGTCAAACTGTTATTTTTTTTTTTATTATTACCGGTATTATCGTATTGTTCGAGGTGTTTTACGTCGAATCACCCTGTAATTGACTTATTAATCATCGTTTATAAATAATGGTTGACGGTTGATAATACTAAAATAAGCCGGAAATATAGTGGAAAATATAATTGATACTTCACGAATTTTCACAGCATTAAATTTGAGGAAATGTTTCGATAAAACAGCAAAAAAATGATGAATGAAAATTTAAAAAACGGTGCAACATATCGCATATTGTAACAATTTATTGCACCGTACGAAAAAGCTCTTAGATACAAAAAAAATATAACAGCAATTCAGTTACTAATTTATACAAATGAATTGATCACTAATAAACAATACTGCCCGATAAAAATGTTGCAATAAACCAGGAATAACATCATACAAACATTACTCGATAAATTCGTCCCAATAAACCAGCAACAAACAATAAATAAATAAATAAATAAAAGATATCTTACCGGCGAGCAAACGAGCTGCTGCAATCGTTCCTGGGCCTCCTGGCCCTTCTTGGGCCTGATCAGCAGGTAGATTTTGGCGACGCCGGGACAGGAGCGCAGCAACTTCTCCAGCAACACCTTGCCCATGAAGCCGGTGCAGCCGGTGATGAACAGGGTTTTGCCGTTGTAGAAATCGCAGATGCCGTCCAACGGCCGGTTCGACGTCGAATTCTTCAGGGCCGCCATGTTGATTCCCTTCGACATGTACTGATTTTTTAGACGGGGGGAAGACGACTGCTAGATCCGAAACAAATCGTTTGTAAATAAGAGATATTCGATCGCGATTCGTATATTATGAGGTCTGGATGCTCCGGTGGAAGGGGGGCCGTCCCGTTATTCGAAGCAAAAGTTCCTAAAACTACCTGTAGGCGGCGTATTTACCAAGTTTCCAGACCCTATAATACGCGACCGCGCTTTCGAATAGCAAAATGACAGTTTAACAACACCTGTCAAATTCACCGGCCTACTTCGATATGTTTTTCGTTCGGTATCTCTTACTAGGTGTTATTGAAACTGACGAACGAATTCGTTGTTGTGTCGAATTTAACGTGATTAGAAGAGATTAGAGTTTAATTCTGCACGATTCTTTGAAACTTCCGCGTGTTATAAAGGTGATATTGGTGATAAAAAAAAGTCGGTTTATCGGTTTTACCTACATGAAGTAATCGCCGTCTTGTAGTATGTTTATAGGTTGCGGATATGTATTTACCATGCGATAAAAGATAAGCCCGAGTCAGTCGAATTTCTAACTTTAAAACGTTTATTGCTAAATAAATAAACGGCCTATAAAGTTTTTTATACATTTTTTTCCAGATTGAGTCGTAAACAATATATGTAAATGTATGCAAATTTTTAAATCGTTTTACAGGTTCAATTTTTTTCAACTATTTAGGTAGTTGAACTTGTGAAAAAAAACTTCACCAAACTGTCAGATATTTAGCTTACGTATTAATAATTAAAAAAGTATTTTCGTATTAAATTTTCGAAAATCACAACCGGCAACAGCGCCTCAACAGAACGAATCGAATTTTACTCACCTAAAATTCCAAATACGAAGACTAAAATCTAGAAGATATACGTGGAAAAATATATCTTTACATTTGTCGTACCGCTTCAGCGAAACATGGAGCGAATTTTCCTCTAATTTCCTCCAAAAATTTTGCGCTAGATCGGAATTTGTATACAAATCGGAAGATTCCCGAGTCGTTAATTCATTTTCTCTCCTCTACCTGAAACGATTAAATCACATAACTGTCAAACGTCAAAACGTCAAACTGACAATTCCAAAAACTACTTTGATGTTAACGAACTGCTTCGAACAGTTCAAAGGCCTTCAACGAAAAAATCTCACAGCCAATTAAAAAAAAAAAACTATAAAATCATCACCATCTATCAAACAACTAATAATTTTACTATCAATAAAATGTTGATATGTGAGTAATAAACTTAAAAAAAAATCACCTGAAAATTCGTGGATAAAACGAAACAAAATACAAGTACTCGCGCACTTGACACTGCACACACGGCCGCTTTCGCATCGGTACTCTCTGCACCAGGAGATTCCGGAGGTGCGAGAAGGGGCCTTCGAGAGAATTTACCGGGTCAGTGGGGTAACGAATGTAGGTCGGTACCCTCTCTTTCGTTTCTTTTCTTTCCCTCCTCCTTTCGAAGCCGCTTCTCGATCGAACTCTTCGCGGGTTCAACGGCTCCTCTGCGTACCGCGGTACTCGCCGTCAATCCAACGACATTGTACTTGTATCTATCGGGCCTCGGGTAAGATTTTTGTAATGGTGGTACCGATGAAGGATTCGCAATGTCGAATCCAACTGTTCTTCGGTTTCGTGCCGTTTGGAAAAGAGGTGGTTCCGCGAGCGGTACTAATTTCCCGCTCTAGTTGGAGGAATTAGCGCTGATGCGTGTTCGTTTTTAATCAGAGAATCATCGCGGATTTTATTTGTTTCTTCTTTTACATTTATTCTATGGTTAATGTTTTCTCATTTTTTTTGTTGCTAATATAGCTATTTTCAAATAAATAATAATTAATAATTATTTTCAAATCTAATTAAAATGCAACCAAAGATAATGTTCAAAGTACTCGCATTTTTTATTACTAATGAGCAATAAAAACTACTAATAATTCTACCTAATTATTGCACTCTAATTACTACTAATTAGAGTAGCCTGTGTTTATGTCAAATTTGTCAGAATGTCAAATGTCGAGGTGCTAAATGGTCGAGCAAATACAAAATTTTAACCGAAGAGGGAAAGTGCGATTTTCGAAATGAATCCATTTCTAACGCGTCCAGCGAAAGTAGCGAAAGTTCCGGTTAGGCGAAGATGTGCACATGAAAGAGAAAAATTATTGTCCCGATTTCCCTACGAAATTAAAAAAAAGTAAAATCGAAAATCGCGACGGCCTTGTACGTCAAATATGACAAGCGTCGCGTACCTACATGTAATGATCATTAGAAAAAAATTATTAATTGCATCATCGAAAGTGGAAATTTTCATGCAAATTAAACAAGTAATTCGCAAAATTCTTGCTTGTTAAATATGACAAGTGACAAAGTGCATTTATCATAAATCACAATATATCTAGCAAGCCTGCATGTTCATATATTTTTTTATGTAACAATTAAGAGGGCAATGATCAATTAAATAACATGTAAGTTTTAATAATCAAATTAATTAGCATGCAATTAATAAAACACAACGGTTTAACAATTAATACTAAAAAAAAATAGCAGTCAATAAACCCGCTAAAATCTACTAATATACTGATTTAATCGCGATTAATTGCATGCAAATAAATGCGATAAAATAGCGAATTTAGCAAACCGGTAGGCGTGAGTGAAGTACCGCGAACAACAACAAAACAATAACCGTACAAAACGCGACTTTTAATTCATAAAAACGCTTTAATAAACCGAAAAAAAAACGCAGTGGGAAATGGGAAATTGATTTGTAGGTTATGGCACTACATCGAGCTTTTCAAGCTCGATTCTATTAATAAATATTCGGATTTAGAGGCCAACAAATAGCACAGAAACACCGGAGGCGCTTTCGTTGCGGATAAATCGTGCAAAAGGCAGCGCAAACGGGCCCGCCTAAAGTAAATTAAACGTTCGAATATCTTACCTAATCCTCGGGGAGCCGGCGCTGAAAATTCGACTGAAACCGAGGAAACTAACACAAAACGGCCGTCGAACGTTCACAGGTGCATTTCGGATGCGGACGCGTCCGTTTCGTCGCCGGATCGAACGCAATCGCCGAAAATTTTGAGTAGTTTTACGAAAAAATCAATATAACATTACTGCACGGCTTTAAATTTGGGCGAGTACCAATTCTAGGGAAAGTGAGTGTCAATTCCAACGCGGATCGCCGCGACATCTAACGGACGAACGGCGAAACGCACGCGCGAAATTTGTCCCTCGCTCTCTTCACTTTTACCGGATAGAAAGTGATGGAGCTTGTTCGATGGGTTTCTAGTAGATAGGCAACACTTTTTACATTACTTGAAAGTAAATTACTGTAATCGATATTTTTACATCGTTTCACCGAATTGTTTGCTAAATTTATAGAATTGGTAATAAATGTAAGTATTTTTGAGAAAACAATTAAGTAATTACAAATAATTTAGTCAGTTACACAAGTAATAAAAACGAAGAAAATGACATATGACAATTATGACAGTTATAAATTAATTTAAAATCAAAAATTACTTTTAAACTTTTAAATAGCTCATCTCATCTCATAGTTTATAATAGAAATATACTAAAAATGCTAATTAAAGAAAGTTTTCAATAGTGTATATTATATTGATAGCTAGAAATATCACGCAAATGGATTTTTGGATCAAAATGGAGGTAAAGTACACACTAATTCTTATTAGATATGATTAAAACAAAGTATAATAAAACGCCTTCGAATAGGACACAAGAAAGACAAAAGCTACATCAAGCATATACACAACAACAATCAATCACCATCCACTAACAAATCAACGCCCCGCAGACCCAATTATGAACCCCACATTCTCCAGAAACGGACCCCGGTAAGTGCCCCCCCTTCGATCAGTTCACCCCACCGAACATCTCTTTACGTTGTAGCACCTGTTGTACGCCCGTCCGGAAGAAAACGAGCCGGCAACGCCGCGCGGAATCGCGCGAGACAGCGGCCTTTTCCCCTGCCGGTTTTCCAGCGATCCAGCGTTTCCTTTCCAGAGAGAGGTCCAGTCGACGAACAGCGGGAGGCGCGCTACGCGGTCGGTGCTCGCTCGATGCAGGTGCGCGTGCAACGACAACGATCGACCGACTGACACGTGTTGCACGTCGGTGTCGCGTGCAGGAAGGAAGAGGTAGGGAACCAGCGAAGAGCGAGCGAGAGGACTCCTCAAAGAATGTGTTTTGTATATATACAGGGTGGCCCGGAAGTCACGCCCCGCCGGGTGATCCCTTATAGAAACGATGGAGATGCCCGAACTGCGGTCGAAGGCAGGAAGAAGTTATTCCTTTTGGTAAATAAAGAGGTTCGAAATCGACCGATCCCAGTAGGAATTTAAGTCCAGTGCAGTTTTGGCATCTCCATTGTCGTTTCTATAAGGGATTTCCCGGTGAGGGATGAGTTCTGGGCCACCCTGTATGGTCTATCTGTGTCGTTTGTATCCTGGATGTTCCAGAATCCGTTACGCTTTATATTCCGCTTGAATGATACGATGCTATTTCGTTCCGTCTTTCTGTTTTCCGATGAATGGTGTTTTGTTATTCATTATCTTCCTGCATACTCTGTATTCTGTATTCCTGTACTCGTTAGTTTTAAAGTTGCACATTTTTTTAAACGCTTAATTGTTAACAAAACGGATAGATAAGAAAGCGTATCGAGTTTCAAGGTACTCAATTTTTAACTACCAATTACCAGGGTAACTTTATTAATTACAAAGAGGTATCAGTTCCCCTAATAATTCCCTTACACAACGAAACCGAAGGAGTTTCGAAGGAATTCGCTAATCGCAGGCTAGAATTACCTGCGTCTTATCGTAATTAACACCGACAACAACCCGAACAAGAAACATCAAAGAAAACTGAAATTAACAAAGAAATCCCTATATTCGTTTGTGAAGATCAGAAACGGGGACTTTTCCCTCTTTTCCCTCTTTTCGTTCATTCTGCATAACTTCGTTTTTATTTGATGTCTGATGCGTTTCGCAGGTATGTCATGCGTGCAGGAGGATTTGGCGTCGACGATGCGAACGACGGACGGCGTCGTGGCGGCGGCGATGCAGGAGGCGGCCCGATTGACCGACGAAGAGCGGGAAATCATCCTGGGCGTGCTCGGCAGGGACGAGTTGATCAGAAGGGAGCAACAGATGAGAGTGCTGTAAGTCCACTTGTTACAGACCGCTGTGGTTCTAACCAATGCATGTAATCTGTGGTTCTAACTGCAATTTCTGGGTGTATTTCTGGGATAGTTGATCAGAAGGGAGCAACAGATGAGAGTGTTGTAAACTTGTTACAGACTGGCGTGGTTCTAACTGCTATTTCTGGGTGTAGAATCGAACGTTGTAGATTGTAGATGTTTGTTAGAGGATTAGGGAGAGTTTGGTATGGCGTTATTAATTTATTTATTATGATTAGAGGCTTGAAATGAGCAGGAAATTTGAAATGAAGAGCGGGAAATCATCCTGAGCTTGCTCGACAGGGACCAATTGATCAGAAGAAAGCAACAGATGAGAGTGTTTTAAGTCCACTTGTTAGAGACTGATGTGGTTCTAACCAATGTAGGTAATCTGCGGTTCTAACTGCTATTTCTGGGCGTTGAATCGAACGTTGTAGATTGTAGATGCTTGTTGGTGGGTTAGAGAGAGTTTGGCACGGTGTTATTAATTTATATATTTACGATTAGCGGCTTTAAAACGAGCAGGAAATTCGAAACTTATTCTCCGATAAGAATGGATTCGTTATCGCCGGCGGTGTGTGTGTATAAATAAAACTGTTGTGGCTACGAAATCGCGAAATCGTTGCGGATATAATACAGGACGGCTCGATAAAAAATAAGGTCGCGATATCTTATGGAGTACCAGAAACTAGAACCACCAAGACATGCGTTTTATTTTCACCTATAGCACTCCGTCCCACGCCGTAATTCGCCTCTAAATTAGAGTAAAAGATACAGAGCGGCGGTACCGCCGGTACTACGGCCAACCTGCATCATCTGTTCGCCCATTGTGCATGGCGTGAAACCGTCTCTTCGGCGAAAATCGAAAATCCAACGATAATCGTGGTCGCAGGTCGGCGTGTATTGTGTTTCGTGTAGGCGTGTAGAGCGCATGCGCGGCGCGTCCGCCCGCGCGCCTCGCTCTGGAACCTTACCTACCTTCTTACGTCGTACCAGCGGAGCGGGTACCACGCAAAAGAAAGTGACGTAGCCCGGCGCCGTTGCCGGATCTCCGACCGCGAGAATTTCTTCTTATTCGGAGAATATTTGGGTGTTTCGTCCGCTGTTGGTGATGGAAATTTCGTTTCGAATCGATTGCTTAGGGTAAACGATCGTGTATAAACGAGTTATGTGCTTGTTAATGTATTCGTGATGGTTTTTTTCGTGAATGGTATTCAATAGTGTATGTAGCGAGATTAGGTGAAAAATAGGTGGATGCGGCAACGTCGGGGCGTTCTCTTTCTTTTTCTTTGTATCTCCGCTTACCTCCCGTATCCGTCCGATCGGCCGGGTACTCCTATTTCGAGCGGTACCATTTGGAAAATAACGGGAGGTTTTCCGTTTCGTCGGGTGAAAAAAAAGTTATGGATGAAATGAGGAAAGTTACGTCGAAGTTAGTCGGTTATCGTTTGTTTAGTTAATTAGTGTTAAGGGCGTTCGATCGGTTAGAGTTTCGATCTGTTCTCGTCTCGACTAGCCAGGTTTCGAAAGGTAAAAAAAAATCGTCTTTAATTTCGTTTCAATGAGCAATCGGATGATTAATAAAATTGACGGTTAAGTAACGGTTAATTAACTTTTGTAAGATTATAGATAATGGTTGCGATACCGTGCGTAATATGTACTATTATTCGTTAGATTTTAAGTTTATTTAACAGTACTTTTAACCTGCCATTTACATTAACGTTTCTTAGTAAAATATAATCTATTGTTTACGATAGTGTAAGTACATTCCTGTGTAAGTACTTTATTTACATCCACAGTATAAGATTCAAAAATTAACCAACAGTTAACTAATCGCATATGCAATTGTATCCTACTGTTAATCGCACACACGGAGTACTTTTGCTAGTTAAAAACATCTCGAATAGTACCGACTTGTTATCGTTGAATTCATCTCGACTTTCCAGACGTCTCAAAGCCGAGCTTCAGTCGCTGAGGCGCAAGGGGGCGCTCAAGCCGTGCTCGCCGCCGCCGCCGCCGCCGCCCGAACAACCCGAAACGACCGCCGTCTCCTCGATCGCCGCCCCCGCCTCGCCGGATCGCTGTTGCAAGCGATGCAAAACGGAGCTGGGCCTCGTCATCAATAGGGGCGCCTACTGCAGAGCCTGTCGCTCGAAGGTGTGCAAATCCTGCAGGGAGTACTCGTACAAGACGACCGATTGGGTGTGCGTCGTCTGTCGCAAACAAATGTGAGTAGAATCTACGAGGGTAGGATGAAAAGTTATCGGCCTGATGCGCAGAGGGTTCTCCGAACTGCGAAAAAACCTGTTTAGAACCGTTTAGAACGCTCCAGGAGCGTTAGGAACTGTTTAGAACCATTTAGAACGTTCAAGAACCATTTAGAATGTTCCAGAATCATTTAGAACTGTCTAGAACGCTTCAGAACCATTTAGAACTATCTAGAACGCTCCAGGCTCATTTAGAACGCTCCAGAATCATTTGGAACTGTATAGAACCATTTAGAACGCTCCAAAATCATTAAGAACTGTCTAGAACGCTTCAGATCCATTTAAAACGCTTCAGATCCATTTAGAACGCTCCAGAATCATTTTGAACTGTCAATAACAATCTAGAACTTCCCAGAAATATTTAGAACTGTCTCGAACTGAAGGTTTCGACTAAATAAAATGAATAATGTAGTTTTTCAACTGAATATCGCGGTCTTTCATCGTCAGGCCGAGAACTTTTCACCTTACCTTTATATTTGTAGATAAACGTAAAATATTGTAAGTTATTTTGCGCGAAAAAAAAAATGGTGGTTTGGTGTGGGTTCGAACCCGCGATCTCCGAGTCTCGAAACAGGTGACCTCACGCCTACGCTAATAACTTTGATTCACTGTATAACTAGTAGTAGAAAAGTCGAGCTCGAATGATTCAATGCGTTTATTTTGTATAAAATAATTTACTTAAATTCGCCTTAATTAACTAAAAATACTGTATAAACGCTACGTTATAAAAATATATGCAGAAATATAAATAATGACCCGCGGTTGGTGACCAACTCGATCCGCCATTTTGACAGCCGCGACTGTCAAGTCGAAACCGTCGCCAAGATGGCGCCCTAAACGTTATACATAAACAATTCGAGCGCCCCTCGTCGTCAGTCCTTACAATTAAATTAATTCGCGAAAAAAATAACAAAAAAAAAGAGAAAATAAAAACAAAAAAAACGTATCCGAAAACGTCATTCATCCTTTCATCATCAACCGATAGAAACCACGTAAGTGTCCGACGTTTTGCAGGAGTAGGCCTGGTCGGCCTGCGGGCAGACGTCGCGACGCCCATCGGACGTCGCGGCGCATCCGACGACGGCGCCGTCGTCGTCTTTGATTTGGCGCGACGCCGGGCAGTCGCGACGCAGGTTCTGGCGGCACGACGCCACCCTGCAGAAGGTGCTGCGACCAGTCGGCTGGATCTGAGAAATGACAAATTTTCATATACTTAGATAGATAATAATGTTGGTAGCATTGCTTGCGTGAATCCGTTAGGGGATTTTCGCGTTTGCCGGTCGAATTAGGTTGGATACTCTGGTGTATAGAGGAGTAATTTTTTGCTAATGTTAGGGCAATTTTAATTGAAATGGTACCAATGTTGATGCTCGAAAATTCTTAGAGGATACGTTGGTAGCATTGAAAGGAACTATACGAGGGTAGAGTGAAAAGTTCTCGGCCTGAATCATATATAGAATTGATGGAAGAATCATTTAGAACTGTCTAAAACCATTTAGAACGCTCCAGAATCAATTAGAACCGTTCTAGAACCATTCCTGAAAGCTTCAGAAGCATTTAGAACGTTTCATAGTCATTTAGAACGCAACAGAACGAATTCAAACTGTCTAAAACCATTTAGAATGCTCCAGAATCATTGAGAACTGTTCTAGAACCATTCAAAACACAATTCAGAAGCATTTAGAACGTTCCATGGCCATTTAGAACACTCCACAATGAATTAGAACTGTTTAAACCCATTCAGAACGTCCCAGAATCGTTTAGAACTGTCTAGAACCATTTCTGAACGCTTCAGAACCATTTAGAACGCTTCACAGTCATTTAGATCGCTACAGAACGAATTCGAACCGTGTAAAACCATTTAGAACGCTCCAGAATCATTTAGAACCGTTCTAGAACCATTCAAAACACTTCTAAAGCATTTAGAACGTTCCATATAGTCATTTAGAACACTCCACAACGAATTAGAACAGTCTAAAACCATTTCAGAACGCCCCAGAATCATTTAGAACCGGCTCGAACTAAAAATTTCGACCAAATAAGAAGAATTAGAACCGAAAATCGCGGTCTTCCATTATCAGGTCGAGAACTATCCACCTTACCCTCGCATCGACGATTTAGTGGAGTTTATTTTACCTTCATGGCGACATTGTAACCGTCGGCTAGAGACACCTTGTATGTGTCCTCTTTCCCGTCCCCGTCGAACGACAATTCGGCCGTCGTGTAGGGCGTTTCGCACCTTTTGAATTGGCACTCCTCAGACCTGGCGAATATCCTGCCCGACCACGTGTCCTCCAATATCACCGAAGCCTGTTAACAAAGCGATTTTTGAATTTGGCGCCAAAGTCGAGTAAAGTCGAGTCTCGAGTCCCTAGTTACTCCATAACAACCAATGTAAAACTGTCAAAAGTGATAGAATCTCCTTAGTTACTCCATAACAACCAATGTAAAACTGTCAATTTGAAAGAATCTTCTTAGTTACTCCATAACAACCAATGTAAAACTGTCAATTTGAAAGAATCTCCTTAGTTACTCCATAACAACCAATGTAAAACTGTCAATTTGAAAGAATCTCCTTAGTTACTCCATAACAACCAATGTAAAACTGTCAATTTGAAAGAATCTTCTTAGTTACTCCATAACAACCAATGTAAAACTGTCAATTTGAAAGAATCTTCTTAGTTACTCCATAACAACCAATGTAAATCTGTCAATTTGAAAGAATCTCCTTAGTTACTCCATAACAACCAATGTAAAACTGTCAATTTGAAAGAATCTCCTTAGTTACTCCATAACAACCAATGTAAAACTGTCAATTTGAAAGAATCTCCTTAGTTACTCCATAACAACAATGTAAAACTGTCAAAAGTGAAAGAATCTCCTTAGTTACTCCATAACAACCAATGTAAAACTGTCAAAAGTGAAAGATTCTCCTTAGTTACTCCATAACAACCAATGTAAATCTGTCAAGTTAAAGCCGCGACTTTAGAGTGACTCTAAAGAGTAAACAGAGACGCTAAATACGGACCATTGTCTTTGTGAAAAAAAAAATAACCGATGTTCTGATGCAGTTGTATAGAATATTTTTTCTACTTACCATCTGTCCGGGCGGCAGGCTGAAGGCGTCCTCGTTGGTCATCTCGATCCAGAGGCGATCCTTGCCGTTGTTTTTGATTTGGACGCCCTTGGTGTGCCTGGGCGCCGTCGGCGTCGGCGTCGCGGCGACCGAGCCGTAGCAGATGAGCAACAACAATGGCCACATCTTGGCGATTTTAATTTTTTTTTGAATATATCGAGCGGTTTCTTCTCCGGAACGGCGCTGAGAAAATTGATATAGATGAGCTAATAATGCGATCGGATCAAAGTCGACTCGTCTGCGTTTCGAGAGGAGAGGAATAGACGTTTTTATTTATGGTTTGATAAGTGTAAACATGCGCTTGTTAATCTTTTTGTTGTTTTGAACCGGACACGGGCGGATCCAGGGCGATAATACCAACATTTACATTATAACTACGTCGTATAGAGTTGATACGAGGATTATGCAATCGTAGTGGAAAAAATATTGTATGCAACACTGCAGTAGGAAGAATATTGTGTGTTGGTCTTGTGGATAAAATATGGGGTGAGAAAATTTTGAGATGCGATGGAATTTATGTGGTCGGGTCCGGTCCTGGACGAATTCTCTTTTTTTTTTTGTATTAATTTAGGATACTTTGTTTATTTACTGATCAATGTGCGCACTAGAAAATTGTTGTGACACATTTTTAACGGGCGCATTACTAGGAAATTTCGATTAGAAAATATGGCGCAAATGCGATTTTGAAATGGTTTTCGGGGATTTTTTTAGAGTAGACTTTTTCCAGTTCAAAAACTAAGAACTTTAGGAAACATATTGATATAAACTTTTCTTCTTAAAATCATTCAAATATTCACATCCCGAATTAATTAACACCCTATATACAAAAGAGTCTTTTTTTTTCGAAATCGTTTATTTATTAATCGGCGAAAATAGAAAATTTTCCGAAGAAAATAAATTTGTTATCGATTAAACAATAAAAACATTTATTTATAAATAATTACGTTCAATATTTCTCGTTTATTAAACCAAATACCTAATAAAATAAGCAATACGTGCTATACAGCATGTACTTTATTTACACGAAAGTATTAAACAAATTATTAAATGTTGACTCATTCATTCATTGCGAGACTTTCTACTATGAAAACACACAATACAAAATATCTAGTAATTTCAATAATATCAAATAAATAATTATAGTACAAAGACCTTTCCGAGATAATCTGTCGTATTTTTCGTAATGGGTTCCTGGAATTATTGAATTTTCGAATGACGTCCGCGTTCTCGATACCCTCGAAAATATTCCGTTTTTTTCTTCTTCTTCTTCAATTGAATTTTATTTAATCGATTTCGAAATTATTGGTAAAGCAATTTGAACTCGCATCCGATTTATCCTCCTATAATCGAATTACAACCTAATTATACCCAATCAAAAATTTAACGCGCAATTGTTCTCTTTCATCTTTCATCTCAAAATCACCAGATATATACAGCACGTCCCAAAAACCGAGCTATTTTTAATTTGGTACACCGTATACAAAAAAAAAACAATTCCCCACCTGCATCTAGAAGCGTACGATTTCACATTCATTCATCAACCCATTCGCGCTCGCGGAATTTCATCACAATAACCCACACGCCGATCCTTCGCCCACCCGCCTTCACCCGAACCATCTACCACATAAAACAATTCGTAAAACAAAACCTTCAAAATCTTTCATCACTCGCTCGCCATTTCGAGCCGAGCGATGTTCCCCTGCGTCCGCTCCAAACGCTTCAAGAAGCTCCTCGTCCGCCTCTTTCGCAGGCTCGCCGCCCTGTTCAGGTACACCCCAACCCCGGCCCCAACCCCAGCCATTTTTACCGCTACAAAACCCTTCGTTTTTCCCCCTTACCAGGGAGATCCAGGCGGCCAGCGGCGAATGGATGAACGAATTCGTACGGCCGCCCGACGCCCGTCGCGACGACCGCGCCCTTCTGCCCACCGTCGACATCATCAAAAGGACCATCCGACGCTCATGGACCATCTCAAGTAAGCCCATTTCTCGCTCAATCATCACTTCATCATCATATAATCATCACATCATCGTATGATCATCATATAATCACCACACAAACATCATATCATCATATAATCATCACACAAACATCATATAATCATAACATCATCATTTAATCATCATATAATCACCACACAAGCATCATATCATCATATAATCATCGCACAAACGTCATATCATCATATAATCATCATTTAATCATCATATGATCGGTATTATTGTAGATCCGACGCCTAGATGGAGCGCGATGCGCGCGTCGCCCGATATGAGGCCGTACAACAGCCTGCCGAGGCGTCGGGACGTCGCCGACTATCCGACGTTGGCGTTGCACCGGGGCGTCGGCGTCGAGACGCCGACGGCGTGCGGACGTCGTCGGTCGCCGAGGCGGACGCAATCGGAGGAGATGTACGACGAGAGGGGCGGCGGCGGGGGCGGCTCGCCGATCAGGTTGGGGGCGGCGACGGCGCGGAGGAGATCGCCGAAGATGATGATGATGATGATGATGAATAACGCGGACGCGTGCAGCAGCGAGGAGGGTAGCTCGAAGGAGGAGGATAGCCCGAAGGCTAAACGTACGTAGATGGATGGGTTTCGATCGGTACTCGCTGGTACCTAGTTCGTGGAGTACCGGGGAGGTAGTACCCCGAAGAGGACTAGTTATAGTAGTATAATACTCTTTGAATATCGCAGTACTACTGTAACTTGTACTCTTCGTGGCGGTTCTTGGTACTTAAGAACAGTTCGTGGAGTACCAGGAGCGCCACTCCAAACTGTATTACTTTAAGTGATGTACATAGTACCAGAACGATTGGTTGTCATTTTAATGGCGTTTTTACGTCCGTTTAGGTATGCTGACGCCGGACGCTCTGAGGAAGTACGATCGATTCCAGGCGGAGAAACATGTGAGTTTCGATAGTACCGCGTCGAACGCGAGACACGCGGTACTATCCGAGAACCGGCCTTCGACTAATAGGATTCCGGCCCGTCGACGACAGGAAGATTGTTCGAATAGTTCGGAGGAGTTAACGACAGTTCAACACGATGTAAGTTCATATATTTTTATAATAATGTCGTGGGAGAATTGAATAATGTTTAGATTATATACAGGGTAGTCTCGAAATCGACGCCCTTCTACTCCGAACAGAGTTTTTGTAAATCTTAAAAAATCTTGTTTCCTCTTTAGGTCGTTTATAATTAATTCTGGAACGATCCAGAACCATTTAGAATGCTCCATAGTCGTTTATAACCCTCCAGAACCATTTAGAACTGTCTAGAATCATTTAGAACGCCCCAGAACCTATTAGAACCGTCTGGAACTAAACATTTCGAATCGATAACAAAAATAACGTAATTCATTCAAACTAAAAATCGCCATCTTCCACGGTCGCACTCCGGAAACTATTCGCCTTACCCTCGTATACAATAAACAATCTCTTATGCGCAGGTACCGCCCGGGGAGTCTTCATCGCCTGTGGAAACCTGCGACATCGAACCGTTCTCAGGCACCGTATTCAGGAAGATGATGGTGCGAAAACGACGCCAGAGGGCGTCGAACGGCGCCGGCGTCGCCGCCGATACCGGTGAGTTTCGAAAGTTTCGCATTTCGCATGTAGTTAGATAAATAGATAGATAGATATCTGTTGTGTTGAATCGCACACGAAACGTTTGTTTAGATGTATAATACACGAAAAAAAAACGAGAAGTTGCCTCTCCGCATCGATCGCTCGAGGAAAAGTTCCATAACTATACGGAGGAGAAACCGAAACTCCTTTTATCCCATCGAACTCGAGCGATAACGGAGGATTCCATTGTGGGCGCTTCCTTTTTCGCCGGAAACGGGCGCGACCACAATGGAACTGTTCGCTCGAACGGTTAGAGGCCGATTATACTTCGCACGTTCCACCAACTAACACGACTACTAACCGTACACTAACCGTCGTTTCTAACTTACTACTAACGCCCCGGAGAGCTCGAAGTAGCATCTACTAACCCGCACATGTTGCACCGGGCGCTCGGAGTAGCGTCTACTAACGCTACCCAGTTCGCTAACCCGACTACTGACCGTCCACTAACCGTCGTTTCTAACCACTAACGCCCCGGAGAGCTTCAACTAGCATCTACTAACGCCCCGGAGAGCTTCAACTAGCATCCACTAACGCCCCCGAGGAGCTCGAAGTAGCGTCTACTAACCCCCGTCCCTCCGTTGCGCCGGGCGCTCGGAGCGGCGGAGTCTCCACTAACGCTATACCCCCCAATCGGCTTGGCACTTTACGAATCTGTCGACAGCAGCTCAGGAGGCGTCGGGACGTCCGTGGGAGGCGGCGATGGCGCCCGACGGCGACGACTACAGGCTGGTGTTCGTCAGCTCGTCGGACGGATCGTCGAAGGAGGAGACGTCGTCGTCGAAGGACGAGGACGACAACGATAGCTCGTCGACGGCGTCCAGTTTTCCGATAGACGAATGCGATTGGGATTATTTCGAGCCGGGCGCCAGGCCGGGCGCCGCAGCCGCCGCTGCCGCCGCCGCTGTTGTCAGTTGGAGTCCGCCCGTCGGGTCGCCGTCGGTTTGCAGAAGGTTTGTTGTTTTTTTGTATATAGGATGTACGTTTTTTTTTGGTGTTGTTTTTGTGTGTGTTTTGTACAGATGTGTTCGGTTTTAATTGATTTTTATTGGTTAACATTGATTAAAATGGTTGAAAATAATGGTTGAAATACTCAATATATTGATTCAAATATCTAAAACTCATTAGGATAATCAAAATATACATAAATAGTGATTTATTCAATATATTGATTCAAAGAACCCAAATAATGCTTGAAATGCTCATTATATTGATTCAAATATCTAAAATATTCATAAAAATGGTCAAAGTAGACAGCAGTGATTCATTTCATCAAAATAATCCTTGAAATACTCAATATATTGATTTAAAGAACCCAAATTATGCTTGAAATGCTCATTATATTGATTCAAATATCTAAAATATTCATAAAAATGGTCAAAGTAGACAGCAGTGATTTATTTCATCAAAATAATCCTTGAAATACTCAATATATTGATTCAAAGAACCCAAATAACACTTGAAATTATCAATATATTGATTCAAATATCTAAAATACTCATAATAATGATTCAAATATCTAAAATATTCATAAAAATAATCAAAGTAGACAGCATTAATTCATTTTATTAAAATAATCCTTGAAATACTTAATATATTGATTCAAAGAACCCAAATAATGCCAGAAATACTCATGATATTGATTCAAATACCTAAAATACTCATAAAATTGATCGAAATAGATACAATTTATTGATCAAATCAACCAAAATACCACTCAAAACCAACCCATGTTTGAATTAAAATATTCCTAATGACTTCCTAATCATCATTTCGCTAATTCCAAATCATTCTTACAGATCAGGCGCCGCCGCCGCCGACGAGCCGCCCATCGATTCCCCCGCGTCTCCTGACGGGGTACTACACCAGCACGTACCGCCCGACGACCGCCCGGCCACGCCGCTGAAAGGCCACGACGACCCGTCGTCGTCGCGACGCCTCTACGTCGAGCAATCGTGCCGCACGTGCGGCGCCACCTCGCAATTCATCCCCATACCGGTACCGGTGCCGGTACCGTTTCCGGTACCCGCCCTGTGGCGGTTGCGCGTACCGCCGCTCGGCCTGCGCTCCTATCTCGCCCAAGCGGCGCTCGCCTGGACGACGCTCGGCGCCGCGACGCCGCCGCCCGCCGACAACGAACGGTACCCGTTGTGCGAACCGCCCGAGGTGGCGGTGGCGGTACCGGTACCGCCGCCTGACAGCGATTCATCGAGCGAGGACGGTCGTAGGTCGTACCAGGTGAGCGGTACCGAGCGCGTCAGCGACGAAGAGGGTTCCGTCATGGAGGACGATATGACGTCGTCGGGAGGCGGTACCGGCGGCGGTACCGATAGCGATAGCGACGCGGCGGGCGGCGGCAAGACGAAGAGGTTCTCGAAGATATTCGTGGTGAACAAGAACGCGTCGAATTCGTCGTGTACCAGCGGTACCGATACCAGCGACGACGATACCGATACGGAGATGAATTGTACCGTGGTACTGGTGAACGTGAAACCGATCGAAGAGGGCGCCGATGCGGAGTGTGATAATGATAATGGCGTCGGCGGGTGCGAGAGGGACGCGACTAGAAGTACCGAATTGAGCGAGTACTTGGAATTGTCCAGTCCCGGTTTGTCCGATGTCAGCGCGGAGTCGGTGAATTCCAGCGATCTGGAGCAGGAGAAGGTACTGCACGGTAATTACCAGGGAACGATTGCTGGTAGTAAGGATAAGGTAGTACCGGACGATTCTGTTGATCCCGGAATACCGACGAACGTACATTTAAGCCAATATGATGTTAAATTAATGACTGGTAATTTCTTGAAAGAAGAAACTTTATCTTTTATAGAAGATTGTAGTACTGGTCCATTGGAAAATTCCACCGAAGAGGCCTTTGAATCGCAAAATCACGAAGATTCCAATTTTTATCCATTCAAATCGCCAAACTTCGATTGTACAAACCAAGCAACACCAGCCTACTGCGCGAAAGAAATCACCAAAAATTTCCTAGAAGTAGAAAGAAGTACCGCAAACGTCATTGCTAACGAGGAACCTCTTCAATACGAATCGAACGATATTGTAGATTCAGAATCGAAGTTTTCAACGTTTTCAACGGTACTCGAGAAAGTTGATGAATCTCCGGAGCCTAAGCAAAACGTCAGTAGTGACGCAATCGAAGAAATTGTTAGTACCGATAATAAATCAGTATCATTGTTAACTTCTCCAGACGAACCGATTTTGGATGAGAAAAATGTGGAAATGTTAGATTTAAGCCAAGAAGAAGGTACTGTGAGTAGTCCTGTCGAGAAAACGAGTAGTACTGATAATAGAAGAGATGTAGTACCTTCGTTAATAACATTAGAAGAGTTGAATCATGCGATAAAATCAGATTTCGATGAGGATAATGTGGAAATGTTGGATTTAGGGCAAGAAGATGATACTATTAGTGGTACTGTTGAGAAAACGAGTAGTACTGGCAGTACAAAAGATGTAGTACCTTCGTTAATAACACTAGAAGAGTTGAATCATGCGATGGAATCAGATTTCGATGCAGAAGCGTGTGTAGGATCGAATTTGAAGGAGATAGATGGTACTAACCATGCGATAATTGAGGAAAATGGTAACGAAACGAGTACGAATGTCACCCAGAACGACGTAGTACCTTCAACAAGCGAAACGAACGATCCAAACGAATCGTTTGAGAATTCCACCGCGTTAGAAGAATCGCCCGATTTGAATCAAATCGATGGCGATTCGATCGAAGAAAAAAACAGTACCACCGACGATCACCCGACGCCTTCGTTAATCTCTATCGACGAGATAATTGCAACGGCCGATAAACATTCGTCCGATTCCGGTACCACCGTCGCGGAAAACCCGGACAGTACCGATAACAGCCCAACATCGCCCGCTTCATTTCCAGCAGTCGCGCGCGAAAATTCGCCGGATCGAACGATCGCCGGTACTAACAGTACCGCCGTCGACGATGGTGGTACGCAGCGCCCTCTCGCCCGCCACGGGCCGGAGATCCGCTCGGTCGAGGACCGCGTACGAAAGCGTGACAGCCCGCCGGAGGGGAACCGCCTCGACGGTACTACGCGATCGTCCGGTACGCGGCCAGTCGTTGGCGAACCGTCGTCGGGCCGGTACACCAGCCTAGTGATGATAACGCGCGACGCGCCGCCCCGACGGCACCGCGTCAGCGTCGTGACGTCCGAAACGACCACCGTCACGACGTCGATGACGTCGAAAGAGGGAGACGACGGCGAGGACGCCGCGACGGAGGACGTCGCCGCCTCCGCCGGCGGCGTCGTCGTGGTGCGGCATACGAACGGCAGGGAGACGAGCGACGGTACTTTGGACGGGTACTATGCGAACGGTACGTATTCGTTTATTTTATTTATTTATTTTTTGTTTGATGCTTCCATCTCTAATTATAACTGGTTGTTTAACCTCGATTTCTGTTCCGATTGCGTTGTTTTTGTTTTTGTTGTGTACAAACGTTGCGTTTTCTAAATTCTAAATTCTTCATTGTACACACGTTTCCTTTCGGTACTACTTAATTTCCTTTAGCTTTTACGCTTCATTTTTGTAGTTTTTTTAGCTATTTGCTTATTAAACTCGCGTTTTCTTTCGGTACTATTTTTGTGTTGCGTTTTCTAAATTCTAAATTCTTCATTGTACACACGTTTCCTTTCGGTACTACTTAATTTCCTTAGCTTTTACGCTTAATTTTGTAGATATTTTAGCTACTTGCTTATTAAACTCGCGTTTTCTTTCGGTACTATTTTTGCATTAATTTCTTTAGCTTACGCTTATTTAAATAGTTACTTTTTATACGTAGGTACTTACGTTTCCTTTCGGTACTACTTTTCTCGTTAGTTTTATTTACTATAACCAAAGATTTGTATTATCTATTAAAAAAAATGATGGATTAACCATATGTCGAGTGTATTATATTCGTTTTATAATCCAATTACTTCGCTTATAGGTTAGTAATTTAATTATAATTATAAGGTTAATTTGTTGACATATTTCTCGCGATTGCAGCGCCATTGGTGTATCGTCACCCGCGGGATTCGTGCGATGTTGTCAAATATTTGCGATATCTTGTAATTTTATTGGGAAATTGTTGGAATTTAACGAATTCGTAGGAATTCGTCGTAAAAAAAATTCGCATACGTAATGGCTATAATCGGTCGATTCGGGAAATTTTCCCGATTTTTCGCGACGTTGCCGAATCGCGCGAAATTTACGAGGATATTAATTTTATTTACAATTCTCGTTTCTGTGCGCGTTTACAAAGTATTATTTCGCTGATAAGGGGAATCTCGAACTCAAATAAACTAGGTTTATCTGATTATGTGAAAGTCATTGCGAAAACCATTACAAACAGACGATTTTAATACTTATTTACTCGTTACATTATCTCCAAATTGTTGCCTCTAATCGATCAACAACTAATTAGTAAATTGTCGTTTTTGTATACACCCTGTATATGACGCGTTGTACGTTCGATTTTACGATTCCGGTACTATTATATCATCCGTAAAACGATACAAGTGAAAGTAGTACTACCCACGCTTCTATTCGACTATAGTACTGTATACACACAAAGAATATCTGTTTAAATTCCAACTTTCATAAATAACAAAATGGCCATTTCTGTTCATAATTTAATTACCTAACTAATATTTTTTAAAAATGCATAAATTAATCATTCCAGTGAGTTGCTAATTAAGTTTAATTGTTCGATTAGGCAGGTAATTAGTGCCGTGCTGATTAGTCAATCGAATTGGTTTCTAATTAACTAATTATTTCTAATTAGTGGATGATAGTAGCATCATCGAATCCTCCGACATACGCGCTCAAAAAAACCTACCAAATAATCATAATTAATTATTTTAATTATTAATGTAGTGGAAGATTTGATTAATCGATCAATAGTTGTCCGATCTCGCTCGAATCGAAATCGGCACCTTCGAATCCTTCGACATACGCATTCAATTCACATATATATTTTTTCAATCGTCCCTTTTTCGCAGGTATGCAAGACCGTCGAGACGGCGACGGCGTCCGCGTCGTAACGGGCGCCGAGACGCTGTCCGCCTTCGAAGAGGGCCTCGCCGACGACGACTCCTGGGTGGAGAATCTCAGCCACAACGACGAAGAAGAAGAAGAAGACGAAGACGAAGACGAATTCGCGACGAATTCGGGCACCGAAGACTCGTCGTCGGGCGACGAGGTGACGCTCACCTGCTCAGCCGCCGCCGCCGCCGCCGATCGCGAAGAGGACCTGCGCGGGTACCACCGCGCCGCCATCGATTTCACCCTACACACCATCGTCGAGGAGAGCTGCGAGGAGAGCGAACCGGAGCCCAAGCAGGCCCGCCCGCCGCCCACCGATCTCGAGAAGTACTTCTTCTTCGACATCGGCGCCGCCGCCTCCGAGGCGACGTCTCGCGAGGACAATTGCTCGGAGACGAGCAGCATCTACAGCGAAGGCATGGAGTCGATCGGATTCGGCGATGATGCGCCGAATTGCGTCGAGGATAGCGCGGAACCCGTGGAATTGGCCTCGTCGCGGTTGGAGAAGTACTTCCTCAGCGGGTTCATGGGATTCGCCGGCGAACGGAGGGACTCGGACGGCAGCGTCGGCAGCGACAGCGAGGGCAGACCCAGCCCCGAACAGAGGAGGAAGCGATTGGTGCGCGCTAGAGGTACCGGTCGATCGCATTCCTCTTCGTTGGACAATCTAGTGGACAGTACTGTGAGTGAACAAACGATCGAAGCGCACGCCAGCTGCGAGGACCCGTCCAGTTCGGACGACGAACACAGCGACAACGGTTCGGAGAAGTTCGACGGGCAATTCGATACGATCAAACGGAAGAAATCGAAGAAACCGAACAAAGGTACGCCCGTCGACGAGTCGAAGAACTCCGGGATGGACGAGGACGGTTGCGAAACGCCCCAACCTACCGAGGCTCAATCTAATTTAGTCACCGCTAAGAACCAACAGAGCAGGGATAGCGGCTTCGTCGGCAGCTGCGACGATCTGGTGCGCGAACAAAAAGACGCCGGCGGCGCCGCGCCCGACGTCCAAACGATCGCCAAACCCGATCTGGAGGACATCAAAGAGGAGAAGAAACACGAGGAGAAACCCGTGTATTCACTCTCCCTACCGCCCACTACATCTCTAACGCGCAAAGACAGCTTCAACAACTGGTCGTCGGACGAGGAGACCAATCTGATGATGTGCAAGATGCGCCAGTTTTTCAAAACAATGGTGGCGAAACCGAGCGTCACGCAGAATGCGCCGAACGCGACCCCGCATCGCGCCGAAATCGCCGCCACAAAGCGCTCCAAACCGCCTCAATTGGTCTACTTCGAAAACGAGCTGACGCGTTTGATGAAATCGGTGCCGGGCATCCGAGACGATCAGGTGCGCGAGATCGTCGAGTACCTGAGCAGCGAGGACGCCTGGAGCGATTCGTACGATTCCTCCGACTACACCAGCTCCGATTTGGAGGCGACCACGTCGCAACAGACGGCCCTCCAACGGCAGATATCCGACAGCTGTAAGCGCATCATCGACAAATTCGACGCCGCGACCGTCGACGACGAGGGCGACGAGGGCGACGGCGGCATCGCCGACGGCTCGAACAAAGAAACCGCCTTCGTCTACCAGAAATTGGTGGCGTCGTTCGGGAAAATGGTGGACGCGACGCCGATCGCGACGACGGCGCACAATTCGCCGCCGTTGATAGCGAAGGTGATGCACCACATCGGCGGCCGCTTGGTGGCGTTGATGCACGAGGTGTCGAGCGGCGAAAGCCACGCCGGCGGCGGCGGCGACTCGCCCAAGACGAAGCACTACCACAGGCGGTTGCAGCACAAGATATCGTCGGCGTCGAGCACCACCACCGAGGATGATTCGACCGAATTCCGCGCCGACGAATCGCCCTACAAGCACCCGTCGTTGCCGCGCAGCAAATCGCACGATCTGCTGGTGCACGAGACGCGCGGCGGCGCCGGCGCCCAATCCGGCGACGCCGTCGAAGAGAAGGAGGCCAGCGATTGCGAACGGTTCAGCTGGCGCGGCAGCTTCGAATCGGCTCTGTTGGCGAGCGATTCGCGCAACCGATTGTCTTTATTGGATGGTTCGGCGTCGGGTTCGGCGCTGGCGATCGCCGCCAAACGTCGTTCGGCCGGCGATCTGTTGTTCAGCCACACGAAGAGCCTGAGTCGCGAGCAATTGGACAGAGTGCGCAGCTGCGGCAGCATCGGCGCCGAAGACGCCGGTAGATCGTGCTGGGCGCGGCCGAACCGGCGGCGGTCGAGCGTACCGGACGCGGCGAGTTGCGGCGGTTCGGGCGGTTCGGCCGACGACGAAGACGGCGACGGCGACGCCGGCGGGGGGCGGTCGACGTTGCCGAGGAGTTTGATGGCGGGCGGCGTCGCGACGACGACGACGAACTCGTTGCCGAGGTTGCCGACGGGCGGGTGTTACCAGAAGGGGGCGCAGTCGGCGATGAACGCGAAGAGCGCCAGGTACAGGCCGCCGGGGTTCGGGCGGTTGATGGCGGCGGCGCCGAAGCGCGCCGTCTCGGCGCCCGGTTTGCAGCCGGTGCATCAGAGGAGAGGCAGGCGGTCGCAGCTTTGTAATGTTCCTGACGGTGAGTTTCGGTTGGGGTGTCTGATGGTTAGAGGTGGTGGTCGTGTATAAAGTGTTGTATTTAACTTGACAGCCTACTTTGGAAGAGTATGTTAATTTTTTTCCCATCGTATACAGGGTAGATTCTGAAATAAGTGGTGAAACTTTGGGAGCAAAGTAGAGAACCCCAAAATATGAAAAAAATTCTCTACTTGCTCCAAAAGTTTATTTCCCCACTCATTTCAGATACACCCTGTATATCAAGTAGTGGTAAATGGTAAAAAAAAGCCGACTTGATTAACCCAGTTTGCCGGTCGTTGAATTATAGTCGACGCGTTTCAGTTTTAGTTTCGCCTTATCGAATGGATTTTTTTTTTCATTTCGTAATCGGACGCTGGTAATCCGAGCAACCTTAGAAATTCCGCCCTATTTGCGTTTCCTTTTGTTATTCATTTGCACTTGCATGCGTGACGTTGCTCGAATCTATTGCTCGATAAATATTTCTCTCTTATCGAGTTGGCGTGTAACTTTGATTGAAATTTCCAATATGTCATAGTTGTCAAAAAAAGTTTCAACGTGTGGCCATCTTGATTTCGGTCGAGAAACGAGTGTAGCCTGTCATTTCTCTAAAAATCGTAACATTGACACTAATTTTCTCAAGAGAAATCCTATAAGGAATTCAAACGAGTGCATAATAAGTACATAAAAGCAAGTACCGGCGGCTAGCAGGTTGGGTCGGTTATGGGCGATTTAAATCTGTTATAGTACCGAATGTAGAACGATGTTCGTTACACTAGTAAGTACGATCTCGACACGAAAACCAACTGGGGCGCGATTTTTTTATCAAAAATAAAATTCAAATCGCTTCAATTAATCAGGAATTAGATTAATTTACGTTTATTAGTTAACGGGTCTTTTTTTTCGTTTCGCGAAGTTGGCAACGCTCGCCGAAAAATTAGATGGCTACCCTGATTAGAAATTGTTCAAATTGTATTTGTGTTTTCGTCGTATAACTCTTAATTAATTAATTGCGGTACAAATGAAATCTAATTAAAAATAATTATCTAATTAAATGTACCGTCTTTTCTCGACAAAACAGCAGCCCGAGCAATTAATTTACCACACAGGTCATGCCTACCTTAGCGTATGACTTCACTTTTAAGGTTGGTACGACTTTGGGCGGCGTTGCCGGATCTAAAGCGACGTTGCCGTGTGACGTTTCCTAGCGGATATTTCGGCGTTATCGTGAAAATTTCCTCGACCTTGTCGCGCCCGCTCTCTTATCGGTACCATTTTTTTGTATCAGCGGAAACGCGTACGGAAAATCGAAAAACGAAAATAGATTTTGGTATATATTTTTTTCTTATTAATTTGTGCGATATCGATTCAGTTTCGGTCGATTTTCGGAGCGAGATGGCGGGAGAATTGTGCGCGTTTTAATCGAGTAGTTTTTTTTTCGGTTTGAAATTAGTTTATTAGGGGGAAATTTATGGGAAAATTCGTGGGAAATTCGAGAGAGCGATGAGACACGAAACGTACCACACGTTCGGTACCGGCATCGAACAACTCGACGACGAATATTGTTGTTGTTGTTGTTGCGGCATTTCGGCCATTTTCAAAACGATTTTCCGGCGTTGTTGTCGGGGAAAAAGCGCCGACGACGAAGAAGTCGACGACTTGGAATGCGCCTTGGTCGATTACGTGCAGGTATTTACAATTGACGTTTGACAGCGTAAAAATTTGACAAATGACAGGTGACAGATATACCGATTTTCTCGATAGGAGGCGAAAGATTGCGCGCCCGACGATAAGCGACCCGTGCGAATAATCGTTTCGAAACGGGAACTGTTGGATCGTCGGAATTTGCGGAATAACGCGGAGAATGGAACCGAAAAAAAAACGGAAAATTCGGAAAATGACGAGGAAAACGCGAACGCCGAATCTAAAGAATTCGAACAAATAATTAACGATGATAACGCGCCGGCGGAAAATTGTTCTAATACACCCGAAATCCAAGGTAGCTATGCAATGCAATTTCGCTTGAATAACAAAATGTCAAAACGTCAAACGTCAATATACTGTCAATCGTTTGACACCTAACGATTCAATAACGCTTTTGTCGTTACTAATCATACATATAAACATTTTAACTATAAATAATCCTCATTATTTTAATGATTAGCACTACGCTTTAAATATTATTATTTTTTCGAAACACCCGTTATAATGAATTCTTGCAGACGAAGCGGGCGTCGTCGAAGCCCACTCGTCGCCGATGCTCGCCTCGTCGACGCCCAAAACGGCGCCGAAGAGCGCCAAACTCAGCCCGGCGTCGTCGTCGGCGGGCGTCCGCCGGACCGCCTCCAAGGCCAGCCAAGATTGGCACAACGACGACGATTTCGAGCGATTGGGACACGCCAGATCCAGTCTATCTACTCTCGGCGTAAGTATTATACCCTCACTTATCCCGCAGATATATGATTATACGGTGGTCGAGAAACCGAATAGGTCGAGGCCAAGACCACTTACTATCGCTGAATAAAGTCAGAATCGATATAGGTCAGGGTAAGGTGAAAAGTTCTTGGCATGATTCATTTAGAATTGTCTAAAACGATTTAGAACCCTTCAGAATTATTTAGAACGCTCCAGAATCATTTAGAACGCTCCAGAATCATTTAAAATGGTTCAGAATCATATTAGAACGCTCCAGAATCATTTAGAACGCTCCAGAATCATTTAGATCGCTCCAGAATCATTTAGAACGCTCCAGAATCATTTAGAACGCTCCAGAATCATTTAAAATGGTTTAGAATCATATTAGAACGCTCCAGAATCATTTAGAACGCTCCAGAATCATTTAGAACGCTCCAAAATCATATTAGAACGCTCCAGAATCATTTAAAACTGTCTAGAACCGTTTAGAACTGTCTGGAACTAATGATTTCTACTTAACAAGAAGAATAATTCTCAACAGAAAATCGCGGTATATAGGATTTTTCTTTCTGTGGACAATTTCGATTAATTCTATACATGGAAAAAATTTTTTCATTTCTCGAAACAGGCTCGTTCCGATTCGATGGCCAGCGTTTATTCGGGAGCGGGCGAGGGCCGGTACGGTACTGTAGCGGTACGCGGTCAAGTCGAATTCGGTCTGCAGTACGACTACAAGGCGGGCGATTTGGAGATCCAGATAAAGCAATGCAAAGACCTGGCGCCGGTCGATACCAAGCGAAACCGATCGGATCCCTACGTCAAAGTAAGTACCGAATAAACCACCTTAACACCGCCATTCACGAGTACTCCGAACGTCCAAACGGAGTGGTACCAATCCAAAATGTGCCTGTATGTGTAACAAACTGTATCCATCCAGTGAATGTCTTTCATATTGACCACAGCAATCCATTTGAACACCATCCAATGGAATCATTCCAATCAATGTACTCGTGAATGATGCCTTTTATACCTACTTAGACGTTAGATAATATCCTCCTATACTGGTTGCATTTTTTTGCCTCTAGAAGTAAACGCTTCTATATCGTTTCTTTTACACTTTTAGGTGTACCTGTTGCCCGATAAATCGAAGAGCGGCAAACGGAAGACCAAAGTGAAGAAGCACACGTTGAATCCGGCGTTCGACGAGTGCTTGAAGTTCCACACGAGCCTCGCCGATTTGGAGACGCGGACGTTGTGGTTGACCGTCTGGCATTCGGACATGTTCGGTCGCAACGATTTCCTCGGCGAGGTCGCGATGACTTTGGAGAACAAAGTCTTCGACGATCCGACGCCCCGGTGGTACCAGCTCCAAGAGAGGGTGAGTTTGGTTTTTTTTTTTTTTTTGGTTTCTTCCTCTTTACACTCTAAAAACGGTACCTTCGACGATTTCGTTTCGCTCCGTTTACTGCTTTATCTTTGGTCTATTTGACTTTCTTGGTCCTACTTTACTCCCGTTACGTTTAGGTCTTGGTGTTTCGAGGCTTCCTTCTATAGGATATACCTTCTGGAGCTAAATTAGACTATCTAGAAACTATATGTATCATCTTTAATAGGTTTATTACTTTCACTAACTTCCTAGACCTTCCAGAAGCTAATTATACCATCTAGAAGGTAGATGTATCATCTTTAATTTTTCGAGGCCTCCTTCCTCTTCAAGTGTACCATTATCCCCTTCTTCAAGTTTCCTCTAAAACCACTTTCAACGCCTTCTATTCACTCCGTTTACTCCTTTATCTTCGCTCTACTTGACTCCCATTAACTCTAGTTGACTCTCTTGGTCCTACTTTACTCCCATTACGTTTAGATCTTTGCGTTTCAAAGCCTCATTCCTCTCCAAGCGTACCATTATCCCCTTCTTCGAGTTGCATCTACACCTCTTGGTAATCCCAATTACCCTTCTAGCGATATCCTCTAGGATCTAATCTGATTTATTTCCGTTCGACGTAGACCGAACCGTTCGAGGAAGTACCGACGTACCGAGGCGACGTGATCGTCTGCCTGAAATTCGTACCGCCCGACATGACGTTACCGAAGAAGGGCAAACGTTCGAGGGGCGCTTTGCACGTTTTGGTCAAGGAGGCGAAGGCCTTGAGCGCCGTCAAGGCCAACGGTACCTCGGATCCGTTTTGCAAAAGGTAGTACCTACATCGGCCCAAACGGACCGCTTTGATTGTGCTAATCGTGGTTGGTTTTTTAGCTACCTCCTGCCGGACAAAGGTCGAAGCTCGAAGCAAAAGACGCCGGTGGCGAAGCGTTCGGTGAATCCCGTGTGGAATCACACGTTCGTCTACGACGACGTGACGTTGCAGGAATTGTCCGAGAGATGTCTGGAGTTGACCGTTTGGGACCACGATCGATTGGCCAGCAACGAGTTTTTGGGCGGCGTGCGATTCTCCTTGGGCACCGGTAGGTTCGGTGAGGAGTACTATTGCTGTAAGGAGTACTATCGTTGTTGATTTGTAGGTAAACATCACGGTAAGCCGGCCGATTGGATGGACTCGTCGGGCAGGGAGCTGTCTTTGTGGAAGGACATGCTGGAGAAGCCGAATTTCTGGGTGGAGGGCGCCCTGTCGTTGCGCTCCACGTTGGAGACGCGCTGCTCCTAGCTGGATAGATGAATTAATTTTAGTTGTGTAAATCGCGAACTGATTTTTTGTTAACAATAAATGATCTGATGTATCGGTCGGGGCGCTTATTCGCTCGTCGCTCAAATAATCGATTAATGAGTTAGTTAATGAATTGAATCTGCGCCGGTGAATGAAATTCGCGCGTACATATCGTTTCGTTATGATGTAATATGCGGATAATGAAATTGTAAATGAATTTTAGTAGGAGTAATTCTTCTTCTTCTTTTTTTTTCTTTGTTATATTTTGTTTATTTTTTAATTTGTATAGGTACTATACCAACGCCTTTTACTATTAATTATTTTTACTAACAATACTATATATTTTCTTATGATGAATGAATATTATAAATGTTTTATTGTAAACGAGTACACAAGTGTTTGCTGTATTTACTAACCCTTATATTTCTACAGTTATTACTTTCTTATAGTAGGTTGGTAGCCACTGACTGTCTAGTTGCATTGTTGCAACAATCAGAAAATTCCTAGATTTCGCAAACACTGCTTACTTGCAGTAAATTACAGGTGATATTTGTTTTGCACCGACCGTATATTCCCTAAACTGCCACAAGACATTGCGAAATCCATCGATAAACGTTCCTGTAGAGTGGAAATTCGGCGCTTACGGAAACCCCCGGAAGAGTCCAGCGCTCGCCTGCCGAGATAATACCATTTATTCGATTCGGTCGAGGGTGAATCGAGCGCAAGGGGGTGGCGTGGGGGCGGCGGGAGAGCGCGCGCGCGCCGAACCGTCCCCTTTTTCACAATTCTCATATGGATCCGTCGTTCACACGCGCCCGACCGTCCGACCGATGAGGAACCGCGCGAGTCTCCGCGACGCCGGCCCCGTTCTCGCGCAAATCGATGTGACAGTGACCGAAAATTCTCGCCTTAGACATGCCTTACACGTTGATTCGCTAGCTGGTGCTGCTGCTGCAGCGAGCCGCGTTCCTCGCCGCGAGCGGGACATGCCGGTTGCGGTCGATTCGAACGATCCCGCTTCGCCCGCCCGGAATATTTGAAAGGTATTCCCGATGGTGCTTTCGGGCGAAATTCGCTGATATGCCAGTTAGAAGAGGTTTGATTGCACCCAGGACGACGCTTATCGAAACTATTATTAGGAAATTCGACACTGACAGTAAGTATAATTGTGTATTTATGCGGATCTGTCGATTTCGAACGGTTGAAATCGCGTTAAAATAAATATTAGTGTATAAATGGTTGTCTAATTTCAGGCGCGTTATAATTTACTTTACTTTTGTTTTTGTTTTCCGATAAGTACAAGACCACTTTCGATTAATATAGATCTTACGTCAACTGTCATAAATTCTTTGAAAATTAGAACGATTCGATTACTTTATGCAAATTTGATTTTTCTTCCGTGAAATACAAGTGCAATTAACGAAATTAAACTAATTTACTGATGTAAGTAATTCTAATTATTTATTATATTGGTTGTTTTTGTTTTCCGATTAGTACAAGACCACTTTCGACTAATACAGATCTTACGCCAACTGTCATAAATTGTTTAAAAATGGTAACGATTCGATTACTTTGTGCAAATTTGATTTTTCTTTCGTGAAATACAAGTGCAATTAACGAATTTAAACTAATTTACTGATGTAAGTAGTTCCCTAATTATTTATTATATTGTTTATTTTTGTTATCCGATAAGTACAAGACCACATTCGTGTGTCAAATTGTTTAAAAATGGCCACGATTCGTTTACTTTGTGCAAAGATTTTTCTTTAGTGAAATACAAGTGCAATTAACGAATTTAAACTAATTCACTGATGTAAGTATTATGCTATACACTGTTCCCTAACGATTTATTATGTGGCGTTCGCAATTCGGAGGCGATAGGCGCGCGAATGGCGTGTTGAAAATTGCAAGCCGTTTGGCCGGCCGAGAACGGAAAATCTCGCCGGAAAGTGGGAAAAGCGCTTTGAAAAATTCAGATCCAATTTGATGGGAGCGCCGTTCGAATTAAACATTCATACCGATGAGTCGTACGGTTCGGAAAACCGGCACCGGCTCCTTTTTTCGCATTAAATCCAGTGCCAATTACCCCGTTGGCCTACTTTCCATGGCACTCTTGTTTTAGATTGTTTTTATCTCATATTGATGGTCTCGAACTGAGGTCGTAAAAAAAGGGGGCGAGCCCCCCATTTCAATCTCGTTAAAGCGGGGAATTACATAGTGACCTAATGACATAAATTTAAAAAAAAATCTACTCATACTTGTAAAACATACTTGTAAAATCGATAACGATGGACTAGTAAAATAATTTAAACAAAGTTGAAAGTTTCCTGATAAAAAAAAATACTCGTTTATCGACGACAGGCGAAATGGAATTAGAGCGACGTTAGCGTGACATTTTTAATTAGGTTTTTTCCAATTTTCGAAATTCGAAACGGATAACATGCAAGTGGCATTATTTTATAGTGCCCGACTTCACGACACGACAAATCGCTACCCCAGATTCGATAAAACGATCAGATTAGATCACCGATAAGCTAAATAACGTTTCGAATTTTACCATCATCAAAGCATAAAAATCATTGCAATGTACCTTCTGCAATAAGTCTATTACTTTCATCAACTTCCTAGACCTTCCAGAAGCTAATTATACCTTCTAGAAGGTTAGATGTATCATCTTTAATAGGTTTATTACTTTCACTAACTTCCTAGACCTTCTAGAAGCTAATTATACCTTCTAGAAGGTAGATGTATCATCTTTAATAGTTTCTCTAACTTCTTGGACCTTCCAGAAGCTAGCTACACCTTTCGGAGCTAAACTACACACTCTAGAAGCTAGATGTATGTTCAGTAATAAGTTTATACCTTCTACTAACTTCCCTAGACCCTCCAGAAACTAGCTACACCTTCCAGAAATATAGCCTTCCAGATTTTTTGCTTTTATGATGGTTTGGCCTTCGCCTATTCGGCCAACCGACGACATTTTCGGACCTCCTTTAAGGTAGGTTAGTTGGTCCACGCGATTCGAATTCTCTCTCCCGTAAAGCGAAATCAACCGGTGAGAAATTAACGATGGAACAAACAAGCGTAATGTGTGTGCGGTGGATAGTTCAAAAATAGTAACGCCAGATTCCCGTTATTTATATCATTCGTTAGACGAGTGTCGAGAGACCTCGACGGCGGAAAATTTCCGCGGAAAATGCGCGTGCGAATTTTCTAGCGAGAACCCAGCGAAAATTTCGGAAATTCGTAGATAAATATAAGTCGGGGAAATGTGCGTTTTTGAAGGATGGTTTCGGGGCGGTTCAGACGCGTTTTGTGTACAGGGCGTTGGACGTTATCGCGACCGAAACCAGATGTGCGGGTGACTAGCGATGATGAATAGCGTTTCGCACGGTGAAATCGTGAAAATTATCGCCAGGTTGGAGAAAAAGTCTACCCGACTCGGTGGTGTTCAATCTCCAGGTATCGTTCACTCGAAGAGTATAATAAATTCGCCCTGTATATTTATATCTTTCGGCTCCTCTTTTGAAGAAATGCGAGGTTTATTCCCCCCTAAAGCTTTCGCCTTATCTTTTAACGCGTTTTAAAAAGCGCTTTAAAAAGCCACAGAGCTTTCAACTCTTCGTGTTTTTTTTTGTACTATTTGTTTGATTGACAATCGACGTTTATGTCGAATCTTCCAATACATTATATCAACGCCGATGTAGATTTGTATACGCTTTCCGCTCATTTGCCGGACGTTTGTTTGTTTACCGTTTAGATTATTTTGAAATTCGTTTTTTTCCCTTTCGAATTTACTGGCATTTCTGGAACTGCTGTGCTCAATTCAATGTTTTACACACAATTTTCTCGGGAATGCTTTATTGTTAAACGAATGATCAATCAAATTCCTTATAATTTTGCACTAGAAACTGTAAATGTTCCATCAATAACTAACATAGAACTTTCAGAATGCAAATTTTCAAAACTAAATCAGTAGCATCAAGAAACGAGATTTCTAGACCGTTCAAAAGCAAAATAGAGCTAATCTAGATCCAACATATACTCTTCAGGAAGCTAAATGTACCTTTAAAAGTAATTAGTAACCATAGAAAAGTACTTAAAACCATTTAGAAACAAAATCTACCATCTAGAAATAAAGGACCTTCAATATATCATTCAGGAACAAAATAGACCTTCCATAAAATATCCAAAACAAGAGCAAAAACTTCTTGTACGCCGCGTTGCTTCGCATCACCGGGAAACCCCCGAAATTCGTCACCCGCCAGCGCGATTTTCCGCATTTTCCGACGCGAATAGAAAAAAGAAAATGGCAAATAGAAAATCGCCGTTTAGCGTTGTGTGTGCGTCGTCGTGTGTAGAAGCCCTAGAAGAATCGGGGTTGAATTTTATCGATCGCCTTGCACCATATTTTCCACTTTCGATTCCGCGGCGTGTTGTGTGTTCCTTTTCCGGAAAATCTCCTCTCCCCCCTTCCCCCCGGCCAGCCCCAACGGGTCGATTCCAATTCGACCCGCTGCACCTAATCGAATCGAACGATTATAGACCGGAATCGATTCCTTCTACTATTGTCTGTTTAAGAAACTCGAACTAGAAACTAAATACATCTTCTACAATACTTTCACTAACTTCCTAGACCTTCCAGAAGCTAGCTATACCTCCTGCAGCTAAATTAGACTCTCTGGAAACTAAATACATCTTCTACAATAATTTCACTAACTTCCTAGACCTTCCAGAAGCTAGCTATACCTTCTGGAGCTAAATTAGACTCTCTAGAAACCAGATACATCTTCTGCATTAAGTTTAATACATTCACTAACTTCCTAGACCTTCCAGAAGCTTGGTATACCTTCTGGAGCTAACTTAGACTCTCTAGAAACTAGATACATCTTCTGCAATAAGTTTAATACTTTCATTAACTTCCTAGACCTTCCAGAAGCTAGCTATACCCTCTGGAGCTAACTTAGACTCTCTAGGAACTAGATACATCTTCTGCAATAAGTTTAACACTTTCATTAACTTCCTGCACCTTCCAGAAGCTAGCTATACCTTCTGGAGCTAACTTAGACTCTTTAGGAACTAGATACATCTTCTGCAATAAGTTTAATACTTTCATTAACACGAATCGAACGATAATAGACCGGAATCGATTCCTTCTACTTCTATTGTCTGTTTGGTTTGTATTTTGCTTTTTTTGCAGATCGTTCATTTTTGGTAGCGAACAGCCGAGAGCCGGGCCAATGCCACATCATCTATTGTTCGGACGGCTTCTGCCGCTTGACGGGCTATTCGAGGGCGGAGGTGATGCAACGGCCGGCCTCCTGCGAGTTCCTCTGCGGTCCCTTGACCTCACAACAGGCCGTCTCGAATCTCAGGGAGGCCCTGCAAGATGGCGTCGAAAAGCACGCCGAGATTCTCTACTATCGAAAGGACGGTGAGTATATGATCTAATTACTGCTTCTTCTTTTTTTTTCGTCCGCGTTGTCTTTTTGCGGATTTGTACGGAGGTTATTTTGACGTTGGTTTGACTTTCCTGGAACTTACAGAAGCTAGATGGTTCTTCTGTAAGTTTATTGAGGCTAGCTATACCTTTTGGAGCTAAATTAGACTATCTAGAAACTAGGTACATCTTCTGCAATAAGTTTATTACTTTCATTAACTTCCTAGACCTTCCAGAAGCTAGCTATACCTTCTGGAGCTAAATTAGACTATCTAGAAACTAGGTACATCTTCTGCAATAAGTTTATTACTTTCACTAACTTCCTAGACCTTCCAGAAGCTAGCTATACCTTCTGGAGCTAAAATATACCTTCAAGAAGCTAGAAATATCTTCCATAATTAATACTGCCTTACTGCGAATCCCATTTTTAACTCTCTTCTACTCTCTCATAGTAGATGCACAAGGGAATTCCACAGAACTGACACAACAGAAGGGAACAAAAAAAGGGAAAATTAAACTGTCCCTATATGTGGAAGTTTTATTAATTCGGTGCCGGCGTGTATGCGGTTAGTTAACGGCGAAAAAATCGGCCGGTTTTTCCGATCAAACGATCCGATACGGCTCGACCGTATCGATGACGGTTATTAACAGGCGATGTCACATGGATAAAAAAAACTGTAATAAACCGCTTTCCGTGACCGGGAAACCGGCGAAAAAAAAACGCGAAAATTCAATATTTGTGTATCCCCCTGCGGGTTCGCAAAACGGTCGATTGCCATCTCGAAACACGCCGAATATATTGCAGAAGTCATCTGTCATCTGTCATATGTCATCTGTCACATCGTCAACTGTCACATCTGTCTTAACTTCTCAGAGATTCAACTTAATGTGAATAGAAGAAAAAAAACCTCATAGAATTGCAAACGAATTTGCTCTTGTTCCTATATTTCGTTTTTAATCGGAAAACACTCCGCATATTTAGTGGCATAAAGCAAGGTGATTAAACAATCGAGAATCGCTCGATTTCCAGCGCTAACTCTGTTAATCCTCTTTGTGATACGTCACACGGGTCGAATGGAGCAATCATATCGGATTATCCGGTTTGCCTTGAACCCGTCGAACTATTTTCCCGATCGTTTGACCTACTTGTTATTCATTTTTTTTATCGGCGCGAATTTCGGGCGGTTCCGTCCCTGGTCGTTTTTTTTTTTTTTTTCGTTAGGCGGGTTGTGTCGGTTCATCGGCGAAATGCAAATAACCTAATTTTCTTAAATGGGATCCTAAATTCCGCCCTTAGTCGAAAGACGGACATCGATCCGGGTACTCCGAGGGGTTAGTTTCCATTTGGGTGAATTCGTTCGGTGGGAAATTCCTAGTAAGTTTATTCGTTTTCGACACGTTTTGATAACCCTTTATTTGACGTTTTTTTTAGAGTGTGACATTTGACATTTATATCGTCGGTTTGACATTTGACATTTGCGAATAATCGACTGGCTTTGATATCGATCTGGGGATAAATTAATTTCGATTTAGGGTCGAAATTGCGGGATTTTCCCTCTCTATAGGGAATATCGCTTGTAATTCGGTTAAAGGTTAAACGCATCGGTTTGTTTTTTGGGTCGCGTTTTTTTTTTCTGTTCTCTAATAACGATATAGAGAGATGAAAGGTACGCATAAAATTTTGATGACATTTAGAGCCTCCGGAAAAGTTCACAAACGTTTTCCTTTTTTTTTTTTTGGTAGATATTATTCCCTATTATGCGAGAGGCTTTTACTCGGCTAAAATTTAGTCGGGGGTCGATCGATTTTTCTCTTGTCCGCAATAAAACTTTCATAACGTATATAAATTACCGTGTTCGTTCGCAATTTTCGATGCATTACATGATTTTCCCGACGAAATAATCGATTTTTCTAATGGAAATGACGATGTACATAAACGCAACGCCGACTTGACAGTTCAGATGCTTTTTGACGTTCCAGATGACATTCGACATTTGACATTTGACGTACGTCAAACGGATTTTCGCGCGCTAACCGCTTCGCATTTATCGAATTGAATTATCGTATGCGAATTGGAATATATGCCGCAGAGGATATGCATATATATTTCTATTATTTATTTATGCAGGTGTAAAAGTTACGTGACAGTTTTATAACGTGCAGATAATGAAATTTAACCGAAAATAACGTTCGAAACATTTGGGCATGGAATTCAATCGAATTACTACCGATTTGGAGATCGTAACGAAATAATTGCCGAGCAATTATTACCGAAATACCGCCGATAAAATGTTAAAATTGCGCGGAATTTCGTACTTTGAAATATTTAACGCACTCGGGATGAAAAATGTTTAAATTGTGTACCGTTAATCACCATTCGTGATTTACAAAACAGCCCCATTTCAACCCCAATTCACCGATCCTCGTATATCTTTGAGATATTTCCACAGGCACCAAGTTCCTTTGCTCCGAAGTGATAGCGCCCATTCGCAGCGAAGTCGACGACATCAGCCTCATCATCATCAACTTCGAAGACCTCACCACGGTGCCGGCCTCGTCTCTCGAAAACAGCCCCATCGGCAAAAATAGGCTAAGCAAATGTAAGGTAAACGAAACGAACATGACAAAATAAATAAAAAATTATTTCGTCGACAGTCGGCCGGGCTCGGGCCTCCTTTCGCCAGAGCCTCAGGTTCGGCTCGAACATTCGCGGAAGGGGCCTCCGCCTAGCGGGCTACCTCACGCCTCCCAGCGACGTCACCGCCGCCGAAGAGGAAGAAGACGGCCTGGAGCAATGGTAAGACCACTCGGACATTATTCTAAATACTCCTCCATCGACCTTACAACATTAGCATCTTCTCTACTCCATTAGCCTCGACGAGTCTTCATTATTTAATCCATTCTTTAACATTCACTAGCCTCATCTTACTGGAATTTGCTTCATCCTCTTCTCCGCCTCATCGAGCATTTCATTATTTCTATTTTCTATTCAACACAACATTTCTAACCTTCATTAGCCTCACCAGGCTCGCTAATTGACCTCCTGCACCAATAAAAATTGCTTTTAACCATCTCGAATCAGCTTCATTCTATCTTCTTAGTCTACAGAGTTTGTTTCATCCTCTTCTCAGCCTCATCGATCATTCATTATTTCTACATCCTATTCGACTCAACCTTTCAAACCTCCATTAGCCTCACCAGGCTCACCAATTACCACCAATTGCTCTTAACCAACTCGAATCTGCTTCAGTCCATCTTCTCGAGCCCCAACAGCCTCATCGTCTAATTTTTCGCTATTTTAACAGTCCGTTGACGCATGCCGGGGGGCACGAGCAGCAGTGGCCGTCGAAGGGCGTCGACGGGCACCAGGCTCAATTCAAAGACTATACGGCCCTGGCGATATCGCACAGCGCCCCCGCCAGCCATCAGGCGTCGTTCGAGCGCGGCGAGAGCGTCGAAAAGGGCTGCGTCGCGCGGCCGTTGCACTCGACCTACAGCTCCAGCTACAACAATAACTGTAGTAACAATAGGTAAAAGGCCGGACGGATGATTTTTTTTTTGTTTTTTGTTTTGTATAATTCGGTGCGTTGTCGCCGCGGTGCTTGTCGCGGTTCGTAAACTGTTGTACCGAGCGGGGAAATTTAGTTTTTAACGGTTTCGGAGATGTGTTGGTACTACTGTTTACGATTTATGAGCATCTATTGAGACGTTTGTTGAGTGTTGAGTGTCTTGTTGTAAAGAAAGGAACGCGTCATGTGGACAATTGTAACGCTACGGTCTTGCATACAGGTCTGGAAACTCGTAGTAATTGGTGACTTTAGGTAGAGGTTTCTTAAAGAATCCGTTTGGAGCGCTAGTGTCGGGTAGATTTGAAGTTTCCTGACCTGTAATATACGACCAATGATGTCAATAGATATGCATACGTTCCTTTCTTTGTCTATTTTTTTCTATCATTTCTATTCTCTACACCTATTTACCATCTAATTAAGTAACCTATAGACTATTACGGAACGCCATCGGTACACCTCATTTGTCACTTGTCACATACAAGGTTAGATCGATGTCCTATGACTAAATGTGACGTCATGTCGTTCTATAACAGTCTATTGTGTGTACTATCTAACATTACACCCGGTCGATTGGCTATTTGAAAAGAATGAACAAAAAAAAACAACCACTTTCTATCATTCATATTGTGAACTGTTTTAGGCTACATCATGTGATTCACAACAAAGTATCGCATGCTACCAGTTTAGACGCCATAGCTAGAAGACAATGCTTTAAAACGGGTTATCCTACCGTTAGTCTTTGTAAGTTTACCTGATTAGAAAATTTAGAACCCTCTTCCGTCCCCCGAAAATCTTTGACGCGCCGTTTAATTTAACCGATCGATTGAGCAACGATCCGTTAACTAATCGATCTAGTTAACGGTTCGTTGAGGAGTTTTTTAATCCCATAGTTAATGTTTTTTTTTTAGCCTCCTTTAACAGTAGTTTCAATTAGATTCCTTTGAGTTGTTTAGTATACCTTTTTATATACGATAGATGTGTCAGGCTCGCTGCGCGAGCTCGTTTAGTTTAAACCAAAGCTAAGAAAAATTAGAGAAAACGCGCGAAAATAGTGCGGAAAGCATATTTTCGTCCCTTCCCAAAAAAAAAAACTGATTTTCGTCGAGATCGCTAAATTCGTTTTTCGTATTGATATTCCGATGTTTTTTTTTCCAGCCAACAAGCCGCAATTGAGCAAGCAATTTCCCAACGTGTCGTCGGAGAGCGATCTGCAGAAGTACAGGAAGAGCCCGAGCTTGTCCAATCCGGCGGATTCGCTCAAGCATAAGGTCTGTCAGCAAGTACGTCTCGTTCCTAAGCTTTTCCCGAATTTTAACCCATGGGAATTCTAACTGATGGGAATTTTAACCAATGAGAATTTTATCAAATGGGAATTTTAACTAATGGGAATTTTATTCGTTCGAACGCGCGATGATTTTGTCTGACGGGAATTCGAAGTTTTGGGATTTAGAGACATTTGTATAAAAAAATAGGGGAATTTCTGAAATGTGAAATGTAGCACCATCTTTCGGACGGAAGTTTAAGCTTGTATCGATTTAGTTTTTTCGGGCTCGAGCCGTAACGTAAACGTTTTTGCGTAATTTCGATTTGATGGAAATTGATTGCATTATTTATTGGCTTAGCGAGAAATATTACAAAAGAAATATATTATTAAAATTAAAAATAGTGGATGGCTAAATATAGGCGCAGGTGGAGGCCGGGGGGCCATCCCGAAATATCATCGCGCGAAAGTTCAAATTTTCAGGCAAAAGTCGAAAGGTGCATTAGCCTCGAATTTTATTTATGTTTCGTTCGCGCCGTAAAATCGACTTTTATTGTCGCTTTTCTCCGAAATTTCGCCACAATAGAATCTCCAAAATACACATCTCTTAAAAGAAATAACCGATTTCAACGAAATTTGCGGTTATTTAAATATTTAATCGAATATGGAGCCGTTATAGTGATAAAAAAATCCGGCAACCTCGTTTCCTTCGGTATACATTCATCACACTTCTGATCACTATCAAAAAATCTTCTAATTTGGTAATGAATCATTGTAAATTCCCAAAAAATGTCCAGTAAGTTAAACATTTAATTGAACAAAACTCAAAATCCATAACAAAAAATATCCGGCTACCTCGTTTCCTTCGGAATACGTTCATCCCACTTCTGATCGAGTAACCCTCCGATACGATATTTCCGATCCGCCCTGTATACAACAAGATGAGCGGCGCTGAAAAATGTCTTTCGTCTCCTTCCGACCGACATACGAAAATAACGCTCTCCTACTCCTATTTACCGTCGCCCATCTATAATAAAAACGGCCTGATTGAATTCGAGGCGCCCCGACGGCGGGTCTTCTCGGTCAGTTTTTCCACGTCGTCGTCGCGATCGACGCCATACCGGATTTTGTCCCGTGCGAATTTTTTCACTCGGAAATAAGAAGAAAAAAATAAGAAGTTATGGTGCAAACGGCGCTTTTTTTGTAGGAAGAAAGTTTCGCTATTTAGGAAAAAAGTGCCGTTTGGTTCGAGATGATACAGGTGTCGATTTTGTGCGGGCGGAAAAAGGGGAAAAACGTGCCGAAGGTGCGCCGGTGAATAATATTATTTTTTTATCGCGAGAAAATGGTATTGAGTGATTTATTTTATTTTTTCGATTTTAGTTTTCCCTACAAGATAATGGATCGGCAAAATATTTCCAAAGCGGCATCCACACGCCGAAAATGGGGGAGAAAGTGGCACAGGTGAGTGGGTTTTTTTTTAATAAATTTATTTGTTTGGGAATTTCATTCGGAGATTTGGAAATTCGGGTAATTGAAAGTTTCGCTTCGAAAAGTTTGGAAATTCGAAGAGTTGGGATTTTGATGTGTTGGGAATTTGCTTCTGTGAAAATTTGAATAGTTGAGAATTCGGTCTTTAGAAAATTCAGCGAGTTAGGCAGTTAATTTATTGATTACCGAGCTATTTGGAAATTTGAAGAGTTGGGAATGTAGCTGTTTGAGATTTTGATGTTTTGGGAATTTGCGTCTATGATAATTTGAATTGTTTGGGAATTTGGTCATTAGAAAATTCGGCTAGTTAGGAAGTTGATTTATAGATCACTAAGATATTTGGAAATTTGAAGAGTTGGGACTATGGCTTCTAGAGATTTTGAATTTGATGTGTTGGGAATTTGCTTCTATGAAAATGGTGCTGTTGGGAAATTTGAAAAGTCGCGATTTTGATCATTAGAAATTACAATCGATCATCAATTTACTACTCTTTTTTTGTGAAACGGTATACCTAATTAAATTACTTTGAAATTCCAAACATTTTCTACCAATCTTATTTTCCCATTAACCAACTACCTATAAATATCGATCGAAGTCACCTGCAACTTACAACAAGTCCTTGAAACCCCCCTTTTCACACAATTTACATTCAACCATTACCATTTAATTAGCATTATCGAATTCCCCCCTAAACCCGTATAACCCCATCGCCCCCCCACATTCCCGCGCCTCTTCGAGATCTCGGAAAACCCCCCCCCCCGATTAAAAAAAAAAGAAAATAATAAACCGGATCGCGGAGAATCTGCCGAAATCCGTGCCAGCCCGGCCGGAATTCCCCGAATCGTCCCCGGTCGGGCCGTCGCGACGCCCGAACGACGCTCGTCCGGTCGCCGGATCGCAGTCGGTCTGGAGGCACGGGCGCCGAACGGTCGCGATTTTTCCGCACGGGGAAAATTCGGGCGGTTTTTCCGGATATGGGGCCGCCGATCGAGCGGCGTCGCGACGCCCGACGCGCGTTTTTCGGATAAAGGTAGACGTTGGGCTCTTATTTTAAAGTGAATTTTCGTCCATTAATTTTTCCGAAAATAGTGTGTAGGATTTTTTGTAATGCCGATGCGCTTTTTCTAGACAATTTTTTTGCATCTATTTCAACACACGGTTATGTAGTAGTAAAAATGCTTCTCACACTACATTCCGCAATTAAAATAATTATTATCTTTCATCTTCACCCAAGTTTCGAGTTATTTCGAATTAAAATTCGATTTTTTTTAAGAGTCCAACGTCTCGCTTCGATCATTGTTCAGCTGCAGCATTTTATAGAGTAAATAAAGACGTATATAGAATTTGATTTTGCAGCTTTATTTTTATTATCTTGCACTGTATTGATTTCTTTAGATTGATATTTATCGGACGAATGGCTTTGGTTTTTATAAAACGCTTTTATTTTTTGATTAATCAATAATCAAAACGATCCGAAAACGAGCTGAATGCGCTTATATAGAACCGTTATAGTAGTTAAATAATTTTTCTAAATTTCAAGAAATAGACAATAACTGGATCTTTTGATATTTTCGCGGAATAGATTTTTGTTGCAATGCAGGAAACGCACGATTCGACGTGGAAATGTCTCGTTTACACGCGATTATTTTCCAGGTTAAGGCCGATTTCTCCCGTCTTTTTTTTTTGTTCCTTCATATTTTTTATTATTTCATAATCAAAGCCAGAACGGAATTGTGCGTGCGAAATCGCTGGTGTTGAGAGCATTTCGCATATTATTATATCGATAATTTTCGTTCTTTTTGTAATATGAAATTTTGAAAGTTTTTTTTTTATTTCGACAAATGGATAATTTTTAATTATTAAAAATAAATGGAGTAAAAGTTCCACGCCTAAATAGACGCTTTGTATGCTTTAAAAAATTGGTTTTGATGCAAAGTATTGTTAGTATTCGCCAAATTGCTTCGCCATTTAGACGAGTCATCGCAAAAATCGCAATTATCTTACCTAATAGATTCAATTATTTGCCCAAACAAGCTATATGTATCTCACAAAACGACTTATTTTTGCATCTAACTGAGCCAATTTTCTACCCAGGATTCGACCAAAAACACGATTATTCACCCAAAAAGATACACATTTTGAGGCAAAAGTACCCAAGAGAGTCAATTATCCTCTCCAGAGCCAATATTATAAGCAGCTGTATTTTTACCCAAACAAAAAAAACTGTTTTTTTGCACTTTACCAAAATTGCTTTACTTAAAATGAATCAATCAACCCAAAAAGTCATTTATGTATACCCAAGAGAGTCGATTTTACGTTTAAGAAGAGTCAATTACAGCTGTTTATTATTGCACCTACACATTCTTCATTTAAAAATAACAACTTTCGTAACCAATCTAGTCGAATATTTACCCAAAAAAGTATCACCTAAAACGAATCAATTATCAACCCAAAAAGTCATTTATGTACACCCAAGAGAGTCAATTTACCTTCCACACATTCCTCATTCTTTTAACACCTACATTCGTGCCAAATCTACTCAACAATTCACCCAAAAGTACCACCTAAAACGCTTCAAAGAATCGCTTAACCACCCGATTTACCCGCAAAAATCGAGCTTCTAGCAGTACTCACGTAGACCACACATCCTCAAAAAAGTCGCGTCCGCCATGTTGATAAAAATGGACAAAAAACCGCACCGGCTCGACCACGACAACCTCACCATCATCAGGCAAATAATCGACAATTTCGAAACGTCGCCGGCGGCGTCGGGACGCAAGCGCGCCAAGCGCAAGATCAGCCGCAGCGATTCGTTCATCAATCGCTACAGACGATCGCAGGTGACGCCTTCAGCGGACGCCGCCAAATGGACGAACCACAACAAGGGACGCCGGGCGTCGGGCGGCGTCGTCGTCGGCGAGTCGTTGTCGACGTCGACGCTCGGCGACCACCACGACCTCTACGTCAGCTACGCGGAGGAGCGCGAACGCGAAAACGGCGACGCCAATTGGCGCGCCAAGTGCGGCCGGTTGAGCGTGTGCCAAGATGGGCGCGGCGCCAAGTGTCCCAACGAGGCGTTCTCCGAGGAGATTAGGGCGTTGCAGGGCACCAGGAAGCACCGGGACCGCGTCGAGACTAACGTCAAAGAGGTATTGAGCCGGTACCATAAAGAGTCGATGGAGTTTTTTTTGTTGAGAGTCGATGTTTTTGGCGGTTGATGGTTTTGAGAGTCGGTCCTTTGAGAGTCTATGGTTTTGAGAGTCGATGGTTTTGAGAATCAGTCCTTTGAGAGTCTATGTTTTTGTGAGTCGGTGATTTTGAGAGTCGATGGTTTTGAGAATCAGTCCTTTGAGAGTCTATGTTTTTGTGAGTCGATGGTTTTGAGAATCAGTCCTTTGAGAGTCTATGTTTTTGTGAGTCGATGGGTTTGAGAATCAGTCCTTTGAGAGTCTATGTTTTTGTGAGTCGGTGATTTTGAGAGTCGATGGTTTTGAGAATCAGTCCTTTGAGAGTCTATGTTTTTGTGAGTCGGTGGTTTTGAGAATCAGTCCTTTGAGAGTCTATGTTTTTGTGAGTCGGTGATTTTGAGAGTCGATGGTTTTGAGAATCAGTCCTTTGAGAGTCTATATTTTTTGTAAGTCGATGGTTTTGAGAATCAGTCCTTTGAGAGTCGGTGTCATTGAGAACCAATGCTTTTGAGAGTGTATGTTTTTAAGATTGAGTGTTAAGATGCATTTTTTTCAAATGTTATTTCACTATTTTCGGAATGCATATATAATAATGTATCAAAATTAGCAAGATCCTTGATCATTTGATTAAATAATGAAAAAATCAAGCCCCCTTCACAATTTTTCCCAAATCCATCTACCTATTTATATTGTAATACAATTTTAATACCAAAATTAATAAGATCCTTAATATTCATCCGCTATTTTTTTAATCCTGTATAATATCAGCGCAACAAATTAAAAATTTAACAAACTTCAATATATCTCCATTAAAATTGCCCTTAATTTCGACCCCACTAACCGGCTACTTGATATACACCGATTAAAACTCATATCCGGAAAGTACCAGGAACAACTAAAAAAAAAATCTAACAATAATGAGAAATTTTTCCGGTTTTCTCCGGCTTCGCCTAATCCCGACGCATCTATAATCCTCTAGCGAAGGATTAAATCTCAGCTGAAGATTGACCTTGGGGACCTTGGGACGATCCTTTAGCCCCTCTCGCGAATAGAAAAAAACTATGCGACTTGTTGTTAAAAATAGTCGAGAGAGATCATCGCGAAACACTATTTGATTCGAAATTTTTTTCCCGAAGGGGCGCATTAGCGACGGTCCAACGGGAGGGAAAAACGGCTTTTCCCCGGGCCGGATCGCTGTCGCTTGTCGTGGAAATAATCGCTCGACTTGTAGAGGGAATTCGGGGAAAAGCGCGACAGATGGTTCGATTGAATTTAGAAGATTTTTGCTGGAAGGGTATAATTTTTACTAGACGATGATGAAATGTTGATTATAAAATGTAGTTATTGGGGAAATTTAGGTTAAAAATGGGTGAATGTAGAACGAATAGTTTTGGGGAAAATTTATTCTTCTTTCAAACAATACTGACTAGATGATAATGTTGAATGTAGAACGAATAATTTGGAGAAAATTCAATCATCATTCAAACAATACTCCAATTTTCCCCAAAATCCAAAAAACTCAAAACCCCCCAAAACCACCCTTAACCTTAACACCCAAAAAAAAAACCCTCCACCGCCCCACTCACCTCATCTTCGCCCCCCAAACCTGCGCGATTCCACCACCCACACCCACCCGCCCCCCCACTCCACCCTCATCGCATCCGAACAGGTCCAGACTTGTTCCATTCCATCCACCTCCAGCCAGTTCCTCGACGGATTCCGAGCCACGCGGTCGCACAAAACACCATTCGCACGCCGAACTAACCGTCGCGACGACACAAAACGAACCAAATCAGAGAGCCAGAAACGTCGATAATGGCGCCGCGACGCTCCTGATGCGCCCGCCGTTCGTCACTGATGGTGGCCGGCCCGTTCGAAACGTCGATCGCTAGATGAGCCGATCCGATCCGGTAGGGAATTTCTGTATACGCGAAGATTATTTCGCGCGTTTCAGTTTCACATCCTCGCTTTCGCCGCCCTTTTATATATTTATATACTCGGGGTGGGTTTTATTTCGTTTTGTTTGTTAGACACCAGTGATTGAAAGATTGGCTAATTTTTAATAGTAATTAGTCTTTAATTAGCATTAGGAATTGATCTTTGCACGTTTCTTATACACCCCTATATGTAGTTTGTTTATTTTATTTATTTAGTGTTGTAGTAATATTTAGTACATGTGTTATACAATCCTGTTGATTTCTCCCGTACTGACGGGTGAAAAAATTCGATGGAATTTTCGTGTTTCTGTTGGATTTTATCCCGTTAAATAATATATTATGTTAGATATTTTATATCGATTTACGCGTTACGTATACGCAATAGGTTTTCGTGTGATATTTGTTGTTATTGTAGAATTTTAAGGAGATTGTGCATGGTTAAAAAAATGTTGCAATAATGGCTCGTTTTATAAGAGTGTGAATTGATGAAGAGTCATTTTTAATTGCTGCTGTTTCGTATAGAGTGATTTTAATATGAATTTTTAGGTTTTAATGAGAGTCAGTAGGCGAAGAGTCATTTTAATTAGTGCTATTTCATATGCGGGATGAAAAAGTCTTCTTTTCATCTTGAAAGTATCTTGTTTTAAAGCTGTTTTAAAGAGTTTTGTACTCTCTTTAAATTGACTATAATTTAATAAACTAATACATCATTTTAATTCAAGTTTGTGGTGACAAATATTTTTTTAAATATCCTTTTCAACGTTAAAATCGTTAATAATGAGTATCTTATAATTAAAAGACTTAGATTTACAGAATGTTTCATCTAACAGTCACATAACGAGTCTTTAAATTTGCAAATAATCAATTTAACTATTTCCTATCTTTACAAATAATCTTACTTAATATTAGAATTAACCAATGCAACATTTTTCTGATTTAATAATAATTTTAACGAATCTCTAATTTGTTGATTATCCGATTTAATAGCCACTTCAGCGATTCCCATTTTTCAACAATTCAATAGTAACTTTAACGAGTTCCCAAATTAACACAAACCCCTTCCAAATGGATCTCTAATACCCAATTAATAGAACACCCGATTTAACAGCAAATTTTAATGACCCTCCAATAGGCATATTTCGATATCGTCCAAATCGATTTCGTCGAATCGAAAATCGTGTCGCGTCTCGATTAAATAATTCACCTTTCGCCGATCGACCGGTCTCTATATTCTCGTGAAAAATTAATCGAAAACCCGTCGATAGATATATGCAAGGGGATTTTCACCATCCGGTTTCCCTCGATTGCTCTATCAGTCGTTCAATCATCGATACGTTCGCGATTCGCGCGTTGTAATTCGATGCGTTTTCCCCAAAGCGAAATGACCTATTTGAATGACATGAATAAGAGGATAGCCAGCGTAAGTACGGATTTAATGAGTGGACTTTTTTTTGTAAGGAGTATTTTTTTTATTTCGTTGCGATGTGAAAGTTGGTTCTCGATGAGTTGATGGTGACGTGTAAAGTGTTGTATATTATAGAATTTGCTTTCGGGGAGGTTTTTTGGTCGAGGAAAATGGAAAATAGTGAGGGTTTTTTTATTGTCTGAAGGGTATTTTTAAAGGATAAATTTCTAGATGTGTAATATTGCGCTATCAACTAACTCTATGGTAAGGAAGTGATAATGAAAAATGTTAGGGAGAAATTATAATTTTACCAGCCTGAATCTCGGAAATTCCTGAAATAAAGGCGAAATTCTATTACGCCAATTTGTAAGTACCACTATTTCCTTTAATTTGAAAAAAAAAATCGCGGAAATCGGTCGATTATTAACCGAGTTACGAATCAATAACCGAAGCATCCACAAAGTTCTTACATTACATAATTAATGTAACTTTTCACTTTGTGAATTGTCATTTGATCATTTGTCACTTGTCGGTTGTTACATTAAATGTCAAATTTCGGAAGGACTTGTCATTTGATTAGTTGTCTTATGTTACTAGATAACTTGTCATTTGATCATTTGTCACTTGTCGTTTGTCACATTAAACGTCAAATTTAGCCAAGAGAGTCGTAACGTAACAATAATTTTCCCGCGTCTCGAAAACGAGCCACACACGCAACCCGATTTAGAGAATAATTAAACGAAACCATACCCGAGCCCCCACAAAGGACCAGTCGCTCCATAATTGGATTGCATAATTCACCAGCGACATTAAAAATTAGCCATTCTTTCTCCACTCGACAACAATCGCCCCCCCAATACAATCGAAAACACGACGAAACGATCGAGTACCCACCCCCTAAAAAAAAAAATGTACTAGACAGTCATCCTAGTACCGGTACCATCATGAGCGACGCCGCCGCGTCGTCGGAGACGTCGTCGCGCAAGCGCAAACAATCCACCGGTGGCGACGACGGCGGCGTCGGCGGCGTCGGCGTCTCGCCCGATGACGACGACGGCGGGCGTCGAAAGAGCCGCGGCGTCGGCGGCAGCCTCAAGTACGACATCGGTCGCAATCGGTCGACGGCGACGTTGCTCGCCTATCCGATCAAATGGTCGAGCGTCCGATGCAGAGGCGCCGGCTTCGAGGAGTCGCGACGCTTCGACGTCAAGGTCGTCGAGCCGTGCAACGGCGGCATGCCGAACGTCGCTTTGGACTTTCAAAATCTCAAAAGTCCCACGCAAACGCATCTCAAAAATAACATCGGAAACGTAAGTCTCTATCTCTCTCTCTCTCTATCTCTGTGTATAGTTCGTTTCCCTCTGTCCTCGATGCTCGATGAATCGTTCCATCTCCGTTTGTTTGGCTGTTACACGTCACGAATCGATGTTCTATCCTTGTCGATCTTTCCCCTCCAATACATTACACCACGATAAACGTTCTGTCGTTCGTACGTCTTGCTATCCTTGTCACTATTACCCTACCATTAAATTAAAGCTCATAAAGCTCTCCTTTTCCCTCTACTTTAATTGTGACATGCTATCCTTGTTGCTCTTCCCCCACCATTAATCTATTAATTCCCGTCAATCTATCTTTATCTATCGCACTTGATTATGTAAAGAAGGTTTGTTCATCATTGACTCGTTTCACACGTTAACCAGAACCCTCGTTAAGAAATAATTAGATAACAATTCTTCGACCGATCAAAGTATCTAACTGGTTCTATTACATCGACAATCGAAAGTTTCCCGGAAAATTAATTAACGAAGTAACCGATTAGGGTATAAACATCGAAGCGATTTCCTTCTCTATATTACCGCTTTATAACTTTCCTCTTCCACAGAGGAAAGATGTCCAGATTTAGGAGTACATTTATCGTAGTACCGTTCGGTATCGACTTGATCCTTTCTATTCCAGGTACTGTCTTTGGGCGCCGACGTCCTGCCGGAGTACAAGCTCCAGAATCCCCGCATCCACAACTACACCATTTTGCACTATTCGCCGTTCAAGGCCGTCTGGGATTGGATCATCCTCATATTGGTCATCTATACGGCCATCTTTACGCCGTACGTGGCCGCCTTTCTGCTCAGCGAGCCCGATTTCAACAACAGGAAGAACAAGAAGTACAGCGAGGATCCCATCGTCATCATCGATCTCATCGGTAAGTAACTAATTTAATGCCAAATTTTTCTTTGGACTATACTCGTGTATACAGTCGATGTTCAAGTTAGTGTTCAGTAGGTTGAAAATGGTGTGGTACCGGTACTCATTTAGTAGCACTAGGTTAGGTCAAGTGCACAGTGGAAGTTGTTCAAAACTGCTAACTGGAGTTGAAGTTGAACAGGAAGATATCGTTCTGTTCCTGCGATCAGGATAGGACCCCCCTTCGTGAATTTGAAGTACTAAAGATTTATTTCGACTTTATAGGACTACTAGCTGTAAGAGGTGCCTTTTTGTCCTTGGTTTTGGTGAACTCCTGATGAAGGAATTAGGCCTGTCGCTCTTCGATTGGCTGCTTCTGGTGCAGAAATAACAATAATATCTCCTAATTGGTGGCTTCTGGTGCAGAAATAAGAGTGATCTCACTTAATTGGTCACTTCTGGTGTAGACATTGAGAGTAACAACTCGTTGGTGCAGGAATTGCTCGAAGGTTAAGAGAGTTTTTTCGGGATTTGTTTCAGTGGACGTGACCTTCATAGTGGACATTCTGATCAATTTCCGGACGACTTATGTGACCGGCAACGACGAGGTGGTGTCCGATCCGGTGAAAATCGCCTATCACTATCTGAAGGGTTGGTTCCTGATCGATCTGGTGGCGGCGGTACCGTTCGATTTGTTGTTTTTCGGTACCGATACCGACGAAGTGAGTACGAAAGAAGTATGTATTTAACACGATGACACAAGTTATTTAAATCGTTTATTTGTTTTTTTTTTATTTGGTTATTTATGTTTATTTTTATTTGTTTTATGTTTTGTGTCGATCGGGTTCGTCTTGTCGGAGAAAAAAATGATTTGGTTTTTCTTTTTTGGTGTTAGGGAGAATCCGGCAGGACCGACCGGATCGGATTTAGATGGATACAAATTCGATGTTTTAAATGTTGCATTTTTGAAATGTGGAAATTTTGAATGCTCTCTGATTAATTAGCCTAATGAGTTCCGTTTCCGACCGGGGGCATGGACTGTTTCGCGCCTTCATTTTAATAAATACTGACTGTTAATTAAGATGAAATACGATATGAAATATGAGGCTTTTACCGTAATATATTTTTTTTAAAAATCATTCACCCGTAAAATCAATACTTTGAGAAGTGTAGCAGCCATTTTAAATTAAATATTAATTCCATTTAGACTTTAGAAATTGAACAGAAAAATATCTTTCTACTATCTAATCGTGCTTCTCTTGATTATCGTACAAACCGAGATATTTGACAACGTCGCAGTCCAACCCTGGTTCGACTAAGTTCTGTTCGTTGTTTTACATTTTTTTGTTTTTTTTTTTTGGTTTTGAGAAATAATTTTTGGAATTTAACGTAGTTGAACCATCTCATGCGAGCGAGAGGAAACTATGCCGAACTCGTGTGTTTTCGAACTCAAAAATTCCGTGCCCCATTGTACATATAAAATTCCGTTTTTGGAAAACTATTCGAGAAACTCCTCTCTTTGACTAGAAAATAGCTATCGAAAATTCCGAACGAATATAGAATTAACGTTCCGGACATTTTGGTTTGGAAAAAGGGAATTTTTCACGGCTCTATTAGCAATTTCCGCGTTGTTTTGCATTTCAAAAGCGCCGCTAGAGCGGTTCGTTTGTTTCCAAAGTTTCTCAAAATTATACCACAAACGTATCAGAAATTCACGATGACCTACTCTATACCGAATTGTTTCACTTGATTTTAGCTCAAAAACTACACGGAAATTATAAAAATTTGTAATAGGCACGTTTCGTAACATTCTTGGAATTTCGTAAAAACGCACGAGTTTGGCAACGTCGAATCGAGAATGATCCTATTTCAATAGAATGATCTGTCACTGTCTTTTCCTCATATAGACTCTCATATTTCTCGCGTCACGATGATCATGTTTTTCGTTTCGTTTTTCATGAATATGTCGTTTTTTAAAATGAACTTTTTTAATTCTTTTCTATAGTTGGGCTTGGATAAAGACGAGGTAGTCTATGATAGTTTGAACGCTTTTGAAATCCGATAGATTTCTATAAAAATCGCCGCTCTTGTTTCCCTAAATCAATAGACTTTTGGATTTTTATAGACGCCTATGCGGATGTTTGATGAACATATTTTTTTTAAATACCAAATCGTCACTTTACAAACGCTAGTTTTTGTTAATATACAGATTGTTAGATGGATTATTTCTGTATGTTAATCGAAATGAAATTAAAATAAGTTTGGATTGTTTATTTTTTTGATTGAAGCACGCTTTCGGCTCGCATGGTACTCTCAGCTTAAATCGTACCTTTACAAGTAGTACTTACATTTTTTTTAATCTATATACACTACAATTACCAATTTCTAACGAATGCCGTGACATTGGGAATTTACTTACAAAACACACACACGTGTAAATTCATGGAATTATTACATTTTTTTTGTTGTATTTCAGGGCAATAAGGCGCAGGTACCGTATCGATTCGTAATATTTTGTAAACATTCGTTGTAGCAAAGGTCTATTTAACATACAGCATGCTCAGGGCCGGATTTTCCCATATAGATGCATTCTATTAGGAGATGAAAGAGCCTCATAAGTGGATATCTCATCATCTAAATCCGACCCTGAGCATCATCTACTAACTACTAACTCGTCAATTCGAACCTCTAACTGATTAACCGATTAATTCGCTTGATATTCCACGACTTGAATGTTTCCAAAAAGAACTTTTCGTTGGGCTCTCGTTTTCCCCAAAAATTAGCTTTACTTTTATCGAATTTTACTCTTCGAATTACCCTCGTTATACCTGCACATTCGTCAATCGTATATCGAGGGAATAAAAGAAAATCGTGCGTTGTACACACGACAACATTCAAAATAATTCTCTTTATTAATTTCGTTTATCATTTCACCCCAACGTAAAGTTCAACGCCTGACCTACAAAAAAGTATAATACGAAAAAAAAATGCATGAAAAAAAATTACAAAACGGGCCTCTCCACCTCGAACTGGCCTCTTCACCTTCTCTTATTCCCTCCTCTTACTACAACATTCTTTTTATACACCCGTTCTTCTAACATATGTACCCGAACGTTAATTCGAATTTCCCTCTAAAACCACCGTTATGGTCTAATCCGCGTTCGCTTTTCCAGACGACGACGCTGATCGGACTGCTGAAAACGGCGCGCCTCCTGCGATTGGTGCGAGTCGCGAGGAAAATCGATCGGTATTCCGAATACGGGGCGGCCGTGCTGCTCCTGCTCATGGCCACCTTCGCCCTCATCGCCCATTGGATGGCCTGCATATGGTAAGCGAAGAAGCTCGGTGCATAAATTGACGATATTTCAGGTACACCGGAGAGAGGCTTGATAGTCTCCCTGACGCTGCCAATCTTTGTTCGACTGGAATGGTTTATTTGATAGTACTTAAAGAGATGTTTCTTATGCTTAACATCTGTGTAATCATCCAGGAAGCATTGTTGCCTCATGTAAAAGCCTCTCTTTAGCCTCTTCATTGATTCAAAATATTCTACTACATCCTTAAGAACCGGAATCGTTCATATTCTACCAATTCTGGTACTTACTAAGATCTTCCTTCTGTGCCTCTTCTATGGCCCCTTCACTATCCTAGAAATCTCTTCAAAGCCTCCATCGAATGTATGTTTTTTTCTTCCTAATTTATCCTGTTCTAAGATCTTCCTTCTACAGCCCCTTCACTATCCCAGAAACCTCCCTAAAGCCTCCATCGAATGAATCTTATCAACCTAATTTATATCGTTCGCAGATCTTCCTTCTATAGCTTCTATACTATCCCAGAAACCTCTTCAAAGCCTTCATCAATTGAATCTTTTCAATCTCATTTATCCTGTTCTCAGATCTTCCTTCTACACCCCTTCACAATCCCAGAAACCTCCTCGAAGCTTCCATCGGATGAATCTTTTCAACCTCATTCATTCTGTTCTCAGATCTCTCTTTCTACGACCCCTTTGCTATCCCAGAAACCTCTTCAAAGCCTTCATAAACTGAATCTTTTCAACCTCATTCATCCTGTTCTCAAATCTTCCTCCTACAACCCTTTCAATATCCCAGAAACCTTCTCGAAGCTTCCATCGGATGCATCTTTTCAACCTCATTCATTCTGTTCTTAGATCTCTCTTTTATGACCCTTTTACTACCTCACAAACCTCCCTAAATCCTCCATCGAATGAATCTTTTCAACCTCATCTCATCAACCTCTTCAAAGCCTCTCCATTGAACGAATCTTTTTCGAATCTCAGGTACGCCATAGCGAACACGGAACGGTCGTACGGCGACGCGACCGCCGACCGTCTGGTCACCTGGCTGGACGTCCTCGCCAACGACACCCAACAGTACTACTACAGCACGCCCAATGGCACCCGAGGCGGTCCGAGCATCCGCAGCCGTTACGTCACCGCCTTGTACTTCACCTTCACCTCGCTGACGAGCGTCGGCTTCGGCAACGTCGCCCCCAACACCGACGTCGAGAAGATATTCACCATTTGCATCATGCTGGCCGGATGTAAGTCCTCCATTTCCCAGGAGTTCTCCTATCTTTCTAAACGCTATCCCTTTGTTTGTTGAACATTCATTGAACACACACACACACACACTAGTACGCCTTTCTGCTGCTCGAACGGTACTAATAGAATCGGATTATTATCAGCTTTGATGTACGCCAGCATCTTCGGCAACGTATCGGCGATCATCCAACGGCTGTACTCCGGTACGGCGCGGTACCACACCCAAATGTTGCGCGTGAGAGAGTTCATCCGGTTCCATCAGATACCGAATCCGTTGCGGCAACGGCTCGAAGAGTACTTCCAGCACGCCTGGACCTACACCAACGGCATCGACATGAACTCGGTGCTGAAGGGGTTCCCCGAATGCCTGCAGGCCGACATCTGTCTGCACTTGAACCGGAACCTGTTGCAGAATTGCAGCGTCTTCGACGGCGCCAGTCCCGGTTGCTTGAGGTCGGTACCCCGCGAACGAGCTAATTACCCAAGTACTTGGTGATTGGGGATTTTTTTTTGTTCGTTTTAGGGCGTTGTCGTTGAAGTTTAAGACGACCCACGCGCCACCTGGGGATACGCTGGTGCATCGAGGCGACGTGTTGACTTCGTTGTACTTCATATCGAGAGGTTCCATCGAGATATTGAGAGATGACATCGTGATGGCGATTTTGGGCAAGTACGACATCTTCGGCGAGAATCCCTGTTTGCATCCCACTTTGGGCAAGTCGGCGTGTAACGTGCGAGCGTTGACCTACTGCGATTTGCACAAGATCCACCGGGACGATTTGCTCGACGTGCTCGAGCTCTATCCGGAGTTTTACACGCACTTTTTGAACAACTTGGAGATCACGTTCAATTTGAGAGACGTGAGTAGGCCGTGTCGCGCGACGATTCGATCGATTGAATTTTTTTTTCGGTTGATTGATTGATTGATTTCGCAGGACGAACAGGCCGGCGTGATGCCGAGGAGGTCGTTCTATCCGAAGGACAAGGAGACTCGGTACTTCAGGGGCGTACCGTCGGCGAGATCGAACGGTTTGTCGAGCAGGGGGAATTCGATGAACGGCAGACAGGAGTCCCAGTATAGCGACGAATCCGAATCAGGTAATCCTTTACTTATTATTTAATAAGTTCTGAATGGTTCCGGAGCGTTCAAATTTTCACCCTACCCTTGTAGTATGCAAGAGTGTTTTTGAGAAAGTGGACTGGATCTTCTGTTTTACTACCAGTTAGAACTGTTTCGGAATTGACTTAACAGTTCTGTAAGATCCTTTTAGAACCATTCAGTGTTCGAAATTGTTCCGAACAAATTATTGACTACTACATTTGAGACCGTTCGGGATAATGAAAGGGATGTGTTTCGATTACAGGGCATGGGATTTTGGAATTTTCTACGGACAAAGCCGGTCAGGACGTGACTCCTTTGAATTTGGATTTCGGCGAGGAGAAACGCAGATCGTCGACTTTCAATTCCATAACAGGTACTGGATATATATACCCTGAATGTTATACCCCTTTTTTTTGCTAATTTTTAACCCCTTTTTATTTAACGGATCGAAGGGTGTATATTGGAATATAATACATTATACGTAGGCGTTTACTATCATGCATTGCTTCTATAATATTATATAAAATAAATAGGTGTTATTTCGAAATCATTCGGCGAGTCGAATCGAATTCGCGTTGTGATATTATACGAATATCGCGAATGGTTTCGATTTATACGCCGAATCCCTAATTACATTTGCGATACCCTTTTTGCTAATTTAACAACTACCGAATATATCATTTCGTTTTGAACGAATTTTCGAAATAGTTTATAGTACAGATTGCAAATCGCAACGATACGTGCGACATTAAAAAGGTTCTTTACTTCTTTATGTTTATGTGTTTATGTCGAAATCTGTGCTATAAAATAGAAAGAAAAAAATAGAAGAAATTTAATCATGTGTTTGAATAGGCATGCTATCTCACCTCAAAAGAAGTATACCAGACCTAAGGTTACACAAAACACACCAGCCACTTATAGGTAAGTTTTACGTTCGAATTTTGTTGTCATTAACACTTTTCTTTTTTCGACAATACGGGGTGGTGTTCTCGAAATTATGCCACTAAAATTCTAGGGGTGGTAATTTACGTAATTTGAGACCTTTTGAGATTCAAAGATTTTTTGAAAGATTCCTTCTCCTATTTGCGCATCTAATTCAATTCTCAAGCTACATTCGTATTTTTAGGAACAAATTCGTTAATATAATGTATTGATTTTTTGTACGGATTTCGGATATTATAGATAGTTTCAGATTAAAAACAAAAAACAAACAACCAATTATGCATGTATGTATATCTAGCATGCGTAAGAATTTTAGATGAATGATTTTTATATTGTATTACCTTTTATTTTGAATCCCCTTCTTGTGAATGCATGTTTGTAACAGTTTGACATCCTTTTGGAGAGTTATTCCCGATTACATTTCGATTTTTTGCTAGTTAAAAAAGTGCCTGTCAAAAATTTGTATTCATTTATAAGTACTTAACTTAAAACAGTACAAATAATGCTCTCTTCACCTTTTACACGTACCAATGTATTCTGTAGAAATAAACCCAACTTATACCGAATCTTAAACACCGGCGGCTCACAATTACACTACTCACCCCCTACAACCGCCCCCACAAAAAAAAATCAACAGGTACCTATACTTCATCCATCCAACCAACGGAGTAAATGTGCTTGACGATCCAGCGTCTAACCTCGTTTCGATTACTCCGTCGGTCGGATGGATGTAGTTGAAACATTTAACCGGACCCCGAACAAATCGATTTTTCCCCGTTGCAGCCCAATCGACGCCGCCATCCAGCCACAGGGTGCGCAGCACCATTCGCAGGCAATCCTCGATCGGAGCGTACCATCACCAAGAACCGACGACGCAGACGACGGCGACGCTCTCAGCCGCCCCCAACAACCCTCAACAGCCCTTAGTCGGGCCGCTGTCGAGCAGCACCAGCTACTACACCAACAGCCCCAGTCCCCCCCATTCGGGCGATACCGGACACGGTCACGTGCCCGACACCTTGGTATGTATAAGAGAAACACTCTCCTTATAACATCTCCATTAAATTCACTCTGTATATCAATCAATCTTCTTTTTTAGGTGGCCTTGGACACAACGACTGTACAGCTACAACATTCCACGATGGAGGCGGGCGCGCGTCCGGAGACGATCGTGATAAGTCGAGGCCTCGTCGAGCATATCAACGGCAAATTGGACCAGCTGGCGACGCGCGTCGGTTCGTTGGAAGCCAAACTGGCCGCCGACGTCAAGACGATATTGTCGCTGTTGAGGGCGGCGAATCGACCGCCGAACGCCGCCGCTGAAGGCGACGCCTCGCCTACCGTCAACCAAGAGGCCAGTACTACATCTCATTTTATTTTCTATGTAGATCTATGTAGATCATACACGTACTAAATCACCCCCGATTTATTCAGGGAGTAATAAAGTGAGTTATGTTATATATTTTGTTGCAGATACCTGAATACGAGAATTTAGCAATAGATCCGACTAGAACTAGGTATACCTTTCAACGATCGGTTAGCGAACCGAAGCCGATATCGAGAAATCATTCCCAAGTTCTTCATAGGTAATTATAACAACTAACAATTATACATACGAGGGTATAGGTGATAAGTTCTCGGCCTGAATCATTAAGAGCTATCTGAGAATCATGATTCAAGGCTCTATAGTCATCTAGAACGCTCCAGAATCATTTAGAACTGTCTTAGAATCATCTAGAACACTCTATAGTCATCTAGAACGCTCCAGAATCACATAGAAGTGTCTAGAACGCCGAGAACTTTTCACCTTACCCTTGGACATGTTCAGTACAACAGCCAATAGATATATGAATTTTTTTTTGCAGGTTTGCGTCGTTTAATAAAGCTTTCGATTTCGATAAAGCCGTAGAATCTTCGTGGGCCGAATGCTTACTATCAAAAGATAAGGAAAAAGACGAAAAAATCGCGCCTATTGCTAAATTAGAATCGCTAGAAGAATTAGATTTGGTATAAAAATTTTGCACGATGAAAGTATTCGTAGTACCAAGTTTTTTTTTCTATTTTTCAGGAATCTCCACTAGGCAGTCCGAGGAAACCTAAAAAATAGCAATTACTTTAACAAATTACGTTGTTGTTTTTAAATCCGTTTTTTTTAACTAAACTATATCCTATAAACAAGTTTTAAACAGACAAAAATGAAAATGTATTATTGTAATTGAACGAGTTGTTGTACATTTCGAAAAAAAAAACCCAGAGAAGCGAATTCGTTATTTCAACCGATGGGCGAGATTTTGTTTGCCTTATTCGCTTCACTAATTTTCCTTTGTGAATTTTTCTCTTCATCTTCGGAAAATCGCTTCGGATTTTTGACATTTTACATTTTACATTTCGTATTTCATCGGGCACCTAATTTTTCGAAGTGTTTTTTAGCGAATCTCGCGATCCGCTGTAATTTACGAATTCGCAATTACTGAAGAAACGGTCCCAATATTTGGGACGGCTTTTATAGACTGTTGATTAATAATAATAATATTGTTGTAAATTAATAAAAAAAAAAGAAAAACAGTGAGATATCAATAATTTTTCACTATTATAAGGGTAAAAATGAACTTTATTTATTAAATTGTTTCGATAACACCAGCAATTTTGAGACATATAAGCGAAATAAAATTGTATTATTAGTGTAGAATATGTGTGTATGTAACATTCCATTAAAAAAAAAACAAAACGTGTGATATTTTAAAATCAAATTTGATAAATAAAGTTCATCGTCGATATTATAAAAATCCGTCTAAAAAAATATTTATACAAAAAAAAATTACATGTAAATTACGAAAGAACGAAGATGAACAAAAAAAAAATGACTTTATATACCCATTGAAATAATTTGTTAAAATTATTCGTTACGAAGCTTGTTTTTTTGCATTCAATCGCTTTTAAACTACATTTTTGTAAGCACAAATTATATGTTTATACACGATTTTATCATATTTTTAATAATATGTAAACGATGAATATATTCAATAAAAAGGCAGAGGAAACTGCTCAAATCGAAAAATATTACTTGCAATATTTATAACACCCTACGAACCTTATGAAATCCTTGTAAAAATAAAGAAAAACATGGCAAAAAAAGTAAAAGAAAAATATGGAAGGAGTAACAAAATTTGGCAAAAGTGGAAAAATGCGGAAAAACAAAAAAGACCACTTTTAAAACCATTTTTCTAAACCCAAATTTATATATTTACAACACTATTTCATCTAATTTTTTTTAAAAATATCACTTGCAGCATTTAAGAACACCTACAACAAAAAGAAAAGTAACCAACCTATAAAAAAAATCCCACATCTCGTGGGAAACTCACCCGTAACGACATCCTTCAAATCATCCACCACTCGCGATCCCTCCAACACCGCCAAAAAATCCTCCCCGTCGTCGCAACATTTCGCCAGGGCCGGATCCAACGGTAAACCGCCCAAAAACGGTACCCCCAATTCCTCGCACATTCTCCTCGCTCCGCCCGTCGAAGCCGGGAAAATCTCCGACGATTTCCGGCACGTCGGGCACACGAACGTCGACATGTTCTCCACCACGCCCAGCACTTTTATCTTCACCTTGAAGCAGAAATCTATCTCTTTCCTCACGTCTAAAAGGGCCACCTCTTGCGGCGTCGTCACCAAAATGGCCCCCGTCAAATCCGCCTCCGATAGGTACGTTACGGCCGATAGATGTTCATCGGAGGTGCCTGTTGATGATATATTCGAATATAAGAGAGAGGTAGAGGCAAAAGTTCTCGGTCCGAATCATTTAGACACTGTCTAGAACGCTCCAGAATCGTGCAGAAAGCTCCAGAAACATTTAGAACTGTCTAAAACTCATTCAGAACGTTCCAGAATCATTTTGAACTGTCTAGAACGCTCCAGATTCATTTAGAACGCTCCAGAATCATTTTAAAACTGTCTAGAACCATTCAGAAAACCCCCAGAAACATTTAGAAATGTCTAAAACCCATTCAGAACGTTCCAGAATCATTTAGAACTATCTAGAACGCTCCAGAATCATTTTAAAACTGTCTAGAACCATTCCGAAAGTTCCAGAAACATTTAGAACTGTCTAAAATCCATTCAGAACGTTCCAGAATCATTTAAAACTGACTAGAACGCTACAGATTCATTTACAATGCTCCAGAATCATTTACAATGCTCCAGAATCATTTTAAAACTGTCTAGATCCATTCAAAAAACTCCAGAAACATTTAGAACTATCTAAAGCCATTCAGAACGTTCCAGAATCATTTAGAACTGTCTAGTATCATTTGGAACGTTCCAGAATCATCATTCAGAACAGTCTAAAAAAATTTAAAACGCTCCAGAACCATTTAAAACTGTTTAGAACCATTCAGAAAGCTCCAGAAACATTTAGAACTGTCTAAAACCATTCAGGACGTTCTAGAATCATTTAGAACTGTCTAGTATCATTTAGACTGCTCCATAATCATTTAGAACCCTCTAGAACTGTCTAGAACCATTCAAAACGCCCCGGAACGTCATCAACAAGCCGAGAACTTTTCGCTTTAACCTCGCAACAATAAACATTTCTTATTTTTTGCGATTCCACAAAAATTATTTCGTTCATACCGGGCGGCGTATCGATAAACAAATAATCCAAACTGCCCCAATCGACTTCGCTCAAAAACTGCCTGATCATCCCGTTCTTCTTAGGCCCTCTCCATATGACGGCGTCGTCCGGTGAACCCAACAGAAATCCAATCGACATCACCGATAGATTATCTTCTACGTACTAAAACAAATAAACCAAGTTTAAAACGGTTTCGTCGAGTTATCACCAGGTTTACTTACGACCGGAGACCAACCGGATCCGGACTGGTGCACCTGCTCACCCAGCACTCCCAACACCCGAGGCTGCGAAGGACCGCAAATGTCTATATCCAGCACGGCCACCTGTAACAGTTTATTGATTGTTACAAAAATCAGGTCGATTCTATGGCTACGGTACAAATTAGGTCATCGTACTAGGTACAAACGGATCCCCAAAACACGATAACACAACACGAAACATCTCTTAGTATCGTTCGCGAACACCACAACAATGATATTCGGACAGGAGAAGGAACGGAGGAGCCGATACAATCGAGTAAGTACTCACGTTTTTCTCGGGGTTCGAGCGCGCTACGAATCGGCTCAAAAGGGCCGTCACGGTGCTCTTTCCGACGCCCCCTTTGCCCGAGAGTATGAGGATTTTGTTGCGCACTTGGGACAGCCGGTCTCTGACCAGCCCGATGCCCGGGTCCGGTTTCTTGGCCTCGCCGCTGGAGCAGACGGTTTGGTTGGGACAGCCCGCGCAGGCGGAGGCCTTGCCGGCCGTGTCGCTGGTCACGCCCGGACAGTCTGGAATATAAGAGCGTTTTAGTCGAGTAGTAGGCTTTGTGTTGGGGGTGTTTACGTTCGGGTATTTCGGACATTTCGTGGTGGATTTTATGTGGTGGTGGTTAAAAACGATTGGTTGGTATCATTTGTTGCGCACTATTTGTTTAATTACGGTGTAGAATTTCAATTAACTGGTAAATTTAAGTTTGAATTGGTTGGGTTATGTTATTCAAACTGTCATGTCATTTGTGTCAACAATGTCAATCTTAACATTCTTCTTTTTTATAAAACTCTAATTACAACAAGTTTTACAACGAAACTGTTTAATTACTAAATAATAATTAATATTATCACTATAACTGAGAGAAATGTATACTTTAATCCATTTTATTCACCAAACTAGTATTAAAAATAAAAAGTATCGATTAATCCACAACAGGACACCTGTCACCTGTCATCGTATTATTATTTTTGATGTTTACACTATATTTTACATCAAAACTGTTTAATTACCATAATAATTATTATTATCATTATAACTGAGTTGAATTGTATACTTTAATCCATTTTATTGACTAACTAGTATTAAAAAATATCGATTAATCCACCTGCCAACTGTCATCGTATCATTCGACAGGATCGATTATACCCGAGCGTTCGCATCGGTCGCTTTCGACAATTCAAAAAAAAATTCAAATTCCCAACAGTCAAATTATTAATTAGTAAACGTTAATTAATTTATTCATTGTGTCGCAGCAAGTGCAACTGTACGATGTGAAGATGCCGGAAGGGAACGATTCGGTTTTGTATTCGGTAAATATAAACCAATCGATTCGAACCGATTATTACTCGAATATATTAATCCGTCATATATCGTTTCCAGCAACTCCAACCATGGAGCACGGTGGGGGCCACGCCCTGCATGGAACAAGTCGCCGGCCCTCCCATGCCCCATCGCATAAGCACCTACTACAAAACGCCGCGGCCTCACCCATGGAGACCCACCCTGGGATACGAAATCGTCGAACCCATGCCTTTGTACGTTTATTCACTATTTCGCCTATTTAAGCCCCTTCCAGATCCCCAAGAACCTCTTCAGGTCCCCCACACACCTCCTCCAAATCCTGTACATTTCCTCCAGGTCTTTCACCAATCCTTAACCCACTGACACCTACCTCAGCTTACCATTTCTTCCAAGTCTATCGGATCCCCTTTAGCACCTTCAGATCTTTTCAGATCCTCTCCAGGTCTCTTTAACCTCCTTTATACTTCCTCCGAGAATCTACATACACATCTCCTTCAGGTCTCTTCTAAACCCTTCAGATCCCCTCCTCCTCCTCCTACAAAGGAACAGATTTGAATTCGAACCGTTTGTAGACCTCGCCAGCACACGACGAACGCCCTGATAGACCCCTGCTACACGCCCATGGGAATGGCGACGGAGCCGCTCAAATTCCCCAACATGGTGACCGGCTTCGAGAGGAATCCGGCGCACGCGGCCCGCGCCGCCCTCTACACCAGGTACACGCCGCTGGAGTGGACCCAGAACAACCTGAAGCTCTACAACGAGGCGGACACCACCAAGAACTACTCGGAACGGTTGCGCGGCGATTTCTGCCGGGTCATGAGGTAGGCGCCCGAGGTTAACTGGTTGAGGTTGAGGTTTGTTTCTGTAGGGAAACCGACGAGACGACGGCGCAAGGACAACGGGACGCCGGAAGAAGATTGGGAGAACGCATCACCGACACCACCTTCTGGAGGAACGAACTTAGAACCGAATTGGAGCGCATGATCACCGAGATCGATCTGCTGATGGGCCAGAAACGGGCCCTCAAGAAAGCCATCGACGACATCGAAGGACCGTTGCACATCGCCCAAGAGTGCCTCTACCACAGGGAGAAACGGGAAGGTTCGTATATCCATATAAACCCTACTCCAACATCGTTCCTTTTAACAACGCGATATCCTTATCAAGGCATGGAGCTGGTGCACGACCATCCGGAGCAATGTCTGCTGAAGGAGATCGAAATGTACAGGAACAGGCAGGAGCAGTTGCGCTGCCTCTACAACAAAGTGGTCGATCAGTTGCACAACAACAGAGCGGCCCAGCACGAGCTCGAAGTCGACGTCAACAGCAAGGACTCGGCCTTGGGCATCGACAACATGTGCCATCAATTGACCAATTTCTCCAAGGGGCTCGCCTATCACGGCGGCATCGAGAAATTCGATCCCACGTAAGTCACAAAAAACCATCGATGAACCATTCGAAATCTTCTTCGTTGAAACCTCAGTTCTCCTCCAGCTCGTTCATATATTCTCCTACATCTTCAGGACTCGTCCAAGACCTCCAGGTTTCCTCCAGATCCTTCAGGTCTCTTTCAAGTGCTTTAGGTTTCCTTCTAGAGACTTCAGGTCTCCTTCAAGTGCTTTAGGTTTCCTTCTAGAGGCTTCAGGTCTCCTTAAAGTGCTATAGGTTTCCTTCTAGAGCATTCAGGTGTACTGAAAGACCTTTAGTCCTCTTCCAGATGCAGTTTTTTTTCTGTTTTCTCCTACTCCATCGTTTCCAGGGTGAGCAACACGGTGACGTGGGCGGAAAACAGCAATCGCATCGTCAACAGATCGCAATCGGAGCGCGCCAAATCGACGCAGATGCGTTCGGACGCCGCCAATTTGATCAATTCCTCGTCCCAAGAGATTTGGGACGCGTGGAATACGACGAACAACGCGTTGGCCCGCAAGGCCGCCGAAACGCTCGAGTGCAAGAGCAAGGACCAGTACAAGTTGCACCAAGTGCAACAGGAGATATTCGATTTGGAGAAGCACATCGAGCTGTTGAAGAAGGCCATCAGGGACAAGAGCGGTCCGATGAAGGTGGCGCACACCAGATTGGAGGCGCGCACCCATCGCAAGGAGATCGAATTGTGCAGGGACATGGCACAAGACAGGTCTGTTTTTTTTTGAATAATTATCGATTATAGAACCATTCCGTTCCATATAGAAGGTGCTTGGTCAATTCTTAGGTTAATTGTACGAGTACTAGGACCATGTAGGGTCTGTAGTACTGAAGACAGAAGGTTCATAATGTCTTTTTTAATCGAAATGCAGGTTGGTGTACGAGGTGAAGGACCTGCAGAACAGCATCGAAACGTTGCACAGGAAGCTGCAGGAGGCGGAGGCGCAGCACCAGCAGCTGCTGAAGACGCGCATCAATTTGGAAACGGATCTGCACAACAAAGTCGGTTCGTTGTTCATCGATAGGGAAAAGTGTTTGGGTTTGAGACGGGCCTTTCCCATCACCGGTACCATCAAATATTAATTGGTCCGTTGGACTGGGCTAAAGGCCGCCATTCACGAGTACTCCAAATGGAGTGGTACCAGTCCAAAATCTCTCTGTAAGCGTGAGAAACTGTATCTGTTGGTGAATTTCTCTCTATTGACCCAGCAAGACATTTGAACACTGTCCAAAAGAATCATTTTAATCGGTGTGCTTGTGAATGGCGACCTTAAGTCGCAGGTTTAGCTAATTTGTACTAAATTACGAGTAGTTTCAAATATATTACTTATATTAAAAGATAGTGTTTTATTTATTAATTTCGTTATTTTGCTTCTAAAGGAAACAAACAACGATTACTTTCGGAAGAACCCTCGTAATATCTACTCTAAGAAGTGTAGAGGTGGAAACGGGTTTTTTAGGAACTGTTACATTCGAAGTGGTTACTTTTTTTTAGCAGGTAGTAAATGAGATAGATGTAGGAAATAAAATTTACCATTTAATAACTTTTCGCGTTTGTATACGTGGGAAAATCGATAAATTTATAAATTCATTGGAAATTCATGCACGTACGGACGTTCTCAGGGACGAATAAATTCGCATTTATTCGTAACACGTTCTAATACGAGGTGCGTACGAATAATAACGCAATGATATTTGAATAATTATTATTGGTTAACTTCAAATTTGTTTTGTTTTGTTAACAAATTCGATAATTTCTTTCTGGCTGAATTGGTGCACCAATTGGTTGATAAATTGGACAATTTTGGTCTGGATACGGAGGAAAGGTCACCAGAACATCGGTTGGTTAGCCATCTAGACTAAAAAATTGTTCTTTATGAGATCAATAGGTGCAAAATGAGCAAAAGAAAGGTCGCTTGGTGCACCAGGTGCTCGAGCAAATAGTACAAAAGAGGGGTTCTTGAGGTCTACCTTGATTGATGAAATATCGGCTGATAAATTGAAAAATTTTGGATGATTGGAACAGAAGTTCACCAGAAAATTCGGCGTTTTTTTTCCGGCGTAATCGGATTTCTGAAAATAGATTGCTATGACCTCTCCTACGCCGAATGAGAAGGAAAAGAGAATCTAGCACGCCAGACTGCAGACTATGTGGAGTAGAGCACCATTGATAAAATGGGACATTATCGCTTGATATTGACTTAATTTAGTAAACGAGGCAAGTCGGAAAATATTTTATTATATAAAAGAAATTAGAATTTCAAGCGAACTTTTCTAGCAAAAATTTTTCCTGCGACTGACCCTTTTATTTATATATAATTTGGCGGCATTGGAGATTAAATGGTTGATTAGAAATCGACGTTTTTATCGGTTATCTCGATAAAGCAATCGAAAATTTCATAGATGGAATTTTAAATTGCGGTTGAAAAAATAAACATGCAAGAGATTATTTGTTTGAACAGGAAACATAATTTTTGGGGCGGTATTTTGAACAATTTCAAATTTTTAATATAGATATTAATAAAAGCGATTTTTATTCCAATATACAGGATGTATCTGAAAAAAGTGGGAAAACTTTGGGAGCAAGTAGAGAACCACAAAATATGATGAAAACTTAAATGTCATTTTATCGAAATGTCAAGTTTTTGAAAGAATTAATTCCTACTAGATTTTTAAAGATGACAATAGTTCCTGATGGCGAACGGAGTATAATTAAAGAGGTAAAATAATAAACATACAACTTTTAATCTGCTACAGCAAAAAGTTCATTCATAGTAGGCTCGTCTAAACGATGTTTTGGCTCGCAAAAAAATCCTCCAAAATCTCCCGAATTTCCGAAAACGTTTCCACGCTTACTCGATTTATTAAAAAAATAATCGAAAAGTAAACAAAATGACGCAATTTTCGAATCAAAATTCCCATCAAATGCGTTCCGAATAATCCGTAGGAGGACAGATAAAGTTCTCCCGTTTAACTGAAAAAAACCGGCAAATAAATAAAATACATGTGCACGAAAACAAAAATTACGTTTTTATAACGTATGCGAGAGGAAGTCCTTATCGAATTTTGCATTATAAAAATAAAACGAGAACGAGAACGAGCCGTGTAAATTTATCCTTTTATAAATGTTGAAAAATTGAATTTCCTTTTCGTTCAGATACCGTCAAAAGGTCGATAAGGACGTTTCGTTGACAAAAAATATAATTACTCATTTCATTCAATTATAGAACAATTTAAAAATTACCGTCACATAGTAGAAAAATCTCGAATCTAATCTCAATGGAAAGCTCGAAATTTTTTCCTAAAAATCAGCCGAAAATTTCTATAATTATTAATTTTCCCAAGTGTTTCTTATTTTAGAGATTAAGTACGTTTTATATACAGCGTGTCCCAATAAAAAATAGCTCCTTTAATTGATTAATTGACATGATTTATTATAGTACGTTCTTAATTTTTTTGTATAGGCTAATTAAGTACTTGTGACACGTTTTAATTGATACTATTCAATCAATTGTACGTTTATTATTGATTAAGTGCGTTCTAAAATCATTTTTCTAGGCTAATTAAGTACTTTCAAGTATTTGAAGTAAGTTTTTAATTGATACTTTCGATCAAATGGTAGGTTATAATCATCCATTTGTACAATTTAATACGCTCGAATCAACATTTTAATTAATTATACACCTTTCTTAAGTCATCATATTAATTAAGTATACGTTTATAACACCAATTAAGCCCCCTCACGTCCTCTTTTTTCGAACAAATTAAGTTACATTTCCTAGATCGTTTCGATCAAAATGCATTTCGATATTTAAAATCAAACCGCGGGATTTTCCCCAAACTCTCGTTAAAAAAATGCCAAATTCCAATGCCAAACGTTCCTGCAACTGATATCTTCATCCTGTCGGTGCGGCGCTCTCGCTTTCAATCGCCGTTTGATAACGTTATTTCGAGAGAAATGAAATGAAAAAATCCGCCATTTTTCCACCAGAGATAAAATAATCGAACTTCGCAAATTCGATTTAGTATAGAATTAGACGTCGAATAGCGTGTTGTAATTTTTTTTTAATCAAAGTTTGTTTTTTTTTGATGGGGACGTTTTCCCTCAAATCTCCCCTCCTGTTGGTCCTGCTGGCCCTTCTCCTGCCGGACCATCAGATTGAGTAAGTGGTTTCTATTCCAATTTTTTTTTAAAGTATTCGCTATAAGTTTCAAAGGGCGAGATTATTATTTTAAAAATTAACTTAAAAATGCGCTTAATTAATTAATAAAGATACATAATTGGTACTTATAAACAAAAAAGAGCTTCATTGATGTTTAGAACGCACTTAATTAACCGAAAAAAATATAACTTGAAAACGCAATTAATTAATCGAAAGAATAGCTTAAGAACTTACTTAATTATTTGAAAGAATTAGAACACAATTAATTGTTCGATGATATATAATGACACTATTAATTAGTCCAATTAATAACTTAATAACGCTCTAAATTAGTCGTTAATTAGTCGAAAGAATAATTTTAGAACGCAATTAATTAGTACAAAGAATAACTTAATAATGCACTTAATTAGTCGAATGAATAACTTAAGAATGCATTTAATTAGTCGGAAGAATAACTTAAGAACACTATTAATTAGTCCAAAGAATAACTTAAGCAAGCTATTAATTAATAGAATGAACTACTTAAGCAAGTATTAAATTGTTCAAAAGAGTGACTTCAAACTAATCAAACTAATTAATGGATTTAATTAATTTAATTTTCGAACAGGGGTGTAACAGTACCGAAGTTCCTGCAAAACAAATATGGCACGAAAACAACGTCCGCTTATACGGGGTAAGCCGAAAAAAAAATATTCGAAAAATAAAAATTCCGAAAAAAAAAAATATTTTTTCTTTTAGATCTACCAATTCCCATACCAAAACTCACACGAAAACTCACACGAAAACAAGCACGAAAACTCACCTGCCACCCAAGGACCCATCGCCTACTTCGTCATCCAAATATCCGGGCGGTAAGTAAAAAAAAAGAATGTCCGAAGCTGTCAAATGTGTCAAACATGTCCAATATATGTCAAAACTGTCAAATATGTGCCAGAACTGTCAAATATGTGCCAGAACTGTCAGAACTGTCATATATATGTGTCAAAATATTGAATTCTGTCAAACCACGCAGGTTGTAATTCGATGCCGAGTCCGATGAACGCGAAGGTCAGGTGTTCGACCTATTCAGGTTGCAGGGCGGAATGCGTACCGGACCATCAATTTCCCGACGGAAAACCAAACATGAAATTCACCTGCCTCGATGGCAAATGGTACGATTCCGAACGTAAATTCGAATCGGTACCCAATTGCGAACGTAAGTACCATCACATACAATCTCTAATAATAATCGATTAATTTTTGGAATCGATTCATTCGCAGCGATTTGCATGCCGCCCTGCCAGAACAACGGCATCTGCCTGTCGCCCAATCAGTGCCATTGCCCCGACAACTTTTCCGGTCCTCAATGTCAATTCGAGAACAAACCCTGCATCAACTATCCCCCCATGCCGGTCAATTCGAAGCGACGCTGCAGTTCCAAGTAAGCCTTGACTGTCAAACGTCAAACGTCAAACGTCAACCGACAATCTCTCGTTTATTTAAACGATGACGTCACGATGCGTATAGTACCTTTAGCGGTAATCGATCGTGACGTCATCGCCGGAGTTATAAATAGAACGAAATAAATATGGCGGATGATTTTTTGCACGCAGGAAATGCACCATCACCTGCGCCAAAGGGTACGAATTCTCCGATGGTTCTCAGATAGCGACGCTCGATTGCAAAAACGGCCAATGGGTACCCACGCAGGACAAATGGGTGTCGGTACCGGACTGTCAACGTAATTATCAATAAAACAACGAAACGAAATTATAAGTTAATATTATACGAATACGAAATTTACAGCCACCTGCGATCCGCCATGTCAAAACGGCGGCAATTGTTTGTCGTTCAACGTCTGTCAATGTCCGCAAGACTTCAGAGGACCCCAATGTCAATACAGTAAGTACTACCTGGAAGTTTCAGTACTGCCATTTCGTGACATACCAGGAGTGATCTCTCCTAATCTCGTTTAGTACTGTATAATGCACCACAGCTCTACCTGTTACCAATTTGACAGTACTACCTGGGGTACCAAATTGACAATACTACTTAGCAGTATCTGGTAGTACCCAAGTGATGTCATCATAAGACTCCTTTTCACCTTGTTTTACACCAAGAAAATTGAATAAAACCAGAAAGGTACTAAATGTAGGACGTGGTGTTTTCCAGGCGCTGACGCTTGCTCGCCGAAAGACCTAGGCTTCAACGGAGGCTACAATTGCAGCGGCGACGCCCTGTCCTTCTCCTGTTCGGTAAACTGTCCGCCGGGCATCGAATTCGAATTCCCGCCGGAATCGATCTACACCTGCACCTACGAATTGGGCATGTTCCTGCCGATGCCAGTACCCAACTGCATGTACCGTAAGCATTATGTACCCTTTCCGAACGCTCCCCGAGTACCCCTAAACACCATCAACTCATTTAAAAGATCTTATTGGTGCGTTTTCCAGCGGAATTCGCCGACATCTCCTTCCAGGAGGGCGGCTCCGAGTCGATGTTCGTCACGAACGAGACCCATTCCAGCCATTCCGACTCGCTGGTCCATCGCGAGGAGGAAATCGTGGAGGAATCGATCAGCAAGGACCACGTCCAAGGCTCCCAAGCCGGCGTCGAACATCACAGGACCGTCGAGGAACGGCTGCCCAAGCCGGGCGCTTGCTTCCATTGGGGCGGTTCACACTACAAGACCTTCGATAACAGAGTTTACAGGTACGTCCCGATGGTTTAGGAGCTCTTGGTGAGCCGCATTGCCACTTGGTTAGCTCCTGGTCCTCATTGGTACGCTCTTGGTGAGCTGCATTGCCACTTGGTTAGCTCCTGGTCCTCATTGGTACGCTCTTGGTGAGCTGCATTGCCACTTGGTTAGCTCCTGGTCCTCATACAACTCTTTCCCAATCTCATCGGTATGCTCTTGGTGAGCTGTATTGCCTCTTGGTGAGCTCTACCTCGATGTTGGTCCCAAAAAAATCCTTCCCAATCTTATTGGGAGGCATTTGGTGGACTGTTCTACTACTTGGTGGATTTTTCCAGCTTCAATTCCCAATGCGCTGGAGTGTTGGTGCGCGATTCCAAAGACGGTACCTTTTCGATCATCACCCGTAACGCCGAGGCGTGCGGTACCGATCCGGAGTACTGCCACAAGGTGATCCAGGTCTACTTGCAGGACACGAGTTACGTCCTGGACGTGTCCAAGGACGGGATATTCACGTTCAAATCCGCCAATAAAACCCTACCGATTCCCGGAAGAGTACCGGGAGTGAGAACGGAGATGATGGCCAGTTATTTGAAGGTATCGTTGGATACTGTTGGAGTAGAGATGGTGTGGGATGGAAAGGTATAGTTTGACTTAGACTAATCATCGTCCGTGATGATTTGGTAATTTGCTTGTCGGTTTAGCTTTTGGTGCAAGTTTACGTGAAGGAGAGCCTGTGGAACAGGACGGAAGGTTTGTGTGGTGTCTTGGATGGTGATGCTAAAACAGATTTGATCACGCCCGATGGAGCAGCCCCAAGGAATGTGCTTACATTGGCCAGTTCCTGGAAAGTAGATACCTCAGGTGGTAAGTGCTTGGTCTTCAGGAAGCCTTTGAATTCTTACCAAGCAAATTGGGTTTTTGCAGACACTTGCGACAACGCTCCGACAGAAGATTTACGTTGCACTACCAACACCAGAAGCTCCGGAAACGCCACGGAATTTTGCAACAAGCTGGTTTCAGATCAGAAATTTAAACTCTGCCAAAACGTAAGTGACCAAAGAACCTCTTTACACAAGTACTACCTTGGTGTACCAAATCTTAGGTTCTGGACATAACGTCTTTACATGATGCCTGTCTATCGGACTTCTGCAACTGCCAAGGCAACGATCCCACTTTCTGCGCCTGCCAGACCTTTGAAGTGTACGTCAAGCATTGCTCGCTCTTCGGCGTCAAAAGCCTGACTAACTGGAGAGACGAGGACACTTGTCGTAAGTACCTACAATTCTCCAAACCTTCGGGTACTACTCGCTAAGGTGCTTTACTTATCTCCGACCATTTGGAGTATCTAAGGTTACTTGGGTACTTCTTTTTGATATGGTTCGGAGTACTTACGCGTACAATTTCGGACTTTCACTCATACTCGGTACTGTTTAGCGATGCCTTGTACCAACGGCAAAGTGTACAAATCCTGCGGATCGGCCACCAGACAACCCAGTTGCGGAGACTTATCCGAGGGTACCACCGCGATAGATGCAGGTTGCGTCGAAGGTTGCTTCTGTCCCGAAGGTACCGTTTTGCACGAAGACAAGTGCATCACCAAGGACAAGTGTCCTTGCATGTTGAGAGGAAAGAGCTTTCGGGCCGGAGCCTCGGTACGCAAAGACTGCAACACCTGCACCTGCGGAGAAGGCAAATGGACCTGTACTCAGGTATATTCGACAGGAAATGCTGCGTTTGCAGTTACTACGGTACTATTTTTTTGTTGTTCTAGGTGGATTGTGGAGCCCGTTGTTCGGCCATAGGAGATCCCCATTACGTCACCTTCGACGGAAAGAAGTTCGACTTCATGGGAAAGTGTTCGTACTACCTGGTGAAGACCGGCAACTTCTCCATCGAAGCGGAGAACATCCCCTGCTCGGGCGCCGTATCCCAAGTAATACCGACAGTACCGCCGCTGGAATATCGCGGTACTAATAATCGAATTCCGTTCTCAGGCTATGAACTTCCCCAGCAGCCTATTGACGGGCATGCCGACCTGCACCAAGACCTTGACCATCCGGATCAACGGCCAAGTGGTCAAGTTGAAGCAGAACCTCCAGCTGGTGGTCAACGGTGAAGAGGTCACGCGAGTACCGTTCAGCGTGTCCGGCATCAAAATCAAACAGGTTTCGTCCCTTTTCCTGCTGACCAAACTTCCTAACGGAGTGTCCGTTTGGTGGGACGGTGCCAGCAGGGCCTACATCGATCTCCCCGCCAAATTCCCGGAAACCACCAAGGTGAGTACCTTACGGTACTATTGGTACTACCAACGGTTGTTGCACCATCAATTTCGTTTAGGGTTTGTGCGGTTCCTTCAATAACAATCAAAAAGACGATTTCCTAACGCCCCAAGATGACATCGAGCAATCGGTGATTCCGTTCGCAAACAAATGGAAAACTTCCGAACATTGTCCGGATCTGCCCGAGGCAGTACCGACGCATCCGTGCGACAAGAACATCCACAAGAAATCCCAGGCCGAAGAGTACTGCTCCAAAATCAAAACGGACCTGTTCAAAGGTAAGTCTACATCGTCGAGTTGAAGCTAAAGTAAGAAAGGATTAGGTAGTACCGTTTGACTAAACCTATACATATTCCCAGAGTGCCACTTCTTCGTCGATCCGGACCAATTCTATCAAGACTGTATGTTCGACATGTGCTCCTGCGAATTACCGGTAAGTACCGCACGAATTTAACCTGTCCTTTTCGTAACGAGTACCGGTCGGTAGGCTTCGAAATGCCTGTGTCCCATCATCGCCAGCTACGCCACCGCGTGCTCCAGGCAAGGCATCAAAATCGACTGGAGAGGAGAGATCCGAGAGTGCGGCGTCCATTGCAAGGGCGGCCAGAAGTACCAGGTGTGCGGCAACCCGTGCACCACGTCCTGCAGGGACATCTCCAACGAGCCCGACTGCAAGCCCTCCTGCGTGGAAGGTTGCAACTGTCCCGAAGGCATGACGCTCGACGATAACGGGGAGTGCATCCCGATAGGGGAGTGCAAATGCTCCTACAGAGGTACCGATTTCCCCGCCGGTTATAAGGAAATCCGACCGGCTCCGAAGCATGTACAATTATGGTAAGAACGTTATGGTGCCATTATTAATTACAAACCGTGTAGTACCGGGTATTTTGACCTTTTCCAGTATGTGCTCCAACGCCGCTTGGGAATGTTACGAAGCGACTCAAGAGGAGCAAAAGCTCTATCCCAATTCCGAATTGACTCAAAACAAATGTAACGGTACCGCCAATATGGAGTTCACCACTTGCGAACCAGTGGAACCCATTACTTGCAAGGTAAAAACATTGTTTTATCTTACAACTAGTACTACCATCATCTCCACCACCAGTACCACCATAGGAACTACCGAATAGAGTCTATGTACATACTAACTACGCAGTACTTATTCGATTTTAGAACATGGATTCGCCTGAATTGTACTCGCCGGCCGTTTGCCACGCAGGTTGCAAATGCAAACCCGGGTACGTACTCGACACGTCGACCAAAACGTGCGTACTACCTACCCAATGTCCCTGTCACCACGCCAACAAGAGCTACAAAGAGAACTCCGTCGTCCAAAGCGGTTGCAATACCTGGTAAGTGCATTTTTACAGTACCGAGCAAAGGCTGCTCGGGTACCTCAAGCTCGAGTACTAGCAGAGAGTTATTTTCCCATTCAGTACCTGCAAACACGGCAAATGGTCGTGTACGGATCGCCAATGCGCCGGCGAATGTAGCGCCTGGGGCGATTCCCATTACAAAACCTTCGACGGCAAACGGTACGACTATCAGGGCGAGTGCGACTACGTACTGTCCAAAGGAACCCTCGGCACCGATTCGTACCACATAACTGTTCAGAACGTTCCGTGCGGTTCCCTCGGCACGGCCTGCTTCAAATCCGTCACCATCAAAGTAACGTCCGGCGGTGGTACCGATTTGCTCAGCTTGGAAAAGGACAAACTTTTACCCGGACTTAAGGCCTACAAGCACGTCACTGTGCGCGAAAAGAGCCGATTCGTCATCGTCGAAGCACCGGAACTCGGTTTGGTACTACATTGGGACAAAGGTACTAGAGTGTACGTTAGATTGAATCCGAAATGGAAAGATAGGGTAAGAATTTTTACATTAATTCTAATCTCATAGTACCTAAGCCTATTAGTACAGGTTTTAGTAGTACCGTATTAGCCTGAGTAGTACCTCAATAGCAGTACCTTTTTTTATTGTAGACAATAGGTTTGTGCGGCAATTACAACGACAACGAAATGGACGATTTCCAAACGCCTTCCGGCGGTTTGGCGGAAGTATCGCCTAACATCTTCGGTGACTCCTGGAGGTTGCAGCCTTACTGTACGCAGGCTCTGGAAATCGAAGATACCTGCGCATCGCGACCGGACCGCAAAACGTGGTCGATCAAGCAGTGCAGCATACTGAAATCCCCCACGTTCGCCGCCTGCCACTACGAAGTACCGGTCGAGTACTACTTCGACAAGTGCGTGTTCGACAGCTGCGCCTGCGATCAAGGCGGCGACTGCGAGTGCATGTGCACCGCGGTGGCGGCTTACGCGCAGGAATGCAACAACAGAGGCGTCGCCGTCAAATGGAGGACGCCGGAATTTTGCCGTAAGGTACTCCGCGTACCGCTCGAGTACTACTTCTAATGTCCCCATTGCGATTTGCAGCCATGCAATGCGACGAAACCTGCACCAGTTACAGCCCGTGCGTGTCGACCTGTCCGGAAGAAACCTGCGATAACATGTTGGTGAACAAGCAGTACTCCAAAACCTGCGGCGAGGACGTGTGCATAGAAGGCTGCGCCCCCAAGTCCTGCCCGCCGGGGCAGGTGTACAGTAACGGCACGCACTCCGAGTGCGTACCGAAAGAGAAATGCCGACCGGTTTGCATGGTGGTACTGGACAAGACGTACTACGAGGGCGACCTCATGGAAGAGGACGATTGCCACAGTTGTTACTGCTCCAGGCAGGAGAAGAAATGCCGGTAAGTTGCGACGCGTTCGGTTAGAAAAACCACTAGAGGTACTAAGTTGATGAATATTTCGCAGCGGTGAACCGTGCACCACCACGGAAGTACCGACGACGCCGTTCCAACAGGAACAATACGTTCAATGCGAACAAGGCTGGACAAAATGGATCAACCAAGATCGACCGGTAGATGTGAACCAACTGAGAGTCGAGGAAATCGAACGTATTCCTTCATCTGTAGTACTGGTAAGTACCTCCACATATTCACAATAGTACCGCTAGATCAATTAATTCGACTTTAAATTTCAGCTCAACCTGAACAACTCTGCCAAATGTAGCCCGGATATGATGACATCCATCGAATGTCGTACCGTCAAAGATCACGTTCCAGCCAAAGATACTGGATTAGATGTGGAATGTTCTCTGGAGCGAGGCCTCATTTGCAAATCCGACGCCAAACGATGTCCTGATTTCGAAATTAGATTACACTGCGATTGCGGTAAGTCAATAAAGTACTATCCTCATCGGTCGCAAATACAATGTTAGTACCACACTTTTCAGGTGAAACGACAACACCGGAACCCGAATGGACTACATTCGCACCGATTTGCAACGTCGGAGAAAGCAAGCCCGACAAGATAGATTGCTCCAAGTACTACCTATGCGTCTTCGACCAATCCGAGATCAAATGGATAGAGAAAACTTGTAATGAACACACCATGTACAATCCAAAGAGTAAGATGTGCGACAAACCTGATGTGGTAGTACCGTTAAGGCCTGCTTGCGGTACTCCCACCACTCCTTACGAACCGACCACCGCGTGGGAATTGATCACTACTCAAGCTCCTGGATGCATTGCCGGCGATAAACGAGAAGACTACGAGGATTGCACTAGGTACTCCGTGTGTGTCGCTGATAAGTTCGGGTACCGTTGGATCGAAGAGGTTTGTTCCGGCGGTTACATGTACAATCCGGTAAAGAGAACTTGCGATTATCCAAAGGAAGTCAACAAAGTAAGTACCAGCAGTACTAATGAATTCTTTTTGAATACAGAATGTATCGTGTCGCAGGTCAGACCTATGTGTAAGAGTACCACCACAACAGAGAGTTATGAAACAACCACGGAAGTGTGGGAATCCGCAGAGGCCACTAACGAAACGATTCGTAAGTAAAACTCGCACGTCTTGTAGGTACCACATCTTGACGGTACCACTATTTTTCAGCACTTTGCGCCCCCGGACTAGTATACGACGCGTGCGCCATCCAATGCGACAAGCTCTGCATGCACTACCAGTACGTGGTGAGGCAGAAGGGACGGTGCAAAGGTAGTACCGTAAAGTGCGAGGCCGGTTGCGTGTCGGCCTCCAAGCAAAAATCCTGCCCAGCCGGTCAGGTGTGGCTCAACGAAAAAACCTGCGCCTCCGTCGAATCCTGCATGTGCGTCTCGGAGGACGGTACTCCCGTCAAACCGGGCCAGGTCGTCGAGAAGCCGGGCTGCAAAAAATGCCAATGCATCGACAACTCGTACACTTGTCATCAAGATACCTGCACCACTCGAGTGGTACTACCCACCGAAGTCGACCAAGACACCACATCCACCACCAGAATCATCGAAACGTCACCGACGGAAGAATCTACTCCCGGTGCTACCAATGCTACCACAAACGCTACCTCGAGAAGTACCAAGAAGGTGTTGTCGACGGAAAGCGAGGAACCTAGAGAAAGAACCACATCCACCACCAGAATCAACGAAACATCGCCGACTGAAGAATCTACTCCCGGTGTTACCAATGCTACTACAAATGCTACCTCGAGAAGTACCAAGAAGGTGTTGTCGACGGAAAGCGAGGAACCTAGAGAAGAAACCACATCCACCACCAGAATCAACGAAACATCACCGACTGAAGAATCTACTCCCGGTGTTACCAATGCTACTACAAATGCTACCTCGAGAAGTACCAAGAGGGTGTTGTCGACGGAAAGCGAGGAACCAAGAAAAGAAACCACATCCACCACAAGAATCAACGAAACATCACCGACGGAAGAATCTACTCCCGGTACCACCAATGCCACGAGAAGCACCACCAAGAGGGTGTTATCGACGGAAAGCGAGGAACCTGAAGAGGTGACGGAGCATTTCGAGCACAAAACGGCTGCTACTGATAGCGCAGCCGTCGGTACTGTCACCATGAAGCATCACTCGTTCGCCACGCCTACCGTCACGCCGCCACCCACATGTACCGAAGACAGGTACTTACAATTCAAGGTTATGTAGTAGAGGATTCTAATGTAAAAGTACCGCTATTCCAGGTTTATTCCGTTAATCCAAGGAGACGTACCGCTGCCGGACGAAGCCTTCAACGCCAGTAGCGTCAAAGAGGACATATTTGCTCCGCACCACGCCAGGTTCTCGACAGAAATCAGCGAAGAATCAGGTTAGTCAATGGTAGTACCGATAGTAGTAGTATCGATTATCCACGTATTTTCATCAGGTGGTAGTTGGGCGCCAAAGTACCAGAACCATCAGCAGTACCTAGAAATCGATTTGGGAAAGCAAGAACCCGTATACGGTGTCATAGTTAGAGGTAGTCCGTTGTTCGACGAGTACGTCACCAGTTACAGGGTACAATACAGTCCCGACGGACGAACGTACTACTACGTACTCGACAAGAAGAGGAAAAGACCTATAGTAAGTACCGATAGTACTCTTACGTAAATGACACGTAAATTTTGCGACTTTTAGGTTTTTAGAGGATCCACCGATTCGACTACGGAGGTTAAGCAGTACTTCGACGAAGGTGTCGAAGCCAGAAAAATTCGAATCAAACCAAAGTCTTGGAACAACGGGATATCATTGCAAGTTGAACTATTGGGTTGTTCCGACGTCACCTCAACAACGACCTCTACATTCAGTAGTACCACTCACATCGTGGTTAGTACTATTTCACATTATCATTCTAGATACCACAATCAATGGTATTATATGCTTGTAGGTCCATACCACGCCTTCGCCGATGTTCTGCGACGACCCAATGGGTATAGAAGATGGTACCATGGCTCACTCGCAAATATCTGTCAGTTCTTCGATTGATAGTAAACACGGAAAGCAGCACTTAAAACTCAACGATCATTCGGCATGGCAACCTGTCACCAATTCGCCGACCGAATGGATACTCGTAAGTACCATCAATTCCAAGTAGTACCCTCATATAAATAATCCGTTATTCCAGTTCGATTTCCTGGAGCCACGCGACATAACCGGTTTGGTGGTGAAAGGCGGTCCGGACGGTTGGGTGGAGAACTTCCTGGTGGAGTACTCCAACGACGCAACCGAATGGAGTACCGTCATGTACGGCAAGAAAGAAAAGATCTTCGCCGGTAACTACAATTCCAATTTGCCGCAAACGAACAATTTCGAATTGCCGATTAGGACTCGGTACTTAAAGGTGGTACCGAAGAAATGGCACAGTACCATTCAAATGCGCGTCGAAATTCACGGATGTTACCAACCGTACCGTAAGTACTAACTATCGAAAAATTTTTATAATCTACCAACCTGTCGGGTTTTTTACAGCTACCGTTACCGAAGTACCTACTACTGTAACTCCGGAAGATTTAGCTTGCAACGTTTGTCCAGGAGTCGATGAAAAGAGTTCTTTGGAAATGGACGTCTGCAGGTGCTTGCCGCACAAATGGTGGAGCGGTACTAACTGCGTCGACAGACCACAATGTCCTTGTACCGTTGGATACATAAAGTAAGCAATTGAACTGCTATAGATAACCGTTACTGTAAGTACCGTTGAGTAGCTATGCTTCAAGCGGTACCATCTTAAAAATTTCTAATCATTTTGGAACATATACTAAATCAAAATTTCAGGTACCCCGTTGGAGGAGTGTTCGAGAAAGAAGATTGCTCTGAATGTGTTTGTAAAATCGGTGGAGTACCGTTCTGCAAACCAAAGTCATGTCCAAGTTGTCCCACGGTACGTAAACGCATTACATTCCACCAAAGAACCGACTAAACCAAATTTTTCGTACTTATTTAGGGTCTGAAGAGCACGGTAACGGCCACTTGCGCCTGCACCTGCCAACCTTGCCCGGAAGGTACCACCCTATGCCCGACCAGCAACGTTTGCATCAATTCGACCTTGTGGTGCAACGGCATCGAGGACTGTCCGGACGACGAAGTCGACTGTGCCACGACCACCGAAAGTCCCAGTACCACCGAACGTCCCACTACGACCGAAAGTGTCAGTACCACCGTCATTACTACCACATCGGAACGACGCCCAATCACCCCCGCCGAAATCAGATCAACCGCCAACCCTCAGCACAAACCAAGTAAATATATCACAATAAAATAATTTTAGGGTACTACTTTACGATATCTTTTCCAGACATATGTAAGGAAATCGTCTGCGGTCCCGGATTCGACAAGGTACTAAAGAAGAAGAAGACAAACGGCAAGAAATCAGGAAGGAAGCAGTACACCTCGCAAATGCTAAGGAAGACGACCAAAACCTCAAGTACCAAGACCAGGTACTCTGGCTCTAAAGGAGGTCGAAGAAAAACCGGTAAGTTCCAATCATCAACGCAAGTACCAGTAGTACCGAAACACAACAATTCCAGCCGCCACCAATGAAAAATACCACTTGGCCACGCCATCGCCGGCCCTCAGGTCGTACCCCAGACTATCCGCCACCGTTCCATGCGATGAGTACGTGTGCGTACCGAAATTCCCCGAATTCAACAACTCCCAGGAGGCGATCGAATACTGCGCACCGTTGATCTGCGAAGGCAATCAAATCGTCGTTTTGGACGAGGTCAGCTACGACGGCAAATGCCAGGAGTTCCATTGCGAAGTACCGCCCCAACCGGACGCCGTCTGTACGGTCGTCGGCAGTAACTTCCGTACCTTCGATCACGTCTCGTACAATTACGAGATTTGCAATCACGTGTTGGTCAGGGATCTGGATCACGACGATTGGGAGATATCGCGTAAGTACCGCCTTGGTAATCTCAGGTTTCTAAGGTTTCTGCGAGTCCAAGTAACCTAAAGCCTTTGCAGATCTTTGCAGATCTCAATCTAGATTCCAGGTTATTTAAATTCTATTGATTAGGCTCCTTTTGGTCTCCAGTCACACCTTAAAGTACCTGGCGTTTCTCAGGCTTTTTCCTTCGAATAAACCACGTACGTTTTTGCAGTGCAAAAAACCTGCAAGAAGACCTGTTCCCGCGAACTGGTCATCAAGCACGACTGGCAATCGTTCGTCCTCCATACGGACTTTACCGTGGAGTACAACGGCTACACCTACACCTTAGCTCAGGCCGTCAGGCTGTCCGAACTCCAGGAGGACTTCTCCATAGCCTCCGTCGGGCGAACGTTGCTCTTCACCTCGTCCAAATACGGTTTTTGGGTCATTTGGACGCAACACGGCAACGCCAAGATCGGCGTCGACCAGCAACTCATCGAGAAGGTAAGTACCGAAACCTCTTTGAAGGTACCTTACCTTTTGACAGGTTCTCGTAGGCTAGCAACAGGTTTGTCGCCTAGCAACATATTTTGGTCGCCTAGCAACGGATGTTTGTCGCTTAGCAACGCATTTGTTTTCGCAGGTTGACGGTTTGTGCGGGTACTTCGACGGCGAGAAAGATGGCGACAAACGTAAACCGGACGGTAGTGTGAGCAAGACGACGTCGGAATTCGGCGACAGTTGGGCCCTATCCGAATTCCAACATTCCATTTGCGAAGCCAAAGCCTGCTCGGCCGACATGCAAAATAAAGCCTGGGAAATGTGCAACAAAGTCAAGTAAGTGCCTGGTCATCGTTTAGGTCATCGTCTATTAAGAGGGCTTAATTTACCGTAAAGTTTAGTATAAAGCAAATTTTACCTTCTATCTAAGGTTCTACTCAGAGCCTGAGAACTGGGCGAAGCGGTTAAATAACTCTTTCTTTAGTAGGCTTCATTTAATGCAAATATGCTACAAAGTACATAAAAAAAGCTTATCGGCTCGGAGCCTGAGAACCTCATACGTGATTACAGGGAGGAATCGCTGCAGAAGTGCAGCCGAACCGTCGACGTCGAAGCCTTCGTCTCCCGTTGCTTGGAGACCGCCTGCACCTGCTTACAAGAATCCGGCAAAAACGACACAGCCAGCGAAACCTGCAAATGCCAGGCTCTGCAATCCTTCGTCGAGGAATGCCTATCCACCGACCCATCCATAGACCTATCCAATTGGAGGATCGAGCAAAACTGCCGTAAGTCCAGCGACCATTCTAAGGTTGTCCAAGCAAACGAATTTCCTTACAGCTGCTCCCTGTGAGGCTCCCTTGATCTACAACGATTGCTACCAAAGGCGGTGCGAGCAGGACTGCAGCAACTTCGCCGATCCAGGCGCTTGTCCCAAGGTCCAGGACGTCTGCTTCTCGGGCTGCTACTGCCCGGCCGGGTACGTGCGCGAAGGCGACGACTGCGTACCGCCGTCGAGCTGCAGGAACTGCGAGTGCACCCTGCTGCCCAGGCTCACCTACTTCGCCTACGACTCGAGCAACTTCACCGTCGCCGGGAATTGCGTCTACGTCATGTCCAGGGACGTACTGACCGAGGCCAATCAGCAGCACAAGTTCCAGGTGCTGGTGACCAATCAGGATTGCTCGGCCTCCGCCGGGAAATCGCCTTCGAAGAACCACCACCAGCCCTCCAAGAACCATCACGACAACGGGAAAATGTGCGTGGGTAAAATAACGGTACTATACGGCAAACACAAGATCCATATCGTCAAGGACGCCGCGAGAGGTACTCTCAAGATGATCTACGACGGCGAAAGGGTGGATGATTACCAAGAAATCGCCGACGTGGTCAAAGTCGACGTGACCTCCAGAGGAGACCTGACGGTACTGCTCAAGGAGATCCAGGTGTCGGTGAGAGTGTCGTACCCCAACATGGGAGTCAGCGTGAAAGTACCGTCGTACACTTTCGGCGGTAAAATGGAAGGTATCTGCGGCGATTGCAACGGAATCGAAGACGATTTCAAGACGCCCACCGGCCAGAAGCCTAAGGACGAAACCGACTTCGGTCTCAGTTGGCTCTACGAGAACCTACCGGGCGGCCAGAGTCGCGAGCAATGCGAAGAACCCAAGGAACCCGAGGAGAAATGCCGTACCGTACCGGGCCAACCTGATCCTTGCGTGCAACTCCTCGACGAGAACAAATTCGGCCAATGCTCCAACCTGGTTGATCCCGCCATGTACCTGGAATGGTGTCGCAAGGACACCTGCCAAGGCGATTTGACCGAATCCTGCGAAGCCTTAGAAGCCTACGCCAAGGAGTGCGCCCTGAACGGTTTCTGCGTCAACTGGAGGAACGACTTGTGTCCGGCGCCTTCCTGTCCGCCGGGCACCGTCTACTCGGCCTGCGGACCGGCCCATCCGAAGACCTGCGATAATCTCAACCAACCGACCAAGAACCCGACCAAGAACCCGATCAGAAATCGGCCGGTCGAAGGGTGCTTCTGTCCGGCGGGCAAGGTACTGCTCAACGAAACCTGCGTAGAGCCCAGGGAGTGCGTCACCTGCGACCTGGCAGGTCACCATCCGGGCGACGTCTGGACCAAGGACAAATGCACCACGTGCAAATGCGACCACAAGACCTTGGTGTGCGAGAACCAACAGTGCCCCGATCCTTCCAGCATCTGCGAAAGAGGGTACGTCGCCGTCAAAGTACCCACCCCCGAAGACGAATGTTGCGACAAATACTCCTGCGGTGAGTTATACCATCTTAAAATCTAGAAAGGTACCACCACTTAAGCTACTGCTAAAGCTCAGCTAACTACTAGTACCTTCTGGTAACGGTTGTTTGTATTAAAATAGAAGTACCATCTTCTCAACAAACATACTGGTACTCGTAATTTGATATCAATATGTTTTGTAGTACCGGAACCAACGTCGACGCCGACCTGCGAACCGCCCCAGAACCTCCAATGCGCCGCCGATCAAGTACTCAAGCTGACGACCAAGTCGGACGGTTGCGCGGCCTTCGTCTGCGAATGCAAACCGCCGGAAGCCTGCGAACGAATCGATCTGTCATCGGTGAGTACCAAGCCGGGGTACGTCAAGGAAATCTCGACCAGCAGCTGTTGTCCGACGGTGAACGTCGTCTGCAAGAAGGAGACGTGTCCGCCGCCCCCGCAATGCCCGCAATTCCATTTGCTGCGTAAGAAGCCGGAGGAGAAGGAGGACTGCTGTCCGCGGTACGACTGCGAACCGCCCCAAAAGTGCGTCGTAGTCACCGAGTACACAGCCGCCCCCGAAGGCGGCGAAAGACCTTTGATCGACCTGGAGCGCCAGAAGATGCTCAAAGAGGTCAACGAAACCTGGACGGACGGGCCTTGCAGAAGCTGCCAATGTAGTACCGCCGAACCCGGTAAGTACCACCAGTACTTCCAAGCCCTCTTTTTAGTCCGTTTGTCCAAAAAAATACTACATATCGGCTTCGCCCGTGAACGCAACGTAGCCTGAGTACGGTACTAATTCCATTATTTCAAGGTACTTACGTGGCGTCTTGCTCGAAAACCACGTGCCCGGACGTGAGGAAGGAATCCGATTGGGACGATTACGAACTGGTCGAGAAAAAAACCTACGGGGAGTGTTGCCCGAAATTCATACGTACCGCCTGCAAGTACCACGACAAGGTGTACCGAGTGGGCGAGGTTTGGTACAAAGAGAACGACTACTGCACGTCGTTTAAGTGCGCCCTGGGCGACAACGGAGTCGTTCAAAAGGAGACGCACGTGAAGAGCTGCGAGACCGCCTGCGACGTAGGCTTCACCTACGTGGAGCCTGCGAAGGATTCCAAGGAGTGCTGCGGCTACTGCAAGCAGGTAGCCTGCTTGGTGGACGGCGAAACTTTCGCCATAGGTAAAGCCTGGACGTCTCCGGACTTTTGTACCGAATACGTTTGTACCGATGCTGAAGGCTCAGTAAGTACCATCATTATAGATAAAGCCTTTTTAATAAAACTAGCTATAACATTGAGCCACGTGAATTCTTCGTAATACTACACTCAAATAACTCCGGTAGTACCGTTAGGCAATACGTAGGCTACAAAATAGTACTTGGTCTTTACAGATACAAGTGAAATCGACGACCCAGCACTGTCCTAAAATCCCCGAAGAAAACCTGAGGAATTTCGTGATCGAAACGGTACCGCAACCGCGCCAATGTTGTCCCAAGCACGTAATGAAAGCCTGCAAAGTACACGACCGAGTCGTCGAGGTAGGCGACACCTGGGTACCGCCGGAGGATCCGTGCAAACTGTACAAGTGCCTCGACAAAGGCGACAACGAGCTGAGCGTCCAAGAGACCATCAAAACCTGCAAGACCCAATGCGGCATCGGCTGGTCGTACCGCCGCGCCGACGGGCAATGTTGCGGCGAATGCGTCCAAGTAGCCTGCGTAATCGAAGGCGACATCTGGAACGAGGGCCAGACGTGGAAATCGCCCGACGGTTGTACCACGTTCAGTTGCGAAAAATTAGGCGAACACTTCTCCATTGTTACGCAGCAGGAAACTTGTCCTGCTATCGATGCGGCTTGTCCCAAGGAGAACCTTTACATGGACGGTTGTTGTCAGTACTGCAACGCCACCCCGTCGGCTTTGAGTAAGTGTACAATTCAAAGAGTACCTACAATTTAGGTAGTACCTAGAATTCGAGTACTATCACTTATTTCAACTATACTTCATTAGTTACACTAGCTGGTTATTAACTTTTAATACGCATACTGTAGGTACTCGTATTCGGGCGTTTCGAGGTAGTACCTCACCAAGTGATCTTTCCAAAAGTGTTCTGCAGTGACCATTAAGCAATTCAATCTGTTTTACAGCCCAATGTTCGCCACAACCGATACAATTAGAAGACACCGTGGGCATCCTCAAAGTGGGTACTTGCAGGAACAGCCGACCCATAGCCAACTTCACCGAGTGCGTGGGCAGTTGCGAATCGTCGACCACGTTCAACGTGTTCGCCGGTGAGCACGAGTCGCGGTGCTCGTGTTGCCGCGCCACCGCCTACGCCACCCTGTCGGTACGATTGGACTGCGACGACGGTACCACCGCCGACAAGACGGTACGGGTGCCGGTGAAGTGCGGTTGCGGCGCGCATGAGTGCCTCGCCGCCACCGAATCGCCCTTGGACAAACCCGGCAATATGGTCAAGCATACGTCGAAGAAGGGCAGGAGGTTCGTACGGGGTATGAGTACCGGCGAGAGTGCCGTTTAGGTGATTTTGGTGGATTTATAACGAGGATATGTAGAAATGCGTTGTATTTTTTTTAAATGAATAAATAAATTGGTTAATGTTTGCGTTGGTTTCGATGTAACAGCGGCAACGTTGTTGGATTTCTCGGTACTACTTGCGCGTGTGTGTGTGAGAGAGAGAGAGAGAGACGAGGAACGGGAGCATTTCGAGCATTCTCGTCGAGTAATTAAAATGACGGACTTAAACGTCGCCGAACGACATATTTTTTTGCGTCCGGTACTACTTTCGCAATGTATCGAAGGAACCGCATTGTTTCGGCCGGTATGTACCGGTCGAATGTTTTTTTTTTCTTCTATTACTAACTTTAATAATTACCGGTAACGTTGTAAGTAAGTACTAAAGTGTCGGTACCACCTTCAGTTGTAGACATGAAACGTCAACTTAATTTTCGAATGGGTTAGAAAAAGAGACTTACCTTTATTATCTGATGTGTCGTTTTGTTGTACTTTGACGCCCTAACGAGTACCGTGTGATTAGCTCGGGTCGTACCTAAAACAATAAAGATCGTTTACATTTTAAATTTCCAAGAGTTTTCACACTCCGACGACTATATTTGGGATATGAAATGAAAAGGAAAAAAAAACTCAGTCTCTTTTGTTTGCCGCGATTATAACATGTTTAAACGTGTATAGTCAATATTTAAGCGGGCACAAAAAAACAGTGGCGTGCGTCACAACAACACCACGGTACTACCTTTTATTATATCATTCAATTTCGCTTTTCGATTGTAGAAACTTATTGTTAATTGTGTTTTTTCAATTTTTCCCGGGTGCCTTTGATGCACAACGAGAAATTCCGTTTGTTTTGGGTACTATGGAGTAAGGAACACGAAACACCCGACCATGGTACTACCTTCAATATTTACACAAAATCGAAATGTACACACAGAAAAATACACAAGTTGTTAAACAAAAAAATAAAGACGTTATTTTATTTCTTGTGCCCGTCGTAAAAATCACGGGCGGCTTTGATCTATCACGGAACACGAAAATTTCCTGTCCAATAATCATCTCGATATTATTCGTTTAAAAAATATAAAAAAAAAAGAAAAGTTTTTAACGAATTTTACAGTTAAATCCTTCGGTTATTTCTTTTTTTTCTCTCTCGTTTCCTTTTCGTTTTGCTTCAATGAAGGAATAATTTAAATAAATTACAGGGCGATTATTAAATGGCCGGCCGGGCATAAATTCCTTCCGATTGCGCAATTAACGTTGATTTGTCGATTTAGGGCGGTCGCAAATTTCGGTATATCGAAAGGTAAATGCGATAAATAAAACTGACGAGAGAGAGCTCTCGTTCTTTTCCCGTCAAGAGATTTGCCGAACGATTTTAAATTGCTTTTATACATTTATTTATATTCCCGAATATATGAAACGCGCCCGGTATATCATTAGGACGCGATTTATTTTCGAATTTATTATTCAAACGTTAAAACGAATGGTCTTGATGGTAAAATAAATAATGAACCCTCCCGGTATTTCAATAGAATAGGATTAAATCGATTTTTTATTATACGAGGAACATTTCAAAATGTTTTCGTTAAATGAATAAAGATGGTAAAACAAATAATAAACACTCCTGGTATTGCAATAGAATACAATTCATTTTTTTAATGTACGAGGGTTGTCCCATATATTCTTGACAGAAATCTACGAGGAGCCTTCGATATATTGATAAATCCACTAAAATTTATCGAGCGTGAAAGTAGTAGAAAAAAGCTTACGATAAATAAAGATGGCTGTGAAATGTGAGATATACAGGATGTCGGCTTCTCAGGACGATTTTATCGAGAAATTTGCATGAAATTCTTCCGCGTGCGCCGCGCCACAGCCCACTTATAACGAACGCAAATTAAATTAATTAATTATACGAGGGGGAGGTTACCGGTCTATTTATTTGTACCTCTATTCGAACGCGAACAGAGAGTACCATTTTATTTAATTTTTCTCCGAAACCATTCGGTATTGTCGTATAAAATTTCATTAAAATTTCAAATCAGGCCATTTTCCAACGCCCACGAAATCTTTTCATTCTTTTCATATTTCAACGCCACCTTTCACCATACGTCGCAATTTTGACATTTGACATTTTAATGACATTTGACAGTTTGATCCTCGTTTCAACTCATTTCAATTCAGTCAGGCAAGTACCGGCCCGGCGGCGGTTCCATTCAAACCGCAGAGCGCTTCATTCACAAACGGTCGAACGGCCCCGACGGTACCGCCCTGGTACGTATACGTCACAGTACCCTCGTCCCGTCTCCGTCTAGCGAAATATGCCAACAATGCGTCCCACTACCTCTTTCACGAGAGCGCCCCCTTTTCGTCCGACTCGCCGTATATTCCGCAGAGGAACCAAAACCCAAAGTCAGTACCGGTTCGAGTACCGCGCGCACGACATGCCCGTCGTCTGACAACCGCACACGATGGGTACCACGCGACAGACCGACGACGATTCCGCCGCCTTCTTTCCGCCCGGAAAATCCGGCAGGTGGTGGAAAAAGTGCTGTGTAGTACTAGCCGCCGGAGCGCTGTTGATCGCCGGATCGATCTTGGTTTGTTTCAATTTCGTCGAATCGAAGGGTGCTTTGAATTATTCGAGTGACAATTCGGCCGAGAGTGCTTCGGATTCCGACGAACGTTTAATCGAGAGTGCTTTGCAAAGTGTCGACGATAATTCGATCAAGAGTGCTTTGGACGAACGTTTGATCGCTTCGTTAATCAAGGGTGCTTCGAAGAGCGACGGTAACTCGATTGGTGTCGTTAAAAATTCGTCTAAGAGTGCTTTGGATGAACGTTTAATTTCTATATTAATCAAAAGTGCGTTGAAAAGCAAAGGTGGTACGATTAGTGTCGATCGCAATTCGTTTAAGACCACAGGCGACTCGATTAATAACAAACAATTAGATTCTTCGATCGAGAGTGCGTCGATAAGCAAAGCCTACTCGATGAACGACAACGATAAAACGTCAATCGACGGTACTTTGACAAACAAAGCCCACTACGACGACGAGTCGAAAACGGCCGATTTAAATTCAACTCTAATCGAAAGCGTATTCGTAAACAACAGTTACTCGACGTTATCGAACAATCGCAGCAACCCGTCGGTGAGTTTCATCAGAGGTAGTACCGGTAGCGAAGCCACCCGCCCCCAGGACCTCGAAGAAGGCCTCATCGAAAACGGCATCTACTGGGGCGAGAAAATCGAAAAACTCCTCCGAACCGATGGTACCCACGAACCTCCCAGTCACAAAAACTGGTCGAGCTACGTGGACGCCGAGGCGGTGGGCGTGAAACTATCGAAAGGCTGCGGTCGAATGCAAAACCGCCTCCTGACGTTCAGCGACGGCGGCCGCGCGTGCGTCCGCTACCGCCAAAACACCGATCAAATCCAAGGCGAACTGTTCAGCTTCTATCTAGCGCGCGCCCTCGGCATGGCGCCCAACCTGGCGCCGAGCGCCGCCGCCGTCGTCGACCCGCGCCGACCGCTGTGGCGTCGATTGGGCGCCGAAATGTCGGCGGCCCGTTGGGCGCCCGACAAACCGGTCGTACTGACCGGCTACATCGCCGAGTTGCGCCCGGCCGGCATCCCGGCGGCCTTCAAACCCGTCGACAAACACCTCAACAGGTTCGACGCGATCGGGCGATCGGTCGACGAGCTGCTCGAGCTCGCCCAATGGTCGGATCTGATCGTGTTCGACTATCTCACGGCCAACTTGGATCGCGTGGTGAACAATTTGTACAACTACCAATGGAACGCCGACATCATGGAGGCGCCGGCGCACAATTTGGCGCGGCGCCCGGCCGGCGCCCGATTGGTGTTCCTCGACAACGAGTCGGGCCTGTTGCACGGGTACCGGTTGCTCGACAAGTACGAGGCCTATCACGCGGCGTTGTTGGAGAACCTGTGCGTGTTCAGGGCGGGGACGGCGCGTCGCGTCGCCCGGTTGGCGAGGCGTCGCGACGTCGGCGCCGTTTTGAGGGGGATGTTCGACGACGAGAACGGCGTCGAGGTGAAGGAGGCGCTGCCGACGTTGCCCGATAGGAGCGTCAAGATTTTGAACGATCGGATCGATAGGGTGTGGCGGCAGATCGTCAAATGCCAATCGATCTATTCCAACGGTTAATTGACTTATGTCAAATTTGACGTTTCGGCTGTCACATTTGACGGGTGACATTTAGAGAGTTCACTTGTCGTGTATCATCTTTGATTGGTGTAGTTTCGAGTATTTACTGTCATCTGTCAAATTTGACGGTTGATGATTTACTGTCATATGCCGAATTTGACGTTTCGACTGTTTGCTGTCATCTGTCACGTTTTACGAGTGATGTTTTGATGATTTACTGTCATATGCCAAATTTGACGTTTCGACTATTTGCTGTCATCTGTCACATTTGACGGATGATGTTAAGAGGATCTTCTGCCATCTGTCAAATTTTACGGGTGATGTTTTGATTATTTGCTGTCGTCTGTCAAATTTGATGGTTCAATAAGAGGGTGAAAAAAGGTCAAGTGAAAGTTAGGGAAAAATTCGATTAGAGGACAATTGTACGAGCATATATATATACAGGGTGGTTTCCCAAAATAAGATCATATTGAGGAATTGTTTTACAACTTTTTAGAAGAGTATTCGACTAATTTTCCAGAATTTATTATCATTTTTTGAGAAAATCGGATCTCCCTGTATATACGGCTCAATTAGGCATCGATTTTTCGAAATTAATTCCCTCCTACGCGTTCGGCAATTTATTTTTGTATCATAATTTATTTAAAAACACCGGCGGAATATTCAATTATATACATAACACGCACACTTGATGTTTCGTTAATTATTATTTATATATATTATTCGAGGATTATTCAATAATCCGTGAAATATTGGTGATATAAACTGTGCTTGAATCGATGAGACATGTGATATAAATATAAATGTTTGTATAAATATTCGATATTCGACTGAATTTAATATCTAGAAATTTTCGACTGACCCTCGTAAGTTAGGGGTAATTATTTTGTAATAGAATTTGTTCATCGTCATCGCT